TGGGTTAAGACTGGTCCCTGTGAATTCACTGTATATAAAATTTGGCTGGGATCCTAGGCTGAACCCTCAAATATCAATATGTTCCCATCCAATCTGTCAAATTTGAATGTGTTTCGATATCAACCAAAATAATGCCCAAAAGCCATACCAAATGCCCAAATATAGGACCAGTGCCATACCAAATATCCAGATATGAAAACATGGCCATTCAAAATTTCTAATGCCTCGAGAAGAAGGCAGATCATTGAGGAAAACAACCAAAAACAACCTCTTAAGGATATACTAGATCAATGCCATACATGTACAACAAGTGAGGGGCAACATATTTTTCACGACCATTCCCAAATCCGACCATTGCCATACCTCTCAAGTCATAATTTGGAGAGCATTCTCATACCAGATCCTAAAATTTGGGTCCATTGCCATATCAAATGTCAAAAGTTACCCACCTGAGCTGAGGATACCCTCAAGGTTTATATACAGTGAACTCCTGGGAGACGGGGGATAATGTTTCCACTTCCAAATATAAGTTTTATCATCCATCCTCTTCAACTGTTATAATGAGCAATCATTACAAGGTGGAAGAGTCCATCATTTAATTCATTGCATTATATTAGCTGCTATGAAAGCAGTGAAGGACCAATCTTGAAAGATGGGAAGAGTTGAAATGTCAACACCTCCATAAGTGAGGGCAGGACTGTTCTGTTTTGGAGAATATCTTATGTGAAACAGCTCATATCGTTATCTATTAATGTAAGTTACAAATATATTTTTGTAATTCTGCTGTACTTTTACTGGTGAACAATTCAACTTTGGATTTTATTGTGTCAGGAATTTCTATATTGATTCCTATTATGAAGAAAATAACCTTAAGAACCTCAACTGATGTGAACTCTGTCCCATTAGATGTCAGAAGCTCAACCCAACCCCTGTAGCTGCAAACCTAGGACCAAGTCCTGTGTGAAGCTATATTAGCCTTCAATGCATTTACTGGATCAGATTCCTCCAGTGCCTTTCTGAACAAAGGAAAAGTAAATCAACTGAAACGGAAGACAAACAATTCTTAAAGTTGTTTTCTTCAATAGACAATATAGGAATTCCCGGTACCATAAAATAGAAAGTTGAATTGTTCACCTCCAAAAATACAGCAAAAATAGAAAAATAACTGCCACTAATAGATTACGAGATGAGCTGTTTCCCATGAGATACAGAACAAAACAGAACAGTGCTGCCCTCACTTATGAAGGTGTTGACATTTTCTTTCACATTTGAAGAGGGTAAATTATCAAACCTATGTATGGACACATTCCCACCAGCCTAAACCCAGCTTTACCATTATGCCGAACACTGCGTGAATGAACTGTGAATTCCCTGACGAATCTTTAACACGAGAATGGTCAAAAGAATCCTTCTTTCCAATAGAAATTGTTGATATAAGAGGCAATTGTGGAAGATGAAAACGATAATGATGAGTAAAAACAAGTTGGTAGTCAGAATATGTGTGAGAACTAGTAAAGTGGAATGAGGCTATACTGTCAGACATACAGGATAAATTGCTGAAATTAAGAGCAAAATGATAATTTTGAGCATTTTGGTATAACATGTTGTGAATTGACCATTCTCAAATGAATGTAAGACTGAAATAAAGAATTAGAGTTACCATGACGACGAAACATGGTTACCATGGCAATCAAGTAAATGGTAAGCTACAAAGTCTAATACAATACACAAATCTAATTAATTTTTAAGATCTGAAATGATGATATCTGTATCTGCTTAAATTCAAACGTTAAAGCACTTATCAATTGATGAGGTCCAAACTTCAATAAAACTCTAGTTACCATGGTAACCAATCAAATTTTAGCTCCCAAAGTCTAATTTAATATTTATAATCAATCATTGTCTAAGATCTGAAATAATGAGACATGTATCTCCCTTATTTCAAAAGTTATAGCATCCATCCAATGTGGGGGTCAGAATTTCCCTAAAACCCTGGTTACCATGGCAACCAATCACATGTCAGCTCCCAAAGTAAAATAAAATACTTAAAACTAACCATTTATAAAGATCTGAAAAAATGAGACCTGTATCTCCATTATTTCAAAAGTTATAGCATCCATCCAATGTGGGAGCTCGAGTCTATGAAATAGACCCCTGTATAAGTCATGGACCAATACAAGGCGAAAATCTGAGATTTTGTGGACTGATCTTTACATACAATTGTTGCTCATATATTATAGGAGTTTTCTATTTACAATTTAACCTTTCCTAACACATTGGTGACAAAATATGCATGAAGTGACTCTGTCAGTCCTGAAAAATTGGCCTGAAAATTGACACCCGAAGGGCATGTTTTATCCATTTCCATGGCAACCACTTAACCATGTGACATGAAATTTTTATCATATATTCAGTTAGCCTATACCAATATAACTTAGTAATTTGGAAACATTCCACTGAGTATTTTTTGAGTTCTTGCCCAATTTTATAGTAGGGGTCCAAATTTTAGCCATTGGGGGGTAAAATGGCCACAAAATCTAAAAGCTGAAAAACTAAGATCTAATAATCCATACAAATATGTATAATCATAGTAGTAACATGAAAAATTATGTCCCATAAAATCCCTCTGAACGCACGCTGAAACCCACATTCTGACTGCACTATTGCCTAGTTATGTGTGAATTCAAAACGAAATAGGCCCGGCCTCATGACGTGAACAGAGGAATGATTTGGGCCTTCTAAGGATATAACTGAATTTAGTCAATTTCACACCTACAAGATTGTTCAAATCTCAAAAAGAGAGCTGAGTTTCGTCAAAGACATATCTCTTAATTTACACTTTGCATTTGTTCAACTTCACTGAGCTTCGTCTTCGTCATAGTTTATAACTAGACTCTGCGCACAGGGTACTCTTAATTCAAAATGTTGTCAAAGTGAGTATACGCCATTTTATATGAATTTCTGTCATGACATCTGAAGTACTCACTGTACATCAACACTCCACTTCCATTATTCCAAGTTCAAGATATTAGAAACAAACAGTTTATTATATTACTTAGCTTGTTTATTCAAAATGAATTTATTTCATTAAAAATAAAATACATGTACAAAATGATGTCAACAAATTGAGACATTTGCAGCAAGTTATAAAATGATTCAATACAAAAAAACAAATACTCAAGTGCAAATCTGACTCCGATGAGTAAATAAATAAAGACATTATGGAGCACTGGAATGAAAATATTCAATTTTTATCACAAATACTGCTCATTTACAAAGATGCGCTATGGACAAACACATATTCATATCCATGTAACAATGTACTGATGTAATGTATAGAACAGTGAAACCTGTCTAAGTGGACCACTGCTGGTATCTCTAAATAAAGAGTGTTCCACTTGGGAGACGTTCCACTTATAGAGGTTCATTTAACATTTAGTCACTTGTTCTTGGCACTCTCAAGTGTTCCACTTACAAAGGTGTTCTACTTCTAGAGGTGTTTCACTTAAAAGGTTTCATTGTACTTGTTGATGGTATGGTTGCATCGTTAGAGAATATAACACATGCAACACATTTGTATTCAAGAATCATAGCTTAACATATTCCACAAGGATTTTTTTAATACATGAAAGTGACATAACAATACTAACAAGGCATTAACATTCAAAATGTCACCACCTGCCACCAGATGCCAAACTCCAAATACCAATTGCAAAACGCCGTACACCATCCACAAAAACGTTGGAGACTATAACTATGTGTCAACACTTATGGTGGTGACATAATACATGTACAATCAATTATCTCAAAGGATGTTAATACATGGACATGTAGTTAGCAATAAACTTTAAACCATACAGCTGCGTCAACATGTTTAGCTGCGATGTAGCTGCATCAACATATTGGTAACCATGCAGCTGCTTCAACATATTGGTTACCATGCAGCTGCTTCAACATATTGGTTTCCATGCAGCTGCATCAAAATATTGGTTACCATGCAGCTGCTTCAACATATTTGGTAAGCTGCATCAACATTCATCACTGTCTATTCACCGACAATAAATAATCTCATCTGGTAACTGCATTTTAGAATACATACATGTACTCCATCATAAATAACAAGTAGATTTTTCCACCCAGTCATAGTCTTGCTTCAAGACCCTGGATTATCTACTCTAACAACCTTGTTGTTTAGATAGGAGCAATGTCCAAAGTCTTGAAGCATGACTAATCAAGTCAATGGTTCTGCTATGAATCCAAGCCCCCGAAATTCACATTTTGTAAAACCAAAATTTCCTACTATAGTAGATGCTATAACATGGCTTTATCCCCTCTCTCAAATGAAAAACTACTTAACTTTCTTTTTTGGTTAACATTAATGTATCGATGAGATCATACTGTAAGAGTAAGTGTAACTGCACTGAGACGTTGGGTTCATTGTGAACAGATAGTCATCAATCTTCAAATTTATAGGCCAATGACCTTCTAGGCAAGTGACCAAGCCAGTCTTTTGACTTCTAGGCCAGTGACCCAACTGATGTGTTGATCCATGCATACACTGGCCAGGCCCGTAGCCAGGATTTGCCAAGGGGGGGGTTCAGTTTTCAAAAATTTCCAGGGAGGTTCACATCTGACAATTTTGGCCCAAATATGGCTAAAATCACTTGAGAAATGCTCAAAATGGTGAAAAACTGCATGATTTTGAAAGAATTTTTGGCCAGGGGGGGTTTCGTCCGAACCCTGCGAACCCCCCTGGCTACGGGCCTGCTGACTCATCACTATGACAGATCTCTTTGGTTGAATTGCTTCCTTTGGAATGACACTTGAGTTTGAAATTAGCAAGTTTATGATTCCTTTTTGGCAGCTATGACACTTAAACTGCGCCTATTCTTTTGTGGGGCAAGTTTATCATTGCCTATTTGGCAGCTATAACACTAAGCCTGCACGTATTCTGCTTTGGGGAATCATTGCCTATTTGGCAACTATAACACAAAACCTGCGCCTATTCTGCTGTGGAGAATCATTGCCTATTTGGCAGCTATGACACTTAGCCTGCGCCTACTCTGCTGTGGGGGTAGTTCACTGATGGTGGGTGGTATGAGGTGCAGGGTACTACTGGAGCGATTCAGGACTCTCATTGGGGCTATACCACTCACTGGTGTAGCAGCAAGACTCTCACCAGCCTCCTCAAAACCACCAGCCTCCTGAAATATAAACAATCACTGTACAATCTTATGGAATCATACATGTGCAAGACAATGGTAGAATCAACATTAAAGATACAGACTAATCATGGGATTATTAATTAATTATACACTAAGATACAAGATAATCAATGAATCATCATACATCTATGTATATTCTCTTAAACTAAATCAAAATGTAACAATATAGGATTTCAATCGTTAAATGCCTTAAATCTTTTACAATATTATGTGACATATTCAAACTTTATAATAATGCATTCAAATCATATAAGAAATACTTTTACTGCAAATGTGCATATTTTTGAGAGAAAAATAATGCATCAATCATACAGTTTTGCGAAGCGGTAGTTCTACTACATCTTCTACTATTAAAGCCTACAAGAAGCCAACCTAGTTCGATCTGGATTGGGAGTAATTTAGGATTTGAACAGTAAGCCTAAGCGTTCACCTACATAGCCCGAGACCGGACAATTTGAATCTGAATGCAGAGTATAGATGTTTTACATATAGGTAAATTGTAGGTATGACAATATAACCATAAATTCACACTTAACTATGCTTCCCCTAGTTTACTATAAGTAATGAACAAGAGATCAATCTCAGCACACCAAGAATTAGATCAGATCTTAGGAGACCTTTTTGCTGTCAATCAGAACATTCTCTTTAAAATATGTTTTCCTTAAAATGTGAGGTCCCCTAACATCTGATGTACCTATTCCCTCCATATGAACATGAACATATTCCGGTCAGAAAGTCATATTCATTTTTATGAAGATTCATAAAGAGATAAATCCAAATCATGCAGGAAAGACATCGCTACGAAATCCATCATGTCCAGGACATCCAGTTATGTTCAAATATGCATGGAAGATAAAGAGGGATTCAATCATGCATGGGAATTTAATTAATATTCAATCATGCATGGGAATTCAATCACAATTCAATCATGCATGGGAATTCAATTAAGATTCAATCATGCATGGGAATTCAATTAAGATTCAAATCTACATGATGAAGAATAAAAGAGACTGAAATATACATGAATGTTTAAAAGATCCATCCATGTATAGAAGATCAAAAGAGATCCATTCATACATGACAGATCTACAAAGGACTTGATCATGCAGCAAAGATCAAAATAGATCTGATCACAGAGGAAAGACTTAGAAACCTTGCCATGCAATAAAGGTCTAAAAAGACCTGTCCATGCAAAGAAGGTCATGCAAGGAAGTTTCATGCAAGCAGGAATACCTGGGGAGCTTCTGGATCATTCTTCAGCTCATTTATAACATCTTCTTCAGTCTAATATAAGGTGTTCATACAATACACATACAGTATTAACACATGACATGATACACAGTCAGGCCCATAGCCAGATTTTGCCAAGGGGGTCCACTTTTCAAAAAATACCAGGATGGTTCACTTTGACAACTTTGGCCCAAAATCACTTGAAAAGTGCCCAGAATGGTGAAAAACTGCATGATTTTGAAAGAATTCTTGGTATGCTCAAACCTGTGACCCCCCTGGCTATGGGATCGACAGTACTCAGCTGGAGAGTGTATGTCAGACGGTGTCCAAATTCAACAGTTGTGGAAAATGTTAATTGCATTAATTTTCGTAATAAAATATTAATTTTTGGTCTTGGAAATATGATTAAGTAAACTTCTTAACTTTATTTTTCCACACCTGCTGACATTTGTAGACCATCTTTATCATTATTTATTTACATGTACAATACTTAACTTGATGCTTCCATTAGGGTTAACACCATCATAACAGTAATGTCATTTGGGAGACTATGATACTGCATGCAGATCCTTCCTAGGGGACAGATGTGGGGTAGAGGAGGGGGTATGAGATGGGGGTACATAAACTCAGAAAGCAGCATTAAGGCGACTACTATAAGTGCAAGATTTGCTGAGGAGATTTGGGTCTGACACAAACATACATGAGTACTACATAAGCATTATCTGACGAAGAACATTTTTGAAATAAATCATAAATCAAAACTGAATAGTGCAGCCCTGGTGGCAAAATATATCACTACCATCACTAAAAGTTTCTTCATAATGAAAATTTCTATTCAAATATCTGATTTTTGGGAATTAATAATTAACATCTATCTAGAAGGCTAATTTTGGGTGTAACTACTATATGTAATTGGTGCAAATAAACTAGAGCAATGTATTCTACTGCACGTAAGCTGACAACAAAGGACGTCTGCCACATTACCCAGAAAGCAACATCAAGCCAAAGGCAACATTACCCACAATGCAACTTACAAGACAAGGGCTATGACTGTGAGACAATATTTTGATTGGACGGAATCTCGGGTACGGATGACATCATAGTAGTTTCCCTGGCAACCAGAGTATCTGATCGAGGTAACGATCTACCAGATCTGGCTGAATGATTGGAATACACTGATTTTGCCACAGATGGGGCTCGGTTTTGTATCTCTTCCAACTCATAGGTCTACAGCAAAATGCAATCAATGGGTTTTACATGATATAACTAGCACTGCTATCAAAAGTACATGTTAAATAAGGGCAGTGAATCTTGATTGTTAATTTTTGAATAGGTGTGATGCAAATACACAGTATAGCAAACAGCCAAAAGAAATGCCTCAAATTGAGTATATTCTCTCTTATGACATTTTTTAACTGTTTAAAGGTTATGTGCTACACTGTGGTCTGTTTTTGCACAATCGCAACTTACGTTTCTTAGAAAACCAATAGTCTAGTTTAAGATCAACAATGACTTGCGATAAGTTGCTATGGTTCCAAAAATAGACCCATGTTGTTCACGCAAGGTGAAGTACCATGAACAATCAACATTAAATAATTAACTTGTCTTACTGCCTAAACAAGACAAAATGTGAGCACAAAAACAGATATTATGTTATTAACTGAGACAAAATGTGAGCACAAAAACAGATATTATGTTATTAACTGAGACAAAATGTGAGCACAAAAACCAAAATAAAAATGCACATCAGTATCTTCATTATTTAGAAATAAAAACAAAATAATATGCAATTAAATAATCATTATGTTTCATTATTTAAAAAAGACGAATTAAATCATTAAAAGTAAAGTAGAAAATATTGTGTTAAAAATATGTGCAAACATATAATAAAAGTACACGTATAATCAATTTATCACTTCTGTATATCCTTACCTTATATTCAATCCCCTTGGCCATTGTGAAAGTGACACTACACACTGCCCCCCTTTGGGGTAGCGTGGGAAGTTGGAAATCTGCCTTCTTAGGGGGTTCCCAAGACTCAAACAGTTCATAGCGCTTTTTCAAATCTTTTTCATGTTTTGTCACTAAAAATAGAAGGCACATTCTCTAAACTTGTGCACTAAATGATGCTTCATGTTCAGTGTTATTGAAAACAAATGCAAAATCTCCTTTTATTGAAATATCTAAATGTGCATACCTGATTTATGCTATTTTTAACAGGTTTTATTTATACTAAGACATTTGCCTGTTGAAATGAGATTACAGGAATCTGTCAAATTAAGAATTCCCAAAAAGTCTAAATGGCAAATTCCCCAAAATGAGCCGGGTTTAGTAATTAAATTCATTGGAAAAAAGCGTAAATGAAGCCAGCTGCCTTACCCAAATTCACAACTAAAATATGATGTATATGAAGTTAAAATATCTTACTAGGCCTTGCATTATCCACAGGGGGTTTATAAGATTTTGAGAAGCCAGCCCAGTATGGAAGCAACTCCTTGAAGACGAGGTACTGCGCCTCATCAAATATACCAGGACTCATGTCCTTACCAGCTAGGTACCTCTGGCAGGAGCGTATGGTCTTCTGGTGGATATCACTCGATATGTCAATCTAAAGGAAAATACAATATTTGGTACTCATATATTCGATGCTTTAAATCACAGGTGGTTAAACGTTTTTGACTTTGCTAAAGGATCATCAATCAAAATCTCAAAATCTTTGTGGCTTGTACCATTTTTGTCTGGTTAAATTTTTCGGGCAGCTGATATTCCTTGAATCAAAATCAAAAAATCCTTTTGGCTTGTACCATTTCTGTCAGCAAATAAAATGGTTAGCTGAAAATTCCTTACTTGTAAAGAGGGCTGTGTGCTGGCATCAAGGTATGTGTCTAACATTGACTGCACCTTACGCTGAAGTAACTGCTCATCACTGAAACTATGGTGGCAGTCCTGAAACATGCATGTAACCATTAAGGCTATTTATTAGGCATATACAGGGTGTCCAAGAAGTAACGTCATTGACCCTGGCATTTTGTCATTTATGCTTCAAATGTCATGAAACTTGGTCAGAATGTTCCTTGTACATTTATACATATAAATACAAAGTATGGAGTGACTGGCATTTGATTGGCCAATTTTATGGTTGCCATAGTAACATGCTTCAATAGAAAAATACAGAAAAACAACAACTCTATGGATTGGTGAATCCCAATGAAAGAAATATTTTTGAAAATACCTCATTTTGGATATTACATAACAGAAATAAAAATTTGCACAAAATCATATAACTGGTATTTAATTTAAGTAATTAAAAATCACATATTTCATGAAAAATGGCAGCCATTCTGACAAAACAGAGTTAAACTGGTGCAGTGAGACATATAGAGCATACTGGAGTATTTTCACTTGCTGTGATACTAGTAAATGCAGTAAAACCTATACTGTAGCAGGTGTAGATGGTCATAATAAATTGTCAAGAAGGAACTGGAAATATTTCTGGCTACTCTGTACACAAGGCATCTTGAGCTTATAGGGAGACTCACTGAAAAGTCTGATACACAAAATTAAATTACAGGCCACAGGGTGGCTCAAAAAGGTAGAACCCAACAATTTTATATAAAGATTTGCATGTCCTACCCTAAACCTCTGCACCTCCATGTAAAACCATAGATCTTTGTCAGCCATAGGGAACCCATCATCCTCGCCATGTTTTACGAGATATTTGAGAAAATACTGCATTTTGATTGGCATATCACCCTGACAACTCTCAGTGAGCATCATCAGAAATTCAACCTTGTCCTCTTTGGTCGGTTGTGCTCGTCCATCAGGCTGAAACAACATGGATAAATTAAAGTAAATGTCAAGCACTGTACACAGGTAAAACGATATGTGGGCATTGAAAATGTAATGTTATATTCATTTTTAACTTCACAGATCTAAAGAATAAACTTTCATTGAAACATTATTCGCATCTTGTGACAGAAAAAAATTAAGTCATAATTCATAAATTTATACAGTTATGATAATGCTTCTGTACTTTCAAAAACCTTATGGAGATAATAAATATAATTTGTGCAGAAGTAATGAAATACACCAGTACAAAATGTGTAGTAAATACACATGAATTTACAAAGGCTTCTTGCCTTATGGTATGAAACCATGTTAAAACATGATTTGTCAAGTAGTAGTAAATAAAAAATACACACTGGTAGTACATGGCAAATACACATGAACATGAATCTATGCAAGCTTCTTGCCCTAATCGTATGAAATCATGATAATAAACAAAGCAAAATAACTCAACAACAAAATAATTGCTATCTAAAAATAAAAGTACAGATACAAAAAATACATGTACTTAATGAACACTTTAAGTACATGTAATTTCATTTTCTTTATTATCATGACTTCTCATATCAGTTTGAAAGTTTTTTTCAAAGTGTAAATAATTTCTGTAATAAAAAACAGAATATTTTAGTTAGTAATTGGTGGAAAGATCCTTTTACATAATTCATCATAGCTAATCAGGGATGTCTTTACAATGACAAGTGATGGGAAGCTTATAACAGTCAGAAATACCTTCACAATGATTAACAATGGGAAGTTTATCACAGCCAATCAGAAATGTCTTTACAATGATAAGCAATGGAAATGTCTTTACAATGATAAGCAATGGGAAGCTTATCACAGCTTATCAGAAATGTCTTCACAATGATAAACAAAGGGGAGTTTATCACAGCCAATCAGAAATGTCATAACAATGATAAACAAAGGGGAGTTTATCACAGCCAATCAGAAATGTCTTTACAATGATAAGCAATGGAAATGTCTTTACAATGATAAGCAATGGGAAGCTTATCACAGCCAATCAGAAATGTCGTAACAATGATAAACAATGGGAAGTTTATCACAGCCAATCAGAAATGTCTTTACAATGATAAACAATGGGAGGTTTATCACAGCCAATCAGAAATGTCTTTACAATGATAAGGAATGGCCTGACACAACCAATCAGAAATGTTTATAGAATGGTGAGCCTGAGCCACGAGGATTTTATCACAGCCAAGGATCTTTAAATATCTTAACACTCAATTAGTAGTAATTCAGTGCCAATTTAACACTAATTAATTTATGAATAAGCTGAAAATTTAGCGATAAATTAGTATTTCAATATTTAGAAAAAGTGCTCCATTTGTACTAAATAAGTACAAAATATTCGATACTAAGTTAGTACTGGAAAATTGGGGGTGTCAAAGAAATGTTCATTAATTAAATAATGAGTGACAAAATTGATAGTTTGGATGAATAAATAGTGGATCAAATATACTTCATATGTACATGTCCATGGTATATTAAAGAATCCCTATATTACCCACAAACTATCAATTCCTATGCAATCATATCATTTTATATGAAAGTAAATCAGCCATATAAAATGATGATTGGGTGAATTCGAAAAATAAAATGAAAATTCAGAGCTGAGGAGCCACAAGTGAATGCTAGTACTGGCATGCCAATTAATAAACATTCTGATTCTGTACCAATACTGTGGTAAAGTTCTGTGGTAAAGGTGCCATTGAGCCTTTTCTGCGTCTTGTAACATGGTGATGCACTTGAGGACTTGAGTTTACAGAGTGACTAGTCAGTAATGTCGAGACAGCAGGGTGATTAGGTGCAGTAGCTGGGGGAACCTTAGGCTTTTGTTGCTAGCCAAATACAAGCAATTTAAATTATTGAAATAAAACAAAAATCAGAAATATATACTCTATGTAATATCTGAAATAATGATAGAACAATAGCATATAAAGCCTTATTGTTCATTAAAAGGATTAGAATTTTAGGAAGATAGTGACTTAGTCTACACCTTTTTTTAATTTGAAAATCAAAATAAACATTTACAATGAAAAAAAACAGTTTTCCACGTTCCAGTCATACCTTCATCAAATGAAATATTCACAATAAGGAGTACCTACATTACATGTATATAGTAAATTGAAATCATAGTTTTAACAACATCGAGGCACAAATTACATATTCCAGTTTTTGCATGAGCAATTACAAGTTTGCACTGATGTTGACTACATCAGGAACTTCAGAAAACATTTTGAGAAAAGTTTTGCCAAATCTCTACAATTTATCATTATGTGCAGAAGTTTTAGGAAAAATTGCTGAGGTATGCTTCGATGTTTTATTCCAAAAACCCCAAAAACTGCAAATTCTGAAAATTTCTGCACAAAAGTCAAATTTCACACATTTTAAGAAAGTGAAATCCAGAGAGAATTCTGGAATATGTGACAACACCAATTGAGTCTCTAATGTCAGCTTACACCTATTATAACTATAAAGCATACATATATTATATTCTCTCATTATACATGTACTAGAAGAAACCATTACAAGCAAATCACCTTATTTTTCTGTAAAGCAATCCAATAAAAAATAAACAACCTTTATAAAATAAACAACCTTATAAAAACATATAAGCACAATTCTAAAATGCCAATCTCTGTTTCATATCATACCATACACATCAATTCAAAATGCAAAAATCAAGAATATCATTAAACAGTGTAATATAATTGAGCAAAAATTAGAGATTTCTGGGTGAAGCCATGCTGTCAAGCAAAAATATTTGTGTTGTCCCACCTTGTTATTCTTGCCTCCTTTCTTCTTGTTCCATCCCTTTAGTAGACTCGTGTCATTGTCAGACCTCAGCGCCATCTCAGCCTGCGACATGTTGGCCATCTGCTTAGAGTCCATACCAAACTCATCAGCCTGAGACTGTAATACAACATTCAACATGTTATTGTTAACTTCAACACTATAGAAATCCACATGCTGATTAATATACAAGGGCTCCTTCAGTTTTTTTGAGAATTTTCATTGTTTCTGGCCTTATTTGCTTCAGTCACTTTTGTGCCTTGCATTATTGTTTTACCGTGGAGCCCCTGTGTATACATCAGATGAAGGCATTACAATACTGGTCCATCACCTTGTGAGAGATTATGAAGGAGATTTCCCATGCACTTCTATGTATGGAAAGATGAACAGAGATGTAATAAGTAATATCGAGCAGGGTATAAATGTTCAGTACTTCAGTAAAGGTTATAGATTTAAGAATATGATAAATGATTTCATGTAATGAAATGTAACGATTTCAAGAATCTGTATTTTCAACAGTTTGATTGTATTGAGAGTTTATACAAATCTAAAAAATAATTCAAATTGCTAATGGTACAACATGCAACATGGATGGACAACACAGATAAATAAATACATGCATATAATAATGTGCATTAAGTATTTGTCAACATATATAGTTAAACAACCCAAACTATCAATAACATTAAAATATCAAAAGCCAATCAAAAACTTAACCCAGGAATGCAACAGAACTGTTATATGGGGTAAAAAAATCACAAATGCAGTTAGCTGGGGACACAGTTATGTAAAATGTGTGAGAAAAACATCACAAACATACAATGTCGAAAAATAAAAATATTAAATGTAATAAATGGTATTTGAAATTCCAATCAAAGCAATTTTCCTAAAATACATGACAATTTATGCAAAGAACAATTGTTAGCTCAATTTTAATGCCTTTAGAAGAATTAACAATTTCATTAACATGCAAAATGTCACCACCTGCCATTTATTACAGAAAATGACCACCGAACACCAACTGCCAAATACCAACCACCATCCACAAAAAAGCTGGAGACTTGAACAATACATGTAAGTCACACTTGTGGTGGTCACATAATAGATTCAGTTTCTATGCATTCCTAAAATACATGCACCAACCATGTCTAAATTCAGTGATGCAGCGATATCCTTGAGCTAACAACTATTCTAAAATAACAAGGTTGGGGAGTATGTGGGTAATTGGGACAAGAGACAAGCTGTATATGGGAACATGCAATGAATACTGACCACAACAGGGATCTTCCGAGAGGTATATCTACCACGCTAAAGAAAGATAATATTCTCAATTCTAAATAAATGGTTTAATCTGCAGTGTAATACTGCATGTTTGAGCTAAAATGAAGTACAGTAAAACCTGCAAAGTGAAACACTTCCATAAGTGGAACACTGGATCCAAAACTTAATGGTTTAATGTTAAATGAACCACTTTAGATGGTAGACCTCCCAAGCAATGAACTTTCAGAGGTTCCAAATGCATTACACTGACACAGGTTTTACTGTATATGGTTATGAGTGGGTCAGACAATTATCATTTTCTTGTATTAATGTGTTTTGACCCACCCTGTACATAAGATTAGTAAAATATCTATAAATTCAAATCTAAATAAAATATAATTGAGATGACGCTTTGATAACATGCATATATAAAATGAGAAAACAAACAGCATTGAAACTGCAGTGATGCTTTAGGATGGAATTTAGAAATGATCAAATAACATGTAACAACAAAAACTCTATTGATGTGATGTTTACTATCAATTCCACACAAGAAGTCTCCAATATTAATTCATAATGTGCTTTATTCAAACTTCAAATGTGCACATGTCATATACACTGAAATAGTTCATTTGCAAAACCTAACAAAAGTGAAAATATCATCAAGAAATATGTGCATAATCCAAATCCAAATCAACCACTTAAAGAAAATCCCAAATTGAAATGCGTTTGATTAAGAAATGAATGTCGTCAACAGCGTACCTTCCAGAAGTTATCAAAGAGCTCCGTAAGTTGTGGCGTGAGATGATTCTGGGTCTCCTTAAGGGTTGGAGAGCGGGGTCGATCCTTCTCCACACTGAGCCTTGCATAGATCTTATCACTCAAGTGTACCTTCTTCCTTGCTGTGCTTTCAAAATATGTCCTGGAAAAGAATACATTGGCAAATAATGGTTTAGGCTACAAAAATAGAAAGGGTAAATATTTAAACAGAGGACATAATCTTGTTTTCTGTGAAAAAAGGTCTCAAATTGGAAAATAACTGAACTTTGATTGATGGGATACTTATCACCACTTTCCGAAGCCTGTTCTCAGGGTATGAGTACTAGTTTGGGAGGCTTGTATTTTATTATATTGACCTGAGCAATAGGTGAACCCATAGTGCCGGGCCATAGTTGCCTGTTAAAATGAGGTTATTGGTACAATATACTCACTTAAATATATAATTTGACTGCAAATCTTTCTTCTTCTTGTCCTTTGGGTCAGTTTTTGCTCCCATGCTCTTGTAGGCATCAACATCAAGGTACAGGTTGAGTAGGTTCATGCGTTCCCTCGTCTCATTTTCAGCCATGTACTTCTTAAACAACGAGATAACCCTACAAGAAAAATGGTATAGATCTCTAAAAATCTCAAGCATGAAGTTAATGTAATATATATAGAATTGACTGGTGATACTCGTAAATGTTTAATTTACTTGCACTGTTTCTTACAACTTTTTTTATTTCCCTGTTCGCTCTTGTGCATGAATATATACAAAATGATATGAGAGCAAAAATTTCAAGACTTTTTGGACAACCCTCGTATATCTAAGGGTCTTGTGAGTGTACATGACAGAATAGGTTGGATGAGGCACTATTCATTGAATACACAGATAATAACATTTATCATTGATCCGAATCTACTTCTTAATCCTTTTGTAAAATACTATCTTCAAGTATCTTGAAGTTTCTTGAACTACGAATAATATGAATTGCCTAAATGCATAATTCCAGAATGCAGATGCTATATGAATGACATTAACTCAGCAATAACTTGGAAACACACCCTTTATTATCAGCCATTGTCGAGAATGTGACTTTCTTCTCAGAAGGGACATCTGCTGGTTTTTCATCACTCTCCTCACTTCTGACACTACGGTTTCTAGATTCCCTGTACTGGGGACTGTACCCTCTGTTAGAGTCTTCCTCATTCTGGTCCTCATCGTCATACTGATCTTGCTCGGCCTGCTCTTCTTTCTGGAGGGGAGAAAGTCAGTTGGTTATCTCATAGTTTGAAATCCCATGGATATCTTTGACATTTTAAAGTGAGAACAAGGTGCATTCAAGTCATATTGAACGATCCCAGCATTGGTAAAACAAAAACTTTGAACACCTAAAATGACTTGATGTTAAACTAAACGTCATGCAGATAGCTCAGAAAAGGTAAAATTTGGCAAAAATTCTCTCTGCAGACCTTGTTGCACCTTTAAGCATCAATTTGAACCTCCAATGGCTGAATGGGGGTAATAGTATAAATGATTGAAGTGAATCAATTCATAATATGCTGCACATGTTTAATCTTAATATCATCAAAGCTAAGTTTTGAATTTTACATACATAGATAAATTTTTGTACCTGTCAAGTCTTTTTCCATACCTTTTTGAAAGTCACATTTTTTCGCTTCATTTTCTTCAATTCAGCCTGTCTGGCTTTAGCAGCTCTGACAGCTTTCTTTCGTTCCTTTTCCATGATACGTCGTCTCTCGCGCATCTTCTGTCGTATTTCAGTGCGTCGTGCTTCATCAATACTCTCCGCCATGGAAAGAGCAGTTCGTAATCTCTGCCCTCGTTCTGAATCTGTAGACTGTGGATATCTAAAACATTGAATATTTCTATCATACATGTGCACAATTATATCTTGAGTCAAAATTACCCCATGAATGAAGTATATCAAATGTATGTCAGATGGCAAGTACAGCAAGTGATATGTAAGATATTGTAATATACCGTAACTTGTTATTCACTAAATCATAACCTGGCAGTTTAATACTATACTTGAAGAAACAAAATCACAGAGAACCTGAAAACAACACCGGGGACAAGGAAAAGGTGATTAAAGTAACACGAGTATGCATTGTAATAACCAGTAATAGACCCATTAGACCCATAGAGATTTGGAATATAAATACAATGTAGAAGTTCAATGCCCATGGATGTATTGTGATGAAAGTACATTGTATTTAAGGTGACTTATTCACATGCAGGATAATGTGCTCATGAATATGTAAATGTGTGCAGGTCATGCATATTTCAAGTAAAAAACTCATGCAGGGTAATCAGTACATGCAGGTGAACCAGTACATGCAGGGTATCCCATATAACATGCAGTAGCTAAAATAAACAATTGTACATGTATGATGTATTTGGTATATAACTGAAAAGAAAAGGGCAGTCAGTATAATAAGCCATTTTCTGACTGAAACTAATTAAATTCTAACAAAAATACAAACATGCTTTTCTCTAGAAATATTTGGACCTTTTTTCAAGGATATCATTTTTATTTACTATTGAATATTGATATCAACTCTGATATCGGTCTATTCAAGTAGATGAAAACAATATCTTTGAAACAACATAGTTGCTACAGGCTTCTTTAACCCTCTTAATTATGGTGATTATATATTGACATTGTAAACACATATACAGTGTACATGTATGTACAAAACTTGAAATAGAAAAAGTGCAAAAATTATTTTGTAATTAATGAGTTATCAAGTGGTGAAAACAAAAAAGGCAAGGAATATGTATATCTAAAGTATCCAAACTTCACTTTACATTTTGAATAATACTTGTCACCATAATTATAGGAAAATAAGCTGATTATAACTGAAGTTGAACCAACTTACACTTTGGCATCTGGATCCCTACATATAGTATCAAGAAAAAAACTATGCATCAATCAAATGTGTCTTGAAAATATAATTCAAAATCTTACTTCAAACGATTGCCACAATCACAGTTCAACACTTTTTGAATTGGTCTCCAAATGCTTTATATCAAATATATTTACCGTAGGCCTAATTCATAACTTTATAACTGACACTGAGTATGGCATATATGACTATATAGTGTACAATGAGATTGTTTTTCTTACCTAGCTACCCAGGGTCGACGTCTGACAATCACCTGTTCTTTCTCAACTACAACCTCAATCTCGTCAGCAGTGGTGGGCACATCATCATCTGTGTCTCTTATACGACTCCTGCAACATGGAAATATATGATGGGTGTTATAAGTGTTCAATGGTGACATGTAATGGTGGTTTATGAAGATATATAATGAATATCTTAAGGTGTTCAATGGTTATATGCAAACAGGCCCTTATCCAGCTTTTGCAAGGGGGGGGGCACTTTTCAGAAAATTCCAAAAATTCCCCAAATCACATGAAAAATGCTCAGAATCGTGAAAGAATTTTAGGCCAGGGGGGGTAGCATAATCCCTTGAGCTCTGGTTGATTTCAAAGGTCTGTCGATGATTCTGTTATGTTATATTTTGAACAACTCATGCCTTTTATAATATCTTTCGTTTCTTTGCTCTAAAAGCTCATATTATTGTCTCGTATTCTCTTTTTCTCATTGTAGTTCATTTTTCATAAGTTAAAGCTTCAAATCATCCATAGCCTAATATTTGAGAGATGACAGAACAAAGAATATATGAAAGTTATTTCCACTCACTCAATATATGTCTTTAGATCCTCTTTCAGATATCTGATCCAAGCTTTCTCTAGTAAAATCGTGGCATGGTTTTTGGCACCCTGGAATAATTTGGCTTCTACAAAGTCTCTGGTGTTCAGTAATACTGCATACATCTTGTCCCTCTCTGCTGGCATCAGACCTGACAAATAATAATTCACTTATCAAAATGCACAATGTGAAGACTTTGACTCTGTTGGTAACAGACGTGAGATAAACTGCATATTATTCCCACAATATTTCAAAAGATTCTGGCAATAATATACATGTACAGATTAATGTTGACATCATACATATTTTGGAATATTGATTCTAATGGCAGTTTTATCCAGAATGACTTAAAGAGATTCTCATGTTCATGAATGATCAATGGAATTTTTTCTTGTGAAGTACTGAAATACAGTAAAACTGGTCTAATCCGAACACAAGAGGGGCTGGCTAAAAGTATTTGGATTGGCAGAATTATGGGTTTTTTAACATGGAAGACTATGGCAGATTAAAAAAATGGGACTGACAGAGTGTCCAGTTAGAGAGGTGTTTAAATATACAGGTATTACTGTACCTATGTTGTAAGGACTATTGAGTGAGAGATATCTGTTAAATATAAGCCAGGCATGCCCCATCCTAAGCAGCCTATATATGTTTAAATATACAGGTATTACTGTACCTATGTTGTAAGGACTATTGAGTGAGAGATATCTGTTAAATATAAGCCAGGCATGCCCCATCCTAAGCAGCCTATATATGTTTAAATATACAGGTATTACTGTACCTATGTTGTAAGGACTATTGAGTGAGAGATATCTGTTAAATATAAGCCAGGCATGCCCCATCCTAAGCAGCCTATATATGTTTGAATATGTGGGTATTACTGTACCTATGTTGTAAGGACTATTGAGTGAGAGATATCTGTTAAATATAAGCCAGGCATGCCCCATCCTAAGCAGCCTACATATGTTTAAATATACAGGTATTACTGTACCTATGTTGTAAGGACTATTGAGTGAGAGATATCTGTTAAATATAAGCCAGGCATGCCCCATCCTAAGCAGCCTATATATGTTTGAATATGTGGGTATTACTGTACCTATGTTGTAAGGACTATTGAGTGAGAGATATCTGTTAAATATAAGCCAGGCATGCCCCATCCTAAGCAGCCTATATATGTTTGAATATGTGGGTATTACTGTACCTATGTTGTAAGGACTATTGAGTGAGAGATATCTGTTAAATATAAGCCAGGCATGTCCCATCCTAAGCAGCCTATCTGCTGATCTGTCTTCAGACTGGCCATATTCAGTGACATCCTCCCAGAATAAGAAGTTGGCAAGTAGGTAGGGGTCAGTCCTGTAATATGTAGTAAGCAAATATATAACCAGTCTACACATATGATGGTCCATATGTGGGGCCATATGAATTCATTCAAGTAACAAGGCATGCAAAATCTAATGTAAAATTAGATGCAAAATGTCACCACCTGCCATTTGTTAGACACCAAATGCCGTCATAAAAATGTTGGAGACCATAACAACATGTCACCAATTTTGGTGGTGAAATAAAAGCAAAAAGTTCTCTGTCCAGCTGAGATGAGGGGTAAATGACCATTTTTAAAAAACCTTTAAACATGTAAATATTCATTTTTGTCAGAAGTATGAAGTTTTTGTTGAATTAGTATTTACCTTTCCAGGAACTGTTTGAATGGTCCTCCAGCATCTCTGTCAGTTGAGAGTGCAGTAATCAGCCTCTCTCTCAATGTGCGGCTACTAGCCGTAGTTGGTTCAAAGCGAACTTTAGCAGATTTCACTCTATTGTCTAATGCCCTGCCACTTTTGCGTATAAACTCCCAATCACACGTTCTCGCTGCATGCAGCACTTCCTCTGCTCTGACTGGTAGAGAATTAACCAATGAGATTGAAGGAAAGAATGTAGTATTTGAAACAACTGTTTGTGATCGTGACACTAATGACTTTTGGGGTAAATCCGGTACCTCTGACGTTATACTTTCATAGTCTGATCGTGGAGTTAAGAATATCTCCTTATTAGTTCGTTCTTGATGAAGAATAAATCTTTGCAACCAATAAGTCCGTAAACGTCTTAAAACATCATATTGCGCACGTATGAATATTGTATGACTTAAATTGCTACTGCCTGATGCCTTCGCTAGCTGGGCCCTGGCTTCTTTTGTCAGATTCATCCGATATCTGTCCCTTATGTCACTGGAAAATAATTTCATGTTAAGTTCAAGTTCAGATATTCGTAAAAATTTAGAATCGTAATAAGACCATAATTCACACAAGGATTACAATAACTTGATATTTAAGAAAGCCTTCATTGATAGATAGATATTTTTGGTGACTTTCATAGTAGGGAAATGAATCTTTGGCATATCTAATTAACATAGATAATAGAGAGATAAGCAGTGGAATCGGCAAGGAATAAACAAAACAATTTACAAAATGTTCAGAAATCACAATTCATTTACATTTTCTGAAAAGAGAGAAATTCTGGGCATGGTCATGATTCACCAACTGGGAGAGCCACCTATTGAGTAAGTTACTTACCGGAATAGTTTATTCCTAGATATGAGGCCTGAAGTTTCGTCCCAGGTCTCTGTAGTATCCTTGTAGTACTCACAATCTTTCCAGAAACTAAAGGCAAACTTCCCCGATGTGTCGTCAAGGAACCTCTTAAAAGCTGCCATCTTTTCAACCTAAAATAGTATTGCAAATATTGAGCCCTTTCATTTTTGGTTTTGGCAAGGACATTTCAAGGTCTTGAAAATTTCAACTTGGAGTAATGTGATAATACTTGTGAAAATAGCTTAATTTTGAAGAATATATTTTAAAACATGAGTTTTTTATCCTATTACACAAATACCTTGATGCATGTTTTATATTCAGAATATTTGCGTTCGATATTTATGCAGAAGACAAATTAACATGGAATCTCCAAACATGAGTTTGAAAATATTTTAAGGTTTAAAAAAAATCAAAATATAAAATTTGATCATAAAAGAACTGTATTTCTACTTACTGAACCAAGCATCTTTTCCTTCATTTCTTGTAAACTCATATTCAGTTTAATTTCTAGTGTCTTAACCTCAATCTCAGTTGTCTGTTCATCTTGGAACTCCTCCTGGAATGTTACCAGCATATCCCCTGCCTCAGGCTCATCTTCACCATACATGGCATCATAGTCTGAGTAATTCTTCATTCCAAGGAAGTCCAAGTAGTTCTGAGGTGCTGAGTTTGCACTGGAATGAAGAATCATGCATATTATGAATTAAAGAAGACTAAAGAAGGATTGTTAATCATACAAAGATGCCAAAAGGAAATTTGAGAGTCATTGGAATGAATCCATCAATAAAAGAGGGAACATCAGAAATGGATTTGGCTTATTAGCTATCGCAAATATTTTTGAGATAAAATTTCAATATTTGTATTGTACTTCTTTTAGATTTTTTCCTTTCATTAAACAAAATCCCTATATTTACCGTTTCCCATTCTCCGCCTTACTCTGCTTGACATCTCCACCATTCTGAGTCTTACTCTGGCGTCTTTTTGCACTTTTGACCACTTTTGATGACCTTTCACTTTTGGCAGAAACCTGCCTAGACACACTTGGTCCTGCAAATTGATAAATATCATGAATAAAAGAGTTCATAATCAACATAAATAGATAGATAGTATAAATGAAATGATGCATAATCAACATAAGAAATACATCTATCAGTTTTTAACATTTTGACAAAATTAATTTATGATCGTGTCTGAACAGCAATGCTAATCTACTTTTGAAAACTAATGAAATAAGTGCCTTATGAATGCTAACACTGGAGGAGTACCTATTTCATCCTCATTAATTGAGTCTAGGACTGTGTCATTGCGGGTGGTGAAGGTGATCTCTCTTGGGCCCATATCTTCACGTGTGCTTGGCATCAGAGATGTCCCCATACCAGAGTCAAAGGTTTGAGGGGGAACAGTCTGATTTTTGCTGAAATGAATGTTACATTAAAACCTTTGCATGCAAATACCCCCAAAAAGTGAACACCTCAAAATGTGAACTCTTTTTCTGAACTCTTGTGCTATCAAAATGTCTATAAATATATGCAAATCTGATGAATATTTATATCTCACTTAATAAAGCTCACATGTTAGATCCATTTGTATTCTTACTAAATATTCTATTTAACACTAAAAATTATTTATTAATACAAATTGTGCATTATTGGACATGCTATTGTTCATGAATTGATTATTCTGAACAATGTCATATTTACAGCCTAACAAATAATCAATGGCATATACAATAGCTCTATGCTCAATTACTATGAAGGAAAGTTATATGAATTGTTACCTGGAAGTACGGCCAGTCTGTTTGCTACCTGCGCTACGACTGGTATTTTTGCTCACTGTACGCTTACTGTCTGCCCCATGTAGGGATCTGCTGCTTGATGGGTCTTGGGAATCCACATGACCTGGAACACATAAACATAGCAACATCACTCACTCATACAGTGGATTTAGTGTTAATTTAAGGAATTTCAAAGATAGAGAGCACTTTTTAAAAAAATGGTCTCAATATTTATTTTCTCACGATGCACATCATCTTTCTTGACATGTCCATTTTCTAAAAAGGCCATGAGTACATGGAAATTATTAAAATCAAAGACATCATTCTGAGTTCTGATCATTAAAGTAGATTGAAATGAAATGCTCATAACTAGTTTTACTAACTGGGTGGCTGTGTTTTTTCCAAAACCCCTTGATATTATACTACATATCAACCATGGGTAAATCTATGTATAAAGTATACTATTATCTATTTTTAGGAATAAAGATCGGATTTTTATGATTTTTGGTATCATATGCAACTGATGTTTTGTTTCTGTTGATTGTTAAAAAGTTAATTTGTCTTTGTTGGCAATTGGCAGACTAAAACCTGATGTCATACATTAGCCACAATGATCATAGAAATGAGGTCTTTGATATCACTCTAATAGGATAAAAGCGTTCCACTGTAACATCTATTTCATTAACAAGCCTATAATATTTCTATACATACACATTAGAACAGTTAATCAATTGTTCTGCCGTAGTTATTGTGACATCACACGTCACGTTTCAATCAATAGTATCGATCTGACACAGGGGTTAAAGGAGCTGTGAGATTTAGTACATAAAGTGCATGTCTAAGTACATAACATGCGTTTCTTAGTACATATAAAGCATTTTTAGTACATGAAGTGCATTTTACAGTACATAGAGTACATTTTTAGTACTTAAAGTGCATTTTACAGTACATTTTTAGTACATAAAGTGCATTTTCAGTACATAAAGTGACTTCTGTTGAGAGTTTTATTAAAATAGAGCCATTCTTACTGGTAAGTAAATATTCTCTATAGGACTATTTAAAGCTGAGCTCAAAAGAGCTAAATATAACAAAGGCAAACAACCACTTATATTCAAAGATTTCAATAGATTATTGTAAAACTGAAATGCAAATAAACATAACTTTTTCAAGATCTGAAGTTATATTTTTAATGGTTTTTATTTATTAAATGTTTATTTTTTGTTATAACAACTGACAAATAAGATGTCAACTTAGTTCTGAATATTAGCTTAGAGTGTTTCATAGCTTAAAAGATGAAGTCTATATTTTAAGTCATATATTTGTGTGTTTGTAAATTTTAATGAAAACAGTATAAAAACTCCTCAAAATTTTATGAAAGCAGCATAAAAAATCATCAAACTTTTAATGAAAGCAGTATAAAAAATCCTCAAAAGCAAAAGGTGAAAGGTTGGGTTCTCATTTTTAAAATATATCTCTTTTTGAAAGATTAAGAGTTTTTGAAAAACAGCCAAAATTTGCAAAATGTGAGTCAAATTAAAAAATTAGGAAGACTAGTCCCCTCCCCTCACAATTTCCAGATCTGTCCCTGGTACAGTAGCATATAAGTTCTTAATATTCAAAGTTCACAAATATTTAAGGTTTCCCCATGATACCACAAGCAAGCTTAACATACTGAACAAATTCCTGATACACCAAAGAAATATTTGCTTAACATTTTACTTTGGGCATATTTACTGAAAGGCTTTAAAATGAAGCAACCTTTTGAGAAGTGAAAGTCTATATTCTCAGTATACTGTTATATTATTAGTATTGACTGTTCATGACCAAAAGATTTATATACTGTTCCATGGTTATCCAATTTTACATATGTGGCTATTAGAGCACTTAGACAGATTTATATCAAGGTCAAATATGCTAGTTAATCTTGACATGATCGGCTATTATCAGCAGTATCTTTTCGTTCTGTCCTAAAGAGGAATCATACCTAAAAATCTATTGGTACAGATTAAAAAATCTATTGAATAACTTTTTGTATTTATACTTACAAGGAACTGCAATGTTATTTCATTAAATAATTTAAGTTTCAACTTTGAATGAAAAATAGACCAACATGACAGATTTTATTTTCGTTGTTTCAATCAGTTAACAATTATAAACCAAAAATCTTAGAAGTAAGAAAAGCCACTATGAAATCATTTACAAAAAAAGATGTATTAAGCTGTACCATTCTTACAATATTTGGACATTTAAGAGCTTTCCTTTGGTTTATATATATCACAGGCTAAACAGCCTTAATACTAATTTCAGGTTTTACCATGAAAATACCATGCTTTACTCACCCAGGCCAAGTTTCGGGGGTAAACTAAGAGCTCTGCTACCAGGTCTCTCATAGGGGTACAAAGCAGACCTCCTAATGCCACCACATATGACATACTCCCCCTCATAGTCAGTGGAGTCTTCATTGGCACTGTTATCTGCACTGTTGCTAAGGCTGGACACGTAGCTCTCACTCTGACGACTGTAGCCACGCACTTGTTGTTGAGAGCTCTTGCCACTCATACGTCCATCTTCTAGTTGTCGTAGTAACAGCTTACACAGCTTGAACTCCCTAAACAGCTCGGTACTAAAATAAAAATATATAATTGACTAATTTCTAAATTCAAGTTGTTTGTATGGCAATTTTTAAAAAACTCTGTTATATGAAACAAATTAGCAAACCATGGTTAAAATATTTTAGCGTTGATTAATGTAAAATTTTGCCGTACTTCAAGAAGAAAGGCAGTCGCTCAGCTTTAGCCCAGGCCAGCATGTGTTCCCGCTCCTTATCAGTCGCTCCATATGGAGGGGTCTCAGGTAGAACCACTGAACCATGAATACTGTGACTCACCACCCCTTCACGCTCTTGGAACGTCCCAGTGAGTCTGTTGTAATACAAGGGCTGAGGGAATGCCTGCAACAGAAAATGTAAGTGAATTTAGTCTCAAAACATTGCCAAAAATGTCACACATTCATGATAATTATACGAGTATGTGGTTTCAAAATAAATAAAGCATTAAAATTGCAGATTGACCCCTGGCGCCTGTTCCCTTAAGTGTTGAAACTAAAAGTTGATTCTCTTTAAAATCTTCCAAAATACAATAGGACTTTTGCCCCATCTCCCATAAGTTAGAACTACAGTTAGAACTGTAATTATGTTTGGAGTTCCAATAAATAGTTTAAAGCTAGATGGAGGTCGGAAATGAATAAAATGATAAACAACATATGCATGACACAGAAGACAAGGCATTAATATGCAAAATGTCCCCATCTGCCAATTGTTACAGACACAGACTACAAAACACCGACAGCAGAATGCCGAACACCAACTGCCAAACAGCATCCTCTTGTGGCTGTGACATAAAAACTATACATAATTCTAATCATTTCCACTCTGATTGTATAGTTCATGTTTTTGGTGTGGCAAAGATTGGATTATTTGTGACCTGATTTGAACTCTTCAAGAGACATCTGACAAAACAAAGCATGGTGAACAAGTTATATCATCATCTCATACTAAATCCATTTATGAATCACAAAGTTGTTTACTCCAGCTCGTACACAAACAGATTTTACATTTCAACTCTAAAGTGTCTTTCCTGGCATTCCCAGCCCATCAAGTTTAGGTCTTCATAAATCTGGTGCTATTTTTTCAGTTTTATTGTAACTAAGAGTCAGCCATCAAAATATTTGATCGTCACTGGTGATCTGCTCGATTACGCTGGTTACCGAAATGGTTCGCTACCGTTTCGGTAACAAAATGTCGGGTCGTCAAAGGTACGATTTTCTTTTTTCCTTTCGCGCGTTGTAGGCAGAATCCCCACAACATTTTTTCTCACAAACATGTGTCAGTAGCATATCTTTTAGAAAATGCACATGTTTGTGAAAAAAAGCTCAGAAGACAACAGAATCGTTGATTTAATTCCTCACTTAATTTACATAAATGGTATGGATTAAAAATGCAGAAACTGTTTTTCGAAATACCGTTTCTGTAACTGAAGTGAGGAATTAAATCAACGATTCTGTTGTCTTCTGATCTATTTGTTTGCAAATATGTACATTTTCTTAAACATATGCTACTGATACACGTTTGTGATAAAAATGTTGTGGGAATTCTGCCTACAACGTGTGAAATAAGGTAAAAAGAAAAATTGTACCTTCGATGTTCCGACATTTTGTTACCAAAACGAACCGTTTTGGTAGCCAGCGTAATCGAGTGGATCACCAGTGATTGTGTAAGTTTTGGGAGAGGGATGGGGATGTAAGGGCATTTTTGTGTTATGACAGCAATGTTAATATCTACTGTTGATGAACAAATCAAACATTACTTTCATTTATTCTCAGGGAAAGGTTCAAGTCAATATGAAATTAATTAATTGTTTTGATGAATGTTGAGTTATTGACCTGATCCCCACCCCAGTGCTAAAAACTGCATGAATAAAATTAAACATGATTTTTCTATACTTACAGGTAAGGAGAGGAAAGCATTAAAGTAGTCCAGGAAGAGGTCATCATAGGCAAGCAGATCCTCCAAATTCTCCTCAGATATATGCTCCAAAGCTGCAAATAATAAATTATAATATTCATTATATTATGGTTGTACCTGAGTTCACGCCTTTATTATATAATTCACGGTTCTCCCCAGGATTGTTTGTCAAGTAAGTGGGTTCAAAATTCTTGATTTCACAATTTAGACCAAAATTTATCAAAATATGCCAATTTTTTATGATTTTTCTCATTTTCACGTGGGTGCGAATGGATTCTCAGGTGGGTGCAAGTCTATTATCAAAATCTAAGGTGGGTGCTGCACCCACTTGCTTTAATGCTGGGGAGACCACTCTAAATATTATATAAGTATAGCTTTTTATGAGGCATGCAAGGCAATTGCCTCACTAAAATCTTATAGATACATATTCTACATATTCTTTAGGCTAAAATTGAAAATTATGTCCCATAGAAGTATAACATTCTCTTTGACTTGAGATTTGTTCACCTATCAATTTTTGCCTGTTCCTAGTATTTTGAATCCGATTAGATCCCTGGTATATGTTAACCAATAATAAAATCAACAGAATCATGCAGTCAGTAGTATAAGCTAACAAGGCATTAACCTGCAATATGTCACCACCTGCCATTTGTTACAGATGCCAACAGCTGAATGTTGTCCACAAAAAAAGTTGGAGACTCCAACAATATATCACCACTTCTTGTGGTGACATAAAAATGTTAAATTTTGAATATTAAATCTCTCATCTGAACACCTATTTGAACCCATAAATTGATTGTTGTTTTTCATTTTCATAGTGTTCCTACTCCAAAAATACAAATAATACATTCAGGAATAAAAGTTTGTCTGAAAAACTAAATCAATTGTAGACACTGATAGGAGGATGTCATTAAAATAATCTAGTTACCTATTGGAAATCAACATCAAGGTTGGTGTGTCCTATTAGTAGTATACCTCCGAGTAATGGACCAAATGATCAATAGACCACCGTGTTCCCAGTGAAGTAAAACGATCTGAACATACCCAGAGTCTATAATGCTTTATTCCACTTTTACATTAATAGCTAATAAAACTATTCAAGCCTTATGATGAATGAGTTATTTGCATAGATTTCTTTAACAATAATACCCCAGGTAGGCAAGTATCACTAGTTATTGGCTATATGGCTTAATCCAGTAGGAAATTGCATTGATTATCTGACAATACCTCCTTCATAGAAACACTTCACTGTGACATTAGATAAGGAATTCCTTATTTTCACATCACATATACACGAAGAATGCGATGGGAAGATTAAAACTCGAGTGGAAGAATTTTTTGGGTTGAGCAATTCAAAGTTTAAAACGATGCATGAATTGACATGCAAAATGTCACTACCTCTCATTTGTTACATATGTCGACTGCTGAATACTAAAGACAAACCACTGAACACCGCACATAAAAATGGATACTATCACAATATGTGGTGGTGACATAATAAAAGAAAATATAAAATACCTATCAATATATTAGTAAAGAATCATTGAAAATGATCATGGTTATTAGCAGGCTGGTTGATTAATTATTATTGAGATTTTCCAGTGAGATATTATCCATGTTCATCTAACAATAACAAGCCTATACAAAGTGATTATTGATTGTAGTCTTTCCATGTTACTTTGTGTAACTTCTTACATAACGTTCTAGTTAATACCAAGTCTCGAGGAATGAAGCATGGTTAATGTACAATGTACATGTAAAAGTTTCTATTGCAATTAAATTTAAAGTTTTGGAGAATCAGATTTCTTGTCAGGCCGATTCTCTAAATAACAGAGACATCAAATGTTCATGATATTCCAGCAAATACATAGATTCTAGCTATTTATTCTCTAAATAATGAATACAGTTATCCATAGCCTCATTTATTATCAAATAATTAATATTTGGAAATAATTTTGCAATCAGATGTTATGCACAAATGTGTAAATTCTTTAATACTGTAACTTCATTATTTGATACCATGGATCTTTTTTAGATATTATACTTGTACTTTGAATAGTAATACTGGTAGAATTTCTTTTAATATCACATGCTCTTGTATCAGCCTCCGTATCTTTGTTTCTCACTTTAACTTCAAGTAACATAACATAAACTGTCAGAATAGGCACACTACTAACAAAAAATATGACACAAATCCCAAACTGCTTTAAAAATGTAATTTCTGAGAATTCCAATAAAATGTACGTTTTATGTAATTTTGTTGTTGCCATCGATCAAACAAAAATGGTTGGATAAATAATTAATAACTGTTTTAATGTTTCTGACTTTGATGTCCTGTTTACCAGGTTGATTTGGTTTATTGATCTAATTAAGTATTTATGAGAAACTGACAGATAACAAATGATACGTACAAAAGGAGGAGATGAGCAATCTTCGCAATATTCGCAAAGTTCGTTAGATTTATCAAACAATTTACGTGCATTTTCTCCAATGATTTAGATTTGGTATCAAGTCAAGGTAGAAATTTTCCGAGATGGAGTTATATATCCTGCACATAACTATTTGGTTGCTCATCATGTAGACCAATACTCAATACCAGAACATGTACATGTATGTTTTACAAGTGCTCAAACCCCGGGACTCAAACTCTGATGTTTCCAGTTGTTCTAATGCTGCTCGTCTACTTGGAAACTCATTCACTTAGCATTAATCAATCATATTGAAAGCATTTTACAATTTCTTGTGACTTTTGGAAGTTTTCTAAACTTTTTTGAAGTCTGAAAAAATTCTCACCTTTCATTTTTGAAGTCCACAATTCAGGAGTTGTTTACTCATGTAAAATACTCATTTTGCATTGTTTCTCATTTTAGTAGTTTGTAAAACACTATTATTGTTATAATTATTGAAATATATCCATAATTCAATCCGATATTTGTTTATAATATGACTTTTAAGTAATTTATGTACATGTTGCTATGAGTTGTTAGGCCGCCATACTTTATGCACAAAGTCATAAGGAGTGAATGCTGTTCCATTCACTCCCCTGTAATATCAATTAGCGGTTTTTATCAATTAAAACATTTAAAAACAAAAAAGTCTATGTTTTAAAGCTGAAATCTATTTACATAACGATAACTTAATATGATTTACCTATCCGAATGAAATTACCTTTCTTAAAATTACGTTTAAACTAAAGTTTATTTGATTAAAGGGAGGATAAAGTAACAGCCATAGCAGACGAATTATTTCAATTGATTGATTTTGCAAGTGAATACATCATTCACAAGTTTGCATGATGGCATTCTGTCAATTTATAAAACAATATTAGATAACACATCTTAAATAACATGAAGATAAGCTCTTACAAATGAAGCAATTGATATACTTCAACCAAGTTATTAGTCCACTTATACATCCTATTGAAGTTATTGAATAAGTTATGGACAATGCACATGTATTAGTAAATATGTAACTAAGTAATCAGTTAGTTTGAAATTACTAAGTAACATTTATACAGTTGGGGACAAAAATAAATGACAGGTCGATTTTCGATCACCATTTCCTAATTATGGTGGTCTGAAAGCCCATAATTTCCAATATTGTCTAGATACACATCCCTTAAAATTTGTATATTTTACATTTTGTATAATCTCATCCACTGATGTATGGCCTCTTGTAAATTCTCTTATTTTTATCATGGGAAATCCTCACTTCAGCAAATCCACCTGTCATTTATTTATGTCCCCAACTGTACTTTAAATCTCTCTTATAACTTATACACAATTTGCTTATTGTAATTGGTGAAGTAATTCAAATAAAAATGTAAAATATTCACTTTAACCATGGCCTTTCATGCTTTTACTACTTTTAGAGATATTCATTATAAAATATTTACTTTTTTATTTGGTTTTCACTTCCTTATATACTGACAAATCCTAAAAAACAATCTGTAAATGTCAAAGTACATATCCAAAACTGGAAGTATTTTCAAGTACTGTAAATTATAATGGATAAATTACATCAATTTGATATCTGAATCTTTTTACAATCAAGCATTGGACATGTTGGATTAGCATTCATAAGAACTCAAAATCATTAATATGTCTACTTACAAACAAATAACCAACAAATAATCGACAAGATGAAGTCTAGGCTAATTAAAATCACCTTTTTAAATCTGTTTTAATTCAAGACTAAGCAATTTAAATTGTCATGGTTCAAGTATAGTGCTGATATTCCATTAGAAAAGGCATTTCTGTATCAGGGGTTATTAACAGAAATATTAAAAGAAAATTCCCAAGCCTATTGTTTTCTTACAAAAAAGGTTAAGTTTCACATTTTTTTAGAAACTTGTATGTGAATGTGTAGAATTATGGTCCTGTGTGGATTAGTTCTCCCATTTGTAGTGTTTACTTGGCTGATTGAGTATAAAGGTATATGGAAAATAAATAGAGGTTATTGAATGGCAGGGATGGAATATGAATTTTATTTCAAGGGAAAATATAATATTGGCCAAGGAAAATATGATATTGACCGAGGGCGATAGCCCGAGTGTCAATATGATATTTTCTGAGGCCAATATCATATTTTCTCATAGGAAAAAATTCATATTCCATCACGACCATCAATAACCTATTTATTTCCCCTGGCCAAAAAATCTTTCAAAATCATGCAGTTTTTCACCATTCTGAGCACTTTTTAAGTGATTTTGGCCATTTTTGGACCAAAATTGTCACAAATGAACCCCCCTGGAATTTTTCAAAAAGTGAACCCCCTTGGCAAATCCTGGCTACAGGCCTGAAGTTCATACCTTGACAATAGAGGAAGTCATCCAAGGCTTCAGAATCCATATCTTCCATATCTTGGGCCACTGTAGAGCTGCTGGGTCTGTTATATGTAGATAGGCGCTGCCTTGTTTGGATTGCAATGTCCTGTATTCTAGATCTGCTTCTCTCGCAATTATCTGGGCCAGTAAACAGTGACATCATAGAACATGGTATTCCTGATAATCCACTCATCGCAGAATTGCTCCGCATTGCTGACCTTGTCATTTCTGAGATTCAGCAATCAAAATTTGTGACACACTTTAAAATTTCTGTGTTGAACTTAAGGTATATCCATAAGTATGTACATGTACATCTATTTGTAACCATTTGTCACTTAATTCTGAAAGTTACACGAAGAAAAACTTGTTTGAATTGATGATAATCCATCTATTTGTGAATACCAGCCGTGTGACCATTTCTGAAATGAATAATTTCAGTTAGAACACATGTCATTTAATAAACATTTAAAGGAGTCTTAGTTTCCAAACATTATTCCCATGAATGACAATTCATTGTTCTAAGCTCTATAACCAGACCATGCACTAAGGTATACAGTATTGTTTGAATGAAGTGACAGAGTTGAGCAAAGTACAATGAGATACTGTCTGGATGTAATCTTCAAATATTATTGACTTTTCACTTTGATTTGTTTGTAAATAACCAACAGGTTGCTAAGAAAGATAACTCATTACTATTATAAACAATAAAACATGAACTCACCTTTTAAGGGAAAAAAACAACAATTGTAACTTCTGTATGTTTGTTAATTTATCATAATTCCTGTACCCTACATGAACATATATCCAGAGCCATCATTGCATTTCCCATTATTATGGTTTATTATGGGTTCTGATCATATGGGACACATATTTCTATGTACTCTGAGGATTAGACCAATTATTGAAGTCTTAGATCTTGAAATATAAATATCATAGATTGTACAAACAGTAGTAAAGTGTTTATTCACAGCCAATGAAATTGTGATATAACTTCTCCATTGAAACATTTAACAACAATCTAAATATTTTGCTTAAATTTATAACTGCTATACTGTATTTAGATATATGAACACTGTTGATTGACATGATTTTCTTGCTCTAGAAACATTGCTATGGATTTAAAATATAGCTATTAATACACATTGTAAATTATAACTCATTTTCCTCAGACAAAAAATTGTGAGATTTTTGGTTGAAGTTTGACCTATTCTTGAGCAAAATTTCAACAATCAGATTATTTTACTAAAGAGGTTCCTTCATGATACAAATCTTTTATTGAAATTCCTTTGAAAAAGGAAATATTATTTTATGAAATATTTTAATTCAACTTTTAAAATGACTTTCAATGTAAGGCTATGTACCTTAATTAAAATGAAAAAAAACAACAACATAAAATCAGACCTCGCTTTCATTTAAATGATGAGAACAGATCAGCAATTATCTGAAAATGCATACTCCTTATAAAAGTGAACTATAATCTTTGCAAATCTTGAAACAACACATTGATTTTGAAATGGCAAGTGATTGTATAGAGGCCATGAGATGTCATTAGACAAAAAGTCAGAATAATTCTGTTTGAGTTGTAATCCTGTAGAATAATCCTATATATAGATTTATTCTATATCACTCATACTTTTATATGTAGAATAATCCTGTTGGGAGAATAATCCATACCAGATAATATGTTCTGATGAACTGGTCTGATTTATATCATAATCATTTTTTGTCAACCGGACAGAATGAGTTATCTACAAAAATAAGCGCTCTGGAGAATTGTATAAATTATGTAATACAAAGTTGAGTTCTGTTATGGGCATTAATTCCAAAGTGTCCTGTCACTCCTATGGTGTATTAGTGAGCACAAAGTCTTGGCTGTTTTCCAGAGCATCCTCCATGAATTGCTCAGCCTCCTCATGGGTGCTGTGTTTTACATCCATATATATCTTAACAAGTGTCTCAGGAAGAAGCACCTTTAGGATGTAGTCCAGGAAATGGAAGTTCTTCTTGCAGAACATTGTCATCAGCTGTTCCATTACAACATCATGTTGCTCCTCATGGAATATACCAAGCCTCACTTGGTATGTTAGGTCAACTGCAAACACATTGAAACATAGTGTTAAAAATTCACAAATCAAAAGTTGGGCGCTGATTACAGAGAATACGGTAAGTCTGAATTGAAGAAAATCTGACAAAGAGGTTTTCATTGGAGTCACAATGATGAACAAAACAACGACGATAGAGCACTTTTGCGATGAAAAGTAGGATGTAATGGTAGGCTCTCCATTGTGATTGATGACATTACCCTTATAATGGGGTGTTGATACAGATGGTGTAACCAAAAGTTTTTACTAAAGAGAACTCAAAGGAGCACGGAAAGTATCACTGACAATAGATATCAGACAGTCATATGTTGGATTTTGTCTGTTTTCGGAGGATATAAACAGGTACATATGTTAGGCCAATGCATAACCTACAAGAAAAAGTACTCATAGAGTTGATTAAATAATTTGGACTTTTAAGACAGGGAAGGTGCAAACAACCCACCCACGTGTTTTTTCGGAAATGTTGTCCTAATTTTCAACCCCTTCCACCCCTGCTTTTTCAATTTTTGTTGCATCAATATGTTGCGTTTTGAGACACATTTAACCCATTAAAAGGAATAATGCATTCCTTTGAGATAAAAGCTTAATATTTGCATACTACTTTCGTCTTATATTAAGCAAGTGCAACAAATATAAACGAGACTTTAACGAGATTTCAAAGCTATATGGAAAAAGGACCATTAGAAAGCCCATGGTATAAATTAGGATAACAATAGGCATTGAACCTCTTTTTGTATATGTATGGTTTTGATAAAACGCTTGCTTACTTCTGGCCTTGCCACCTTTCTTATAGTCCTCGTGTCTTCTATTATAAGCTTTCCCCTGGTAGATGTTCCTCAGGTACTTCTTGTTTTCTTTCACAAGGTGAACAAGTTGTTCCTGAGTCAACTCACACACCTTGCTAGAAGTAGAAAGAATAATCTAGACTAATCCTCTTGTAATAATGGTAGATTGTAGGGAAGTCACAGGACAAAAATATTTCGGGACAGGACAGGAATTATCCATTTCGGGACAGGGTGGGACATGACAATAAAATAGTAAATCAGTTTAAAATATAGTTCAACAACTTACATTTTCTATCTACTTCCGGTTATGCTTATGGAGCACGGATCTTTTGAACGTCATAAGAGGGCTACGCATGTTGCGTAAAAACTTGTAATCTGAGACTAATTTTAAGTTGTTACTTTTCTCGCCGATGAAGATGTTTGTTATTGTTTAAATTAAAGCATTTCAAAAGGAAACACTGTTATCGATAAAACTGCATGCTCTGTCCTGAATTTTCGTTTATTATAATCACTTATAGTAATTTCCACTAGATGGCATTTACACACCACTACTTGTGGTGGCATAATAAGATCAAATTCTAGACTTACTTCACTTTACTTAATGCATCAGGCCCTTCTTCTCCTATCTCGTCATCATCATCAATCACAATAGCATCATCAGCCTCATCTGTTGTAGTAAGCAGATCATCAACATTCATGTAACTAATGTCATCAACATCTCCGGTACCAATATCATAATCCATATCTATTTCATCAAGAAAGTCATTTTCCCCATTGTCATATTCAACTTCTTCATGAACATTGTCGTTCATCATTCGTCCATTGTCCCCAGGCTCCTCAGAGTTCACTTTCATAGGACTATGATCAGAGTGTGCTAAATTATCCCTGGATGTTTCAGTCCTTTCAATTTTAATACTGGTTGTGCAGTGTAAAGATCTTTCGAGAAGATTTGCAACACTAAATCTCCGTTTCTGATGAGATTTCTTGTGATTGAAGGATATATCAGGTAAGTTTTCTGGGTTGATCTTGCGTTGAAAGTCTCGAGGTTTTTTACAAGGAATATTTGGTACTACAAATGAGTCTGAACTTGAATCAAAATCAAAGACATCAATGCTTGTAGATGAAGTATGTCGAGCTAGATCACGTAACTTCTGAATTGCACTGTTCTTTGGTGTTGATTGCATAATGCCCATCATGTTTGACTCCTTAGATAGCCATTCACCATTTGGTGAAACTTTGTGACTAGTTGGGGTCATATCTGGCACATCGGGCAATGTGTCACTACTGACATTTGACTGTTTTAATGCTTTAGTTCTATAGCTTTGAGATGACTTCTTTTTACTGGTCTCAACTGGTAAAATAGTATTTGACATTCTTGTTTGCTTCTTTAATTTACTGACATTAGTTGACTGTTTCGGCTTAGTTGGTAGGATATCGGGAAGTTCGATTGCACTATCGTCTTGTACATTATCCCTTGATTCTGCTGAATATGTTGCTTTTGGAATATTTTCACTGAAATCTAATTGACTTGGGACCATTTTTCTTTTCCGATTCACTTTCCTTTTTACGATGTCTTCTATTACATCATCTTCCAAGTCAGTGTTACTGCTATTACTTTTCCTTTTATCAAACACTGGTGACATCCTAATGTCCTCATTATCCTCATCTACTCCTATTTGTTCATCAGAACTATCCCATTCAATTGGAGAACTGTCATGTTCAAACTCAGTGTTTTCAACTGGTTGAAATGTTTCAGCAGCGGTCTGAAACTGACTATCAGAAGCGTGAGAATATGGATTGGAGTCTGTATATTTGAATGATCCAAAATCTGATTCTCTGCTGGATTTGGACGATTTGACGACTTTGGCACTACGACAATTGGGTGGTTGATCCTCCTTGGCACTACCACAATTGGGTGGTTGATCCTCCTTGGAACTACCACAATTGGGTGGTTGATCCTCCTTGGCACTACAATATTTTGGGGAGTTGGAATCATGATGGTTAACATTGATAGGTTTTGGTGATTGGGAGTCGCGAACACTTATATATTCAGAAGATTTTGATTCCTTAGTACTACCATATTTGGAAGACTGTGAGTCTCTATCACTACCATATTTTGACGACTGTGATTCTCTAGCACTACCATATTTGGAAGATGGTGGGCTACTTTCATATTTAGATGATGAAGCCTGCGGGAGCAAATCTTCAGGTTCAATGACAGAGGAATCCATTTCAATACTTTTTTCAATTATATGACAGTTATCATTGTTAAGCTCTTCCTTCTCCAACTCATTTAGCTTAACTTTCAACTCATCAAAGAGAGCAAAACGTTTATCTATTTTTGGTTGTATCTGCATTTTAGGTTTTGACAACTGGGGTTCACTTGTCAGATCATTCAGTGTTTCTTTGGTGTTTATTACCTCACAAGCTGCTGATTCCAAAGTATCATCAAACAACCCTTCCAATGCTTTAGTTCTTTCCCGATATTTGTTTGTCTTTGTCTCTTTCTTTTCTAACTTCTTTCTTGCTAATTTAGTTTTCTTGCAAATAGGTTTTGATAGAACATCTTTTTGATTCAACTTCTTCGAGGAAGATTTACTTGATGGAGCAAGCCAATCAGAGTCAACGTCATCATCTTCCACTTGACTAGAGTTCAATTTTTCAATTGATGAGTTGTGTGATTTTTTTCTCGATGATCTCCTTTGTGATGTCATAATGAAATCAACATCAGAATCATCACTGTTTTCCTCAGTTTTCTCCTTAGTTTTAGATTTCCACTTCAGTGTCTGAAATCTAGCCGATTCACTATCACTATTAGATGTGTCATTTGGACCACTGGAACTTTCCAGATGTTTAGGTACCTTGAGTTGAGTAACTCTAGAGGAAGCAACAATTTTCGAACTGTCAACTGTTAAACATTGTTTATCAGTTTCTGTCTTTGAACGTTTCTTGGTTAATTTACTCACATTATTTGTAAAATATTCTGACTCAGTTATAAATGCATTTTTTGATTGTTTTCTGTCTTTTCTGTCATTGGAACCAATTACATGTAATTTGGTATCAAAGTCACTTTTATTATCATCATTGTCCCTTCCATTGTTTTTCTCATTGTCAGTTTCATCATTGATGTCATCATTTAATATTGTTTGATATTCATGATTATGTTTAACTGATGGTTGTTTGCTTTTTGATGCTTTCCCAACATGACCAAATGGTGCACAATCATTGTTGAAATCATCATCATCAGACAGTCCATTTTCCAGATTCTTCCATCTCATATTGTGCTTAGATTCATTGTCCCTAATGTTACCAAGCGGAAGATGTTCCCAGCTATCTATGATTTGCTTCGCACTTTTCTTATTATACTTTTTAGACATACGTTTCTCCATAATTGCCTCAGTCACCTCAGAAGTTTTATCATTTAGTATATGAGTGGCTTGATTGTGTGCATAAGCAATGTCAATACCATTTACTGTTGTCTCCTCTTCAACTGCAGTTATTTTATCTTCATTCAACTGCTGTGTCTCTTGATAGCCACTTATTTCTTCACTGAGAACAACTTTGTTGTGCTCTACATGTCCAACATTATGTGCATCACAACAGTTGTCAGACTCATCGTTCTTGTCAATGTGTTCAGTTACAACATTATTGGTGTCCTTAGATTCTTCCTTCTTGTCACCATTGATGTGTTCAGTTACAATATTATTGGTGTCTTTAGATCCCTCTTTTTCACCATCAATGTGTTCAGTTACAATATTATTGGTGTCTTTAGATCCCTCTTTTTCGCCATCAATGTGTTCAGTTACAATATTATTGGTGTCTTTAGATCCCTCTTTTTCGCCATCAATGTGTTCAGTTACAATATTATTGGTGTCTTTAGATCCCTCTTTTTCGCCATCAATGTGTTCAGTTACAATATTATTGGTGTCTTTAGATCCCTCTTTTTCACCATCAATGTGTTCAGTTACAATATTATTGGTGTCTTTAGATCCCTCTTTTTTGCCATCAATGTGTTCAGTTACAATATTATTTGTGTCTTTAGATCCTTCTTTTTTGCCATCAATGTGTTCTGTTTCAACATTATTGGTGTCCTTAGGTTTTTCATTCTTGTCATTAATGTGCTCAGTTACTATATTTTTGGTGTCTTTAAATCCTTTGTTTTTGTCATCAATGTGTTCAGTTACAATGTTATTGGTGTCCTTATATCCTTTGTTCTTGCATATTATTTGTTCAGCTGTACCTTTTACATTATCGATGTCCTCATTTTGTTTCTTGTTGACCTTTATTCCTTTGTTGTTTTTGTTCTTTGACAGAGGAGGGCCACTCTTACTCAAACTGAAACAATGTACAAACTGTCATATTAAGGGAGTCTGTTATATTATCTTTTATACACTGTACAATGGCAAAAGCGAAGTTATATAAAATACATAAAAACTGAAACTCCAATTGAAACAATATAAAAATGGTCAAGTTAAAGACCCCATGTAAAGATTGGAAATAAGTTTTTATCATTCATTTACTATTTTTCATGACCTTCAAAGTTATTTTGCCTATGTTTGAAGAAAAAATGAAAAAAATGTGGCTTTTATTTCTCAAATATTCAAATTTCCCTCATTTTTCAAATAAAAGTTTAAAGTCCCCATATAAAGTTTTAACCTCTTTGGCTATTTTAGTCTTAACCAATGTTATCAAAGTGTGATATGTGAAACTTTTTTTTTAAATTTCAAAAAGTGGTTTTTGAAGGACTTTTTGTTCAGAAATTTGTGGATTTATTTAAAACTAACTTTTAGAGGTCACGCATATCTTTTAATTAGCCACAATTCATACCAATGCATCGCATTCATTCTCGTATGTTTTTGCTGAAAAAATTAAGATAATCGGTTTATAAATAAGCGAGAAATGAACTCATCAGTGCTTGAAAATGATTCCAAGAAAAATGCATTTCAAAATTTTAGTTCTCATAGAAACCAATGAATGGTACAATGATATCTAAAACATAATATATTCTTCCTTTTAACCTGGTTGGTTTATTATTGAAGTCTAACATATTTAAAAAAGATTGACATCAAAAAGTTTTTGCCACCTTATTGACATCACTAATGTTGCAAAATATTTTTGATATGCTAAAACATTGAAGTGGCCCATTAAATATGGCATTTTATTATTGAAATAGTGTGTCCTTTGTTCAATCTTTGCTTTGGTTTTAAAAAGATAATCTTTTTTGAAATGCATTAAGAAATATTTGATGATTAAAAGATTTCAACTTTTTTGGGAAAATGGCGGGAAATTTGAATATTTGAGAAATGAAATGCTCACAACTTTTTTTCAAAAAATTTTTTTTATCAAAAATCTTTAAAATAACTTTTTAAGTCATAACAAATAGCAAATGAATGATAAAAAATATTTTCAAACTTTAGAGGGGGACTTTAAATTTTTTAATCATCAAATATTCCACTATACAGTGCAAAACGTATTATCGCTGCGCTCCCTCGGTCAATATCATATTACCCTTCGGTCAATATCATATTGTCCCTCGGAATAAAACCCATATTCAATCCCTCCCAGTGAATAACATTGGTTTCAATAAGAACTGAAATTTTAAAATGCATTTTTCTCTGAACCACTTCTATGCATGAGTGAGTTAATTTCTCGCTAATTTATCAACCAATTTTCTCAAGAAACATTATTGCTGCTATCTTGTATTGTACCACTGCCTTTTAAGATAAAATCACTTGAAAGCCCATGATTGTACCATTGTACCTACATTTTCTTCAATGCTGTTTTCTCTGTGGTTGTCCCAGTACTTTGCCCAGAAGGTTGTGTGGAACTTTGGCTTGTACTCTTCTGGAAGTAACTGCTTTGTCTATTGAACTGGAGGACATGGACATCTAAGCCATCCTGTAGAACATGATACCCTTCGTGTCTCAAAGCTGCAATTGTAGAAGATCTATATTAGGACAACTACATGTATGAAACAGACAAATATGCAATAATTCACCACTAACTTTTTTCTGTCTACACAGTATGTGCGTCTTATTTGTTTTTTGGCACTACCACCTCCTGTAACCACTCAAGGCCCATGGCAAAGGTTTTCCCACCATTTATCTAAAATTCTTCCAAAATCATGCTGTCTTAACCATTTTTGAGCACTTTTCGAGTGACTTTAGACCAAAATTGTCATATGAACCCCCCCCCCCCGGAATATAAACAAAACAAAAAAAATTGGCAAAAGCTGGTTATGGGCCTGCCCTCTACATTAAGACCCTATACCCTCCTCTCTTATTAAGTTAAAAGGGGAGGGGAGAAAGAGTCTTGCAAGACTGTTAAATATAAAAACAGATTTTTGAAAATGATTAAGTAAGGGAAAAATTCGTGTTACTTTGATTGATGCTGAGTACATGGGTTTTCAAAGAAAACTTTCTCTTGAATGCAAATGGGTGGAGAACAATATTTACATACAGGCCAGGAAGTGGAGAGTAGAAACTGAGTTCATATAATACAATTACAGGTATGTATATGTGTCCTTAAAGAATCCTGTATTTAATGTAAATAAAGAATTTATCACCTCATTGTTTTGTTTATGATTTAACTAAGATTGCAATCAATATAAATTACCTAATATAATATATTGTATATATTACTTGTATAAACTGTTAAGTTTGTCCAAGAATGTGTCAACTCAAACAAAGCTAATAAATAAACGAATCAAAGCAGTGCAGAAAACAAACCAACTAGACCACAGATACAATTATGTCTTATATAAGGAATCATTCGTGGAGGTATGTACTAAGGAGTTGAGTTATCATATCAACTTTATGATATCAACTTTGCATGTTATGCATTTCATTCTTTTGATTTTCTTATGTCACAAACACTCTGTAGTCTGATAAAACTGAGAATCATAATAGGATACTGCAGTGTTTATATAAAAGTAGACAGAGTTTTGAAACCAATACAACACACAATTGGGAATAAATATAATTAATAATTATTTATATACAAGGAACATATAACAAGGAATAATGAATTTCAAACTAAATTTACTAAAAATAGTGTTTTCAACCATATGGATTCATTATAGTAAGTATATAACAGTTTATCACTGAGTAATGATTTTGTCTGCTTCAAATACAATAACCTTGACCTTCCATGTACACTTCCTGTTAGCCTCACCTTGGTATGAGTAACAAAAGTACCACATCTTTAAAATTGCATTTACTATTTAGGTGAGATATGCATGCCTTGTGTAAAAGTTAACCAATATTTATATAAAGCGCTAAAAATGATCAATGGGGTTTCTTTCTATTTTAATATGGGATAAGTAGATTAGTGATAAGTATGTGATAGAAACTCTCTAAAATAACATGATTTTCTAAAGGGCAAACATGTGTGAATATACAAGACTTCTCAAGAGATGTGAACACATACAATCTCATACAAATCACCTTTTGAAACTAACTGCATATTTTATTGAACCAGTATTGAGACACAAGTGCACAATTGTGTTCAAGGATCCAGGTACAAATAGTATACTTACATGCATACTGTACAGTACTGAGGCCCGGGTATACAGTCATTAATAAAAATCAGTATTATTCTTATTCAATGTAAGTAATATACTAGTCTATTTATATACATGTATACACCACGCATTACCAACTCAGTACACTAGGGGACTTTTTAAACATTTTTAACGTATTCCTGGGCCTCAGGTACAGTATATGTAATATTTTTTATTTTGATATTCTATTAAACCAAAGGGGTTGGTTATCATGATGTGAATTATTTGTTTATTTCTTTATACATATAACATCATATTGTGCTTACATATACATTAAAATTCATAGTAATCTCAAAATTTACATGGAGAGGAGAGAGGTAAATGTATGTAGAGAGGTATTATCACTTTAAAAAAAAGATGCGTAATTTTATTTTCAGATTTTGAGGGCTACATCTTCATATAACTGAGGACTCCTCTACTTAATGAGTTGTACATGTATGTACCAGGACTTAACTACAAATAAGTGTGCAGTGTAAAAGAATTACTATCAAAACAGATCCTTTGATTGCCCCCACATTATATTCCTTACAAAATGGCAACACGCAAACCTCACTTCAATGGATTAGATCGAGAAATATTTTTCAACATATCAACAACTTGCTTCAAAAAGGCAATCTCTGAGGGTCGTCTCCCATGTGCAAGTGATGTCAGAACAAATCGGGAAAAACTATTAATAGAGTTCCTTGGCCCTGATGGGGATTTGAATGGCATGGGGTGTGACCTAAGGGATATATACAAGACCCTCAGTGAGCTGCCTGTCTACCCAGAAGGCAAGGATATCATAGACATGATGGAGTCACTAATGAAGTCTCTAAACCAACCAATCTCAGAGCAGGCTGCCGAGGCCCAAAAGGAATGGGATCACCTCATCCTGACAGTTCGCAGTGATGATTGGTTCAATACTACAACAAGAGCAGAGAGTAAGACGTTTTTCAAATTTCAGGAGGTTTACAAAATACTCAATTTTTGTCACTTTGTTGCTATTAAACATTTGGGTTTGTCAATTTTAGTATTCATTGGATGTGATTCTACACTTCATTGCTTTAAAACATTTTATGCCATCCACAATGTTAACAACTACAAACTTGTTATTTCATTCATGTCAATTTTTAAATTTGTGTGAAAAATATTTCACAAGAACCAAACATTAGCTGTTAGTACATCTTAAGGTGCAATACTCATTGATTCTACTGCTTTCCTGCATTCCATGTGCAGCTACATATGATCTGTTCATTGTGTCAAGCTCACTCCTAAATCATATTTTTGCCTACTCAAATCACTTTCACATCCTTTATTTTGTTCTTTGCCAGATTTGGGAGTTTGATGGCAATGACTTTATATGGTTTTTAATTTAATTTAATAATAATCATCAGAGAATGCATTTTTCATTTTTAAATGAAAGCTTTTCAAAGTCAACATTAAACAAAACAGAAACAAAGTAAATTCAGCATTAAACAAAACAGAAACAAAGTAAAAGGATTTCAAACTGATGTTGAGTCATCTAGTGCAAGTATTAAATGCACAGGGGTAAAGCAGGCAAGATGATACCATGAGTTTGAATGCTGGTATCATGGCTGCAATTAGTGGTGTCAATTAACCGCTTGAGCATTAACCGGTTAACCGGGGGTTTTTACCGGTTAAAGTCGGTTAACCGGCGGGAAATTTGAACTTATAATTTCAAATGAAATCTTCATCTTCGATCTTGAAAGTTGAAAAAATTGGAAAAATGATATATCGGCGTTTATTTTTTACGTTCGTCAAGCTTTACGCTATTCTATGTAAGTAAGCGCGGGAAAGCAATGTGACAGGGATTAAAGTTGCTGATTGGATGTTTGTAAGGAATTATCGGACCTATCACATGTATGAGTAGCTCACATGAAACTGACTCTTGAAAAACAAACAGATTAAAATGCAAAGTAAGCTCGGGAAAGCAATGTGGCAGGGATTAAAGTTGCTGATTGGATGTTTGTAAGGAGTTATGGGACTTATGACATGTATGAGTAGCTTACGTGAAACTGACACCATAAAACCAAACGGATTAGCATGCAAAATAAGCGCGGGAAATAACAGAATTATACACGGTCAACTAACTGCCCATAAAAACTCAGACCGGTCAAGGCATTATCGGCGGTTAACCGGTTAACCGGTTAATACTTGACACCTCTAGCTGCAATCTGTAAATGTAGTATAACTAAAAATTTGATTTCAGAAAAGCCTGTGAAGTACCCAATAGATGGGATACCATTTCTTCACTTTAATCTTGCAACCAAAATGGGAAAGAAAATAAAGCTTCAAACGGATCAAGATGTCATATACTATGCTAAATATGGCTTGAGTGAACAAGGTACAGCAAAGGGATAGTATCTTAATACCCATTCTCTTCCCTTTTAAAGAGACAATATGTACTAGTTATGCAATTCTTGGTATTGTGTTGAATATGAAGAAAGTGAACTTTAACATATTGATTATTTAATGTGATTGGTTTTGTTATTCAGTAGTGCTTACACCCAACTGGATAAAACTGATCCAGTATCTACTTTATACATACAAGACATTTACAAGATTCTTTTGTTGAAACTACAATTATAAAAATAATAGTTGATCATTTCATAACCCAGAAATCTCAGAAAATATTTGAAATTGTATTTTGTAAATATAGAACCAGTAACCAAGATTATGTTTATTATTTTCAGATGCATTTCATGAAGCAAGGATAAACTTAAGAAAATCTACGGGATTTATCAGTAATGATCATTGGGATGAAGAACCTCGCTGCCACCTTAATGGCAGACAGGCTCCCGTGCAAAAATTTGGATATACCCCTCACCCAGGGGCTTTACTTGCTTTTCCAACTGACATTTCAAATATGAGGAGATTCAATGGTCCACAAGTTGTTATGGTACCAACTATACACAAGATGTATTGCACAGGGGCCGAGGAGTATGAGGGCTGTTTGACAATGGGAGAACTTTGTCTCAAACTATACAAGGAGGCCAGGCAGGAGGACAGAGTATCCCTTAGGCCAATACGACTGGTTAATGATAATGATGATCCTGGTGAAGGTGTCTATAGATATGTTCCATATGTCCCAAATATGGTCAATGAAAATTGTGTTCCAGAAACAGAGACTCAGGTAGCAAATTCTGCATTACATGTGTGTAGATAATATTAGCCATTTCAATCTGTACAATAAGTGCCAATTTAAGTTTCGGTCATGGTGCGAGACAAATTTCCCGAGTTTGGCAAATTAGATGAAAGCAAATCAGATTAAGTTGCTATGCTGTGTCTCAGCTTTAAAAGTCACTAGTCATTATCAGAAGGTAATAGTCATCATTGATTGGTTAATTCAATGACAACTAAAAACCATGAAATTGACATAAGCAACTTCCATTTTGAAAGAGAAGGAAACAGCAGTTCCTTCTCCTGATACTGAGCAGTATTAAAGTTGAGTGCACATCTAGTGATCATTTATGCCATCTATAGATAAACAAGTTCAAATCTATGCATGGCATTATGCTTTATCTTCTAAAATTCAGTGTGACGTGTCTGTTGCAAATTGGATAAGAGCCAATCACAGCAAGGCTACATTGCTGCAGGCTGAAGAGCTCAGTTATAAGCACCTCGCAACTGGTGATCCTTTATGCAATCTTTAGATAGAATCTTCAAAACCATCCTCCGAACACAGGCCTCCAGAACTTGTTACTCCTTCTTCCTGGAAGAAGAACTCGTTATGGATGTCTGGAGCCCTGCGTTCTGAGGATGCTTCAAAACATTATGCATACTTAGGAAGCTTTTGCGAATTCAACTGCCAGTCAACAGATTAACTGCTTTTTTAGGGAAAACTCATTTAAATTCAAATGGTAGTAAGTACTATTCATATATAAATGAGTTGGCTATAAAAATAGTGGTTTTACGTCAGTTGAATTAGAGAATGCTACCTTAGTTTAGGTCATGTACGAGTATGTTTGAACCTAAGCAATATTTTGATTTGTTTTAGAACTTCTTCCACTTTATGTTTCTAGGTTATTGCCATGAAGAAATCATTTAATGAATGGGACAAGCTCTCATATAGGCAAACCTTAACAATAATTTGATTTGTTTTAGAACTTTTTCACTTTATGTTTCTAGGTAATTGCCATGAAGAAATCATTTAATGAATGGGACAAGCTCCCATATAGGCTCCAGAAAGATCAACATCCACTGAGGTTTATTACAACAACTAGTGCTAAAGAACTTGGGGCAACTAAACAAGCTCTCGATTCTCAGGCTCGTCTCACTAAAGGTAATTTCTACTTGGGGATATATTCATCCTCCAAATTCAGGAGCTGAGACATAATCATATTTTAGTTTTGGAAAAGAAAGGAACAAATCAGATGATGTTTGAAGTCTGAACCTCTCTGCTCAGAAGATGAGATGTCTATAATTTAAACTTATCTGAAAAACTCAAGCTAATTGGTCTAACTTTAAAATTCTTGCCTCTGTAATCTATGTGTCTTGTAAACATTTCAACATTTTAGAGTTTAGCAAACATAAAACATCATAAACCTAGAGGATCTTGCTTGGCCATGTGCAACACACAACTTAACAGGGCTTGCCTATGTAAATGAAGGACCCACGGTCCTGTGCTCACACAGTTCGGAACCTTCAGAGGAATTTATATCCTGACTTTCAAACAAAAATATTGATTTGGATTTGTAGTCATGAACTTTGAGAAACTTAGATAGCATAGTTGCGTGACCTAGTTTGATGACCTTTGACCTTGAAAATTTTACTTATTCAGAGCTCAGTAAGGTCTTTTGTGATTAAGCTGACCAAAATTTACATCCAAATATCAATTTGAAAAATCAACTTTTTTGACCTTTCGAAGGTCACTGAAGGTCAAGATTTGAACTCCTGGCAACTTGTAGATGATTTTCAAAAAAGATTTGGTCAAACTGAAGCAAGTTGAAAAATAACTTATTTTTACTGTTTTTTGACGTCAAATATCTCAAAAACGGTAAAAATTTAATGCTGACATATATTGAGAAATAAGTAGGGAATGCTTAAATCTATTAATGATGTAATTTATTGCAGGAAATGATCAAGTATAAGGCAAACTTTAAGAATCTTGTCAATCACAAAACCTGCCATTGACTTTATACATGAGAAAGTTTCCTGAAAATGACAAAGTCCTACTTTTTTCAAATTTTATAGAGTAAACACCAAAAACCGTAATTCCAATAGCTTTGAAATCTTCAGAGGACATAAGTTGCATATACACCAACTACTAAAATTTATTTCAAAGTTCTACTTCAACAAAGTGTCTAGTATTTACAGAAAATTTGACTTTTTGACGTTAAAATCCGCAATTTCTCGGAAACCAGGCGAACTTGGGAAATGGCGATGATAGGTCAAATAGGCATAATGGATATGCATAAAATGAATGTGGATATGACTCAATCCGAATAGCAGTTTTAATTTGTGCGGCCAATGTTGACGGACGGACCAACGGACGGACCAACGGACGGACGGACGGACCAACGGACGGACGCCTGGTCAATCCCATAGGCTCACTGTGTGAGCCAAAAATGAATAGTATTCCAAAGTTCTAAGGGGTTCACTTTTTAAAAAATTCTAGGGGAGTCACTTGAGACAACTTTGGCCCAAAAACGCCCAATATGACTTGAAAGTGCTCAGAATGGTGAAAAACTGCATGATTTTGAAAGAATTTTTGGCTCCACCTCCCCCTCTGGCTACGGGCCTGTATGTCACATAATTTTTGATCACTAACTGTCCATTTCCATTTCCAGGTATAGCATCATATGAACTTGCAAGCTATATGATGAAGAAGCTCTGCTATCAATGTGGAGTTACTAAAGAATCTGATGGAGCGAAACTTTCAAAGTGTCAAGGATGTAGATTAGCTTACTACTGTGGTGCCGAGTGCCAACAGCAAAACTGGAGTAGACATAAAAAACAATGCATTGCTCTGAAACGCTCTCTTAATAAAAAGGGCAAAAACCATTGATTTTTTACTATTTTTATCTTTATTATGTCAATATCCAACCAAAAACAAGCATTGACATGCAACAGCTGAACACCAACCGCTGAATGCTGAACACCAACCACCGAACAGCGTCAACAAAAAATTGGAGACTATAACAATACGTTATTAATTGTGATGGTGACATTATAAAACCAATCAAGTAATCAGTGAAGAATAATAATACTTAACCAATAATGCTTATATTATGAATGATTTACTGAAGAATGAAGAAATATACCTGTCAACCTATCATTTTAATGCTATTGCCATGAAATTATTATATTTCTGTAAAAATGAATAAAGTTATCAAAGGCAAAAAATCTACTAGAATCTACAAATTTTCGAGCAGAATACTTGCTTAAGATGAATCATTAAATATGCATAATGGATGTATACAATTAAGTTATTAAAAATTAATTATTGTTCACATACCCTATTATAGTACTATGTATATAATTTTAATTCATGTACACTAAATAAGAGGGGAATTCATTGTAAATATACAACTTATCAAACATGTCATACAGTATTTGTAAGTCTCTTTTTCTAATGTCAAGCATGTGGCTTTTAATTAAGGTTGCTATAAACAGGATAAATAAACTTTTAAAAGCAAGCTTAGGAGTTTTCCTGTTTTAAATTGCATTGATGCATCATCTAGGTTGAAATGAAAAAAAGAAGCAAATTCCATCAAACAGGAAATGTTTTCACCAAAGACTTATACCATTCTTATGTCAAAAAGTACTCAAGATGCACACCCATTTCAAATGTTAACCAAACCATCTCATGGTTTTCATAAAAAAATTATCATCCTTGTGAAAAAGGTGTCATCTTGAACAGTATTCCAGACACAGTTAATTCTTAGTAAATGTCAATTTGAAAAAAATGATGGCCATTTTGAAATACCGTATTCTCTGTAATTAGCGCTCAGGGCATTTAGAAAATTAAAAATACATCATTCAGACCATTCTAATAAGCACTCATGGATGAAAGAAATCCCGAGGAATTTCATGTATGGCAATTGCTTTTAGCATATTTTCATAATAATGAAAAGCATGTTATTGGAGAAAATACGGTAAAGATCGCTTAGACAATATTGAGTGATTGAAGACCAATTTATTTCCGTCACGCCCACTTTGTAAAAAATCGCCGATTACTTTCAATATCTCCACTAGAGACTGTTGGATATCGATCTAAAGTCATACCTTATTTTTTATTTGATGAGAGATCATCATTTTTCGTGTAAAAGTCGAGAAACATTAAAAAGAAACCAGAAAGTTCACGACCTTGACATGCGCAGATGTTCAGTGCAGTAGCTTTTAAATTACTGAATGCCGATAAAGAACAATTCCTTCATTCATTATGGACTATTCTGAGACAATATTAGCATAGTATCGTGAAGGAAGCACCCATCGATAGATATTTATCGAGAGGATGCATAGAATTATAAAACGCTTCGTGTTTACAGCAGTTAAGGGTAAGTACTCTATTATCGCCCGCTCATGGAGTTTCGGAAATATGATTTTTTTCTGATAGATTCTTCAATTCTTGTTGATTCCTTGATGTTTCTTGAACTTTGTGAAGCGGGTGGGCGTTTATTAGAGGGTGGGCGGTAATTACAGAGAATACGGTAAGTATTCTTATCACTGAAATTTTTTAAAGTCCACCATGGATAATCATCTGTGAAAGCACTGAGCCATGATTTTTAAGTAACACATCTTTCAACCAAATATGAAGCAGATTTGTCAACTAGAATTTAGATTACTCCTCAGACAGACAGTCAGGCTGATGGACAGCAAGGGGTTTACTTCAGCCCAAATAGACTTTGTTCATTGGGATAACAAGTACATGCACAATTACTCACATGAGTTGGGATGTGATACCACAAGACACTTATGTTTAGTACTGCAGGGTTGGAAGCTATACCTCAAAACAATATCCTCTCCTGGAAGAACAGGCAAAGCATGACATTACTGATATCTCAGAATTTATCCAGGGTTTCACTAGAATTTCTCACAACAGGCTAAATAAATGAAAAATACAACAGGCAAAATTAATGGAAATCATATATTTAACATTGTCTGTTGCCTGCTGCTAATGAAACCCCTGGTATCCTCATAATACATTTAACACATATCAAATTATGATCATAACAAAACATTTACATACAAAATGTCACTACCAGCTATTTGTTACTCAAAACACTAACCACCGAATACCAACCACTGTCCACTAAAAGTTAATGACTATAAAAATATGTGAGCACCAGAATCTTTTGTAAAATTTGTGACAATCTGAGAAGGCATCCATCTTGGAAGTGCCCCTGAGAGAGTACAGTAAGTCAGAAATTATGAAGACTGAGAATGTAACTATAGCTCACCTTCTACGAGTTGGAATACATTAGGTGAAGCGTCCTTCTCTTTATTTCTCTCACTGTTGACCTTCTCAGTGATAGTACTTTGAAGGAGACCTAACACTCCCTAGAAAAATTCAACATGTTGTATGTAAATCTCAGATTTATTTATTTTACCAATCAAACATTTATGAACCCTTCAAAAGTTTGTGTGATCCCCACTCCATGGAGTGAGGGTCAGAAATTTGACACACATTATAGTCCCAGGAGGTGGAATTTTGACATGTACCTCATCCTTAGAATAGGGACTTTTGAATTCCCGAATTTGCATATTCCAGAGTAGGAATTTTTGACCAGTTTTTGCTCCCATGATTAGAAAATTGATTCACTAGGTTTCTTGGAGGGTAGGTAATTTGACAGCCTGGTTTTAATTTTTTCAAAATCCCCACTCCTTTACAAATTGGGGGAGGGAGGTTCTCGAGCAAACCCTTTGAATAGTGATCAGGGGTTTCACTAGAATTTCTCACAACATGCTAAATAATTGAAAACAACAGGCAAAATTAATGAAAATCATAAATTTAACATGGAAAAGTTGAAAAAAGTCTCTAAACCAACAGGCGATTTTGTGAAAACAACCGGTCAGATGCAGAATGTCATCGAAATATGAGGTTACATTGATTATGTGATATAAAAGGTAAGGGGTTAAAGTATCAAAAGGGCAAAACTGAATTAAAAACTGTGTATAGGGAAAAAACTTTCATGTTTTGACTACAAGACCATGCAAAAAATGTCTGAAAATATTGATTGGTTTGTTTATACTGTTGATATACTTTTGGGTACATTTTTTGAGACACCCTATATACGTATTTATTCCATAATAACATGTTTTCCCTGGGAAAATAACAGGGAATAAAAGTGTTATTTGAAAAATCCCGTATCAGATCCCGTATCAGCCAAAATCCCGTATCAGATCCCGTATTGGATCCCGTATCAGCAAAAATCCCGTATCAGATCCCGTATCAGAAATATTCCCGGTAATTTCTCTTGAGTTTTACGCTTTTCATCTAGCACATCTCTACAGGAAGTAAAAAATCGTTTGGAAAATTGAAATTATTGAAATTATTATCATCTAGTTTACGTCTATTACTGTGACAAAGGTCTATTACTGTGACAAATATGTCTAGGTATGCAACAGAGGATGTTGATGACTTCATATATTATGAAATAAATAGGTTATTGATGGTCGTGATGGAATATGGATTTATTCCTCGAGAAAATATGATATTGGCCTCAGAAAATATCATATTGACACTCGGGCTATCGCCCTCGGTCAATATGATATTTTCCTTGGCCAATATCGTATTTTCCCTCGGAATAAAATCCATATTCCATCCCTCCCATTAAATAACCTCTATTTATACCTTTATCAATTTTGAGCGCAGCTGAATACTTTGCTTTATGGTTGCTGAATCTATGGAATCACGTAAAAACAGCCTCAGTTTGAGAACACTGTAGTTTGTCACCTGGAAGTAAAACAATACAAATCTATACATCTACATCACAGTCATTTAGATTATCTGGATGATAGTGGTGATCTTCAGCATACACATTACATGTATATATAATAGCTCAATCAAATGAATGCCAACTATTTTCATGGTCAGTGACTTTAAAGGGACTCAACCCTTTTGATTCCATGATACAAACAAGGCATTAACATGACAAAATGTCACCACCTAGGTGTTCACAATATTATAAGTTCAATCTTAAGTCAGTTTTGAATTTCTGAGAACTTGTAGATGATTTTGAAAAAAAAGTGGTCAATTTGAAGCAAGTTGGAAAAAGACCTTTTTTGACCCTGAAAAGGTCGTTGAAGGTGAAATCTCTTAAAGTCAGATTTGAACTTCTTTCAATTTCAATTTATTCATACATTTAATCATTATGTGTACACATATTATTTATAACAGGTGGCACCACAGTTGATGCTCATACCCGTACATATAGTAGTTCAATCATGTAGTATATCATTATGTTGTCAAGGAATCAAACCAGAATGTAATCACAAAAGTTTGGTTGTAATAAATAAAGGTATGGGGGATCCATGATGCTTGTTTCATTTGAAGCCAAAAAGGTGCCATATGCCATGGGAAAAATTTATGAATGTGAAGCTTAAACTTAACTTCTGAGAACTTGTAGATGATTTTGAAAAAAAGAATTGGTCAATTTGAAGCAAGTTGAAAAAATACCTTTTTGACCTTGTAAAAGGTCATTGAAGGTCAAATCATTTTGGTTTTGACCTTCGGAATGTCATTGAAGGTCAAATCTATAGTCAGATTTGAACTTCTGAGAACTTGTAGATGATTTTGAAAAAATATGTTAATTTGAAGCAAGTTAAAAAAAGACCTTTTTGACCCTGAGAAGGTCATTGAAGGTCAAATCTCAAATCGAAAGTCAGATTTGAACTTCTGAGAACTTGCAGATGATTTTGAAAAAAAATTTCAAGCAAGTTAAAAAAAAGACCTTTTTGACCTTGTGAAGGTCATTGAAGGTTAAATTTTTTTTGACCTTTGGAATGTTATTGAAGGTCAAATCTAAAGTCAGAATTGAACTTTTGAGAATTTGTAAATATTTTTGAAAAAAAAATTGGTCAATTCGAGGCAAGTTGAAATAAGACCTTTTTTACCTTTGACGTAATAACCATATTTTACAATACAAAATGAAAACAAGATTGCCACTCAAATATGAATTAGCAGCGGCAAATTCAGGGACCTGCGCCAACCATATTTGGCCTGGGTAGAGGCAGCTGGGAGTTTCAAAATACTGCAACAAAGCTATGTTTGTGTAGCATGTAGCCAGGATTTTTTTTATTAGTAGATCTATTCAAAGGACAGATACAAGGCCAAGTTTTCCGGGAATCAAGCTCTCCTTAAATAAATTTGGTGCATCTTGAGCTAAAACATTAAGATATAATACATAATTCAGGGTGAATAATAGTCCTATAAAACCGTTTGAAAAATAGTGCCAACATTTCAGTATCTCTCTGGTCGCCCACAACATGTACATCATCAAGTTGACAAGTTCATCAACTCAGTTTTTCTCTCACACCCGTCATCTCAATTATCCAATCAAATATAAGTTCTGATTGCTTATCCACCAATCATATCACATTTTTTACATTAGTCTAGGCTAGACACCAATCATAACTCAACTTATGAGTTGTAGAGTCAATACGTCTAAATCCAAACAGGGGGGTAAACCCGAACGGGTAGCAAACAATGGCAAGCAAATCATTAAATTGAATAATAGTACCTCTCCTACCTCTTTATAATATTTATATCCTGAAAGATACCATATAATGATATATACCAACAATCTAACAATAAAATAATCAATTATGATGATTTAGGTGTTCGGAATTACCCCCATGCTATAGTGTTTGGAATTACCCCCACAAACCCTATGCCTTTAAATAAATAGATGTCAATTATAATTCAATTATATTTGGGGTTATTGATATGCAGGGGTGTCAGGATCTCGTATCATTAGTTCAGGGTACCATATAATGATATACCATCAATCTAACAAGTAAAACAATGAAGTTTGGTTAAATGTTTGGAATTACCCCCATGCTAGTGTTCGGAATTACACCCTAAAAAATCTCCTGTTTGGATTTACCCCCCTAAAATACATTGTAGTTAAAGTGGTATGACCCAGATTTTTTGACAATTTATCGCAATTTTTTTATGCAAATGCATTTTACAGCGCCTAATTCACGTAACATATATAAAAATATTCTACAGATGTGCAGTACAGCCAAGCTAACTACATTTTTTGATGGGGGCACAGATGTTGGCTAGATCGTTTTGTAGTAGGATCTCATAGGCTCAAAGAATAATACACAAGATATGACACCAAATTGGAAAATTTCAAAAAAAAGTGACCACCTTTCAAAACGTTCCTTATACAAAATGGTACCTGCTCCCCCGTGACAGATTTTGCACTTATTTTATAGCGGAGATCTTCATCTTTCTATTTCTCCTTGTTTGGTTCGAGTAAATAACCTATGGTTGCAGTTATCTGACTTTTAATACGGCGAATATTTTTCACGAGATCCGGACTCTTGTGTGTCCAAATATCATTGTACTGATGACGTCACATTTCTGGAACCACGGGAGCACCATTCAGATTTGGACAGACAAGAGTCCGGCGATAAAATATCACTGTTTTGGCCTCTTATCAACGCAGTATTGCTTGAATAATGATCATTGGTGATAAAAAAGTTAAAGAATAACAAGACGCTTCGAATGGTATGATTTGTCTCATATTTTTCAGAAATGGCTCCACAATCATCATTTTAAAATTTGAAATTTTCTGAGGTGTCTCATCTTGAGGAATATTTATTGAGCTACTGATTCTACTACAAAAGAATCTGGCCGGGATCTGTGGATGGGGGTGTTTGGAAATAGACGTATTGACTCTATTAAGTCCTCTTTGGGCCTTAACCGGAGCCTTTTGCACTTCCCCACTCGAGGAATACATCTGTTCTGAGGGTGGGGAAGGGCTAGTATGTATCCAACAGACTGACTAGAATATAATTCAGACTAAATAGGATATAGTCTAGGGGAAGGGCAAAAAACTCTGTTATTAGACCCAAAAAGGACTTGATACAACTTCCTGTGCATCGAGTTGACTTTCCAACCTAAAATAAATTCTTACATCGTGTACTTCTATACTCACCCTGATGTACTCTGTACAATACTGGATTAATTTAAGTTGAGAATCATTGCTAGACATAACACAAACCAAAGATAAACGTCATCCTATCACATTTCGAGACTTTCGAAATTTCCCGGTATTTTTTTATCTGGACGATAGGTGTCGTATAAAAGGGACCAACCATTCTGAAAATACAATCACACAAACTTTGTGGGAGCGATAATTTATTCATTTATGTCTTCTTCTTCTAGACTCTCAATATTCTTCTTACATTTGATGTGTATGAGAATACTTGATGTATTGATATCATCATAAATGTAGTTTCTAAGTGTGATGCAAATCGATGCAGAATGATTTAGTCCCCTCCTCTCGCGAGATTTTAACCCTAACAACAAAGATGGCAGACGGTAAGATTTTAAATTTCTCTATATTTTGTTGATTTATTCTAAAGTATAAGCGTTATAAAGATAGAAAGATAGTGGAAGTTATGCGTTGTAAATGTATCAAGGCTTTAAGCCTACTTTAGAATTTGTTTTTACGACATCAATCGAAATTTTACCCGATCAAAGTTATTTTTTATAGAATCTTTTTGAACAATTTTTCGCATAAGCTAGCTATAGCCGAAAGCTTAGGGTCCGTGGGGGAAAACAACTTCAATTTTTACTCATTGAGATGCATGTTAAACTGACAAAGTTCAAATTATAATTTCTCAATCCCATCGAATACTTCCATACTGGTTGTTTATTTGCTCTAATTTCCGATCTAGGGGGAAGCCATGTTTTTTTCTTGCATGGATCGAGATCTCGCAAGATTTTAATTTTTCCAGAAATCAAACATGGCGGAAAACGGAAATCCGATTTCTAATAAGTGTCGAAGTTACCCCGCCTCTTATGTTGACATTACCCCACATGTTGATGTTACACCCCTTTAGGTGTAGGGGAGATGCGTCGAACTTCGACGTATGGGGCTACTTTGTCATGATGCTACTACAACCATGGGGTTATTATGACATTTGCCCATAATTCGTATTTCTGGGGTCAGCCATCTTGGATTAAGATCTCGCTGTTGGAGATTAAACACATTAAATTTTCCAAAAACAAACATGGCGGACTTTGAATCGGAAGTATATAATGCTCTGGATAACTGCAAAATTTTGATCCAATCTGAGTACCTCTGGAAAGCTCGTTAGTGTTTAAGTTGACAGAATATTTTGATAAGATGTAAGTTATTGGTTTGTCTTTTTGGTTTCATTCTGGAGCGAACTCACTATTCACCTTTCATAGATAGATTGCAGTCTGATTCATTGTCTTTTTTAAAGGCAAATATAGAATGTTCTTTGAAGTATTCCAGATTAAACTTATAAGATTTTACTATATTATGTACTATAATACCGAGATACAGATAAAATATTTGGTCCAGTTTGAAGTTTTACTAAAATGGAATATGAAGTACCAAATTTCAACATTGGAATCACTTATATATTTTGATGCAGACAATGACAATGGGTAAAATCAAATAAACCTGAGATTTGGTGTAAAACTTTTCCCAAATCAAATGTAAATGTTATGCTGGAATGGTGGGTAAATGTATTAAGATAGTTTGTGAACAATTTCTGCATCCTAATCTTTCACTTAATAATTTCCATATTTGGTCAAACTATGGTACCTTTATTACCTGTATGGTAACTTTATTGTATCAAGTTACAAGAGGAAACTCCTTCTACAGAGTAATTTGAATGCAGAGAATGGAGAGGAAGTGTTTTTGCATGAATTTAGAAATAGATCCCCCCACAGTCACCAAATCCTAGCTATGACAGTGTATTACGAGTCACTTAAAGGCAAATGAATATCAGTCAGTCAAGGTCATCTATCTAGACACAATGTATAATATTGAGCAGATTGATTTTTGAGATTTTAATGTGTTTCAGTCGTTCACTGGATGACTTTATAAGCCAATGTCGAAATAGTCCCATGGCAGAAATAGTCCCATGGCAGAAATAGCCCCATGGCTGAAATAGCCCCATTATGAAGTAACCCCACACATCGCTTTTTTGTCTGTAATATAGCCTGTATTAAGCATGTTGGATGTGATTATGCCACCGATTGATTGAGACTGCCAAAAATATAATTCACCCCTACACGCTATTACCAAACATTTGTTGTGAATACATGTACACATGTATGTGCCATGCATCTACAAAGTAGCAAACTAGTGTTTTTACTTTTAGTTTTAAGTACTAATTTTTCTATATAATGGACAAATCAAATGTCAAATGAGCTGTATTGTGCCATAGCCTAGACTTATTTATTATGGACAGTGACAGGCTACGCTGGTTGAAATTATAAGCCAACGTCCAAATAGCCCCATGACAAAGTAACCCCAGAATGGCCCAGATGTCGAAGTTTGACGCAAGGCCCCTTGACTCAAACACATCACAAGTGCCCAGAAATCACCAAAGTATCTTAAAATGGAGGGAATGGGCATTATCTGGTACCTCTGGCAAACCCCTATTTACGTTTATTTGGTCAGATTTTGAAACAGACCTGGATATATTGACAATTTGAAAATATAGATTTATGTTTATACAGATTTGGTTTGTTAGAAATTTTAGCTCACATATGCTTTGAGTATAAACATTTTTTGGGGAATTCTGTTCAAAAAATGGTTTTAATTTGAGAAAATTAAAACAACTTAATTGGAAACGAATGAAATAAACTCAGATCATACAAGTGCAATCAATACAGTAAATAATTATTGCTTTATTTTCACCTACACAGAATCTTTTACATTTAAAATGACGACACCAAAGTCATGTTTCATCACTGTTATTAAGAATTACATTGCCATTTCTTTAACCATATGTTTTATATAACATTGAATATTTTTCTATTAACCATCCTCTATTGGATTTCTAATTGTTTGTTCTCTAATTGCAGAAGCAGTGACTCCCAACCCTCCCACTGAGAATAACAAAGAAGAAAGCAATGAAAACAGCAATCCACATGCAGAACATGGGCTAACAGATAACATACAGGTACATTTATATTGTGCTTTTTGGCTACCTTTAGACTCTTCTGATTCAATAAAGTATTTTATTATGTCCTTATCACCATATCAGTGATCTGGCCAGCATTAAAGCAAGTTGGCGGAGCACCCACGTGAGATTTTGAAAATAGGCTTGCACCCACCTGAAAATCCATTTGCACAGACGAAATAAGAAAAATCATGAAAAATTGGCATATTTTTTTGATCAATTGCGGTCTAAATTGTGAAAATGAGAGACCACTGCATATGTTTTGTTTTTTAACATTAGTTGTCATCGTATAGCACCTTGAGTTAAAGAAAAAATGAAGAACTGAAAACATTACTATGGTCATCACCAATGTATTATCTTGGTGTTTTTTCAGAAAATCATCGCCAATGAGAAGGACAAGGATGGAAGCCAGGCAAAGCGACCTCGTGTTGATCTCCAGTCTCTACCTACTAGGGCTTACCTCGACCAAACTGTCGTCCCAATCCTCTTACAAGGGATGTCGGTACTAGCTAAAGAAAGGTAACAATACCGCAAACTATCATATAGCCAGTGCCGATCAATGTTCATCTCTGCAATGATGGTGCTAACTAGGATCAATTTAAGAAATAGGAAACCGTTTTATACCTAACATGCATTTTTATTCAAAATCAAACTTCATATGTTATCCATCATTCAGAGCCCTCATAAGAAAATGTTAAGACTACTGAAAAAATGTGAAAATGTTTCGAATTATTTGCTCTGACTCAAGGAGGATTGGCAGCCATTATTCAAACTCGATACTCCATTGCCTGCAGTGGAACAATTTTGTAAAAATATTTCTGTAAGGTTCTCTTTGGGTTTGGACCAAGTATTTCATTGAAAGATGGTCGATACAAATATTTTGGTAGAATTCAAGCTTCCTCAGCAGTTCTAGTCTTCAAAATATAAGTAATGTTGTTACCAAATTGGTCTTCGCTGGGCAATGGGGTATCGAGTTTGAATAACAGCTCCGACTTCAATTCAGGTAGACCACTTTCTGTTCATTGTTTTGGTTGGTCATTGCAACAGATAAAAATGAGTGTAGTCATGTTCTATAGCCTTTGTGAGAACTCTGCTATTTGCATCATGTTATTGTACAATAAACACATCGATTTATTTCTATTCCAGGCCGCCAAATCCAATAGAATATTTAGCAGCATACCTTCTGAAAAACAAAGGCTCGTATGAACAATAAACCTCAGATTCAATCAGGAATTGGTCCACAGGATGCAAAGACTTTTATAGTTTATTACAGCTGTGAATAATAAATAAACCAGTACAGCTGATTACAGCAATGTGGTCATGGAATTTGTAGCATAATTTCACAATTTAAATGTGTTTTTATTGTGAAATTGAAGCTGGTTTTAATGTGATCTCTTTAATCTCATGGATATTGTAAGAAAGAAAGCAGCAGCTCCACACACTGCTCATTATTATTTTCAGAAGGAATATTAACTGACATGACTGAGCAGTATGTTATATGATATTTTTTTGGTTTGGTTTGGAATTTTTGGGAATATTTGCTTTGATTTGAACTTATCTAAAGTAATGGACATTAAAAATGAATTTAAAATGATTTGATTATTTAAAGAAGGCATTGTCTATTTAAGCTATATCCAAGCAAATATAAAATCTCTGTAACAGGCTTTTTGTAACTTAACTATTTAAGTCCATTTTCGTTTAATATTGGAAATTGTGAATCAAGATATTGACGTAAGTTACATGTCGGTGTTCAGATTTCTTGAAATCTTATATTTATGGCACCAATTACTGTTCAGGACTCATCATTTTTAGTGATTTGGGATAAAAGAGTAGAGACAGTGCTTTAAGGCTTCTTTTCATGATGCTGTTTATTTATGGAAAACAAACATTTATTGAATCATGAATATTTTACAGTTCAATATAAAAGTAGACTGAAACATATTTGTTTTGTCCTGGTTTGAAGATAATGGAAGCTTATTGCATTGGCCTTAGAACATGTAGAATGGAACTGTAAAATACTCATATGTTTAAAACACTCATTGTATATTTCATCAACATTGGTTAGAGGGGTATTATGTTCATCAAATTGGGTATTCAATCAGTGTTAATAATGTATCTGTATGTTTTTAATAAACTGTGTTTAGTATTTAAAGTGAAAAATAAATATGTACTGTACATCTTACTTTATCTTTATTGTGTGACTTATAAGGTTGATACACTCCAGGCCAATGCCCTTCTGGACTGTCAATAGATGGCCAAAAATTCAGTGGGATTAATAGCATACTTTAACATATAAAGATTGCTCCAAAAATTTCCCGAGATAAATTTTATGGAAAATATCCAAAACCTTTTGATTTTGAATCTTAAAACATGTTTGTAAATAATTATGAAGGAAAATAATATGATATTTTTTTGATATGTGTAGTGATATTTACACACAAACCAATGGGCCAGATGAAGAACAACCTTGTAGTTCACTGTCATCTATACAAGTCCTGGCTCCCATTGTTTATTTCTAATTCAGTCCAGAATTAGCCATCTGATCCCCACACAAAAAAAGAATATATATGAAATAAAGGAAACCAAAAAGGCAGTAAAAGTAAAATATTGAATTATTCCAAGGTTGATCAACATTTTGCTACCTTATACCCAAAACAATGGAGCAATAAAAATCAAGTTACTTAATAAATATAAAATTGTTTCCTTAAGGCCCTTTATGTAATTGGTGATTGACAGTATTACATAGATAACGATCTGGGTGTCAAAATAGAATAAAAGATTGTTCTATCAACATGCAGACATGGGCATAGTTTTAAAGCAGCGCAGGCGAATCAGCCAAAATCATCCCGAAAATGTTCTTAAAAACATTCATGTATATTCCACTTCAACTGCAAAAATTATGTAGAAATATTATTTCCTCTATAGAAATTAATTCATATCTTTGTCACAACCATTTTTAAAAGCATTTCTTCCAGCCGATGCCAGCTAAAGTCATTTAGTGTTTTTGAGTACATGTATGTAAAATATCAATCACATTACTCTTATAAAAATGAAGCAAACATACCTAACAAGTATAAAAAGGGAATAAGAAACCATCCACTTGTCTTTATTCTGTTTTATTGATGAATATCTGAACCACTAGAAGAGTAACAAGAGATCATTTTAAAAAATGAAGGCTCGTGTGAAGGAGATGTTTGCAGTGTTGTAATGAATTGTATTGATAAATAGGGATGCTTACTTTTAACGCGGTTGTAATTTACCGAACGGCAAAAGTAGAAAAAATCCGAACATTTTGAACTGATTAAGATCTTTAAATTGTGAAGGTCTGAGTACCTGGACCTCTCAGAAAACATCCGAACATATCTAAAAGTGAAGATGGGTCAATTTGATTCTCGTTCTCCGAAGATATTAATAAAATAGTTAAATGTTCGGAGTTTTTTTAATGCTGTAAATTGTTCACAATTCTAAATCAAGAAGTCGTTCGTATTTCTGTCGTATCATGTTGCCTAAAATCAGTGCGCAGAATTCATGGTGTTGTTGTAAAATGTGCATATTGTCGTTTGAAACCCTCTCTAACGCAATTTTATTATAAACTAACACCCTAAGGTTAAACTTTTGCTCGAGGAATTAACTCATTTTCATCAACAAATATTAACCCATCAGGTTTTCTACTAGTAAACTAACGTTTAAACCTCAGTCCATTGTCGTTATCACTTACTACTATATCCAAGTGAGATATGGCTCTTGCCTCAGCACGAGCCAAAAATAAGCAGGACGTCCTTGGAATAAGGGCAAATGGGAGAGCATGGGCTCCATCGGGTGGTAGACCCCATGGAATAAGTCACCATCCTAAGTAAGGTTGGCTGAACTATAACCAATATTGTAAGAAATTCTGTGTTCTTTGTGACATTAGCAAGTTTACAATTTTAGTGTATGATATAAACATACACACAAAGAATTGTTCCATTTCGCTGTTCGCTCTTTGAATCAGAACGTTCGCATATATGGTGCATATATGTACTCAAAAAGGACAAAATTTGATTGGTCAATATTTTTCAACGATGCATTTCGTGTAGCTATTTGTGAGACCCGAAAGTTCTAAATCAAATTAATTACGCAATTTTGTTTTTACACCCGCAAGCTAAATAAAAAAATGACACCATCGGAATTCTTCTTCTTTGTCATTGAATTAATAGTCAGTATACCAGATTTAATCAATAAAAGATTATACAATTAACAACAAAATTCGGAAACGAGTATGTAAGATTTGCTTTCGAACCACTAAACTTGACCTAGATAATAGCGACGTGTCTTCTTTGGTCAAATGCTCAGTTGTTTGTGGGTTTTCAACGTAACTCTATAATGTAATATGAAGATGAGTACTTTTATTCAGTTGTTGCATCGATGTTACAGTTTGTAGTGCGGTAATATTGGCATGAACGTGTTGAAAGTCGAATGGAATTGCTTTTTCCAATATGGCGACTAGTCACGTGACTTCTTCTCTTCCGGAATATACTCCCATATTCAATCATTGTTTTCACCCCGTTAGGAGCTAATAAAATGAAAAAAAATATATGTTATATAAAGATTATTAAAAGACTAATTGTTTCTGATAGTTTGTTTTCTCTGATCGCATGGAGATTCGATCGAAAATATCGCTTGAAAAATGGGTATGAAAATCCCCATGTTAAACCAACGGGGAAAAACAAGGTAGAAAAATTTTGTTCCCCCGCGAACTGCATCATGGGGAATATTTTGACCTTATAAGGAAAAACTTTCGCGCCATCTTTATTAGAGATTCAATACTACCGAATCCGCGATTTTAAGAATTCGAGCGTTTAATTCTATTTATCAAGAACGAATCGAATTATGGCCGTTCGCTTTTTTGCCGCATTGTAACAATTTACGACATTGAGTTAATTGATTTATCACCAAGCAGTCTTTTGACATTTTGCAAGCTTTCATTTTCTGGAGCAGTTTTAAAGTGTTTTCTCTGCTTACTTTGCTTATCCAGCATAAAGATCGTGTAACATGACAGCTAGCAATACATGTTAACAGCTTATTTGGAAGCTAGACAGGTAAAATTTGGGATTAGGACATCATTTTACTTTTAGATCAAAAATAAATTTTATTTTTATTGTTTTCCAACTTTTCAGTCAATCACAGGCATCGGAACGGAGATAAAGCCGTCCTAAAAAGAAATTCCGTGGTGGTCTATCTCTGTTCCGATGCCATTGCAGTCAATCATACAAAGGGGGACGATCTTTGATACGCAACTGGAGGTGGCAGAAGATTACCTTCTTCTAAGGCCACTGTGTCGTGGCCTTCCAGTACAGATATATTCCTGCATGAACAACTGGTCATGTCGTAATCATAAAATTTGAAATCATATGTCCGCCATTTTTCCACCTCACCAAAAATTCCAAAACACACATAAAGTGATCAGTGTATTAGTTCACATCTTCTGGATCGCTAGCTTAGAATTTACAGCCAGTTACTAATGTCAGACGTTAACGACATTTCGTCCAGTTTTCGAACATCGCCATTTTTCTTGGAGCCATTTGGTTTTAATTTTAGATGAAATCATGTCATATCTCATCAAGGAGCCGAGCTGGGTCCGGTTTGATTAAAGATTTATTTATCTGGCGATTTTTAAAATATTCAATAAATTTATGACACCACGGCCAGCTTTTTTCAAATAGAGTTCACAGTATTCCAGATGAAATCCCCTCTAGCCAAGTATTGGCTAGAGACTCGAGTAAGCAGAAGACACTTCCATCCAAACATTATCCCTAAAACCTAAACCGAAAGACGAGTCATAATTTCACTCGGCCATCTCCTGTTGCGTAGCATGGGTGCTCTCCCATTTGCCAAAATAATCTGAATGCTTAGGTACTGGGTAAGTATGGATCGCATGAGATTTCATTTCGCATGAAATAACATGGGAAATATTGTTTTCCCCTTTATCGAAAAGGAATCACTTATTCCTTTAAGGGGTTAACTATGTGTCAAAACACAACACATTGATGCAAGAAAAATTTAAAAAGCAGGGGTGGAAGGGGTTGAAATTCAGGAAAACATTTCAGAAAAAACATGTGGGTAGGTTGTTTGCATCTTCTCTGTCTCAAAGTCATAATTATTTTATCATCTCTATGAGTGCTTTTCCTGGAGGTAATGCATTGGTCTAAAATATGCACCTGTTTAAATCCCCAGAAAATAGCCAAAATCCAACATATGACTGTCCGAAATCTATTGTGATACTAGGATGATTATATTAAGGGGGAAATCATTTTCTTTGAAATAAGAAGCATATAATATGTATGTGCTATTTTGGAGATATAAAACGTCAGTTTTTCAACTTTAAACAGCTTTACAGGGCCTTGTGATTGGTATAAAAATATAGAACCAATAAAGTCACATTTTCTCCCAATAGATGGTGCTTCAAGTTGCTGTGATGCGGCTATGCGGCAAATGCTAATCTATCAAACTCAAAATAAAAAAATAATCAGCTATACAAATGTATATGTATTTGATTGCCAACTTTGCAATAATATAAAGTCTGTTATTTAGGCTACTGATCTTTTATCTTCTCTTTATTTTAGGCCATACTGACACTGCAGAAAACAATAGCCATGGATCCAGCACTCCATAAGCAATTGACAGAACTCATAGAACAACTGACCCACTCTGGTGAGGCCAATCTTGAATCTGGTGTGATGAAACAAATTAAAAACATTTGCCGGAAGTCAGATTTATACGTTGAGCTAGCATTTGACAATGTTATGATCGAGTTACAACAAGACCATGCTGAAATAAGATTATCAGCGTTTCAGATTATCAACGAACTGTTCACACGATCGCATCGTTTTCGAGAACTTTTAATTCAGGATTTTCATAACTTCACCGAACATGCAACAAATGTGAATCCTGATAATCCGTTGCCCAAACCGAAGCCTGTTGCTAAGATACTTCATACTAAAGCATTAGAGACAATACAACAATGGAAAGATAAATACGGAGAAGCATACAAAAAATTAACTCTTGGATATCACTATCTGAAGCAGTGTAGAAAAGTCGACTTTGATGACATGGAAGCACGTTCTGTTGCCGAGCGACTTAGACAACAAGAAGAGGAAGCCAGAAAAGAAGCAATAATTAATGAAAAGTGTAAAACAGTGCTAAAGCAAATGGAGGAAATTCCCGTTGAGGTTCAGAGTGCCCTCACAGAAATGGACAGCTGTTATAAACTGTTGTTGCCTGATCCTGAACAGTTCACCTTTCATGAAGCTGAAAAAGACAATGATGATAAGGACCATGATGACAAAAACAATGATCATAAAGACGATGATTATGAAGACAATGAATACACAGACAATGATGACAAAGACAATGATGATGAAGACAATGATGAAAAAGATGATGATGAGAAAGACAATGATGTAGGTATTAGTAGTCATGGTAATTATGATAGGAAAGATACTGAGAAGGCATGTGAACTCAGAGATGAATGTGATCAAAACCCAAATGATCATCAAAATATCCCAACTGAAAATAATGGCAACAATGATAGAGATAAAACTGCTACAAAAAGGGATGCAACTAACTGGACAGAGACGGAGGACAGTGATGCTAAAAGGATGAAAAGTGTCATTGAATTAGAAAATGGTGACACAAAAAATAAAAGTGATGACGATAGAGATAGTGACAAAGAGTATGATGATGACGACATGCTAGGTTTGACTACTCAAACAATGCGGGAGAGAGGCATTGGTTCTCAAAGATACGCTGTAGAGATACAGCTAGACACATCTATGTTAACTGTTGTCGAGAATAATGACAATACAGACATTCTCAGTACACTGACAGATTTATATAGGCTCACAAAGGGTAAATATTTACCCAGAATAGGGCAGTGGTTAGATCTCTTAACAAAGGGAGGTAAATATGAGACCCAGATTAAACGAGCAATCGACATAAAGCAAGCTCTACTCAGTGCAACAAATAAATATGAAAAACTAGACATTAGGTTCATGCCTCAAGTTAAAGTCCAAACTGACTCCAACCGTGATAGCGATAGTGATTCAGATTTTGAAGATGTAGCTGAGAAAGAGGGGTTTGAGGCTGATATTCCCGAGCATCTTAGAGAAGACTATGGAATCTTGCCTTCTACAAAACCTGCTTATCAGGAGATTGATATGTTCGCTGGTAGTGGAAACCTTGCAGATAATGATCTAGATTCAACTATTATGAAAACCAATGAGAGAATACAAAAGAGATTGCAGTCAGGGCCTAGCTCCTCTAAACCTAGAGGTAGTGCATTATTATCTAAGCCACCAAGTGCAGCGAGTAGTTCCCAAGGGGCAAGCGATGTTCCTGTTGTGCCTTATGGAGTTGATCTCTTCCATTGGGAGAATAGAGATGAAATCAAACCCACTATAGTCAGATATGATTCCCTTCATAGATTCTGGACTCCCAGAGAAAATGACGAGCAAATTGATAAAGAAGCTGAAGCAGCAATGAAAAATCGTGTCATTAATTTCACAGGTGAATTCCAACCTGTACAGTGGAGCTGTAGGGCCTTGTTGAGTAATGGCAGACTGTGCCCTAGAATGGATAGAATCAAATGCCCGTTTCATGGTAAAATAATAGGACGGGATAAAACAGGAGCCCCGAGTAACCCTAATGACTGCCCCAATGACAAAGCAGTTGCAGGTAAAGCAGCCTCAAGTACTACTACAAGGGCACAACCTAGTCAAGCGACAAGTAGCGAGACACAAGATTGGCGTGATCCAGAGCTCCAACGGGACATTGAAGCTGCAACTGGGATCAACCTCACACAATCTAAAAAAGGAAAGGGTCGCGGGAAAAAAACCTCTAATTTGACAAACATTAACAAATTGGAAAATACATCTCGGAAAAGATTGGAGAAAAAAGTGTTAAATGCGCGAACTTTAAAAAGAGTTTCTGGTAAACTTGATCAAATTGATCAGAAATTGGCAAGAGATAAATTTGCTAGTAATTTCAATTACTCCATGTAATTATGGTGGGGACATATTGTTATAGTCTCCAGCTTTTGTGTTTGGTGTTCTTCGTCTGTAACAAATGGCAGGTAGAGACATTTTGCATGTTAATGCCATGTTGTTATTACAAAGAAACTTGTTTAATACTGTACAAGGTGATCCAGACAAAGTATGTTAATAAAACAGTCATTCAGCATGGGTTTATCAGTTTATAGTCATATTTAGCACGCTTAAGTCTTGTTAAATTTTTTTTTTCATTTTACCATCTATCTAGGCCTATCCCGAATGGTCAAGATTTTATGGCCACTTACAAACATGTCCCCAAATGCCAAAACATACCAGACATGAATCCCACCTGATTTATTTTTGGGGTTTAATGTCTAAAGTAACAACCCTTGAAACAAGAGATAAGATGTGAGCCATTACACAAGATGTCTATTTGTTTAGAGAACAATTTCGCTTGATACATTCTAGTTTGCCTCCAGACATGACACCGGAATATTATACCATGTTTTGTAAATTGGCCATTAAAGCTCGACTATTGAGAATAGACCAATGATACATGGTATGAAAGAACATTGAACAAGGTTTAATTGTGCTTAATATAACCTTAAACCCATGCTAAATGACTGAGTTATTAACATTTGTTTGGGTTACCTTTTTGGCTCACCCTGTATGAACACCTGCTAATGTGAACACCTTGAAATGTGAACACCTGTTAATGTGAACACTTTTGGCTAGTCCCAGTGGTGTTCAGATTGGTCAAGTTTTACTGTATTTCATAACAAGATATTTTGTGAATTGAAGCGAGAACATGAGAAATTGAGTATTGATAGCACATGGGTGCAATAGTTTTCTTATGAAAATCATGTACATTTGGGATGATGTTTCATTCATGTTTCTAGTCTCTCATGAATAGTACAATAACGTCATTTCTAAGGGCAATATTAAACAAATACTGGATGATCAGGAGCTGGATATGGCAGAATATCTATTCGAGAAAAAATATTGGGCGAGGCGGTAGCCGAGCCCAATATTTTTTCGAGGATAGGTATTCTGGCCATATCCAGCTCCTGATCATCCAGTATTTGTTTTATTATGCACCTCCCAATCAAAGTTAAGTGGAGTACTTACTGGAGTACAGGCTTAAACTGTCGTTTAGTTGACATTATTTTGACATTTATTTATTTTTTCTTTCAAAACTCAGACGACTTCCGGCCAGTTTATTCGCTACACTGGAGGAAAATATTTGCCCCGGGAATTTAATTTTTATTTATTCGATACGTTCTTGCAGAATTATATGTAACTTTTGAATGATAAGGGTAATTGTGATTGATTAAGTGCATTTTTTCTTCTATTTTCCGCCAGTTTCAGATGTAAGCTTTAAGCAGTACTCCAGTTATTAAGAAATAAAACTCTGAAGTGGGAATGTTGCAAAAACATTGAAAAAGATATCCGACCCTTTTTCTCGAAAGGGTCAGATATTAAAAAAATATCCGGCAGTTTTCAGAAAAGAGCAGAGTATTGCCAAATTACAAGCAACTAAGAACCAATCAGATTTGAGTATTTTAATGAGGTGCATAATAAAAATACTCAAATCTGATTGGTTCTTAGTTGCTTGTAATTTGGCAATACTCTGCTCTTTTCTGAAAACTGCCGGATATTTTTTTAATATCTGACCCTTTCGAGAAAAAGGGTCGGATATTTTTTTCAATGCCCACTTCAGAGTTTTATTTCTTAATAACTGGAGTACTACTTAAAGCTTACATCTGAAACTGGCGAAAAATAGAAGAAAAAATGTACTTAATCAATCACAATTACCCTTATCATTCAAAAGTTTCATATAATTCTGCAAGAACGTCTCAAATAAATAAAAATTAAATTCCCGGGGCAAATATTTTCGTCCATTGTAGCGAATAAACTGGCCGGAAGTCGTCTGAGTTTTGAAAGAAAAAATAAATAAATGTCAAAATAATGTCAACTAAACGACAGTTTAAGCCTGTACTCCAGTAAGTACTCCACTTAACTTTGATTGGGAGGTGCATAATAAAACAAATACTTGATGATCAGGAGCTGGATATGGCCAGAATACCTATCCTCGAAAAAATATTGGGCTTGGCTACCGCCTCGCCCAATATTTTTTCTCGAATAGGTATTCTGCCATATCAAAAGTAAGAAAAAATATTGGGCTTGGCTACCGCCTCGCCCAATATTTTTTCTCGAATAGGTATTCTGCCATATCCAGCTCCTGATCATCCAGTATTTGTTTAATATTGCTCGCAGAAATGACGTTATTAGTATTATTACCACCGTTAATGACCAGGACTGAAACAGCAAGAAAATCTTACGCATTGAACGATATCTAATTTCCCGGGGAAAATTGCCGGTCCAGAATATATTCTAGACCGGTCCATATGGACCACCACAATGACGTCACACATTTCTCAGGTCGATATAGTAAAATAAACGCCTTCTAAACTAGCACTAAAACCCCTAGAACTGGCCCGGCAAGGTGGTAATAATGATCATTTATTAATGTATGTTTGCTGTATTTATTTGCAACCAAAGTAGGGAAATCCTTGAAGTGAATGTCAGTTCTGTAACCTTCTATAGCCTTGTGACATCACTTCAGTACAATTGACAGGAAATAGATGAAATGAGCTTCCTTTTACATTGTTATTGTTAATATCTAAATAAGTACATTTATGAATTTAATGTACATGATGTAAGACATTTTATATTGTTTATATCTTGCAGTACATCATTTGAAATATTTGGTTTTGATTGGTCAATACCTAGCAATGCAATTATTACGTATTTGGAATATTATGTCACTTAATGACATCATAGTACTGAGTGAATAAGACTGAAAAGTTGATGGAATACAAATTTGCTGGAGTTTTTTACATTTTCTCCAGACCAAAGTCTCTGAAAGTTTTAATTACAGACCACTCCGTTTGGTGAACCATTAAATTGTATCCCACATGCAGTGACAGTTTATATTGTTGGGATATGATTTAAAAGTCAACCTCAAGATAGGTCAACAGTAATAATTATATACAACTTAACCAATCAGATTGGAATATTTCTACATTGTACCAACATTTGTTTTCAATGTTTCTGATTTTATATGAGAATGTATCATTTAAATTATATTTATAATTTTTACATAAATGAATTTTTACTGTAGTATAATATACACTTTTGTATATGTGAATTAATTGAATATCTACAAAGTAGTTATGTTGTAGAAACAATTGTAATCACAATAAATGAAATTTTGATTTGTTATTAAAAATATTTGAATTGCTTTTGATAAAATGATATGTAAAGCATGGATGAATGATGTTAATAAAACAATTGTTACTAAAAAATTAATTTAAGAAATTGACAAAAAAAACTTTTCCTCCAATGAAAACGCCATGGGCTCATTTTGAAAGTAACGGTAATAAATGGCCAATTGATTATAGAATGGAAGGGTTTCTGCGAAAATAATTCCCCTAAACTCATGATTCCTTGGCACAGACGCAAGAAAGGTTAGGCTTAAACAGGCCTAAATTACTGAATATTATCTTTTTATTACCAATTATAATGTTCATAGATGCCAGCTGACCTGGTGATGACCACTAGCAAATATGTGATACGCCTAACTCACATGTCAATATACATTCTAAATATTTGAAAGTTAAATGGTAATGTTTTATTAAAGGGAGAGTAACCAAAGAGGAACATTTATTTTTATGACTACCCATCCAGGAGTCCTTCTAATAATACAACAGACAATGTATAGAAACAATGACCATATCATGTCATTTTTCTTGTCTATGTTTTCTTCAATATTTCTGTTTCTATTCTAAATGGCCTGATTTCTCCTTTCTCATAACCAGAAGTTCACTGAACGAAAAACATGTCAAATTCCCAGGGATCTTGGCAAGTATATAATTTAGTAATTTTTTTCAATTCGCCAAATAAAAGACAAATCCAGTAATCAGTGTACAAAAAGATTTGAACTAATATCTTGCTCACTTCTCGTGTTTTGAAATTTTTTGTTATGAAATGAGACCAAAACTCGAGATTTAAATGATGAAGTGAAAAGTAATCACAATATGACTCCATATATGGCAGAATATTGAGTTGGAACCCTGGAAGCCAATACTCCTAGCTAAACTGCTGTTGTTTTGAGGCACCTTCAATCAACACATTTAACAGAAGTCCTACTTTAATGTTTTGTAGATTTATTCCACTCTCAGAAGCTCCACTAATACATGCTACATACACTGGACAATTCATCCAGTTTGATTTCATTTAGTCATTAAATAAATTAATGGTTGTGTATTCAAAGGGTTTTGCCCAAAATTAGTGTCCAATTTATGTCAAGTTAATTTACTATGGACCAGGGGATAATTTCAGCAGAGGTCTTAAATGAACACATTGAAACAAGGCATTTAATATGCAAAATGTCACAACCTGCCATTTGTTACAGATGCCAAACACAAACAGCCAAACACCATCTACAACAAAGGGTGGAGACTATAACAATATGTCACCACTTGTTTTGTAGTCACTTGTAGTGTCATTGATTAAATTGAGCGCTGTGTTTCATTCTGAGAAATAATGTCACTGTATAGGAAACTGCACAAGGGCAAGTAGACAGATCCCATTTGCCACCTTAAAGCTAATACTGTATTGATTAACATACAGTTCTTTTTGAAGTATACTGGATGGCCAATAATGCACATATTCATTGGTCTAAGAATGAGTCAGCTTCTTTAATAAATACATGTTATCAGGGAGACAAATGCAATACAGTTTTTCCATAGTACATGCTCCATCTCCTCTTAGCACAAACAAACATTTTATTTGGCATTAATAATCTGATAGAATTAGACACAATCAGTTTCATAAATAAAATAAAATGAACATATCATTTTTATCTGACCAACAACTCAAAGTGCTGGTAACATAATTAAAGTTTTCTGACCATTCAAATCACAATCAAAGTCCAAAGTGTCCGGCATCTTTATTCAAGTGTTGTAAATTCCTCCATTATTTTCGCAATCAGAATTGGAGAAAATTATTTATCAGTTTATAATCACATTTAAATAAATATGTTCCTAAATGCTTGGATGACATCCATGAATTGTTGCATCAAATTGTCTATCTTTTCCGTGAACTTTTCCGAGTTCCTGACCCTCTTCCTCTTTTGCCTCCTCTCCCTCGTCCTTTACCCTTGGGACTCACAGTCTCCTGCAAAAAAGTATCACTTAACTTTAGATGGTGTTTCAAGTCATGTTCAAGAGGATAGGTATATACATATTATAACCAGGGTCCTTATAAGTTGGTATACAATCTGAAGGGTCGATACAAAACGCATCCACCTTTTGTTGAATATGTTCAATATTAGTTCCACTGAAACTGTATTACTCTTCACAATTAGGTAATTTTCATCTGATATGTTTTAAGTACTATAGAATGTGCAGTGTTATAGAATGAACACTTACAGGCTCATCCTCCTTGTGTTCAGGAGTTGCTTCTTTAGCTTCATCAGTTGTCTCCACTGCTTCTGCAGTTGCTTTATTGGCTTCAGAAGCTGTCAATGTATCCTCAGGAGTTGTTTCAGCTTTTACAGGATCACCACTTTCAACTTCTTTTGGTTCTTCCCCTGAAATAATAACATTTGGAATCATTTCATGCCTGATGATATGGTTTTGATACAGAGATGGTCCTGAATCATTAATAGAAATATGGTCCAAAGGTTGAATGAAGTAACTAGCCCATATAATGAGATATCTCAGTACTTAATTAATATGTACGATTCCATATAAAACATGTATGTTTACTTTTCCTTTCCAGTTAATTCAAATGACCAATTTCTTCTTCTGGTACTACACAAATGATACAAGTAACAACAAAAAGATAATCAGTTGGAACATAACGAGCATGCAAATACTTACGTGTCAGATCAGATTTTTCTGTATTACTGCTGTCTGTATCCTGAGCTTTTTCATACCCAGTATCTGATGGCTCAGTTTTAATCTTAGTCTCGCCAGGAACTGGTTGTTTGATGGTTGTAGCCTCAATTTCAGATTGGCTAGGAGTCTCAGGTTGGGTTGGTGTTGAAGTCTCAGGTTGTGCAGATACGCCAGGTTCTTGTTTAACAGTTACACCTTGAGTGGACGGGGTGGATAGATCAGCTTTATTATTCGTGGTAGACTGAAACAGAAAACATATATGTAATTATTTTTCACTTTTCATTTATTCCATGGTAAAACGTTCAAATATAATACAATAGTCTTGCCTTAGTTTTCCAGCATAATTGGCAATAAACAAACATGTCAACTTGGAAGTAACAAAAATGGTATAGATGGAGTACACAATATAAATGGTGAGGAATGCTTCAATTATATATATGTAATTATTAATTTAATTGAAATTATTACTTTGAAGAGACATAAATCTTCCCTAACTTAAAATAATCTGCCTGATATAGAAAACTCATATAAGAGATTATAAGTCCATCAACTGGATTGAGTTTGTACAGTATACAAAGATATTTACTACACACCTGTTTAGAGGCAGCTTGTGCCTTTCTCTTCTCTTCAATTCTCTTGATTTCTTCCTTTCGTCGCTCTTCTGCCATTTTCTGTTTTCTCTTTCGCTCATCTTCAAGTTTTTGCTAGAATGGAATTGGAAACCTCATCATTTCAATTAATTGAACTACTCAAGTGTTGGCTTATGATCCATCTACATGAAGTCTGGCAAAGAAGCAAAATAAATGTGCACACAATTTAGACAATGTATACAGTTTCAAAGTATTGTAAATTGGCTAAAAAAAGACAATTACCCTTCTTAATTTTTCTGCCTCTTCTTTTTGTTTCCTAATCTTCCTATCAGCCTCATCTTTTTGCCTCCTCTTTTTAGTTTCCTCCTCCTCTTTTTGTCGTCTTTCTCTATTCTCCTCGTCTTCTTTCTGTTTATTGATCCTCTCTTCCTCCTCTTTCTTTTGCCTCTTTGCTCTTTCTTCCTCCTCTTGCTGCTTGGACTCCTCCTTCTTAAACTCCTCTGGTGATCTCTCCAAGACATTCAGTATAGCTTTAGGAATATGGACCCTCTGAAATATAAAACATTCAGAATAGTTTCAGAAATACTTCCATGTTCTCCTGAAATATAAGATACTCAGTATATAATTTTGGGGTGGTTTTGTACCCAATGAATACACAGCACATAAGGCTATATACCTCGTAAGTACATCATATTAGGCCACACTTCTAGAACATACATGTATATCATACATTGGGCTACATTGTACATGGTGAGAACACCATACATTAGGTTAAATACCTGATGAATATACCATACATAACAGTAACAACATCCTGTTGAGTATATCATACATTAGACTACATATCTTGCAACTATACCAAACATTTGCCTATACAGCAGTATAATAACCACTTAGTACATCAAATCTTAGGCTACATATCTGGTTTGGTGTACTGATTAACAAGCATACCAAACATATATAACCACTTAGTACATCAAACTTTAGACTACATACCTGGTTTGGTGTGAACTGATTGACATGTTCGAGGAGAGGTTCCCTCATCTCGGGGCACGTCTCAAACGTGTTCCTGAGTTGGGGGGCTGGTAGTTGTAGCAGAACCTGGTAGGACTGTGGCTGCGTTCTCTGACAACACTTTATAAAGCCCTCCCACACCCTTTTCTGCTTCCAAACCTTCAACAGTGAGGAGCATAACATTGATTTACATTCTTGTCAACTTTAAAATAAATCAAGCCTAACATGAAAGATGATGTGCCTTTCTTTTCAAAATTTATGTATTCAGATGAGGCCCCAAATTATTATTCAAATGTCTAATGATATCATAATTAGATCATGAATATTACAACTATTTAAATTCTCTTTTTATTTTTAAATTTGTTCAATTATCAGTTACATCTCTTAGATAAGCATTGTCTACTTCAAAATGAAAAGTGACTTGCGACCAAAACATAAGTTGTGACAGTTCCAGAAACGGATACCAATATTAAGTAGGTAAACTGAGATGTTCAGTTTTGTAAAAATAGTCAAAACTACTGACAGAGCAACTTTAAATTTAGCTTTACATGCTTTGCATTATTTTTCAAAATCCATGCATTCAAATGGGATCAAAAATATTATTTAGATGTCTAACATATTTATATCATGACAATTACAAATCCAAAATTTCTCTTCCAATGGGCCACTTTGAACTAAATTTATACAAATCATTGTATGTCGACGTTAATCCTAAATTCAAATGTACAAAGTAGGTTATGTGAGATGTTCAGTTTTCTAAAAATGGTCAATTAGGAAAAATAAGTCTACCAACTGTACATACCTGTTTGGTGATAAGCCTAGTGAGTATGTTCATGACAAGGCCAATGATCCTTGGGTGCATGGAGAGGGACTGGAGGACAGTCCTCATGAGCAGGGTAGGAATAGGACTGATCTCCATTAATTGCTTCAGCACGATACACAATACCTCCTGTGTGTAGATAGACTTCTCTTGGAAGCAGAAGTTAGTTGCTGAAAATATGTGGAACAAGTAAATAAGAATTTTCTAACTGAAGGCTCATCATAGTGGGAATGTACCTTAATACAGGGTGATCCAAAAAGCAGTACCCATAAGATTTATTCAAAGATTTTTGGGTCCTGTCTTTTGGGCCACTCTAAACCAAGATACATGTATACTAAATTTTAATATACCGATGCTGTATATTGGATTCGGAATCCAAAATTGAATCAAAGATACCTGATTCAAGAATACCTTTAAATACAAATTGAAGCGAAACAGACAATAGGATGCAAGAATTTACTGACCTTTGATGATTGTTTTCATATCGCAGATTTCAGGATCCAGGATATGCAGAGCCACCAGGAGGTCTGCAGGGCTTATGGGGCTGGAATAGTGGCCACCTCCCTCTCCCTGGGACCCACCTAGCAACCGGTGAAACACCTCCTTGACAACCACTGGGTTCAGCTTGATAAGCTTTGGTAATGCTGATATAACCTCTGACTGTAACATTTTACAACATTTTATCATTAAGTAAAATACAGAAATAGCCTCAAATATGTTGTAATGCGAAAACATGCCTCTTGGGTAACAGTAGAAACTACTTTTTTTCTTATTACTATTTTAGTAAATGGATGTAACCACAAATTCATTAAAATTCAAATACTCCTACAGCTATGCATATTTGACAGTCAGTTGAATCAAAATGTTACCTTTGCTAGGCCTGTTAGGACAGGTATAAGGAATCTAACATCTGAGACACGTTTCTGGTAGAGATCTCTCACGCTGCGTACCAGTTCAGGAGATGGGGTACCTTAAACAAAAATACTTTGTACATTTATGTGCTTGTAACATTTGTTTGGCCCATGATAATGCGATTTCTTTTGAAGTAATTCTTAATGATGAAGATTATAAATCCTACATAAAACATAGTCTTTTGAAAATAACCTATGAATCCACATGAAATTAAAATGCATTAGATCATATAGAATAAATAAGCCATTTACCTTTGTCTGTGAGTATATGAATGACACGAGTTACAAGAGTTTCTGCTCCTTTGGGGCAAGTCTGCACAAGGACTAGCAACTCAGGGGAGTCCATTCCCATGGCCTTCACTGGGGTCTCCAGCATACGCAAGATTGGCCGTTTGATTTCAGCTATAGCCTCCGTGTACATAAGAGCTAACCTAGAATAACATGAGGTAAAAAGCTATGGGAGAGCCATGAATGTACTTCTATGTACTGGCAATAGATTTCGGCTTTTTTACTGTTGCCCTAGAAGGCATCAGGTCCATCGTGGTAAGCCACGCCCTCTCCATCTCTATCCTTCCGGAGATGCAACAGAGAGAGATGCTATGAGTATCAGAATGCATCAGGTCTGTTAATGCATAGTTCTGTTAGTCTGACAGACTATGAATATGAAGAAAATATTAAGCGATGTTAACATAATCTAATGAGCAATCTGAACACTCATTTTCACAAATTCCATGTAGTTTTATCCCCTTACACTATTAATCAAAAAATATATATCACCAGTTAACAGTTAATATTTTTGACCACCCCTTAACCAATCAGAATCATTTTAGGTGCATCAAATGTTTAAACGCATCAAAAATCTGCTTTATCTAAAACTTATATCATATATACAGTACCAATATTTTTTCAAGAAAATAGAATAAATTTTAAATTAGTTTAGGTTATAATAAACATTGTATTTCTTGCCCATGTGGAACATCCCTCAACCATGGATAAGAACACAAAATGAGATTGAAAATATTGCACAGGGGTTGATCTATATACCTATATCTATGATTCTGGGAAGAAGGATAGCCCTATATGATCAATATCTTTTTATATATTATTTTCATGGCATATTAATGGGGGGGGGGTTGAGATGGGTTTAGTTGTGTTGAAGAAATTTCTGTTCCATCAGGTGCTTATCAATTCCATTCTTGAATTGATTTATATAATGAATGATGATGAAAGTTATTCACAATCCATTCAGCCCTAATTTATAAATCAAAGTCGCAATTACATCCACAAACCTTAAACTAGTGAACTTTTCTGTATTTGCCAATCTACTTGAACTTTTTATTTTCTTAAATCAATAGTGCATTAAAAATAAATTCATGAAGTTAAAGTTCAAGTCATTATATGAAACATTTTGTAAATAAAACTATAAATAACATGAGTAATATGTGACATCTAGAATGTCTTAAGTGTGTCTAAAGTCATGTGTGACGAAGTCACAGTTGAATTCACTGGTCACTCTACTTATTTCACTGTACATCAGTTAATGTCATCATGATCTTTCCATGTATACATGTTTATGAATATTGCGTTATTTTTATTATGGGATCTGCCAGTTTAATATTTGTATTACAACAGTTGTTTGGGTAATCTTTGAACTTAGAGTAATATTTTGTAGTACTAACCATTTAATTTCTTATATTTTAGCTTCAGATTGAAGTAGTTTTTATGTGTTACCAAATGTGATAAGATTTTTAACCAATTAAACGACAGAATTCTTGTTAAGATAAAAATGACAGACAATGATATATGATGAGAAACTTTGCAATGTTTTCTTTCAATGTTTATATGTTTTCATTATTGTTGGCAGAACAGTGAAAAATACAAGTTTTTATAAATAAAGTAAAAACTCATTAGCCTTAAAGATCTTGAACATAACTAACCAAAACCTATATATTAGTGTATAAACTTTATAAATGTATATATCTATATAATCTGTATCACATTACATTAATAACTGTGTACTTTTTAGCATGTAAATGTACATAAAAATACTTGTTTCGGACTTTAATGAACTAATAGGTTAAATGAGATAATTGGATAGTACATCCAGAGTTCACGAGACGAGATTCAGAGGTTTTGTCTACGCATTCCTTTCCCACCAAATTCTGCCAAATTCTCAAACTTTCAGTAAACATCCAAGATTCATGGGCAGAAAATCATCACTATTCCTTATTGACTTTCTATAAAATTAAACATTCATTTTTCGGCCAATTTTAGTTAATGAGATTTCTTCATATTTTATTGGATAAGACCTCTTATTTCGGCTCTGCCCACCTCAAAATTAACATTATAAAAGAGGCATTTTTAGCACTGAAACCTCAGATTCTCGTTACGTGAACTCGGACCGAGCAACAACTGTAAGTAACAACTTGAATTTATATTTTGGACTTAAACTTTTTCTATAATAAATTAATATTTTAAATTACATTTGGTTTCATGTTTTGTAAAAGATAGAGAGGCTCAACTTCGCCACACATGTACATATTTTCCACCTGAGTTAATGAAGTTATTCGAATTTGTTTATATTAAAAACATTTATTCTCTAAATAAAAAAAGTACTTGTTAACACTTGACACTTTAAAAAGTGTATCATAGCCTCCTAAATAATTGGAATGTCTATAAATATTTAAATATCATCTTGATTTTCAGGGTTTCAATTGTTCTATTCCTTTATATTAGACCTTGCAGAAAGCTACAAATGTTTAACTGGGTTTTACAATATTTCTTGCCAATACCTCTGTTTACTCTCTAGTTATCCTTTAACATGATCAGTCGACATATATTGCAGAGAACAATATTGGGTCAACACCTTCCTTGTTTTGAACAGTATGTACTTCAATGGATGTTTATTGCGGTTAAATCACTGGGAAGGGCATTTAATAAAACACTAAAATGTAAACATTGAATTAGAACTTGAATGTCTGAGTAGCAAGAATTTAGGATGTTGACAGTTTGAACTACTGAGATATAGCGGTAAACATTCAAAATTATTCAAAACACGCTATAAAATCAAACAAGCCTACAGTGAACCTGATAGAAGTAAAGGACTACATTATGGCTTTGTACAACTGGGTAGGTATTTAAATATCATTAATATGAGTTACCTTTGCTCTAGTTATTTTAAATTCTCTTAAAGGTGTAATATCTTTTAATACAATGTACACTCATATAGATGTCCTAAAAAGCAACATTTCTTAACACAACCTTAATTTTTGTGAAGTAAATATATAGTATCCATAAATAACTGTTTTTACAATGATGATGCAAACTAGTCACAGCTTTAGAAACTGTATACCCTCATACTTTACATTTCAGAATTGGAACACAATCGTGATCCTGTTGGGGATCCAAGTGTTCCACCTTGAGGTATGTGTTAGTGGAGTTACAGATTCACCATCTGATATAATAGAGTTGGACCTTTCCTTCAAACCTCACCCTAACCTCACTGAGGGAATGTTCTCTAACTACACAAACTTGAAAATACTCAGACTCAGTGCCACAGGCATATCAGAGATAGAGGATGGATCCTTTTCTGGGTTGCCCTCCCTAGAACGCTTGGAGATGTACAAGAACCGCCTTACAATCTTAAAGAATGCTACTTTTGGGAATCTCTCAAATCTCAAGGTACTATACATTGCTGAAAATGCATTATCAACTGTAGAGTCTCACACATTTTCTGGTTTAGAGAGTTTAGAAGAGTTATACCTGAGAGGGAACTATCTCACTGTGTTGACAGATAGCTTATTCAGTAATCTTAATAACTTAGTGAAACTGGACCTGGGCTACAATGATATATATAGAATTGAGGCCAACACCTTCTTTCAATTACATGCTTTAGAAACACTCCTCTTGCAAAGGAACAATTTAACAACAGAAGTTCTGAAAGGGAGACTGTTCAGGAGTTTGAGTAATCTAAAAGATCTAAAACTGCAACAGAATATGATATCAAATCTTGAAGCTGAAATGTTTTCTGGTCTTGATAGCTTGGAATTTTTATACCTAGGTGAAAACAAGTTGAAAGTACTGACAAATGGCTTGTTTGAACACCTAGCAAGTCTTAGTGATGGCCTTTTTATCAATGACAATGAAATAATAGAGATAGAAACTGGAGCTTTTGCTGGTTTAAAAGCATTGACGTCTCTTTGGTTGAGAGGGAATAGGTTAACAAAATTAAAGAGTGGTACATTCCAGGATTTAACGAGCTTGTATACGCTAATCCTCGTAAACAATAACATATCTGAGATAGAATCAGGGACATTCGATGGCTTAGAATCATTGCAGATCTTCTTGGACAACAACAACCTGAAATCCATCAGTCGAGATATCTTAAAAAACATTCGAACATTGTGGTCTTTGGGACTAAATGGCAATGGGTTATCAGAGATTGTGCCTGGAACTTTTTCTGATCATCAAACATTATACAACTTAGGTTTAGGTGCAAACAAACTTACACATTTAAAAAATGGAATTTTTGAGAAATTAACTGAACTTGATGGTCTTATATTATCAGATAATAACCTAACTGAAATTGAGGCAGACGTCTTTAAGGACCTGACAAGCCTGACCTATCTTAACATTAGTAACAGCCAGTTGAAGGAGCTACCACCTGGTATATGTGAATACATGCCCCAATTGAGAACAATTAACTTAACATTGAATTACATCACAGGAATACCTTCAAACATCACTGATGAATTTGGCATAACTGATGCAGCAGCCCTAAAACACTTAATTTGTTTACCTCCCAAAATCACAGTAATACAGGCTATTGTCCAAAATGAAACCATCTTGATTTTATGCTCTGCTATTAACTACCCTGTACCAAGTGTTGTTTGGTCAGTAGGTGGTTTTTCACCCAATGTGGAACAGACTGAAGGAAGGACATCCACTATGATGACATCTATATATGTGACAGGGGATGAAATATACGAATGTAATGCTACTAACACGTATGGTTTTGATTCTGCAACTGTAACTATCACAGCAAATGCCGATCACACTAACATCACCACAATCTACTCTAATGGTACTTCATGGCATGACTCATTCATCCATGAACAGGTCGTTTCCTCCACTATTACAGAATATGACACATCTACATACAGTAACCCAACAGCCACCAGGGTACTACATACAAGCCCAACATTTGACCAGAAAGAGTTCACCACCAAGGGGGAACCAGAAATAACAGACATTGGTACATCAAGAGGCCCCGTAACAGAACTCAATACTGATTCAAAATTCAATGGACTTAACTCCACAACAACTTCCATATTTCAAGGCAAACCTGAAAAACCAGCAGAGAACCACTCTCTTGTGCTGGGTTTAGGTATTGGGATCCCAGCTGCTGTATTGTTTCTGATTATACTGCTGTGTATTATTCTGACCAAAAAACGAAATATCAAGCAATACAACTTTGAGCTGAACTGATTATTGTTCATATAATACAATACAATAGGAATATGAACCACAGTGAACAATAATACATACATGGTTCTGAGCCAATAATACGCTAGAAAAACAGCAACTCCACGGAGTAGCAAACCCCATAGAACAAAACATATTTTGATATTTAATGGCCAAACGGACAAACAAACTAATGGACTGACAGACAAATGCACAGACAGCTTCTCTATATCCTTACCACTATGAACTTCATTCAGTGTGGTAATTATATGGTTATTATCATGTATTATAACTTATTGAATGATTTGAAGTGCAATACAGGATATATTCTGCTCGAGAAATTCCGTATTGGAACGAGACATGGTCCTGTGACAATTGTTGTCATAGTAGCTGATTGTTGATAGCCTTTGCAGTAGATGCCTTTATCAAATTTAAATAAATACCAGAATGCTGAATTAAAGACTATTTCTAACTGGATGAAATCTAATAAATTAACTCTTAATGTAGAAAAAACAAAATATATGATATTTAATAAAAAGAAGGATCCTTAAAAACAATATTGTTCTCAAAATTAATGAACAACCTATAGAAGAAGTTAAAGAAATCAATTTTCTAGGTGTCATTATTGATTCAAAGCTGAATTGGTCATCTCATATAAATGCTATCTGTACAAAAATTCCTAACTTGATAGGACTTCTCTACAAGACTAGACATAGACTGACTTTAAATACAATGACCACTATCTATTACTCCATGATATATTCCTACTTAAGCTATTGTAACCTTTTATGGGGAAATGCCATAAAAACTCTTATTCAAAAATTGTTTGTTCTGCAAAAGAAATTCTTAAGAGTTATCACTTATTCTGATCGTCTAGCTCCTTCAGGACCTCTCTTTTCAAAACTAAAAATATTGAATATATTTGACATCAATAAACTACAAACCGCTAGATTTGTTCAGAAAACTGTTTCAGAATCACCAGAATTTGCTTTTCAAAAGTTCAAACATTTATTTGTTCCAGGAACAGCAATTCATAATCATGACACAAGAATTAATAAGAATTTAACTGTAAAAAAATTCAGAACAGAAATTGGAAGAAAATCAATTGAAACAAGTGGCCCATTACTTTACAATACTCTTTCACTTGATCTCAAAAAGTCTAAACATATCAAATCATTTTAACTTAAAAATGCTTTCTTCTTATTACTTGTTTTTTATTGTGATGCATTTTATGCTTTGTCATTTTTTTTTGTTTCCATATAACCTGACTGTTAATTTAATAAATGCTATATTGTATGTTAAACATGGAACTTATACACCCCTCGGGGTGTATTTTCATGTCAATGTAAAATACTGTATTTGAAACATTTGAAATAAAGTGAATTGAGTTGAATTGAATGAACATAAGAGTGATTCTGTGTTAAAGTTATTTACAGTAAAACCTGCTTTAGTGAACACCTTTCTCTTGTGAACACCTGTGTTAGTGGACTCCACTTCAAGAAATATTTGGACACAGGCCACCAAACCCCAAACACCAACCGCAGTGATTCTGTGTTAAAGTTATTTACAGTAAAACCTGCTTTAGTGAACACCTTTCTCTTGTGAACACCTGTGTTTAGTGGAGTCCACTTCAAGAAACATTTGGACACAGACCACCAAACCCCGAACACCAACCGCAGTAATTCTGTGTTACAGTCATTTACACTAAAACCTGCTTTAGTGAACACCTTTCTCTTGTGAACACCTGTGTTAGTGGAATCCACTTCAAGAAATATTTGGACACAGACCATCAAACCCCGAACACCAACCGCAGTGATTCTGTGTTAAAGTTATTTATAGTAAAACCTGCTTTAGTGAACACCTTTCTCTTGTGAGCACCTGTGTTAGTGGAATCCACTTCAAGAAATATTTGGACACAGACCATCAAACCCCGAACACCAACCGCAGTGATTCTGTGTTAAAGTTATTTATAGTAAAACCTGCTTTAGTGAACACCTTTCTCTTGTGAGCACCTGTGTTAGTGGACTCCACTTCAAGAAATATTTGGACACAGGCCACCAAACCCCAAACACCAACCGCAGTGATTCTGTGTTAAAGTTATTTACAGTAAAACCTGCTTTAGTGAACACCTTTCTCTTGTGAACACCTGTGTTTAGTGGACTCCACTTCAAGAAATATTTGGACACAGACCACCAAACCCCGAACACCAACCGCAGTCCAAAAAGAAGTTGGAGACTATAACAATATCCCACTTGAGATGGTGACATAATAATTAAATGTAACTTACTCGTGCATCAGTTTGTGGTTGAGTGGTAGGAGGGTGAGATAAAGGTAGAGACATATCTTGATAGTGTCATCTGTCCAAACTTCTCTCACATCTGTAATATAATATGTACTTCCTTAAAGGCAGAATCAGAGTTATGGGGCGACATTTTGCTAGCCATACGTACTCCCTTTAATAGTAGTTTAATAGTATAAAATACAAATATCTTCTTGCAAGCTAGTGTTTAACAATATGACATTTGTATGAAAATGAAAATTGAACCAGAACAACGGCAACGCCAAAGCGTAGCGAATCCCATCGAACAGAAATGGCTGGCATTTTTACAAACGAAGCGCAAATATCATAAAACAACACACCAGAAAGGCCACCATTTTCAAAATGGTTCCTCACTAGCCAAGTTGTCATCAGAAGAAATAATTAGAAATAGAGGGTGTACCATGCTTATAGTATTCACATACCAAATATGAACAAAATCGCTCCACTACTTTTCGAGTTATAGTAAAATACGTTAAAATGGCGGCCATTTTTCAAAATTGTTTTCAAAATGGCCGCCTTCTACCAAAAGTGTCATAGGACAGTGTGCCATGCTTATAGTATTCACATACCAAATATGAACAAAATCGCTCCACTACTTTTCGAGTTATAGTAAAATACGTTACTTTCTACCAAAAGTGTCTTTAGACAGTGTGCAATGCTTATAGTATTCACACACCAAATATGAACAAAATCGCTCCACTATTTTTTGAGTTACAGCAAAAATCGTAAAATGACGAGTAAAGGCCGCCATTTTTCAAGATGGCTGCCATGTGCTTTTTAATATCTACATTTGTAGCATTATTAATGTCCTTTATAATTTTTTTACATTTAAAACATATTGCTATTACAGTTTTACATATTGCACCTAAATTACTGTAAAATCGTCACTAAAATGGCCGCCATTTTGAAATGAGTGGCCATTTTGAAAATCGGCTTTCGAGCAGAATTAGGGTACCCCATAGGGTATATGTGTACAAAATATTAACAAAATCGGGCCAACGGTATTTGAGTTATTGCCCGGACAGACGGACGGACAGACGTACGTACGGACGTACGTACGGACGGATGGACGGAGGCGTTCCCTATATCCCTCCGAACTTCGTTCGATGGGATAATTATAATTTGAATAATATACATAGTCTGTGCCAATCCTGCAGCTACTTGAAAATACATAATGGTTACTAAGCTATATATTTAGAGTTACTAAGTAACATACAACTATTTGTACTTCCATTTTTGCTTTCAACATGTTGTATGATACATTTAGATACTATACATGAGAAATAAATATTGCCACATAATTTTGCAGAGAAAAATAACTGGGTGGGATAAGATATGGTTGCTATGGTTACCTGGCCTTCCTCTATCTTGTCCAAAGAGGTTTCTGGGAGGTTTAGCCTGCAGTAGGTGTTTGATGAATGCAAGAGCATATTTCTGAAACACAAAACAAGAGACACACATTTAATGCATTACTGAAACAATCATGTGATAAAATTCACAATGTTCACTACTCATAAAATATTTTTATAAACTGCAATCATATTTCTTAAGCACAAAGAGAACGAAGATATTGGATCTCTTTTCAACATTTACAATTCAGATACTTTTAAGTCACTAAAAGAGCCACTGGTTTAATGGCACATATGCATTATATTGAAAAGTGCCAGTTTATAGGAAATTGTATATGCAAACTAAAGTACATACCTCTATTGGTCCTTTGAGATCTTGCCTTGCATACAACACTTTAGTTACCCGTAGAGCATTTGTGCGTACCTTGAAGACACAATAACAGGACATGAAACACTCACAAGTCAGATTGCTTGTTTACAATGCATTAATTCTCAGTAATGCATTCAACTTTAATGCAACGAAATGTCATCAGAATGCAATAACAACACACAAAATTGTATTTCACAGAATGTAAAATACAACAATATTTCCCATAAAAATGTATCCATGGCTACATGTTTTTAAACAAGTTCTGCACCTTTGCAAAACACCAAGTCATTTTAAAGACAAAAAAAATATAAATTAACACAATTAAATAAAAATAATTGTGCCCAGGCAGCATTGTACATGTATAGACATTTTTTACTATGCATTGTTAAAATATTCAATTACCTCAGGGTTTTCATGAGAGCAGAAATCCAGTAAAACATCCAAGAATTCTAATTTTCTATTTGGTCTTTTCAATATCAAGTCCTTTAGGGTCACCATACCAAAGTACATTCTATTTTCTTCTTGGCAATATTTTTTTAAAACATGTATTGCATTTTCAGTGATACAAGGGGCCTCTAGCAAGAGACGACTGAAGAGTCCCTCTCTCTGATCAGGTCTCTCCAGGAGACCACTTAGCAGCCTTGTTAAACATTCGTCATAACTGACTATAGTCCGTTTTCCTGCACCTGATGATGTGACTGTGTAGCCCTGGTACTGGGCATATTCTTGATAAAGCCAGGCAAATGCTAAATCACTGCGGGCACGTAGGTCATCAAATATAAAATCTTGCAACACTGGAAGTACAATCAATAAATACAATTGTACAATTTACAATTGAATTTTAAAAGACAAATGATCATTGAATGACATGGTGCTACTGTATCTGAATATGGAATAATATGCATTAAAATTAATCTATTGATTTCACAAGAGAACTTATAAATCTGTTTAATATATATTATATTAAGTTTCAATTTGATTCATCAAAAGATCCACATCCAGATATGTAGTCATATTGAACATTCAACCCTGGTTCACATCCTTTCAATGGTCATTTATGCTATAAACAAAGGTTTGAATCTGTGACAACCTTAACCCATGCTGTCAGAGCCTCACTTCATACTATCCCTGATAAGTTAAATCACGCATTCCTCATGTGTGTCGTGTGCTACATACCCTCCTTTAATTGACCCCCAAACTGTGCCACAAGGCCAGTGAGAATCTTGGTCCTAGGTTGGGTGGCATCTGCCAGTACAGCAGCCTTCTCTGACTTGAGTATGCGGATCATAGCCAACAGAGCCATCTCATCCATGGAGTGGGTGTCCAGTGGGAATGTGACGGAGGACAGCTTGAACTGTTTGATACCAGTAGGCTTGCTCTGCCTCTGCTGTCTATCTGCTACAGTCTACAACATACAAGGTTCATCAATAAGTTCTGAGAAACAATTTAAGGTCAATGTCGAGAGGTGCAATATTAAATATTTGCATAATTTAGTGCTCTTTGATCTCCCCATATTTAAAGAAAACAACTACATGGTGATACATTCAATAACCATTTTCTTTTCCTATTTCTTGATGTGAAAATAATAGAGCACCCATCACATATGCCCATGTCACTGGTGATCCACTTGATTACGCTGGTTACCAAAACGAACCGTTTTGGTAACAAAATGTCGGAACATCGAAGGTACGATTTTTCTTTTTTCCTTATTTCACACGTTGTAGGCAGAATTCCCACAACATTTTTAATACAAACGTGTATCAGTATCATATGCTTAAGAAAATGTACATATTTGCGTACAAATAGTTCAGAAGACAACAGAATCGTCGATTTAATTACTCACTTAAGTTACATAAACGGTTTTTCGAAAAACGGTTAGATCTGCACTTTTAACCCAAACCGTTTATGTAACTTAAGTGACGAATTAAATCGACGATTCTGTTGTCTTCTGAGCTATTTTTTCGCAAACATGTTCATTTTCTATAACATATGATACTGATATACGTTTGTGAGAAAAAAAGTCGTGGGGATTCTGCCTACAACGCGTGATATAAGGAAAAAAGAAAAATCGTACCTTCGACGTTCCGACATTTTGTTACCAAAACGGTTCGTTTTGGTAACCAGCGTAATCGAGTGGATCACCAGTGCATGTGCTTCAAGAACAGAAATAATAATGTTCATGATTACACTTACAGATGTAGTAACCAGTGGTGTAGGGGGCATTGCCGATTTCTTGGCAAACCTATCAGCAACGGGGGTCTCACCTGCAGCGCCACCTATAAGAACAATAAGAACAACAATTTTCTATATGTCAGATATTGTCTTACAAATATTTGGATGTTGGGGATTGCTTTATTACAGCTGGTTGTGCTTTTCAAGCTCACTTTATCTAACTGATTTTTGAATATTTTTTGAATATTTTTCCCAATCAGTCACTGTGCTAAATACACATCTATGCAACTTCATATTTTATATGAAATAGCTCAGTGCACACTACTTTTTTCAAAGATCTTGATTTCTTTCTCAAGGTAATGCTTGGAGTTGATAATTGAATAGTGTGGTAGAGATTCAACAAAAGAATTGTTGATGTTCAATTTGATGCACATATAAAATGTTATAGTAAAACCAGTACAATCTGAACACCACCAATTAGCAGGTTTTTTGCATTTCAAGTATTAATATGCCAGTCAACTGAAGACCTAGAAAAAATGTTTATGATGATAGCATTGAATTAGATAGTTGTTTTCATCTACAAGGTTTATTCTGGGTTGATCCTTACCAACAACTGTTCTGATTGTGTATTTAGGAGATGTTCCCCCATCATCTTACTACATTTAGTCAGTCAATATATTTGAGTTGATCCTTACCAACAACTGTTCTGATTGTGTATTTAGGAGATGTTCCCCCATCATCTTCTTCTTCAACAGGCTCTGCAACCTTCTTACGCTTAGCAGCACTGCCTGGCACTTTAAACTGAAAGAATATATATCTTCAGTAAATCATGTGGACTTCTTCATGATATTATCTGTAGTTTTACGAGATGACTGTGTCAAACTGTGGCAATCAGCTGACTGTGTATATCTATGTTATTATTTGAAATAAATCGATAACATGAAGAAAAAACTGTGTTAAACTGCATTTTGTTAAAATCTTGTTCAACAAAAATCCTCTTTGTCTTTTGCATTCCAACTGACAAAAAAATATTCTGAAAATAGTTAACTGATTTCAGAACTCCAGATTTATATAATTCTTAAAGGTTCTGATAACTATACCCTATAGTGCACTTTTATTTGTTGCCCCGACTCGGATCATTTTTTGTATCTCAGACTTCTTTTTCAAAACAGAATTCAAAATAAAAGAAACTGCCGATAGTGTGTGCCAACTGTTTTGAAATGCAACCAGAGTAAGAATGAATATTTCTTCATTTCTAATACTAACTAACTACTAATATGGATTCTCTCTATAAAGTGCATGTTACTACTACACTACTTATACTGGCAGAAACAATTTTTTTATTGTGTAAATCAAATAACTGAATACAATTTCCTTTTCAGTTATAATAAATATACATGTATAAACAATACCCCTATGCAGACAGTGCGGATATTATGTGTGTGTGGTGTGGATCTAACAGTAATTTTTAATTCAAATTTGTGAAATCTGAGCTGTGTTGTCCAGTATTCAATAATATTCATACATTGTGTAGATGATGCCTAATAAAAAGAAAATTGTCTAAAATTGTATAAATAGTAGTGCACTTCATTCTATAGTGACACACAGGGTGTATACTATTATTCAATTTTAATAAATCAGTTTTTATGTGATTGTCCAACATTAATTAATGTTACTTATTAACCAAGACAGTCTGGGCAATCCTAGATTGTTGACTAGCATAGTGTTTACATACACCTGTTATCATTGATATCTTGTATAAACATACAAGGCAATTATTACTCACTCATTCAAGCTGTTTGTGGACTTTGCACCTTTCATTGGTGCGTTAGTTTATAACAAACATGTGTTTGAAGTGAGCAACATGCACGATTTAACACGCTAGAACGATGGAATAATTTGATAAACCTGAAACTGTCATTGAGTTCACAGTTCGTCAGAAGATTACACTTTAAGGAAAATAAGGAAAGTCATTTATAAGGTAATACGGTGATGTACATTAAGAATAAATGTGATGTTTATTTGACAATCATTTGATGGAAACAGTGAATTACATCCAAACTTCACTCTTGACATAACTCAACTTTTGACTCCAGTGATACAAAGCTATATCAAACAGTACTAAGTCACTACCATTCAAGGTTTGTTATATTAAAATGTTACAATGTACCAGAAGCAGGAAACTATACATCAAAGAGTGACAACACAAAACGCTGAGTCATGTCATAACAATACAATGGCGCCATCTACTTCTAACAGCAAATGGGATGCCTTCTTATCGAGGCTGCATAAAAAGCGATATAGTGTGGCTACTTTGGGGTGCATTTTGTTTGTTGGACTTTACATTTATTTGCAATGGTCTATGATCCAGTTTCTCATTGGCTGGGATTTCAAACTGCCGATAGTTTGCGCCAACTGTTTTGAGCATGATGACTATAAGTATGTTATTAACAACAAAGACGTTTGTACAGGAGATGTGTACTTGCTGGTTGTAGTTGCTTCTGTACATATGGACATTAGTGCTAGACATACAATACGCAAAACATGGGGCAGTAAGAGGAGAATTAACGGCAAGAATATACGGACTGTGTTCCACTTTGGCACCCACGAGATCCAGTCTTATAACGCTATTGTGTACAATGAAGCTAAGATTGAGAAAGATATAATCGTATCGAGCTTCAAGGAAAACTTTGAGAACATGACTGTCCATTCAGTAATGGGAATAAAGTGGGCGACACAACATTGCCCACAAGCTAAATATATCATAAAAGCTGACGATGAAACATTCCTTAACATACCAAATATAGTGGAACAGCTGGAAAACTTAAACCAACCAAAGGATCTCATTGGAGGACGTTGTTTGAAGCAAAATCGTGATGAAATCACAAGTAAATATAACCCTGGACGATCATTCCATCAACGTGACTATCCACAGTACTGTCAGGGACCGGCATATTTCATGTCGCAAGATGTCGCGGGGGATATAATCACCATAGCCTCAAGTATACCTGTTATTCCCCTAGAGGATGTCTACATCACAGGATTGTGCCGAGCAATTATTCAAACTAAACCAATAGACGTGAAGGGATTCATAATCCCAGAAGAAAAGAAAACATTGGCGAAATGTGATAAAATTGACAGTCTTAGTATCCCAGATGTTGGGATTGAAGAAATGAAGGAACTGTGGGCACTAGTAGGGGATGGCCAAGCAGTTACAGAGTGCCACACTAACTGGACACCTGTCCAAATATCAGGAGTCATTCTTCTTGCTATTTTGATTACAGCATTCATTATGGTGAAATATCGCAAGGCATTTAGCACATATTGAGTCCTGTCTATGTACATTCAATTTTAAGCTCATTAATTGTTGTTATCTCATTAGTTAACTCATTATGCTGAAATCATACTTGACTTTATCTACACAATATCTATCAACTGATTAATATTTGTATGAAGAACATGTTTTTTATAATAAAGGAGTGGTATCAATATGGAGAACTGAATTCAACAATGTTTTTCTCTTAAACCAATCATTGAAAACATTCTGTAAAAAAACACGGTATTTTATGTAATGTCGACTGATTGACAACAATTTAATGAGAAAATTATTTAGAAATATTTTATATCAATGTTTTTCTTAACATTTTTTGTTTTTTTAGTGCAATTGTTTTTGCTCCTTTCTACCAATTCTTGGGAATGAAATAAAATGTCTTTCCGAACCTTGTTGGAACAAAATAGCATATACAACATGTTTTTAGACCTCTCAATATTATAGTTATACAAAGGAATTTTTGGTTGATTTTAAAAAAGTATTCAAAAAATTAAAACAAAATCCCCCCAAAATAGATAAAAACCAAGATAAACCTTTTATTTCATTAACAAGATACTTTTTTAAAATCAACCAAAATGTCCTTTTTACAATTACAATATTGAGAGACCTAAACATGTTGTGTTTATGTCGTTTTGTTCCAATGAGGTTCGGAAAGACGTTTCATTTCACTCTGGAAACATGATACCAAGAACAAAGCAAGTGTTTGATGTGTTTTCTAAAACAATATAGATGAAAGTCTACATATATTTTTTAAATTATATTGTTACCATTCAAAAGATGACCATTAAATTGACAATGTGTAAACTTTTCAGAACTTTTTGATGACTGGTTTAAGAGAAACGGGTGTTCAAAAAGTTCGCCATATCGATACCCATCTTTTGAAATAGTTTCATAGTTTTGAATTTATATCAATTCTAAGAGTCCTCAGATATAAACCTACAATATTGAAAAACATTACTTCAAAAATGGGAATTATGGGAGTTAAAAAAATAGAAACAAAATTGGAAAGCAAGTCAAGATTTGAACAAAACAAATACATCAGCTGTTTTATCCTTGCTTTCTGGGCCTGGTAGTGTGAAAATAAAGGGCTCAGAAATTTGAATTTTTGTTTCTAAACTCATAAATATCCAGTTAACTGTTTGTGGTTGACTGCTGTGGACAAAACCTCAATTTATGTAAATCTTAAACTTGGTTTCTCCTTTGTTCTGTGTTACTAAAATAAATGTGTGCTTACTGAATCATTCTTGGTGTCATCTTCGTCCTTAGTGAGTCCAGCGCCATGCAGTTGGGCAGCTAGTAGACGTGAGATGTGGGTCACTTGGGCATCTGTCCCTGCTGCAGCTATGGGGGTGTAAGTGGCCAAGAAGTGGGCTGGCATTGTATCTGGTAACATAACCTGGTAAAAGTAGAAAAAGAGGGGCATTTTCAGTTATATACAACGTAGCTCATATATATTTACATTTATACAGGCGTACAGGGTGATCCAAAGAAGAGGATACATACAGTAAAACCTGTCTAAGTGGAACACCTTTGGTACCTCTAAAAATTGTTCCACTTTCTCAAAATGTGATGCACTTTGAAATTCAAATGATTGTCATTGTACAATGTATTTACTATGCACCAGTGTGACATACAGTAAAACCTGTCAAAGTGGATATAATGTATTTTACTATGCACCAGTGTGACATACAGTAAAACCTGCCTAAGTGGAACACCTTTGGTACCTTTAAAAAGTGTTCCACTTGTGAGGTGTCACTTATAGAGGTTCATTTTACATAAAGTAGGCCATCAGCTTCACCCCAAAATTTAGGTTATCAGTATCAAATCAGGGGAATAATCGCCATAGTGATTTTCGGGAAGGTTAAGACCTCTAGAGTAAGAAACTATGTGATAGCATTGCCACAGTTGTAGCTAAATGGGTGTTATCACCCATTTTTCAAAATGGCCGCCGGTGCACGTGTTACAATATAAGAGTGGGTATATCTAAGCACACTGAGATGCAGAAACTGTGATTTTAGGGCCTATATTGAGGTTTTAGGGGTCAAGGATTTCATTTATGCCAAAATCTAAGTCATCAAGCAATTACTTCTTATAGAAATCCAAGATGGCCACCAAAATTGGTGCCAAAATGAATACAGGTATGTAACCATTGATTTAAGCTCAAAGAACAGTTAAGAACAGTGATTTTGGAGATCATGTCACTGAGTTCTCGAGTCAAGGATCTCATTTATGTCTAAATCAGAGTCATCAAATAATAAACTTTTCGTAGAAATACAAGATGGCCACCAAAATGGATGCCAAAACCATTGCCAGTATGTAACCATTGATTTGAGCTCGAAGGAGAGTTAAGAACAGTGATTTTGGAGATCATGCCACAGTTCTAGAGTCAAGGATTTCATTTATGTCTAAATTGGAGTCATCAAATAATTACCTTTTCATAGAAATACAAGATGGCCGCCAAAATGGGTGCCAAAATGAATATGTAACTATTGATTTAAGCTCAAAGAACAGTGATTTTGGAGATCATGTCTTGGTTTTAAGGGTCAAAGATTCCATTTATGTCTAAATCTAAGTCATCAAACAATTACTTTTATAGAAATCCAAGATGGCCACCAAAATGGATGCCAAAATGAATATGTAACTATTGATTGAAGCTAAAAGAACAGTTAAGAACAGTAATTTTGGAGACTCTGTCTATTTTGTAGGGGCCAAGGATTTTATTTATGTCTAAATCTAAGTAATCAAATAATAATTACTTTTTATAGAAATCCAAGATGGCCACCAAAATGGGTGCTGAAATGAATATGTAACTATTGATCTAAGCTCAAAGAACAGTTAAGGACAGTGATTTTTGAGACCATGTCCAGGTTTAAGAGGCCAAGAATAACTATTTTGTCTATAATTAAGTCATAAAACAATTCCTTTATTTTGAATCCAAGATGACCGGCCACCAAAATGGCTCCAGAGTCACGATTTTGAGGACTGACTAAAATGTTTATCTTCATCAAACTCTTTCTGGTTTATCATACACTTGTCTTTGAGGAATTTCTTGTGCTTGATCTTCTCCATCCAATAATTTACTTCTTCCCATGGGCAGTCTAATTCTTTCTATAGTCAATGTTTATGATACTGAGCCACCACAAAACTAAGGGAAAGGAAGGCAAATTACAGTAATATTGCTAATGTGATGATCATAAGATTTTATTTCGCAAATCTCCTAATTGTTTGTTCTTATTTGACCTTTTATAATATTAACACTTTGGCATCCATCTTGAATTCTGATATTAATCACAGATTGTTTGGTGATCTATGTAGTTAAATGGATATGAATTCATTTTGGAGGCCATCTTGGATATCCATATAAATAAAATATTTGTTGATTCTATTAAAGACAAAATTAAAATCATTGACCCCACAAACTTAAAATATCAAAAATTAATGTTCTAACTCCTCTATATGTTTGGATAATAAATCTTATTTTCACTTCGGCAGCAATGATGGAAGCCATCTTGGATCCAAATAAAGGAATTAGTTATAGTTTTAGACATAACTGAAATTCTTGACACCAAAAATCTTGACATGGTCTCAAATTACTGTTATAAACTGTTCTTTGAGCTTAAATCAATATTTACTTGTTATTGGCACCGTTTTTGGTGACCATCTTGGATTTCTATGAAAAGCAATTATTCGATGACTCAGATTTAGACATAAATGAAACCCTTGACCCCTAAAACCTAGACATTGTCTCCAAAATCACTGTTCTTAACTGTTCTTTGAGCTTAAATCAATAGTTAAATATTCATTTTGGCACCCATTCTGATGGCCATCTTGGATTTCTATATAAAGTAATTGTTTGATGACTTAGATTTAGACATAAATGAAATCCTTGACCCCTAAAACGCAGACATGTGCTCCAAAATCACTGTTCTTAACTATTCTTTGAGCTTAAATCAATAGTTGAATATTCATTTTGGCACCCATTTTGGTGTCCATCTTGGAATTTTTATTTAAAGTAATTGTTTGATGACTTAGATTTAGACATAAGTCAAATCCTTGACCCTTAAAACCTAGATATGGTCTCCAAAATCACTCTTTTTAACTGTTCTTTGAGCTCAAATCAATAGTTACATATTCGATTTGGCATCCATTTTGGTGGCCATCTTGGATTTCTATGAAAAGTAATTATTTGATGACTCAGATTTAGACATAAATCAAATCATTGACCCCTAAAACGTAGTCATGGGCTCCAAAATCACTGTTCTTAAGTGATTCTTGAGCATTAACAGTAGTTACATATCCGTTTTTGCACCCATTTTGGCGGCCATCTTGGATTTCTATGAGAAACAATTGTTTGATGACTTAGATTTAGACATAAATGAAATCCTTGACCCCTAAAACCTAGGCAATGGTCCTAAAATCACAGTTTTTGCATCTCAGTGTGCTTAGATATACCCACTCTTGTATTGTGACACGTACACTGGCGGCCATTTTGAAAAATGGGCGATAACACCCATTTAGCTACAACTGTTACAATGCTATCACATATTTTCTTACTCTAGAGGTCTTAACCTTCCCAAAAATCACTATGGCGATTATTCCCCTAATTTGATACCGACCAACCCCCCAGGCTGATGGCCTAAAGTCAGTTGGTCTTGGGACTCTGAAAAGTGTCCCACTAACAGAGGTGTTCCACATTAAGGGTTTCACTGTACATCCTTATTTCTATCTGAAATTAATCATAGCTAATTTTTTTCATTGTGAAATGACAAAAATGACATAGCTCTATTGTTAAACACCACAAGTCTCATACATATAAGAGAACCATTCAGTGTTCATCAAAACATGATGCACTATGATATTTAATGTATCATAGACCAATAATTAAAAATATAAAGTAAAGAAACACAACGTACCATACTCAACAGTACCAAATCTGCCACATTCTGGTGATTCAAGTTCTTAGCAATTTCTTCAGAGGATTTATCAATGGCAGTCTGGTTAGATGACTTAGGCAGAGGTTTAGACTTCACCTGGTCCAGGCCTATATAAGGTGTAGAACCTCCATCATCATCATCATCGTCCATTTTTACAGTCTGAAACATATCAACTTAACTTAAGTACAGACCTTAAAGGTTCATATAATCAGCCTTAATACTGGGGAAAAGGGTTTATTAAACAATCAAATCAATCAAAATTTTAGTACTGACTTAACTTACTCTAAATGCATGTAAGTGTCAACTGTCAATTGAAATCAATATGAAACTGGGCCATGTATTATTTACATACTTTTATATACAGGCCCAGTCCAGTGTACCATTGTACATGTACCATTAATTCTACATGGGCCAAAGGCCTTCTTGGCCATACTATTTTGTATCTGACACACAAATCCACAATCACTCACCACTTCAATTTTAGGTTTCTTTGATGCTAACTTTTCTTGTTCCAATTTCCTTTTCCTTGAACTGTCAATCTTTGGCATGGCTTTCATTACCTACACATTTAAAGTAGTCATGTAGTTATATATCAGACATGTACATATTTCTACATCTCTTTTTACAATTTTGGTAACAGTAGGGGAACAATAGAATGAGCTGCAAATTAAAATGTTCAAATATATTTTATTCTCAATAAATAGTTCACTTGAAAAAAAGATTAATTAGTATGTACTGACTGAGTCCAATTGTAATGCCATATTCAATATCTGCCATATTCAATAACTGCCATATTCAATAACTGTGTCGTTTACTGCTGAAGCCAATCACGCTTTGCTAAAAGTAATGCATTTAACGTTATTTCTTTTTTTTATATTGCATTAATATAGGTAATTATACTTCAGATTGTGTTGCTCCTAGATCTGTTAACAGTGTAGTAATCTGTGTCTGGTAGTTATAGGATCCAATATGCTTTAATAACGTCAACATCTGAGTCTTGAGATGTTTGCGAACACTGCTCACTTGAGACTTGGCCAGGGTGGGGGGCAGGTTCACTGAAAGTAAATACAGGTAAGATCACTCAGTTTCATTTTGGGTTTTCAAGTGGGTGACAGCCCCCAATATCTATGTGGGTGCTGCGGCAGTTGCACCCACTTGATTCAATCTTGATTCAATCTTGTGGAGATCAGTGAGTAAGCATTATTCTAAAAAAAAGATTTTTGTGAAGGGCTAAAAGTTGTAGTTCTCATCTTAAACAGCCCTAAATCATTTTCCTTCACAATGATATGTTGCTTTAACCATCAAAAGGACATAAATGTTTCTTGCAGTCATGATTGAAGATTGTCCAATAAGTCGCTTGGTTTTGTCAGCTACATATCATCATGATTCAAAAATATCTTAAGGTTAATAAGGATGAGAAATTTGGCACTTGGCCTTTAACATGAATGTACTATTTACTTACCATGTAATACTTCAAATGCCTGGATTGCTTTTGGCATAAATTGAGGTCTCTGCTTCACAAAGCTGGTCAGTGTTGTCATACATGTCATCAGGTTGATGCTAAAACACAAAAGTGGACATGAATCTCACAGAAAACTCTTCACAAGATTTCTGTAATAGAACATGATCGTGAATGACATATTTCATTTTTGAAATGAGGAAACACTGTTCAAACCTTATAATTCATGTTAGTTAGATATATCATTACACTTTGAATACTTCCTACTGATTTGAAAATCTAAACCCCAGGTTAGCATGGCTTTTACCTTCCTGGCTCAGTTCAGCAGACATAGTACACTGGTGATCCACTCGATTACACTGGTACCGTTTCGGTAACAAAATGTTGGATCATCGAAGATACAATTTTTCTTTTTTCCTTATTTCACACGTTGTAGGCAGAATTCCCACAACATTTTTAATACAAACGTGTATCAGTATCATATGTTTAAGAAAATGAACATATTTGCGAACAAATAGTTCAGAAGACAACAGAATTGTCGATTTAATTCCTCACTTAAGTTACAGAAACCGTATTTCGAAAAACAGTTAAGATCTGCACTTTTAACCCAAACCGTTTCTGTAACTTAAGTGAGGAATTAAATCAATGATTCTGTTGTCTTCTGAGCTAATTTTTCGCAAACATGTACATTCTAAAACATATGATACTGATATACGTTTGTGAGAAAAAACGTCGTTGGAATTCTGCCTACAACGCGTGAAATAAGGAAAAAAGAAAAATCGTACCTTCGACGTTCCGACATTTTGTTACCGAAACGAACCATTTCGGTAACCAGCCTAATGGGGCGGATCACCAGTGTAGTATACATTCAGAGCTGAAGTCGATAATTGATCCGAGAGTTCAATGACAGTGGAATTTGGATGATAAATGTGACCTGAGTGAAGGAATCTGGACCCAATGGCCTCTAGGATCCATTTGACATAGATCTATTTTTAACATACCTTGAAATGTGTGGGGATCCAAGAAAATCCAAGAGCAATTCAATTGCTTTGGTACCCTTCTTTTCTAGATCTTCACGTTTCAGTAATTTATGTTCCTTTTTAGGAATTTGGTCCAATGTGATGTCTTTCTCCTGTTTCTTGGGAATTTCAGAATCCTGAAAATTTGGACATATAAACTCTTTAAGAATTTCATATTTAAGAAATTTCCATTTGAACATTTTTATCTGAGAAAAGATGCATTTATATTTTAAAATACATTCCTTATGATTCCTTTATTGCTAGCCTTGCCCAAGTCGGTCTCTTTTACTATCTTGATTTCTATTATGTAATAATTCAAGATCAGATAAGTAAAAAAATACCGACTTGGGCAAGGCTACTTTATTGCTGATGCGTGCAGAAATGCATAGAAACAGAACTAGTTGCCCAGATGTGCTTGTAAGGGTATGTAAAATTGTATGGATATTCTTCTCACGTCACTGCCACTTATTAACAATTAACTCATAGTATGCATTACTAGATTAATAAATGGAAATTGTAAGAATAACATGTTCTACTTACTAGTGTTCTCTCAGTAAGCGTCAATAGATAGCTCTCGAGAAACTTAACACAATGAGTTCTGATTCTGAAATAAGAGAACACTTGAAATATAAATCATTCACAAGTCATCAATCATCAACAAAGCAAATGATGGGTGCAAATCAGATTTTTGAAGATGAAAACTCTAAAGATTCACACAAATTCACACAAAATCATGTCTTTTTAAAAGAAATCCTTTCTGGTAAATTAGCACATTTTAGTGATTAACACATTTTACAATTTCAGGGTGAAATTGTATATTTCTTTTATAAGAATAAGACTGATAAGACAATCATTAGAAATGTTTGCCAAATGCCCTTTGCCTCAGTCTCAAAGCCTAACAAGTGAACTGAACTAAAACAAATATTGCGCGGCAATGAATGTTTCTATAGTTTTTCACAGAACTTAAGCCTTTAAACCTCAACATTGGTGTAGATACGTGATCGTCAGGCTACTAGAATTAATGCCCAAATAAAGTCATGTATTATGATGAAAAAGATTTTGACATTGCTAGAGAGGTCCTTACCCATCATTCTCAGAATCCAACATTTCAAGAAGATTCTTTGTTAACTTTTCCATATACTTCCATGTGGCCTCCATTGTGTCTGTGACCTTCTTTGTATTAACAATCCACTGAAAAATGAGAGAAACACATGCATTTAAAATTCAAGGCATTGACATGCAAAATGTCAACACCTGCCATTTGTTACAGATGCTGATAAACCAAATGCCTGCAGAACACCACAAAAAGTTGGAAACTTTAACAACTTATGGTGGTGACATAAATATCATCTTATGGTGGTATGTTTCAAAATTTAGTGAAAGGTCTGTAATGAGCAGGGAAATGAGGTATAAGGTATTTGATTTCAAGCTTAGAATGGTTCAAACATTCCTTCTAAACATGTGGAGGGTTAGGATTCTCTCTATATCTGATTCATTTTTCCAATTTAAAACTGTTCACAAAAACCTGTGACTGAAGTACTTCTAGAAAAAATAGCAACTCTCCCGAGTAGCAGAAATACCACCAAACAAAAAAAAACATCAAAACTCTTGTCATGTTGAACATAATGTGATAGAAATAACTATTCTATTTAGCAAGATCTACACCCACAACATGATTTGAAACCATACCATAAATTCATTTGTTACAGATGCTGACCATCATACACAAACTATCAAATGTTAAATACCAACCATTGAATGCCGACCACCATCCTAAAACAAGACTTTCGGACGGAAAATCCAAAATGGCCGCCTTAACATTTACCCAGAATGCCGAAAAACTAATCAGTTCTAAACTTTCATAGGTAGAAACATCCCTGAGAAATGAATCCCTCAAACGATTTGGCTGGAAACCTGTAGACAAGATTATTTGGGACTCCCGCCCAACTGCCCGGCAAACTGATTACAATATAGCACCTTAGGGTGCGATAAAAAGCTCAAGACTTTAACAATATGTTACTGCAGGAGACATAATAATCATGTACCATACCCTGAGTGCTTCCTTGTAGAGGCTGCCCACTGCGAGTATGACCCTTTTCTGAATGTTAACATTCTCATCTTGTAGTAAGACAGGTAGGTTGGCCACCACCTTGGCTAGGATCTCTGGGTCATGTTTGCTGCAAAAATATTTAGCTAAACTTATGGGAGAATCACACTGGTTGATATCAGAGGTTTTGTGAAAATAATTTGAATGGCATTATGATAATAATCATTCAAATAAGGCATTAACACGCAAAATGTCACCACCTGCCATTTGTTATAGATGCCGACCGCCAACTGCCGAACACAACCCAAAAAGGTGGAGACTATAAAAATGTCACCACTGCCACTTCTTGAGGTAACATAATTATTAGATGAATAAACGTAATCAAATGAATTCAAATTTAATTAGCTTTTCTTTACATGGAAGTTTACAAGCCAGGATTTTATACCATTCTCAGATAATCTAGTGTTTACATGATATACATACCAAGCCTCCTCCATAAAGCCTATCACTGCTCTCTTCACTTCTACTGATCGGTCATTTTGGAACCCAAGCATCTCCTACAACACACAATCCAAAACATAAAATACAAAATGATCGGTCACTTTGGAACCCAAGCATCTCCTACAACACACAATTCAAAACATAAAATACAAAATGATCGGTCATTTTGGAACCCAAGCATCTCCTACAACACACAATCCAAAACATAAAATACAAAATGATCGGTCATTTTGGAACCCAAGCATCTCCTACAACACACAATTCAAAACATAAAATACAAAATGATCGGTCATTTTGGAACCCAAGCATCTCCTACAACACACAATTCAAAACATAAAATATGAAAAGAGTTTACCTGATTAAATCAAGCCATTATTACCTCATTATTAAAAACCTTTAAAAAACTTTTAAAACCTTACAAATAAAAAAATATATACTCTAAACTGATATTGAATAGGTAGAGTGATCTTAAAGGTTTCCTGTAGGCTTGTATTGAATAAAAATTCTATTCACAATATATATATATCTATATATAAAAATAATCTCTGATTGATATTTATCAGAATTGTAAACAGTTTAGCCATGTCTGGGGCAATTTAGAAAATATTCCAGGTCAAAGTGCAGTAATACACCATTTTGCTTTTTCCTCAGACTAGCAAAATTGAACATAATAAATAGATTATTCATGACAATGTGGTAACTTACATCTAGAAAGTTGTCAAGTAGGGCTGGGTCTTTGTGTATGATCAGCTCCTGGACTTGCTTCAGTTCATTCACCTTCTGTTTGTCATTGGTCATTAATGATGCATTGTTCAACAGCTCAACTACCTGTAATGTTAAAGCAGTGGAGAAAATAAGATTTGCAGTACACATGTAATTGTTTCGATGAAAGTGTAAACATGGGATGTTTAGAAGTGGGTCCTTTCATCTGAACAATTTATTTAATCAATAGTTACCATGTAAATGAATGGCTCTAAAAATTTTTACTTCACTTTGCTGATTTTTTCACCTTCAACTCTAGTTTAAAATTTGAAATGCCAGTATCATCATTATATTTGATGTTTCAGATTTGTTATTGTTTGTCTTCCTCCATGACCTCTTCTTGTAATCAGGGCCTGATTCTGATAACAAAAATAGAGGTCATCGGCATCATGCTAGCCAGTAATCCTGGTTCCTTTATCTCCAAATGTTCCCTATTACTCCATTCTCTGTTTGCGAAAGTCTGTAAGTTATCTGCTTTTGTGCTGATCAGGACTTCTCATTATCCTGGAGTGAATACTTTCTACCAAGACACTAAAATGGCGGTTTTGACAGAAATTCAAGAAGTAGACTAGGCCTAGCGCTTGAAATGAGAGTTACGAGAAATTCAGCAATTTGTTAGCTTCTAGATCTAATGTCATTTCATTTTCAGCCTTTACGATTCTATATGATCTATCAGATCAATCAGTCTTTGAAAGAGGTAAATGTAAGTCCTTTAGAATTCTTCTTAGAAGTTAGAGTTGTGCCAATCTCATTCATTTTCAAGTTTCGTTCAAAAAAATCAAAAATTGTAGGCCTACATGAATAAAATTACACCTACCCGGTCATGTGTAGGAACATCATTCGCACCACTGGTATCCTCGTCCATGAAAAACTGTGCCGCCGTACTCCGTCTGCCGTCACCGGCCATGGTGTAGGTAATTTCGAGAAAAACAGATGACTTCTAAAATATCAACATGCCATTTATTTTCAAAATGGCGACACCGATAAAGTACTCGATCAACAATTTAGCAGATGATAATAGAAAAACTAGACGATCAATGTGGAAGTAATTGACAGGCATAACACAATAAAAGTAAATTAAAATAAGTTTAAAGTATCCAAAGTCATAATTATGTGAGATTATCATTTATTGAATATGTTCAATCGACATTGATGGAGTAGACTAGACTAGCAGATTTCCGATGGCACTTCCGGTGAAGAATATTTTTTCAAAAATCTTTATTTATTGTATGTTTATAACAATATTGCACACATACGCAGATACAAACAGGTATAAGTATTTTCATTATCATACTTGGAATCAAATTATCATTTAAACAAGGCGCATTTTTATTACCAAGGCTGAAATTATATTGCAAATTATAAATATTTCAGAAACAATTCTGGGTGATAATAGATGTACATGTAGGCTACAGTACTCATGTAAAAGTTCTCATGTAAAAGACAGAGAATAAAATTTTGTTCTGTTGACATCTTAAACTTATGAATATATTGCTCCAAATGATGTAAGCTTGGAAAATTCGAATACACTCCTAGAAATAGAAAAAAATGAAAAAACTAATTTGAAAAGTGCAGTAGATCTACTGTCAACCCCCAAAGATTTTCTCGCGGGACATATTCTAAGACCCAGTGCCAAAAGTTCGCTGGATTTTGCTGGACATCCACCTAAATTTGCGGGATTTTGCGGGACATTTAAAGATTGCGCTAGTAGGTCAAATTTTGAAAATTCGTGGGACCATTCGAGGGACAAACACGCTAATTGCGGGACAGTTAACATGGTTACTACCAAAGACTTCGTAGGTGGACAGAATTTTTAGACAAAGTGCCATAAATTCGCAGGATTTTGCGGGACATCCACCTAAATTTGCGGGATGTAGAAGGACATTCAAGGGATTTGCGTGATTGGGGCTTGATGTAAAAGTACTCAAATCAAACTTTCAGATACTGATTTATCAAATAAATCGTGACCAACTATGAAACATTTACCCCCCATGGTGTTATATATTAAAATGTACCTATTCATATAGGGGTTCGATTAAGATAATCACAATTATTTATTTGTTACAATTTTGAAAATTCGCGGAGGTCAAAGCCGACATTTGCGGGACATTGCGAGACACGCGAATTAGCCAAATTTTAATCAAATCCACGGGATAATCCAGCAATTAAGATAAGTGGCAGAGAATGAATCCTTGATATTCTCATACATATCAGTTGAGATTTTGATGGCATCAATAAAATCAAGAGAGAGATGTGAAGTATTCCATTTGTACATGTATCATATTATCTGTCTAACTTGACTGTTCTTTGTAGGTGTAATTACAATGTAGATATCCTTTGGACGGCAGAGGTTGCTCATGCTCCCTTTGCCAGTAGCCCCCTAGTAGCTGATGCCAATGCTGATGGCCAGCTTGACATCATTTCTGCAGCCTTCACTGGAGAGGTGACAGTCATAGATGGGGAAGATGGCCTTGTGCTGGAAAACTCAAAATGGCCAGTTCATCTCCAGGATACATCTGTCCATGCGAGTCCCTTACAGGTACATTAGACTATATTGTACATTAGACTATACTGTACATTAGACTATACTGTACATTAGACTATACTGTACATAAGACTATATTGTACATTAGACTATACTGTACATTAGACTATACTGTACATTAGACTATACTGTACATTAGACTATACTGTGTATTAGTCTATGGTGTACATCAGACTATATGCATTGTTGTATGACTCATGCACATGCATTATGGAAATGGCAATGTGTGAGGATGAAAATTTATGAAAAAACATTTTATATCAATGTCCCTTGTATTTCCTATATGTTTTGTTTCAATTTTTGTATAAATGTGGTAAGCTATGATGTTTCTTAAAAACTACAGATTCCTTGGATTGATTTCTATTATATTTTTAGCATGGTGATTGTCACACAAAATTTCAGTGAAAATTTGTATAAAGCCCAGTCCACATTGTTTACCATATGGTGCTGGTTGATAGTGCAGTACTATATTAATGTATTATTACAGATGATGGGATTACAGTAAAACGTGCAAATCCCAACATCTCTCTAAGCCAAACACCTCTCAATTTGAACAATTTTTTGGTCCCATTTTTTTTAAACTGCCATTGGCTTCCATGTTAAAAGACCTCAAAATGTGAACACCTGCCAATCTGAACACTTGTCCCCTGTCTTCAAGTTTTCCTGATTATTTTCTCAACCAAACATGTTTTATATTTGTATTGTTATATAGTTAATTTAAACAGGGCCAATAATGCCTAGGCGTAGGCCCTGTACTACTGTATCGTATGACATATTATATCATGAAATAAAGAAAACATGAAAAAAAATCTGAACACTTGACCAGCCCCATTGGTGTTTGTACTAGACATATTTTATTGTACTTCTCACCATATCTTACAGCTTTTTGTTTCATTCCAGTATGACATTAACTTTGATGGCATGCTGGACATTATGATCACAACATCAGATGGGCAGTTTCTCTTCTATCGGCATGATGGAATAGAGATTCCACTCAAAACATTTACAGTAAGAAGAACATTTTTGTCATCTAAAGTTAGAATCACGCTTATGTTGCAATAATTATCCCATCGAACGATGTTTGGGAGGATACAGAGAATGTATTGTCCATTTTTACTTTCGTCTGTCCATCCCTACATCTGTCTGGGCAATAACTCAATACTGTTGGCCAAGTTTTCCAAATTTTCAAAATGACCACCAGTTTCAAAATACACTTTCAAATGTAATTTTTTATAAAAATTAATGGTAAGAGTTTTTGTACGACATGCGCAGAAGAGAAGTTTCAAATGTGAAATACATCAAGATTCCTAATACATTAATCTTTTTAAACAACACTTCAGTCGAGGAGAGAATGTGTCAAAACCCTTTCCCAGATTGATATTTTTTCTCCTGTAAAGTACAAGTTGTAAAAGATATGTTAGACTGGAGATATGAATGGTCTCGTAGCAAAATGAGTATTTGTAGTATTTAGTGTGAAACTTTTGAGATAACTCTCAAAAGAACAGTTTAACCATAAATTTATCTCGAAAATAGGGTTGAAAGTTATCTTGAAAATGAGCATCATGACCGAATAAACAATATCTTGAGTAATATTCATAAATTTCCTGTATTTACCAGAGTAGATGAGCTAGAGATTCAAAGTCCATCTGAAAAACATCAAAAATAGAGTTCTTTTTCTCTCATTTCCTCAACTATAGTGACGTGTTATTTTTGCATTGAACAAAAACGAAATTTTATATAAATCTTACCTCATTTTTGCTAAAACCTTTTTGCTAATTGCTGATATACAGTTTATACAATTATAATTTATATAGAATTGAAAAGTATACTGTAATTTCAAGTGAAATGTTTTTGGTGGAGAACTTGACTCTTATTTACATCTCCAGGTAGGGTGAAGAAAAAAGAAATGATTGTAGAGATAAACTGCTCATTTATGAATTATGATTGAACATTTAAATATATATCTCTAAATCTAATTCGGACTATAACATTGGAATCCATTGTGGGGGAAAATAGTCATTTTTCACCACGGTTTTAGAAAGTTGAGACCCAGGTTTGGGCCAATAGCCATAATACACAGTCTGTCCCCCTGCTAGATATGCTCCCCACCAGCCAAAACTTCCAGTTGAAATAATATTGTGGTTACATTTACTTAGAATAGCTAAATCAACAATAGGGGAATGCCCTTTAGAAATTATAACATCTTGAAAATTCATATTTTCTTCGCACCAACCAATGTCATCTGAGCAAATTATGAACTTTACATTAGTGTAGTTTTGTCTAAAATATTCCATTGCTTTTTCGAAGTATGACATTCTTGGGACTGTATACCCATCAGCTTGAGCTCCAGGGGTCGACATATCCGCCCGTCTCACATGGACTCCTACCAATGTAATGTTTATCTGAGTATCAGTTTGCACACCAGCAATAAATTGAGAAGCTATTTCATCAACATCTTCATTAAAACTAAATTCTTCATAGATTTCATCAGAAGCATCTTGCCAGTATTTGTAACTTTGAAAATAGCCAACAAGCGTGATGTTCTTTTTAATTGTAATATTCATCACGGAGCTTGAAAATCCGCTTGGTATTTCCTCTTTCACTTGTCTTGAACATAATGGCATGCCATTGTTTTGTGATCGCAGAGCGGATAAACTAAAATATTCCCTTAATTCATCATTTTCTGTGATCAGTAGCGAGAGATTATTTGCTTTTGCAATGCTATAAGCTGCCGAATATTGGAACATTTTGTTCCCAAGGCGACCTGCATACTGTATGCCGATGAAGAAGTGTCTAGCATCCCTGCATAGTTTGAGTTCTTTATTTTTATTGTTGACTGTCCAAAAACCAAAGAGACAGTAAGACAATGTTGACGAAAACAGGAACATTAAGAAGCAATATTTTATTTTACTTATTACTAATATATCCATATTGTGTGCCTGAATATGTTTTGTTGCTGCAATGGACATTTTGAAATGCAGCTGTTGATTACTATTGAAGTGGTTCCAAAGTTATAAACATCCAGTTCGGTTTGGATATACGGAGACCCTCCACCTGCCATTCCATTCTGTAATCATTTCTCTGCCAGGTTAGCTGCAATGTTTTTAAGAAGGAATATGTAAAATGTTACCGATAATGGGACCTCGGTTCTCGGTCATTGTGATACATTGAAGTAAAAATAGTAGTGCAAGGAAATGTAACTTATTTTCACCTTGCTTTATGCTCTGGAATATTATAGTTAGCAAATCTAAAATCTATGTGCAGATTTTCCCACAGAAACTCAACACAGGTGAAGTATGAATCTTGACTGAGGTAGCTTTATTTTATGGTCGAATCATGAGGAACAATTGATAATCTGGGGTCTATTCTTGTACCTTTGGTAGTAACAAATGTTTGTTCATCTACTGTATTGTTGAATTTGCAAATTTCTTAAAGTTGCATTTCTGTAAAATTCATAAAGTAACAAACAATTCGTAAAACTACGAAAATAGTGACGTCATGCCTGCTTTTCTTTGTAGATTTGGAAGACCTTTGACCCTTTCATAACTTTGCAAATGGCTTCTTACTTCTTCATTTGTAATTTTATATTGTGATTTGTGACATTTTGTCATTTTTTTAATCAGAGAATGCAAAGGGCAACATATCAAATTATTATCAACTTATTTCTATTTTTGTTTATATAATCTTTATACAACTTATCGTACGACTTTGATTTTAGTATTTTATTAAATCTTGTTTGCTGTACAATCTGTTCTGACAATGCTGGAATATGACATCATCTCATTCATAAATCTAACTCAAAACAATTGAAAAATTATAAATGACTTACAAATGCATACAGATATGGTTCATTAGCAAATTTTTGAATTCGTAACTCATTTGTAATTTTAAAATTATTTAGGAATATTAATTTTACAAACTGCGAATGTTCGTTCGTAAGAACAGTACAAGAACGGGCCCCTGTATGATAAGTGTGATGAAATATCATTGATTGTACTCACCTTTATGTTCTCCCTTCTTTATACTGTTCAGGGGAGTCAAATGAATTGAGTAATATTGATGTGAAGAGTCAAATGTTTACTTGACATTTTTCTCATATGCACTCTCTGACCGCCAACGTCGTAATGATCTCTGCACTGTTATCTTAACTTGTGTAATATTTCCTCGTAGGGTTAGGTTAGGTATTAATTGAATAAAATGAAACTGAAAACCAGTCACATTGATTGACGAGGGGGTGTTTTTTATTTACATTTTATTTCAGAGAAAAAATATGTTAATTCGTTAAAGCAACTACATTACAATTTAATAAAACACTTACAAATTACAATACTGTTTCGATTACACTTCAGTTTTTCATTTAGCTACTTGGCGGCCATTTCCAAAAGTGGCAACCATGGCTGTTCGATGTGATTTGCTACGCCTTGGCATGAAATGAATTTTGAAAATATTTTCATATTCATATTTTTTTAATTATTTTTTCTTGCATGTTCTATACTTTCAGCTTGGCCCAGCATACATCTATAAGAACTGGTACAAACATGATACAACAGTTAAGCGAGATAATATAGGCAAATATCTACTAGAGAGCAGTGATTTCGAGGTAAGGGAAGTTAATCAACGACATATCCTCCAACAAGGTATTAAGATGCAAAATTCCACCACTTGCCATTTGTTACAGATGCCCAGGCCCAAAACTACCGAACACTATCTACAAAAAAGCTGAAGACTATGTCGCCACTTTTGGTGGTGACATAAAAACCAATGTTTTTTATTGCATCTAATTTGAATACCAAATTGTCCAAGGTCACTTGGCACTTGACTAGGATGGATAATTCCTGATTTCTTTAAAAGAGAGAGCTGCCGAATCTAACCAATTTACCAGATTTTTAAACATCCACTTCAATTTCCAGAATCCAGATGACTTTTTACCTGTGGACCCTCATGTGTTAGCAACACCAGTTGTCGTAGATCTCAATCAAGATGGCCGCCTAGAAGAAATGGTTGTGCCAGTGTCATTCTATTTCAATAAAGAAGACTACAGGTGAAAAAAACTTCCTATTATTATAATGATCTCTGAGCATCCTATGGGAGATTGGTGGGTCCATATGCTATTACATGTAGCAAAGTTCATTGGCGTTACTCTATGAGATTTGCTGGAGCAGAGCTGTAGGAACCAACCACTCGTGTGCAAAGTTGCACATGTGTAAAGTTAAAAATGATAAAATAAAATAAAATTGAACTTCACTAATATATCGTTTTTGTGTGAATTTCAGGATTTTACCTACTGTTACCTAGTTATTGAAAAATCTTCTCAATTGTGATTTATTTTTATTAAATGTACACTGTAGGGTTGCATCCTGTCTGCTCATCTGAAAATGTCTTACTTGCAGAGACCCAGAGCAATATGAAGAAAAGCTAGGTCTTCAAACTGTAGAAGAGTTAGACAATTATGTTGTAGGAGCTATAGTTATAGTCAACCTAACAGATGGCAGCACCATTCAAACAATACATCTGGAACTTTCTAAGGTTAGTCGTGGTTCATCCTCTTAAAGGAATATTCCTTGCCAAACCATCTCTCTCCTCATATGTTAGCTATAACCATATATATGCTTGCCATGTTTAGCAAAACACGCAAAAAATGTTTTGATATGGTCAAATTTGATCACTTAGAAATGTGATGCTCAATTCCAGTAAGCTGCCATCTTTTAAAATTTCACACAGGAAGTGATGTCATCGACTCTCAACTTTGCATATATCATTAGGTTAGGAGCTATTAAGAATTACGAAACCAGCTAAATATTCTTTTTCAACTTTGTATCTTATTTAATCCTTCTGAAAATCTCTTCTTTTATTCTAAGTTGACAAGTCCTGAAAATATTTTTGCACAGAAAGTAATGATCACTTGTCTAGAAGTGATTTTGTGCTACTTTCTTATACTGTTATGGGCAAGGTTATAGAAGTTGAGAGTTGATGACATCACTTCCTGCAAGAAATCTTAAAAGATGGCAGATCACTGGAAATAAGCACTAGATTTTTAAATGATCAATATTGACCATATTAAAACATTTCCCCATGTTTTGCTAACTATGGAAACTATATATATGATTATAGCTACCATATCAAGAGAAAAAGGGTCAAGCAAGGAATATTCCTTTAAGCAGATTTTGGAGCCCTGCGCTCAGAGAATGGTCTTGTTAAATATAAATTGTGCTTTTACTATAGGCCCCTTATATATTCCAGGCTAGCTCAGAGTCACCAGCCTATGTATTATTTACTCCAACCATCATTGACCTAGATAGCTCAGGGGGAGACCTGGAGATAGTAGTGGGAACATCAGCTGGTCAGCTACATGTACTCAACATTCAGGGCACAGAGAGACAGGGCTTCCCTAGAACCATGGGACCCATACATGGCCAGGTGGGTTCTATATATCTCACATCTTATACATGTATTGTTCATAGTGTAACCTCTGCCTTATGTTTTTGGCATGTTTATGTTTTATTCTATTGCAATCCAGATATACCTATATTATATTGCAGATATACCTACGTAGTTTAATACCTTTTCTTAGAAAAACTGTTTGGTGCCATTACGTCAAGTCTATGAACATTCTATTGTCAGATTGTGACAATATTCATTTCACAGTGGCCCTTTTTCCATATAGATTTTGAAATTTCGGTAAAGTCTCGTTTTTAATGAGATTTCAGGAAATCTGCATTTTTAACCATTAAGACCATCAGTTTCTTCTATTTGATGGCATATTTGAATTCTATGTGTATTCTTCAAAACAGCTTTGCTTTGCACAGTTGTTTACCTTTATTCATATTCTAAAGATATTCAGGTCTTCTGTAAAAAGTTAGGCTAAATCCCCATTGACACAATGTTGAAAAACCTTTATAAGGATCACAATTTTAATGTTAAAAACAATCCACATGTCAATAGTTTCATATAATTACATTCAAATTGTGTTTTGAGTTGATCCAAATGGAATTACTTGTTAGATCATGAAATTAAGTTACTCTTGCAATAATTTAACATTTTTGTATTCTGGGCCTAACAACACCCACGCTGCCACCTATATTTCCATTTATATAGAAAAAGGTCAATTGAAGGTACTGCAGGTAAATCAAAAATTCTATACACATGATATTGGAGAAAAAATAGACTGGCCGGCCAGATACTAGGGCTTTACTGATGAAAATAATTTACATAAAATTATATAAATATCACACCATGCATAAACATATGCATGATAAGTATGATATGTAAAATGATCTGCCAGTAATTTACTCTGCATGTACATGTACAAGTACTTTAGACCACTTGTATTAATATTTTAATCCGTCTCCTAGGTTACAGTAGCAGATGTCAGGTCTGAAGGGCACCTCCATATCATTGCCATTGACACAAGTGGCACTATCAGATGTATTGATACAACTGGAGCAACCATTTGGGAGGCCAAGATATCTGGAACATCATCGGCAGGCTCACAGATAGCAAATGTGAATAATGATGCCCACCTAGATGTTGTCGTAGCAACTAATGATGGGTACGTTTTAATTTCGCAGTTGCTTAAACATTGAACACTCAGACACTTTTAAGATGTCAATAAAAGTACTACCTTGATTTATGATAACCTATACTTGTTATATAACCACAGAGGTGATAACAAATTGAAACTTGGTGACATTTTGTCATCTTAACGTCCTTGTAATAAGCTAATGATATTATTCCAGGAAACTTTGGAGTATAGATGCTGTAACAGGGCAAATATTGACAGGATTTCCCCTGAGTGTTGGTAGCCCAGTAGCAGGTATGCCTCTTGTCACAAGAGTAAGAGAGGATGCCAGACCAAACACAGCCCTTGATATGGTAAGACAGGAGCACAGTACCTTTACAAAACTATGATAGAGACTAAAGGAAGTTTCTTGAAGTCAGTGAAACTTTTTGACATTCACCTTGAGAAGTTGAATTGTTCTGATGGTTGAATAGGGTAAACTATAAAACTTAAAGGTCTTGAAAAGCCCATTTGTCATATTGTATACTATTGGTTTTTTCAATAGAAAAGCTCTTTCAATAGAAAAATCAGGAATTTACAAAATGAGAAAAAATATGAAAGAAGCTTAATGGTGAATTTATACTAGTGACCTGTTACTCTTTTCTCATACTAAACTACGAGGCACTATAACACATCGATATAAATTAATATAATTACGTGCTGATATACATGTATTATATAAAATAACAAAACTCTTAATTATAGGTGGTGCTAGGAGACAATGGTCAATTGACCTTCCTCTCTGGGGATACAAAGTGCAAGAAATCGTTCAACCTTAAAGAGCGTTCTTTAGTAGCAATACAAGCTGTTGATCTAGTCAAGGATGTATATGGGCAAGAACTCTTGGTATTTACCATGGATGGGGCCATTATGTGTATGAGAACGTCAAACAAAAGAGACCCCTTAGAAGAAGAAGAGGGATATGTCAATGATGTGAGCCATGTGAGATCTCACAATGATTTCACTTATACTGATGGAAAGGTAAATTAGATATCAATTTCAAATTGGAATATAATGGTAATTGAATTGAAAATATCAGTAAGACTTTCTGTTTCTGAGTGAAGTGTACTACGAGTGCAACATTGTCGACATTCTTTTTCAAAGTTGATAAACAATCTAAAACTTTTACATGTAAATTTCAAATATGACATCGCTTTGACAGAATTTTGAATATTTTATATTTAACATAAATCAAGATTATTTCTACTTGCATCTTGTCTTTTGAACAAAAATGACATTCCACTGCTATTAGTAATTATTCAGAGTTTGGAAGTCTTTAAATACAAAATCCAGGTGCTTGTCTATTTAGGCATTGACTCTCTGTGATAGAAATATTATTGACCTTGTGACATCTTGTATGTTTTTATGTCACCACCAAAACTGGTGACATATTGGTATGGTTACCATTTCTTGTGACAAGGGCAAGTGGCATTTGGGTGTGTAACAAATGTTAGGTGGTGACATTTTGCATGTTAAAGCCTTGTTATACTTTCATTACAGAACCAAATGGATAATATGAATATTTGTCTCATTGCAGGTAGGTTTGTACTGCACAGACTTTAAGCATGAGATGAGTCACATATCAGGGACATATTTCCCAGTAGCATTTGAGATCAGAGACAGTCTGGCAAGTAGAACATCTGCACCATACAAAGTCAAGGTAAACGACTTCATTCTCATTAATCAAGGAAAATGATGCATTTCATCCCCTGTTAATCTCGCATGGTTAAAGCTAAATGTCATATCCATGTATACCATATACAAGGATGACCCCAAATATGGCAATCAATGATCACTATTGCTAGCAGTAGAGTATAAAGAGCTTGAGCATCCAATATCACATAGGAGACCATTGGAATGGTTAAACCTTTCCAATGTGAATCAAAATGAATGTCAATAAGTATTTTTAGTGAAATTTTAAAAAGTGCATTTTCAACAATACATGCTATACAGGCCCATAGCCAGGAGTTCACTTTTTGAAAAATTCCAGGGGGAAATAAAAATGCTAAAATCAATTGAAAAAATGTTCCAATAGTACAATAACATCATTTCTAAGGGCGATATAGTGAAATATTGGACCAAGGGACGAAGGCCCAAGGTCCAATATTTCACTATATCGCTCGCAGAAATGACGTTATTAGTATTATTACCACCGTTAACGACCAGGACTGAAACAGCAAGAAAATCTTACGCATTGAACGATATCTAATTTCCCGGGGAAAATTGCCGGTCCAGAATATATTCTAGACCGGTCCATATGGACCACCACTATGACGTCACACATTTCTCAGGTCGATATAGTAAAATAAACGCCTTCTAAACTAGCACTAAAACCCCTAGAACTGGCCCGGCAAGGTGGTAATAATATATTTTGGCCTACAGTGCCCTGTATTATACAAGTTTCGTAACCATGATATAAATCTTTAGATTTACATGGGTCGCCTCCTGCTGGCTGAAGCTGTCTATGAGACTACGGGACATTACACCCTGGATGTGCCCACCCCTGACAGGCCTGTAGCAGGGGACATTTCTGTCATAATGACAAACAAGCACGGCCAGGTGTTCGTAGATTCATTTGCTATAGGGTAGGTTAGCTACATTGGAAATAATTTTTGAAAATGTAATTTTACAATGTTCCATAAAGTGTTGAATTATTTTATAATGCATCATATTGTATTTAATGTTATGTATTGTGTTATTTATGTTGTGTAACATTATTTTATTTCATATATTTATCATATTGTGTAATGTTATTGTACAATGTACCAAATATTTTAATGTTATTTTACAATGTTCCATACAGTGTATAATGTTATTTTCAATTTTCATGTTATTTTACAATATACAGTGTAATCTTATTTTACAATATAATACAGCATACTGTGTAGTGTTGTTTCACAATTTACCATAAAGTGTCATGTTATTTTACAATTTACCATACAATACAGTGTATAATGTTATCTTTCAGATTGAATCTTGTGATACTAAGAGACCTCCAATGGATTCTAACATTCCCTTTTGTAGCCACAGCATCAATATTGCTGATCCTATATGGCTACCCATCTATTGACCTGTTACCTACAATCACATCAAATCGCTCTAGGTGACACACCTAATATGGATTTCTGGCACCTCACATATATGGCTACCCATCTATTGACCTGTTACCTACAATCACATCCAATCGCTCTAGGTGATACACCTAATATGGATTTCTGTCACCCCACATATATGGCTACCCATTTATAGACCGGTTACCTACAATCATGTCCAGTCACTCTAGGAGACACACCTAATATGGATTTCTGGCACCTCACATATATGGCTACCCATTTATAGACCGGTTACCTACAACCATGTCAAGTCACTCTAGGAGACACACCTAATATGGATTTCTGGCACCTCACATATATGGCTACCCATTTATAGACCGGTTACCTACAACCATGTCAAGTCACTCTAGGAGACACACCTAATATGGATTTCTGGCACCTCACATATATGGCTACCCATTTATAGACCGGTTACCTACAATCATGTCCAATCGCTCTAGGTGACACACCTAATATGGATTTCTGGCACCTCACATATATGGCTACCCATTTATAGACTGGTTACCTACAATCATGTCCAGTCACTCTAGGTGACTCACCTAATATGGATTTCTGTCACCCCACATATATGGCTACCCATTTATAGACCGGTTACCTACAATCATGTCCAGTCACTCTAGGTGACTCACCTAATATGGATTTCTGTCACCCCACATATATGGCTACCCATTTATAGACCGGTTACCTACAATCATGTCCAGTCACTCTAGGTGACTCACCTAATATGGATTTCTGTCACCCCACATATATGGCTACCCATTTATAGACCGGTTACCTACAATCATGTCCAGTCACTCTAGGTGACTCACCTAATATGGATTTCTGTCACCCCACATATATGGCTACCCATTTATAGACCTGTTACCTACAACCATGTCCAGTCACTCTACGTGACACACCTAATATGGATTTCTGTCACACCTAGGTGACACACCTAATATGCTTTTTGGTACATCATATATATATGTGTTAGTCAATAAGTACTGAAGAAAGTCATGGACGTAGCACCTGGTATGTACAAGCGTACCAGATGGTTGTGACAGATCACTTCAAGTACAACCAAACTTCAACATTTTTGTGGGACCCAGACCAATCTCCACCTTTTCCGAAGACTCGTTTTTGCTTCGCTTCATTCTAGTTCCCCTGGGTGCATACTATTCATATATATAGCACTACACACATGAAAGTGTTTTTCTGTGGAGTTTTTTCAATAAAGTTAAAGTACAGTAGAACCTGCTAAGTGGAACATCTCCATAAGTGGAACACCTCACAAGTGGAACGCTTTTTCAAAGTCCCGTTCTAAAAACCCATTGACTCAATGTTAATTGAACCTCTGTAAGTGGAACACCTCCAAACTTGAACAGTGAACACCCCATATTGAAAAATTAACCTGCTAAGTGGAACAGTCAATTTTCCATAAATTTCAATAGTGATACAAAATTAACCTCCAACAGTGATGCCTGGGTATGAAAACAGGTAATAACGTGATAATTGGCAAATTAGGATTTTAATGGATTACCATATAGTCAATTGGACTAACCTCCTGTAGAGATGAACATGTGATGCTACCACTAATTAATTTGATAACTAGCAAATTAGAATTTCATAAGATTATCTTTCAGCAAATTGGATTAAGAGATGGACAGGTGATGCTCTTGCCTCTTACCTCTTGCTGTTTGTTTCATACTTAATAAGTAAGCTTAAGAGTGTCAGTTAAAAAACAAATGAATTATTAGCATTAGGAACAAGTCTTTAAAACTTAATTTCTTTATCTTAGTGTCTGAGACTGGCAGAATGAGGAGGATTGAGAATGTCAGAAAACATTTTTGGCAGAATGAGGAGGATTAAGAATGTCAGATACATTTTTGAGTAAAACAAATGGATAATTAAGGCTATATAGCTGCATTGCAATGATCGGAAAATCTTATTTTCAGTGATACACATCAACTCTATATTTAATCTTGTATGTTCGTTAAATCCCCGCGAACCAAAAACCTCCGTAAGTTGAACACCTCCTAAGTGGAACGCTTTTTGGCAGAACGGAGGGTGTTCCACTTACACAGGTTCTACTGTATACATAATGCACTCTTATGAACAATTTTAGATGCAGACCTGTCAAAAATGGCAGGCTTGCATTGAGTTATAACTCTTGGTTATATTGCAATGTTGAATGAGAATGCAATATAGAAGAACTAAAATACTTTTATGACTTTTTATCAGTACTTATTGAACACCAATAGACTGATATAGCAGGACAAATATAGGATGATATGATAGTAATATCACGTGGCAAAAATGGCCGTGCCAAACTTTTTTATTGTTCAAATATTCTGATTATTTATGTAATATAAATGTACAGTGCATTGAGAAAAATGCAAAAGGGCCACATTACCTTTTTGTATGCAATATCTTTTTATATCACTATAAGTTTTGTACATATAATTGCTATACATGTAAAATAAATTCACAAAATGTATTCAGTTTTTATATCCCAAACATGGTCAATGACACAGTGATGAATGATTCTAGAGATAATTTTGTGTAAATCTTAGAAATCATATTTTTAAAAATTGATTTCCAAAATTGATTAACAATTTCTAAAACATGTTGTGTATAGATGTCATTAGATTTCAAATATTATAGCCCTTTTATTTGTCATGTTTTTAAATAAAATCTGAAAATATCAAGAATATTTTCGACTGGCATCATGGGCATTCAACTATATAGAGCATCTAGTCTATTAAAGGAATTAGAAGGAATAGAATGTGAAATGTTGGAAGCAATATTTTCGAAACTCATTTTGATCCCTTCTACTCCCTTTAAAAAGGCATATCGGTATTGAAATCTTAAGATGACGAAATACATGTAGGCTATTGTGCTGAAGAAAGATGGCGCTCTAATTATACACAATAGTCAAGAAAAAAGAGGGAATATAGGAATGGATATATCAACATTTTGTGTTGTAAGTATGAGACCTTGTTGTAGACATCTGGTAATTAATTTGTTTTTATATGTTGGTCTCCTCATAATGGACATCTCGGAACAGTGTTCAAACTGTTGTTCAAACAGAGCTGCTTTAGGGCTGATGAGTACCATTACCAAAAACAGTGTTGTTAAAACAGCCATACAGCACTGTGCTCAGTACTCTTAAATGGTGTTTGCAGAACCATTGATTGGTGCAAGAAAGTGTGGTTTTCATTGATTCTACTATTAAATGACCTCTTAATAGAAGTACACTGTAAATGTGATACTTTTCACCATAGATACCAGAATATCAATGCAACGTTATATACAGTTAAATCTGACTTCGTGAACACCTCTCCCTCTCATGAACACCTGTCCCTAGTGGACACCCTTCCTCTGCACATACTCTACTGACTTATGAATACATTACCCTCTTTGTAGTGAACACGTAGTCCCAAGAGTGAACACATGTTTGTTGATTCATAGGTGTTCACTCTACACAGGTTTTACTGTAATTATGTCGCATGTAACACCATGTGAAATGAGTAAGGAAATATGTCTGGTAATCAACAGATTGAATAGAAAATATCGAACTTATGAATAATCAAATGGTAAGGTTCTATTGATGTGCATAAATTATTCATTCCGTCATTTGTTTTCTGGAATTGATTAATTGAGTCCTAGAAAATGAACTCCAGAGAAATATATCTGAATCTGTTACTTGTACTTTTTGTACCCCTTAAAATAGTGTATGTAATTTATTTTTCGAGAACTACCCAAAAATGGCATTTTCGCTGTCATCTCATAATTCTTGTTACATAAATTCTTTGAAATTCTGTCCCATTATTCCAAAATGGCTACACAAAAAAAATCACCAGGAATATTGAAAAAAGAATCTTTTGGAAACGTGTTTTGTTCATTGGGAATTGCTTTGTATCGAACAGTGTTTTATTCAAGTTGAATGGATTATTGAGGTTTCTATTTAAACTATGCATTTGTAATCTTCAGATACTGTATATGACCTTACACCTTTTGACGTATACATTTTTGGTAAACATTTTTGATTGTTGAATATACTTGGTGTATTCGACTCGGCATATGGAGAGAACAGTCCATTTTCACTAGTTTATAATTTCATCAACATATCAAAGAAAAGGGAGGGTAAGTTTTCATTTTTTTATTTATAAAGTGACTGAAGGGACAGTATCATGGATTCAGATATACCTGGAGGATAAAGCTTGTTTACTAGCATATTCTTGATTAAATAATTTTGTAATACCTGTTATATTCGATATGCTATAACATATTTCCTGTGTAAGGTATCATCTTGTCAATTACTAATTGGTACATACAAACCCCATTTAATCAATACTCTCCCTTACCCAAGATTCTCGTCTTTTGTCTGTAATGTCGACTCCTCTATCTATTGAAATCTGTTATATGTGTTGTATTCAACAATATAATGATTGTGATAAGGAATATAATGTACTGCATTCTCCAAACGCACGGTTCAAGGCATCATCCACTTCGTTCTATTTGGTGATGTCTGGACACCTGCGTTCGGAGGATGAATGTACTGTCATCCTCAGATATTTCAATTTTCAATCAAACAGCAACATTCTTTCTGATATATTGTAGAACACATCATTGGAAACAGAGATTGTAAAACAAGAATTAACGATAAGTAGTGGTTTAAGGTAGAGTTTTCCAAACTTAAAAGAGAGGGTGTAGTTAATATGATCATGTGTAAGATAAAACCCACGAACACTGACTATTTCTGCAAATAACTTATTGTATTCTTGTTTGTATGTTTTTCTATGAAATGTGATGCTATAAGTGGGAGTGTATTTTTTCATTTCTGTCATCAGTGTAATTTAAGCCTCAGTCACGTTTGCTCTACGGCAGGTGTCGATATAGAAAATCTTCATCGTACTGCTCATCCCTATATTTTATAATTTATGCTGCATATTTCTCTCGATTTCGGGAGGCTACAACCCCCGTATGATTGCTTAGATCAAATGTGACCGAGGCATTAGAAGTGTACATTTTACAATACATTTGCGGTTATATCTGTTTCCATAGCAACGAATTTGTGAACTAAACGACACGATGATTTAAGGAAAAAATGAGCTATAACTTAAAAAATTAATGTTATTAGAAATTCATACAATTGATATAAAGACTGTGTTCCGATTTTATAATATATATCAAATCATGACAATGGTCCATTGGACTATGGAAACTTGAACCATGGGCTTTCGAAGCCCATGCTTGAACACATGCAATGATCATACATCGTTGATGAGATTCGATTTAAAATGACTGTCAAAAATGGATGAATGAATGGAGGTGGTGTGAAAATAAATGAACAATCTTAAAATGTACATCTATACTGAGACCAGCTCTATATCATGTTTGAATAAATACGAGTATTGTAATATAAAAAAATAATAATAACATACAGGCGTGGTGCTTTCATCAGTATTGTGTTTACCATGGCAACTAATTAAATGGCTTACACTTGCATATGTTTTCACTTAATCTGTGCAACCAGGTGGTGACATTTTATCTGCAGTTGCCTTATTAATTCCGAAATGACGTTCCTTATTCGAATGCAATCAAAATGCTGGGTCATCACATGGGCTTTCAATTAGAGCCCATGGTCATCATAATAATTCCTTGAATAACACAAACTGGTTTGCTCTTCAATCACGTTCGAAACCGAAGATGTTATTAACAAAACCACAAGACATTGCTTGCTAGACATAATTGCAAATATAATTTGGAATCAAAATAGACCTAATCGATCATAAGGTAGTGTATGCTGATATACAATTATTTGAAGAGCATGGAGAAAGATGGGGGATCAGGATCAGACATGCGGGTTTAAGCCTTGAGGTATGAGGTACAGTTAAAGGGAGATATGGGCCCCAGATTGGGGCGCTGTAACCCTCCCACTGTAAATCATTGTGTTGTCACACGCCAACCCATATATACACCCTTGGTATACGCAGCTAACGAAAATTGACCGGTACGGGTCAAAAGCTGGACCGGTACGGGTTAACGGTTTTATTTATAGTGGATGGCGGCCAATAGCATCCCCCCTTTCCTATTATATCCACCAGCAATGTCGATTGTCATCATACATTTCAATTATTTACATAATTTTTTTGCTGCTTGATGGATGGTTCTTTTACCAGTAATCAATAAATTACAATCTGAATAATGAATAGAACTATTGTTCACATAATTGCGATACCTATTCCTGTACGTACATGTATATTGAGCGGTTTACATCGATTAGCCAGTCCCAAATGCTTTGACGTCTGAGAGGTACCCTACAATTTACAGCTTTAGTATGAAAATGTCATATTCAAAGGCCAATTCGGACGCTTATAGAAAATGACTCAAATGTACAATACAAAAGGGACAGAAGGGAATGTCAAGTATTTTATTCAAAAATTTAGTTTCAATTGTCCAATCAAATGGAAAGGAATTCTATTTTATAAACATCATCAAAATATATGTTATGTTATGTTATATTTATTTTCATATTATAATTATTACAATTTGAATAACAAGGTTTGCACAAGACGCTGGGCGTATACTGTGCAGTTGACACCACATTACATATTACATTGTAGTATATAGAGCACATTCTTGGATGATAAGGATCACTAGATTAGCAATGAAACATGAACAAAATGAACCATGACATGATATTTGATATTAGATGTAGGTGGAGAGGAGAAATGATTTCAAAGACGATTTGATGTGATGAAGCATTTCTCAGATGTTCACATGCTATCAAACTGTAACTTTCGAAGTTTACTGATGATTTTATAAAATTGGTTTCGTAATGTCAAAATCATTGATTTAATTAATGAACTCTAATATTACGAAATATTAAACCAACTTAACATGAATAAAATGTGAACTATGTCAAAATTAGTTTTATTGGAACGCCTGCTGTGTTCGAAGGATGGCAATTAAGGACTTTATCTTTAAACTTTAAAAAGGGCGCAGAAACAAAATACTCAAAACAGCATATTTGACGTTTTTCGGCTATAATATCTTATTATTCCCAATCTGTTGATACACGACACCAAAAGATCAAAACGTATCTGTTTCAAAAAAACCTCAATCGCATTTTCTTAAAATCTGGGTTACGGTCGTTAGGGCCCTGTAATACTAATGTGTTACATAAGCAGGTAGTGTTACATGTTCCCACGTCTGAGGGTTACAGTACAGTATACAGCTAATAATTACAATTGGACAGTTCATGGTTCAAGTCCTGCACTGACGGAAAATGGCTCTTTGAACCCTCCGTACCGAAACAGCGATCCTAGATTTTGAACCCATTTGATCGAACTTCTACATCAAGTCGCGTTTACCGAGAGAGGTTAATATCCCCATAATCCTGGTTAATCTTTCCTATAATGAATTTAGCTTACTGCTATAGACTATTAAATTGTTGTATTGTCGAGTCCAAGACATAACACATGCAATTCAACGTGCGTGAAACAGATCGGACCTACCAATTTAACATATATAAACTATAGGTTCCAGTTTCCTTTTGATTCATGGATAATGTTTGTTGAAATTCAGGGGAAAATGAACTAGGTGTCAGACTGAGTTGCTACATTAGGATTTTACAATTCTTTTTCCGTAACTATCCTATTTGAAGCCTATTCGATGCGTTAATTGTTGGAATAGTTACGGATGAACAGGGGACAAATGAAGTTTAATTAGATACAGTAGCACGATGGATTGGTGCTGACGTTAATGAGGTAATTGTAATTTTTATATTCAATTACTTAATTAAACGTTTTTTCATTTTAATTAATGCTACGAACGACCACGAATGTTCCAAATTGCAATATGTATAAGGGTTATGTACTGGGAGGTTTTGGATATGGTGTTTACCCAGAGGGAGATATGCATATCTACCTGAGGGAGCGAAGGTAGGTCTGCATATCTCACGAGGAAATAAATCCCATATCCAAACCGACCGTACATAACTGGAGGTTCTGGATACGGAAAGCTCAAAATCAGGATACGGGATATATCTTACCAACTTATCTCCCTAAAACTCTACTGGGCATAGGATAAAAAATGTATATATACATTGAAACGGATAAATCAAAGAAAAGTTGTTTGATTATATCTGAAACTCAGGTTATAGTTTTGTATTGCTACACCTAATGGCTGTCGGTATGTGATCTGTATAGCAACAGAGCGCAACAGAGCGCGTTGCGCTTGTAATAAAGTAAACCGATCTATAGACAGGTAAGGTATCTCCTTGGATCAATTAGACATTATGTTGTCCAGCACATCACCGCGGTTAACAAGCAGAATGGATAGTCAATATGGAACGACCAATGACTAAAATGATCCCGGACGAGTATCTAGAGGTTTTGATAATCAAAGCAAAAATTATGTCTTAGTGTATTGAGTTCACTAAATTACGTATAATTTTCGACAAACACGAAATCACGCTGTAATTATGCCGATAGCTGACGATAGTAAATTATTACCAGTTGTAGAAGAGCCAAACAAGGCGGATAATTACGTTGTGGATACTGTTTCTAGTAGTAAGAATGATATGAACAGTTATGGCCGCGAGTCGAATAATGCTGCGGATGATGAGAGCACCAATCGTGATATAAATAACACGGGATTAGCAAAGGATAAGGAACCGGCAAATCCAGATACAATTACCAATCTTCAAAATGATTCCAATAAGGTAACGACACACCCGAGTTGTAATTATGTGCAATATTCTGAATTTGGCAATTTGGCACTCGTTGTCCATTGTCATACCTAACGTAATTTCATATTAAAAGAGACTAGATCAACGTTCGTTATATAATTCTGATCTATTCATATATCTAATTCGTTATATACATTTTTTATAAATTTGTTTAATTTATTTCACCCAATGTTAATTTCAACGATTTTACCCAAGACTAGAGACTTCGTGCAATAATTGTGAAAACTGGTAACAAACATCGCAAATGAAGCATGCATACATACAGCATACAACACATATTGATCATTCTTCACATTATTTTAGATCTCTTGGCGATCCACAATATAGAAATTGCAGTAAATTGACGACCGCAATTGATTTATAAGAGTGCTTTGGCACGGTAATATTTTGGAGTAGGCTAGTACCTCTAGCGTAGCCAGGATGAGGCAGATAATTCCTTTAGCAATGATGAGTTTTATAGATTTTAACATCACTTTTTGATTCAATTGTTAACAATCTCATTACGTAAGGGTTATCATCGCGTTCTCCTATTGCCAAGCAAGCGGGACAAGGTTTGGAAATATTTTTCGCCTCGTCGCTTTTTCTTCCTGGTTACGTCATTGAGATTGGGTATAGTTTCCATTTGATCAATGTTTGTCCAGGACCAAGAGCACAATAAAAATACATTTTATGAATAATAGAATAATTCCAATGATAAATGCTTGTTCAAGAGCCCAACAAGAATACATTTAATGTACAGAGAAACCTGTCTTAGTGAACACCTCTCTAGTGAACACCTGTCTGTAGTGGACACCCTCCCCTCTCTAGTGAACACCTGCTTTACACTGAAGTTTTTTCTTGGCAAAAAAAGTAAAGATACAAATGCTCTAATTTCAAGAGATTTATCTGTTATGAGATGAAATTGCTCCAGAATGTAGAATGACATTATAACAATATATCCTGCAATTGTCATGACTTTCCGTTTCAAAATGAAAAAGTTATGGTTGTTATGGTAACGGGAGTCGAGGGTAAGTGGAGCAACGTCACAACTGTGTTCTACAAATCTCTTTCCTGCTCATATGATCTTGGCACTCAACCATCTATTCCGACATTATATCAAATTATGTACCACAATAGCATAGGGATTAGTAATGTAACATTATTTGACCATTTCATATTACTACTATCATTGAATATTCAGTATTTTCCCCATTATCTATACATTCTTGGTGCATTTTGACCGGTGATTTAAAGACCTGACAAAACCACTGCTGTCCATATCTCAGATTGCTGATAACATTGGCTTCCAGCTGAATCTTATTTGTATGTTGAACTTTTTACAAATATTGCTTTCAAATGGTCATTAAGGTAGAAGACTTTATCAGGTGAATATGGGGCATTGTAAAGAAAGGTTTAATGTCAAGACACTCCATTGTAAGATTTGTTTTTTGCTTTCCGAATTGGTGCATTGTGGAGATGCAATATTGACTTTCCTACTAATGGCCAGGGACCATTCTTCTAGGCACTTGTATAATATTTCTTTCATTATACTGGTTAGTGACATAACATAGTTCTGATATGTAGCAATGACATCATTATATAAAAGAAAACACTATGGCAGCAATAATACAATTATGAACAAAACAAAACATAGATAGAAAATACAACAAAAAACAAGGTTTTAAATGGTTGTCTTTTAGCAATTTTTAACTTTTTAGCGTTGTTCTGGAACTGCTCCGCATACCTCTCACATCCGTAACCATAACAACCGTAACTTGAACATATTAAGACTATATGTGATGAAAGTTGGTAGATATATTGTAATATTGTTCCTCTACAATCTGTAGCAATTTCATTTCAAAAAAACTAAATTTTGTAAAATAAGAATATTTGTATCTTTACTTTCCGGACACCCTGTACACAGGTTTTACTGTTATCATGAAATACGCTGTTACCTTGAATGAAAAGACTAAGTTGAAGAAAATCGTTAATTATTCGTCTACCTTGATACCAATGCAACATTTTAACTTGAGATAGACCATACACTGTGACATATACATATTCATGGAACGTTTGTCATTTTACCATGTTGGTTTAACATATTTCAATATATGTGAATTTTTTCAAACTAGAACAAAAGACTTTCACATTTTGGCCTTCAACGATTTTCATTTCCTAGAAATTAACAAATTAGTATATATGATATTTTCAACACGTCTTTATGACCATATATTACAGATTAGGTGCAGTTTCTAAAAAATTTCAAATGGCACATTTAGGTATGATCATTGCATCCTAGCCTTGCCCAAGTCGGTCTCTTACTTATCTTGATTTTTATTATGACGGTAATAATTCAAGATCAGATAAGTAAAAAAATACCGACTTGGGCAAGGCCATCTTCGCTAGCTCGGTATTCAATGCGTTCATCGACCGACGGGAGCCGAGTGAACCAAGATGGACAAGACTGATTGTATCCATTCTGCTAGACTTTTATAAAAACGTGACTGGTGCCTTTATATACACTCCCCTTCATAAGTTTAAACGTGACTGGTGCCTTTATATACACTCCCCTTCATAGGTTTAAACGTGACTGGTGCCTTTATATACACTCCCCTTCATAAGTTTGGAAACCGTGACTGGTGCCTTCATATACACTCCCTCCATAAGTTTAAACGTGACTGGTGCCTTTATATACACTCCCCTTCATAAGTTTAAACGTGACTGGTGCCTTTATATACACTCCCCTTCATAAGTTTAAACGTGACTGGTGCCTTTATATACACTCCCCTTCATAAGTTTAAACGTGACTGGTGCCTTTATATACACTCCCCTTCATAAGCTTAAACGTGACTGGTGCCTTTATATACACTCCCCTTCATAAGTTTAAACGTGACTGGTGCCTTTATATACACTCCCCTTCATAAGCTTAAACGTGACTGGTGCCTTTATATACACTCCCCTTCATAAGTTTAAACGTGACTGGTGCCTTTATATACACTCCCCTTCATAAGTTTAAACGTGACTGGTGCCTTTATATACACTCCCCTTCATAAGTTTAAACGTGACTGGTGCCTTTATATACACTCCCCTTCATAAGCTTAAACGTGACTGGTGCCTTTATATACACTCCCCTTCATAAGTTTAAACGTGACTGGTGCCTTTATATACACTCCCCTTCATAAGTTTAAACGTGACTGGTGCCTTTATATACACTCCCCTTCATAAGTTTAAACGTGACTGGTGCCTTTATATACACTCCCCTTCATAAGTTTGGAAACCGTGACTGGTGCCTTTATATACACTCCCCTTCATAAGTTTAGAAACGTGACCGGTGCCTTTATATACACTCCCCTTCACAAGTTTCGAAACCGTGACTAGTGCCTTTATATACACTCCCCTTCATAAGTTTGGAAACCGTGACTGGTGCCTTTATATACACTCCCCTTCATAAGTTTGGAAACCGTGACTGGTGCCTTTATATACACTCCCCTTCATAAGTTTGGAAACCGTGACTGGTGCCTTTATATATACTCCCCTTCATAAGTTTGGAAACCGTGACCGGTGCCTTTATATACACTCCCCTTCATAAGTTTGGAAACCGTGACCGGTGCCTTTATATACACTCCCCTTCATAAGTTTAAACGTGACTGGTGCCTTTATATACACTCCCCTTCATAATTTTAAACGTGACTGGTGCCTTTATATACACTCCCCTTCATAAGTTTAAACGTGACCGGTGCCTTTATATACACTCCCCTTCATAAGTTTAAACGTGACTGGCGCCTTTATATACACTCCCCTTCATAAGTTTAAACGTGACCGGTGCCTTTATATACACTCCCCTTCATAAGTTTAAACGTGACTGGTGCCTTTATATACACTCCCCTTCATAAGTTTAAACGTGACTGGTGCCTTTATATACACTCCCCTTCATAGGTTTAAACGTGACTGGTGCCTTTATATACACTCCCCTTCATAAGTTTAAACGTGACCGGTGCCTTTATATACACTCCCCTTCATAAGTTTAAACGTGACCGGTGCCTTTATATACACTCCCCTTCATAAGTTTAAACGTGTCCGGTGCCTTTATATACACTCCCCTTCATAAGTTTAAACGTGACTGGTGCCTTTATATACACTCCCCTTCATAAGTTTAAACGTGACCGGTGCCTTTATATACACTCCCCTTCATAAGTTTAAACGTGACCGGTGCCTTTATATACACTCCCCTTCATAAGTTTAAACGTGACCGGTGCCTTTATATACACTCCCCTTCATAAGTTTAAACGTGACCGGTGCCTTTATATACACTCCCCTTCATAAGTTTAAACGTGACCGGTGCCTTTATATACACTCCCCTTCATAAGTTTAAACGTGACTGGTGCCTTTATAAACACTCCCCTTCATAAGTTTAAACGTGACTGGTGCCTTTATATACACTCCCCTTCATAAGTTTAAACGTGACCGGTGCCTTTATATACACTCCCCTTCATAAGTTTAAACGTGACTGGTGCCTTTATATACACTCCCCTTCATAAGTTTAAACGTGACCGGTGCCTTTATATACACTCCCCTTCATAAGTTTGGAAACGTGACTGGTGCCTTTATATACACTCCCCTTCATAAGTTTGGAAACGTGACTGGTGCCTTTATATACACTCCCCTTCATAAGTTTAAACGTGACTGGTGCCTTTATATACACTCCCCTTCATAAGTTTGGAAACGTGACTGGTGCCTTTATATACACTCCCCTTCATAAGTTTAAACGTGACTGGTGCCTTTATATACACTCCCCTTCATAAGTTTAAACGTGACTGGTGCCTTTATATACACTCCCCTTCATAAGTTTGGAAACGTGACTGGTGCCTTTATATACACTCCCCTCCATAAGTTTAAACGTGACTGGTGCCTTTATATACACTCCCCTTCATAAGTTTGGAAACGTGACTGGTGCCTTTATATACACTCCCCTTCATAAGTTTGGAAACGTGACTGGTGCCTTTATATACACTCCCCTTCATAAGTTTAAACGTGACTGGTGCCTTTATATACACTCCCCTTCATAAGTTTAAACGTGACTGGTGCCTTTATATACACTCCCCTTCATAAGTTTGGAAACGTGACTGGTGCCTTTATATACACTCCCCTTCATAAGTTTAAACGTGACTGGTGCCTTTATATACACTCCCCTTCATAAGTTTAAACGTGACCGGTGCCTTTATATACACTCCCCTTCATAAGTTTAAACGTGACTGGTGCCTTTATATACACTCCCCTTCATAAGTTTGGAAACGTGACTGGTGCCTTTATATACACTCCCCTTCATAAGTTTGGAAACGTGACTGGTGCCTTTATATACACTCTCCTTCATAAGTTTAAACGTGACTGGTGCCTTTATATACACTCCCCTTCATAAGTTTAAACGTGACTGGTGCCTTTATATACACTCCCCTTCATAAGTTTAAACGTGACTGGTGCCTTTATATACACTCCCCTTCATAAGTTTGGAAACGTGACTGGTGCCTTTATATACACTCCCCTTCATAAGTTTAAACGTGACTGGTGCCTTTATATACACTCCCCTTCATAAGTTTGGAAACCGGAAGTTTCCCTTCTGGATCACTTATCAAAGCCTGCTTTAGGTTTTACGATTTAAAAAATTGTCATAGATTTACGAACTATTCTCATTAATTGGAACAACAATAGATTCAAACATTGACGGGGTTTCATATTTTGTCCAAATTAACCCCTCCATTGTCAAACTTATGGCGAGGAGTGTACAAGCACAGCCAATCGATACTGAGTTTCGTAAGCAATGATTCTGCATGTAAATAATGAATTAGATGCGCCTGCTGTTAAGGTTTTCCATAGTTGCAATTATATATAATTTCTAAATAATTTTCATAGCTTGTAATCTAGTTCACCGTTGGTTCTGACCGAGGGATTGTTTAAATACTGGTTATTATATACGGGGAATGCGAGCTGGATATTAAAATTGTCAATTAGCGCTGTATTTGATATACGTATAATATACATATCTTAAATGACATCGAGGTACTTGCCAAGGCACAGATGAATTCAAAGTAAGCGGAGAGTAAATATTAATCTAGTAACAATGACGAGTAAAAGTGACATTTATGTTGATATTTCACAGGATCTGAAATCTAATGAATCTGATGTGGCCGAAGAGACACAAGATGCGACAGGAGACGAGACCAACATATCAGCAGATGAAAAACACCCCAACTCAGCCGACAACGTGGATGAAACAAATCGAAGTAGACACACGAGTTCCTCAACATCACTGAATGCAATGAATCGAGTGAGTCCAGAACCCCAACAGCACAACGAGAACAGTCAGGACACCCCCCAAAATGGGCTCAACATCAGTCAACAGAATGACACTGTTGTTCAAAATGGCTGTCATGTTAACGAAGCTTATGAAAAAGACGATGTAGAGACTATCAATGGAGGTGACAATGCAGGGCCACTCCCAGACAAGAAGAGCATTGGAGCAGGCGTGGAGCCAATGGGAGAGGATGCTGCAGAAGCGAAGAGAAGACGGGAAAAGGAGCCGCTTAAGATTTGTGTATGGATGGCTGAGCGTACCAACACGTTCTTTGGTAAGAAAGAAATATTCCATGCGATTAAAAGTGCACTTTACTTGGTATTTCCATAAATTCTCATAAAAGATTTTTGTTTTGTAATATCTCAAACTTTTTACAAGCATGTAGTATATGTATAATTCTATTCTTTGATATTTCTATTCTTTGCTTTTGGATGATAACCATTACATACACATTGTATCATTATATAATATATATTATCGAACAACGGTTGCTATCTAAGAATTGAAAGACTTCTCTAGAGCACCATTGCCCATGCTACCATAGTAACCATTAACGCAAATAAAATGTAATTAGGGATCACTCAGAACAGAGACATATATGTCTCTGCTCAAAGTAAGCTAAATACGTACTACATACATGTACTTGTATTTACATATCAGGCAGAATGTATAAAAGATTTTACAGACATTTCATCATGATTTATGGAAATACTTTCGAAAGTGATTAAGGGTTTAAGCCCTGGACTGAAGTGCAATGTGGAATGGCCACTCCTGAAGGTATTGTTTCCAAAATTTGCATGAGATGCGGAGCATCGTGTGTTAATTTTAGGAAACAACGCCTGAAAGAAATGATCATTACACAATGCATTGAGTCTTTTGATCGGCTGGAAGTCGACACACCTTACCTAGCTATGTGTGAATATTTTATCATGTTCATTCGAATTCATTTGGATCCAAATAGACATGTAGATGAGATGTCGTTGAGTATGTAACTTATCATGGTGTTACTTGTTTTCATTGTAGGTAGCGATCTGAGGCACTTCGATCAGGGTGTTGTCGGGACAATTTCTCTTGTGACTTAGGTTATGTATTTAGGTCTATCTCAACAGATTTTACTGGTCTTATGCGCCGCAAATGGTGCGAAAGATGTTAAAATTGCATTTTCGACCCTAAAATTCAGATTTCTTGGGGGTACATTATTATTTAGCTATAAAACAAAAACTAAACAACCAATGCTTCTTTCTTTTGGTGTTTCTGTTAAGAGTAATCATACTTGAAATGCATATGTAAAAAAATTGAAGAATTTTAACTTTATTTAAAAACAGCAACATTTTTTCACCCTAAAATCATAGAATTTAGGGGGTTTGAGAGACATTGATTGGAACTGATTTTTTAATTTCTCAATCAATCTCAGTTTAATATTAATGGAACTTTCCTAAAAGTAGCACCAACATGTCCCCAACACATTACCATAAAGAAAAAACTCAAACTCTAACATGTTTTTTGCCTATATGGGTCAATTTACCTCTCCCCTCTTTCCCTTTTTAGAAGGGCGTGGCCATATTGGCATGTTCATCTAAAAATAAATACTTCATGTTCATATCCATCCTCCGATCACAGGGCTTCAAAATCCAGAACATATTCTTTCTTTTTACCCCCAGCAATAAGCAGTTACCATTTCCCCGATTAAGAACTCGCAATCTGATTGGCTGTCGCAACACTGCGACAGAAATCATGTATACGTCATTGTGCATAATTAGATCATTGGATTCAGTTAAATCAGGCGCGTCCAAATTGGTTATCGCAGGGGGAAGAAGGAGGTACGGATTCTGGACACCTGCTTAGGAGGATGGTTCATATCATGTTATCATTTTTATGTCACCAACAAAAAGTGGTGACATATTGTTATGGTCTCTGTTCTTTTTTGACAGTGGTCAGTGGTCGGCGGTTTGTGGTTGGAGCTTGGCAATAGACTAGATGCGAGTAAAAATAATCTTGATTTACGTCATTAAATATTCAAAATTCAAAGTGATGTCATATTTGAAATCTACATGTAAAAGTAAATCTAGAAATATGGTTTCGAAAATTATTTATCAACTTTGAAAATTTAATTTTTTTTTGAAAATGTGACTTCTAGTTCGGGTTGATTCCCCATAGACCCCATGTTACAAAATCACAAAAAGTGAAATATCTTTTCTTGTATTGGACAGATAACATTTTCTTTTACTGGACATATTTTAATTTACATAACAGTTAGATACATAAGGGTTATATGAAAATTGAACCACTAAAACAGATGTAATTTAAGTTAGAGGGAACATTCTACTATACCCGCCATGCTATCTGACCCGAACGAGCCACCTGGTGGTGAAACTGGTAACTACTTACTCGCATCTGCGTTATTGGTGTCTGTAACAAATTCTTACAATTTCAAATAATTAACAAATACTGTATAGACTGACTTCAATTGTTTTCAAAATCATCTACGTGTTTTCAGATGTTCAAATCTGACTTTATATTTAAGATTTGACCTTCAATGACCTTTTCAAGGTCAGAAAAAGTCTTTTTTCAACTTGCTTCAAATTAACCATTTTTTCAAAATCATCTATAAGTTATCAGAAGTTCAAATCTGACTTAATGTTTGAGATTTGACATTCAATGACCTTCTTAAGATTTAAGAATATAGATTTGATCATTAAATGACATTCTAAAGGTCAAAATAGATTTGACCTTTAGTGACCTGCTCAAGGTCAAAAAGGTATTTTTTATCTTGTTTCAACTAGGTGGTGACATTTTGTCATGTTAATGCCTTGTTTTACTTGTAGCTAGTGAATGTCTTTGAAATGACATAAGCCTAATACAGTGGGACCTGGGTTAGTGAACACCTTTCTCTAGTGAACACCTGTGTAAAATGAACACCCTTTTTTCAGCTCATACCTTGATTCCAATACAAATTGTCTTTCTGTATTGAAATCTTTTTTGTGGCTCTATAGATGTTCACTGTACACAGGTTTTACTTTATACAAAACACATTTATATTTAACTTTAATTAATAAACTGATTATCTAATTGCAATTATAAATTGCTATCTATTATTTGCAGGGAACATGTAGCAAAACAATAAGGGAGAATAGTAAGCTATTCAAGGCTTATTACTGTCTGATGCTCTATTATTAACTAATTTGATTGATTCAATTGATGGCTTTCTCAATCCATTCCAAATTGAGGACAATGATCATTTATACTGCATATCATCTGGAATGCCAACACCCTCTAATTTAGCAGATGATCTCTTAAATGCAGCATCCAAGGGCACACAAGCCTTTAAGCAATTTATTCAAGACCAATTTGTGCAGAAGGGAAAAAGTTTTCATAACCCCATAAAAGAATGAAACTGAAAACATCTGAATTCAATGCTGGAGTCAAAAAGGTGAAAAGCTCTGGAAACAAACTGATTGAGATTAGAGCTGAGCGCAATACATTTGGCCAGTTAGTCATGTTATCAGAGCAGCATAGTATCAGTCTAAAGTGAATATTAGAATATCCCCTGAGTCCAATACCCTGGGCTCTTGGAACACCTGATAGGCTCTTGGTTAAAACAGAAAAGTCAAAATTATTACATGAGCTGGAAACATATGATATTACATGGACCCAAACCAGAAAAAAACAATTATAGTCTATGATGGCAATGCATTGTTCCATATACTTCCTGAGGGACCCAAAACATTTGGATTATTGGCAGAGAGGATCCTTCAGATGCTTCCTATAAGAAAGATTCAATTAAAGAACCAGAAAGAATACGCAGGCGTGTCTCCAAAAAGCTAATAATAAAAGGACCTAATACCAGAATTCCTAACAATTGGAAGGAATTCCTTTTAAATGATGAGAATGAAATGCAGCTGAGTCAGTTGATCCTTGAAGAATGGAAAAAGATAAAAATGCTCCTAAACTCAAAGAAAGACAGATTCATGTGAGATCTGTACAGTGGTAACCAGTGATAGAACTACTGCTACACATACAGTTGAATCAAGCCTGAAATCTTCCCACAAAGAGGCAGATACAAAAATTATACTACATGCAATTAACATGAAATGAACCTGAAAATACAGAAAAAACTATAGTTGTGAGATCCCCAGATAGCGATGTTTTTGTACTTCTTGCGCACTTTCCAATCTTATTCAAACTCCATTAATTTTTGACACTGGTAGTGCAGACTACATATGACTTATTAAAGGTGCAACAATTAGTGCAGGGGGGTAATTCAACGATCATCGACCAGTGTCAAAATATATTTAAGTTTGGATATTTCATCAAGAGTAACATATATTTTTATTATCTACAAAGAAACCCCCTTGATGAACATTATTTCAGCTGATATTCCTCCTGAAACGTGGTGAATCTTAAAAATCTTAAAAAGTGGGACTCCCTTTATAGAAGCTTTGAACTGAATTTACACTTCTAAATTGAGAGTTTATCCATACATTTTAAGAAAATAGATATGTCAAAGAAGATGTTAAGCCAAATATTGACCTGATAGCTCAGAAAAAAGAAAAAAAATTGAATTTTCTCTCTACAGTCCCTTGTTGCCCCTTTAATGTAAAGGAAGTAGGAAATGCGCTCAGTTCAGACATTTGTAAATTTGTAATGCTTTACCAGCCTTCCATTCATTCACTGGATGTGATTCCTTCAGTGCCTTTGTGAGAAGGGAGAAAGTGTCCCCCCCTAAAATTACTTATGAGAATTTCAAAAAGGTTTCGGCACCATTGGAGGGGTCATTAGTGATCAAACTGCTAAATGTGCTGAGAAGTTTACTTGCCAGATGTATGGAAACAAAAAGTGTTCAAATATAAATGAGCTGAGATATACCTTATTCGAGAACAAATTCCACCCAAAATCTGCTCCAAGTGTGATAACAAGCTATGAAGGCACTAACAATAAGCCTCCTACCCCCATGTAGCAGCATCTGGCAAGGCAAGGGCCAGTTATCAAGCACACATATGGAAACTTGCCAACATCCCCTCCCCATCAATTCCCTCCCCTGTGTCACATGGATGGAGGATGAAAGATGGCCATTTGGATTTCAATGGGTGTCAAATCCAGATAAAATTCTACCCCAGGACCTGGTAGATGTTAAAATTCTACCCCAGGACCTGGTAGATGTTATCGTATTAGATGTTCACTGTACACAGGTTTTACTTTATACAAAACACATTTATATTTAACTTTAATTAATAAACTGATTATCTAATTGCAATTATAAATTGCTATCTATTATTTGCAGGGAACATGTAGCAAAACAATAAGGGAGAATAGTAAGCTATTCAAGGCTTATTACTGTCTGATGCTCTATTATTAACTAATTTGATTGATTCAATTGATGGCTTTCTCAATCCATTCCAAATTGAGGACAATGATCATTTATACTGCATATCATCTGGAATGCCAACACCCTCTAATTTAGCAGATGATCTCTTAAATGCAGCATCCAAGGGCACACAAGCCTTTAAGCAATTTATTCAAGACCAATTTGTGCAGAAGGGAAAAAGTTTTCATAACCCCATAAAAGAATGAAACTGAAAACATCTGAATTCAATGCTGGAGTCAAAAAGGTGAAAAGCTCTGGAAACAAACTGATTGAGATTAGAGCTGAGCGCAATACATTTGGCCAGTTAGTCATGTTATCAGAGCAGCATAGTATCAGTCTAAAGTGAATATTAGAATATCCCCTGAGTCCAATACCCTGGGCTCTTGGAACACCTGATAGGCTCTTGGTTAAAACAGAAAAGTCAAAATTATTACATGAGCTGGAAACATATGATATTACATGGACCCAAACCAGAAAAAAACAATTATAGTCTATGATGGCAATGCATTGTTCCATATACTTCCTGAGGGACCCAAAACATTTGGATTATTGGCAGAGAGGATCCTTCAGATGCTTCCTATAAGAAAGATTCAATTAAAGAACCAGAAAGAATACGCAGGCGTGTCTCCAAAAAGCTAATAATAAAAGGACCTAATACCAGAATTCCTAACAATTGGAAGGAATTCCTTTTAAATGATGAGAATGAAATGCAGCTGAGTCAGTTGATCCTTGAAGAATGGAAAAAGATAAAAATGCTCCTAAACTCAAAGAAAGACAGATTCATGTGAGATCTGTACAGTGGTAACCAGTGATAGAACTACTGCTACACATACAGTTGAATCAAGCCTGAAATCTTCCCACAAAGAGGCAGATACAAAAATTATACTACATGCAATTAACATGAAATGAACCTGAAAATACAGAAAAAACTATAGTTGTGAGATCCCCAGATAGCGATGTTTTTGTACTTCTTGCGCACTTTCCAATCTTATTCAAACTCCATTAATTTTTGACACTGGTAGTGCAGACTACATATGACTTATTAAAGGTGCAACAATTAGTGCAGGGGGGTAATTCAACGATCATCGACCAGTGTCAAAATATATTTAAGTTTGGATATTTCATCAAGAGTAACATATATTTTTATTATCTACAAAGAAACCCCCTTGATGAACATTATTTCAGCTGATATTCCTCCTGAAACGTGGTGAATCTTAAAAATCTTAAAAAGTGGGACTCCCTTTATAGAAGCTTTGAACTGAATTTACACTTCTAAATTGAGAGTTTATCCATACATTTTAAGAAAATAGATATGTCAAAGAAGATGTTAAGCCAAATATTGACCTGATAGCTCAGAAAAAAGAAAAAAAATTGAATTTTCTCTCTACAGTCCCTTGTTGCCCCTTTAATGTAAAGGAAGTAGGAAATGCGCTCAGTTCAGACATTTGTAAATTTGTAATGCTTTACCAGCCTTCCATTCATTCACTGGATGTGATTCCTTCAGTGCCTTTGTGAGAAGGGAGAAAGTGTCCCCCCCTAAAATTACTTATGAGAATTTCAAAAAGGTTTCGGCACCATTGGAGGGGTCATTAGTGATCAAACTGCTAAATGTGCTGAGAAGTTTACTTGCCAGATGTATGGAAACAAAAAGTGTTCAAATATAAATGAGCTGAGATATACCTTATTCGAGAACAAATTCCACCCAAAATCTGCTCCAAGTGTGATAACAAGCTATGAAGGCACTAACAATAAGCCTCCTACCCCCATGTAAAGATTCATTGCAGCAGCATCTGGCAAGGGCCAGTTATCAAGCACACATATGGAAACTTGCCAACATCCCCTCCCCATCAATTCCCTCCCCTGTGTCACATGGATGGAGGATGAAAGATGGCCATTTGGATTTCAATGGGTGTCAAATCCAGATAAAATTCTACCCCAGGACCTGGTAGATGTTAAAATTCTACCCCAGGACCTGGTAGATGTTATCGTATTAGATGATACTTTAGAAGATCAAAATGAAGAGGAAGTTTATGAAATACAAAGCTTTATGGATCAAATATATTCTGGTGAATAAAAACTACATTTGTGATGACAGAAATTCATACAATGAGTAAAATTAATATTATGACTGAGTCGTGAACTGTGTATTAGATAATATTCAACTTCAGATTTTCAATATTCTTATATCTCGAGCCTACATAGAAAAAATATTGTATTATAAATAATTCACAGGTATGTAGAAGTGAAAATATTTTATGGTAATATATTTGATAAAATACATGATATGTACATGTATTCATTTAATGTGCCATCATGCTACTGTTTAAATCCACATGTATTAATGGCCACACCCCTTTTATAAGGGAAAGAGGGGAGAGGTAAATTGACCCATATAGGCAAAAAACATGTTAGAGTTTGAGTTTTTTCTTTATAGTAATGTGTTGGGGACATGTTGGTGCTACTTTTAGGAAAGTTCCATTAATATTAAACTGAGATTGATTGAGAAATTAAAAAATCAATTCCAATCAATGTCTCTCAACCCCCCTAAATTCTATGATTTTAGGGTGAAAAAATGTTGCTGTTTTTAAATAAAGTTAAAATTCTTCAATTTTTTTACATATGCATTTCAAGTATGATTACTCTTAACAGAAACACCAAAAGAAAGAAGCATTGGTTGTTTAGTTTTTGTTTTATAGCTAAATAATAATGTACCCCCAAGAAATCTGAATTTTAGGGTCGAAAATGCAATTTTAACATCTTTCGCACCATTTGCGGCGCATAAGACCAGTAAAATTTGTTGAGATAGACCTAAATACATAACCTAAGTCACAAGAGAAATTGTCCCGACAACACCCTGATCGAAGTGCCTCAGATCGCTACCTATTGATATTGTGTTCGATCTACCGAGTAGCAACCGTCATACAATCAGTTTCTGTTAATAAGAATAAAACCAGCATAACAATAACCTGCGAAATATTGATTTCAGTCTAGTATAGAATTAGTACTCTAATAAAAAAACACGTGGAATATAGTTGACGGAAATATAACGGAGACTTCTAAACTAATATCTAAGTCCTTCCCTATTGTCAACCGTGGCCTTGTCTCATTTCTTATATCTCTTGAGATAATTTTGCGAAATCAACCCTTTGGATGAAATGGTAAAATTACATGTATCAATAATCGGAAAATCCCTCAAGATCAATCTTCCTGATATTTTCGACATGTCCACATTCCCATAGTGCATCCCAATTTCTTAAATAAATGCTTATAGTTTCTATGGATAAACTAATTTCTTCATTCCAGGAGTCACGCTTTTATTCCAACTCCTGTTCTTGGTTATAACCGCCATTTTGCTGAGAGCTGGATACGATATCATCAATTTCCAACTTTCCCAACTCCCACTGACGCTGATCGATGATGTAGACTATCTTAGGGCCAAGGCTTGGAATCAGAGAGACTCTTTACTCCCGTCACTTGTCGAACGCTCGTCTCAATCAGATGAGAAAAGTGAGCTGGTTGCTAACAGGACGGAGACTGGAGAAATTATAGAAATGTATTTCGAAATTATAGGAGGGAACGTTTTCACCAAAGAAAATCTTCAAAGAATAAACGATACGGAGGAGCATTTCCTCAAAAACCAGGAATTCGTGGATGGCTTTTGTAAAGTTAGTGCTACTGGAGAGTGTGTGAAATCGTTCTCTATTCTGAGATACTTTGACGGCACATACGCTAATATTGATCCAATATTTGATGATCCAAATTTCGACAATGTCGTGAACGTCCTTCATAAAGCCGCAACTTTAGATCAGACGAAACAACAGTTTCAGATTTTCCTTGGGAAAAACAGTGTTATCAATGGGACCACGAACACTGCTGTTTCATCTATCACACGATCTTGGATCTACGTCGGCTCTCCACTGCCTGGATATAACACTTCAACAGACAGAGAAGACGAGCAGGAAACACTATTGAAAGATTTCTTTAAGTTAACATTTGGCCCAATGTTTAAACAATATTCAATCGATGGAGTAGGTCCAATGGATTTCATATACAGCAGTTCGACTATGTTGAGCAATGGCATAAGCACACAGGCAATGATGGATATGATGCTTGTCATGGCTAGCTTCGCCTTCATCTTCATCTTCATGTGGATACAGACAGGATCACTGATGATCACCGGCCTGGCACTCTTCTCTATATTGACCAACTTTCTCATGGCCAACCTCATCTACCGTGTCGTCTTTGACTTCAAATACTTCGGTACATTCCACATTTTGGCCATGTTCATCATCCTCGGGATCGGCGCTGATGACATCTTTGTGTTTTTTGATACCTGGAGGATCAGTGCCCATTACGAATACCCGAGCCTGGCTCATAGAGTGTCTGACGTCTACAGGAAGGCTTCGGCTGCAATGTTATTCACCTCACTTACAACGGCTGTGGCCTTCTTTGTTGGAGCAGGGTCCCCTTTACTCTCCCTTAACTCATTCGGTCTATTCTCTGGTATATTAGTAATAGTGAACTACATCTCCGTGATCTTGTTCTTTCCTTGTGTAGTGGTGAAGTATCATAAAGCATGGGAAAACTGGTCCTGGTGGTGTTGTCGACCATGCCTGAAAAAGACGCGAGGTAACGACACTGTGGAGATGCATAATTCTGCGGTTGAAAGCCAGCAACCCACAGATTTGAAGGACAATAGCCAGAGAAAAAATATCGCCGTTAAATTTTTCAGGTAAGTTATGCATATGGTCAGTACAAATTGCTTGTAATAAACTATTCCTCCCACGGAATTCGTAGTGTTATCACGAATGATAAAGACGTTCAGATCAATGCCAATACTGACTGACTGAATATGGTGCATATTTAAGACTTTGCAAATGACAACAAAACTACAAGTAAATAGTAAATAACAACATTAAAATATAATGTAAACTACAGCAAGCGTAGCATAAGGGGTAATTAAAGGTATGTATAAGCATCAACTTGGCTATAATCACTACTACTGATGATATTTATAGTTTCATGAAAATATTGTTTTGTTATAGGGGACCATATTTCAAGTTTATCACACACAAGGTCGTGAAGTGGGTTGTGTTCGTATTCTTCCTGGGGATGTCAGCAACATTTATCTATTTCGCAACAACAATACAAGTCAACGAGGAACAGGTATATAATATATTGTTGAACATGAAACTAGATATGATTACATCAATGGCCTTTATCGACTGTCATTCGATGGCTCGATTAGTGTTTTGATTTAAAATGTTCCTTTTATTGCAGGAAAAACAAATAAATTAGGTTAACATAGCGGACACATATGAAATTATTACGTTTATTTATTTCAGATTAAATTTCTAAAGGATACATCAAATTTTGGTAAAGTGTTTGACAGACGAGCAAACGCGTTCAAGCCAAGCAACCAAGACAGGGCGGTCAAAGTGTACATTGCCTGGGGTCTGAAGAATCAGGATATGAGTGGTTGCCACAAGACGGACACAAGTTGTGACGGTGTTAGTGTATACGATGAGACGTTTAATCTGAACGACGCCGGCACTCAAGAAGCTTTGGCAGTAAGTGCAATTATTTACGAGAAACTATGTCATGGTCGCCATATATTATGACTACAATACTCAACAATTCTATTTCTATAAGAATATTGGCTCCCAACATGAAATTAATAAACTTTTTTTAAAAAGTTTGACTAATAATGTTTGTTTATTTCCTAATTATTTTTTAATTTTTACTTGTAATCTCTGTGTGAACGTTTAATTATAACAAAGACACCGAGCAATTTCGCAGAATACATTTTTATGTCTCTGATCTGAGATATCAGAATCATGAAAACAATATGTTGCATCCTTGCAACTATTTGAAATACCTTCATGTTTGCAAAATTGTTATTGTCATGTATTTCCAGGCGTTCTGCACAAAGATGAAAACGCTTAGTGCTGCTGAAGCAGAAGAGCTAAAAATCAGGAGAAATATCGTTACTAATGATCTTGAGGTTCAGTGTTTCATAGATGACATGGAGGCGTTTTTAAAGGTAATTACTTTTATAATTATACATACTCGAGGTACCCATCTTAATTAACGTATATACGTCAATGAGAGCACGGTTCACATTGATATTAGTTTCAACAATTATAAAGAAGAGGAGAAAGGAGGACGAGTATAACGTTCATTCATGAAAAAAGCGCATGGAATCGCTTGTCATATTCTTACACATGCAAATGTTGAATCACCCCCCCCCCCCCCATTAATTAATCTGTTTCCACTCGCAAATGACTAATTGAACATGAAATGCAATTATTACAACTCTGTATTATGAATGATGTTAGGCTGATGAGAATGCGACGTACACCATCCCACCGAGTACCACAATGAACAAGTACAGTCCTTCTGTGAATCTAGACATGCCCTGGGTGAAGAGCAACGTAGAAGCGATCATGAACGCACCACCTATGAACAATATGTTCTACAATGCATCTGCCCTACCAGCGTCATACAGCAACTATTTTGAGGTATATAATTATGCCTTGCCTGAGTTAACAATGATGCTTAAATACATAAGGGTTGTGTACTGGGAGTTTTTCTTCACGTTTTCCTTTTTTTAAATCTTTTTCATTTTTTTAAAGCTGGGAGATATGCCCTGGTGCGGGAGATATGATGGGAGATATGGAGGTTCTGAATACGGAACCTCAAAATTATACGGGATATATCTTACCAACTTATCTCCCTAAAACTCTACTGAACATACGATAAATGTTGATATTTTTTTCTGTAGTCTATTAGATTCATTTCGAAATAGCCATTTGTATTTCTTTAAAATAATTTCTTTGCCAGCCCTTTTTGAGTCGATTGGTTGGGCAAGTACAAAGTCTATATGGGCCTCATGAAACTATTTAAATTCTTTGGGAGCTTTCAACAGAGATCGATCATTATGGTAAACCGTATCATTATTTCCATTATGGTATACCGCCTGTTTAACATTTTAAAGAAAAATTACCACATGAATGCGATGTATAACCAAGTATTTAATATCAAGTATTCAGTCGTGTTTCGTTATTTTTTGTATACATAGGTGGCGCTGAACTACTGGCTGCAACATGGGTTCGACTACGCCAACAACATGGGGACTGTGGTGAGCAATCTCAGGAGTTACAGTTCTATTTTGGGAGAGGAGGAGTTGGCAGGTGTCACACAAAGAGAGAATGTCACATGTAAGGGTTTCTTTCCATATTTACTGGCTGAACGATATACAGTAAAACGTGTAAATCCAAACACCTCTCTGATCCGAACACCTCAAAATGTAAACACTTTTCCAGTCTCCCACTGACTCAGATATTGAGAAGACTTGAAATGTAAACACCTGCTAATTTGAACACTTCCCCGGTCCAAGTGGTGTTCGGTTTAAACAGGTTTTACAGTACTGTGGGGTTTGAACCGGTGTTCGGCCTTGTTCTATATACGTACTACGGAGTCTATACCAAAATAGCACACAACGCATGGGTGCCGTATTAATAACGATTCCAAATAACACGTCTATGAAACAGTTATGAAGGATGCTGCTTAAAAATTGTCTTGTGAAAAAATTCAAAATCACGTTCCGGAAAATCCTTGGATGAGTCCATTTTCAAAATATTTTCTTTCTTGCTTTCATTTAATCAACTCAAAGTTAAATACAAATATTTTCAACTCAATGCATATATTTTCTGTCTTTTTATTTATAATCACAGTTGGGGGCTCAACTATCAAAGGTCCGAAGTATGGTACACGGTTGAGATACGCTGCAATAGTAGTCAACACAAGTATGAACTTTGATTCCCTTGGCTACCCTACAGATCTACCCATCAGAGATGCATGGGAGAATTTCGTCACAAAGGAGGTAACGTAGATTACTAGTACATGTGATCAATAATTGGAGATCTTTGGAGGACATGCGCTCCTTGGGTCCACGATAAGCATGGTGAGGATAAAAAGGATAGATAACAAAGAGTAGAAAAAGTGGAGAATAACACCCTTCAGTGGATAAATAGCAATTCTAACCAAAAACCACAAGTGTAATATGAAAAAGCGTCTCGTTTTAAAAATGTAACAAAGCAACATATATGTAAAGTTACTCAACGACGGTGTCAATCATTGCTTCTTTTCTGTTCCGTAAGTTGTAACTGGTCACTTCCCTTTCAGATCAGCGCGATGCCAGAACCATTGCAGGGAGGGTTCCAATGTACGCCTACCCTTTTCACCGCGTGGCATTGGCTCAAAGTACAGAAGGTGGGTAATGATACATTCATCTTCTCTTACGGCCGTCCGTCTCTCTCTCTCTCTCTCTCTCTCTCTCTGTCTCTCTGTCCGAACATCTCCTCCGAGACCGTTCAACATTGGGTCATCATACTAAGTCAACATGCTAAGTGGGTATTCTACGAAGGCCTGAGGTTAAGGTCATTCCAAGGTCAAAGGTACGTATTTGGCATTTCAAGGCATTTGAGGGTTGTTTTGTCAAGGTCAACAAGGTCAAGTATTAATATCTAGGTATTTGGCGTTTTAGGGCATTTGGGGGCTGCTATGACCGTTGGCGACCCACGATTAGGTGACCTGAGGTCAAGGTCAACATTTATGGGACAAGGTCATTCCAATGTCAATTTCTAGGTGTTTTTAGTCCTTTTAGAGCTGCTATGGCCCTTGGTGACCCATGTTTGGGTGACTGAGGTCAATGTCAACGTGTATGGGTCAAATTCGAACGGTTAGATTGTTAGTATACATAATGTTGATGGGGATCAAAAAGCATATGAAATTACTTTTTTATTAGTTAGTACCACTAGATTTAGACTATTCTCATCGGTCATAGGTTGACTTTTCTACTTTTGGGATACAGACAAAACAAGAATGCAGGCATGTTTTATTTGATCTACTGTACAAAATTGATTGGATATCAGATACTGCAGAATTTTTGGCACACGCTGTATATAATACATTGGACACATAATAGAAACAGGGCTAGTTAGTTCCACTATTAGTATACTAACAGTTCTGTCCAAACCTTCCAAATAATGGTACCACATTTATAAAATTGGAGCACTTACAGAATAACAGCAACAATGTTACGAGTGCAACAACTAATATCATAAGAGACTGGAACATATTTAATATATACCACAATCATAAATATGAACTTTCAAGCCTTTTTCACAAAGATAACTAGTGTGCATGTGTAATAAAATTGAAATAGATATTTAACAAACAAAAAACAATATCGGGAATTGTTATACTCAAACTGAATAATCTGATTTCAGAGTTTGACTAATTCTGCCATTAACGGCATCATCATCGGATTGTGCATTGCGTTCCCCATATTGATCATAGCAACCAAGAATGTCATTGTTGGATTCTTCGCATTGTGTAGCATCGCCATGGTAACGACATCCGTGGTAGGAGTTATCCCATTGGCTGGTTGGAAACTAGGGGTAAGTGTGCAGACCCTATTGGAAGTAGGCTCAAAGGATATATGGTATATTTATTGAGCCTAGACACAGAGGAGGTAATGGCAGAGGTCCGTGTGTAAGAGAGCCTAAGAGTGTGTCTGACAATTATTAGAGAACACGTAAAACCCAAGACTCAGACAAACCATTATATGAATTGTACAGGGTGTCCGTAAAGTCTCTTTAGAATTAAAATACAGCTATATGTGTAACATATTGAACTGTTGGATGCTTTTTTCAGATATTGGAATGCCTAAACCTTGTGTTGATAGTCGGTCTTTCTGTGGATTATGTCGTGCATCTAGCGGAGGGATATAGTCGGTCTCCACACAAGGATCGCCTGGGAAGGGTCCACTCGATGCTGGAAGAAGTCGGCGTCTCTGTACTCTCTGGTTCCATCACAACGCTCGGGGCATCCTTTTTCATATTACTAGCCGAGATCTTGTTCTTTACCCAGTTTGGAATTATCATGTTCTCAACTATAGGATTCTCAGTGATGTATGCCTTGGGATTTTTCACTGTCTTGTTAGTGTTGCTTGGGCCTCAGAATGAGTTTGGTTCTATTATGCCCTTAGCACGTAAACTTAAATGCTGTAAGTGAGTACGTCAGGTGATTGAAATTTCTCAACATCATATTTGTTAAGTTAGCATAAAAGGAGGTATTGTATTTGAGATTGTAAGAAAGATTGGTAGGTCAATGGCACATGTTGCTTGCAATTTTGTCACCATAGGTCCGATTTTAGTGGATGAATTAAGACAGATGAACCATGCGATCAACATACTTCACTCAAGGTGAAGAAAAGAGGAGAGAAGAGTGTGAAAGGGAGTGTTTACTTTTCATAAAGATTTCCGAATGCCATTCTGATAATCATAGCATCGATGACATGGTTCAATATGATGGCCAAATGCTCTAAAAAGACAGTATTATAGAGAAGTAAAGTCTGAACTGTTTGACCTTTTACAAAATAAAATAAAAGTTTTACTCCCGATTTGTCTCTAGTCTAAGGGTTGTTTTAAATATCTTGGGGTTGTTTTAAATATCCATGTTACAGCCCAATAATAGTATAATATTATGTAAAACAACTATATTTGATATTTATTAAATGTATAAAATCAATATTTTTGTAAATATTTAAACTAGTGATATTATTACTTTTGTAATTCAGAGAAGAAGAACAATCATTTCACGCATTCATGTGCTAAAAGACCGAAAGGCATTTGACAATAAATAGTACAATATAAGGTCACACATGGGACAGAATTAAGGTTTCGTACGAGATATTTTTATTTTCATTTTTGTATTCTAAATGATCATGAATACCCACATAAAATGTGATACAGATATCAAAATTCATTAGTAATCACAATAATGCAAATAACAGTAATCCTCATCATGTAGTGATTACACAGTTGTATTATAGACACAAACCTAGTCGAGTAATTTTAGACCAGCATGCGATGCAATAAATGAGTGATATCACATATCAATCATGAGGTTTTCATTTGCAAAATGTTACCTTTAGACTTCTATCGCTGTTCAATGAAAGTATACATTGGTTGCATTGCGTGCTAGCCTTTACAGTTACCTATGAGTATCAGTCTCGTATTATGAGCTGCTCTGCAACCATGCATGATCTCTTATCAATTATGGTTTGATATGCTCAATTCTTTACTAGTTCTGTATCTATTTACGTAAGTATTCCTTTTTAACGTCACTTCATAAATTACGTTTACGTAAAAATTTTAGCTAGCCGTACACCAATCTGACATTATATTTTTAAAGTGTATGAAACAGTTATACATAATATATAATTATAGTACAAATATAGTACAAAGATATGTAGAATCTATCTTAGATTATATTTTCAAAAGTCTATTGTTCAGTTATACAGAGTTTATTTATTTTATTGTCAAGTAATTGTTATTGTAAAATATGTATTGCCAATATTGAGTATTAAAAAGTATTAAAAAAGAACGTATCCTTTTATGTTGCATCTTGTATCATTATTTTCATCTCAATTAAACACAGTCAAAACATTTTTATACTAATTAAATCAAATGGTGGACGCCATTTGTGCCATATTATACATAGGTTCTGGGCCGATATAAAGATGACAGCACCAACAGAATCCAGTAAATTATCTTTTTCTCTAAAGAGAAACATAGATAAACACAGATCGATTACCATGCCATCTTTATTATAAAAATGATTTCTATCGCCCTTAGCCTATGATATTATACAATGTAAATGAATATTCCACAAACGATATCTATTTTTAATTTGTTGTTAAATCACGCCTAACCATCGACAAGGTACAGTCACGTGACAGGTGACAAAATATGCCGTAGTACACTTTTGATGTACTATATCACTATTAACTGATTTTGAGCGAAGACCATGATGTAGGTTCGATGCAGGTTTTCAAAAATAAATTTTAGGAGAACACAAAGGATTTTATGTTTGATTTCGCGTGCATTCGATTTCAAAGACATTTATTTTTCTAATAACGTTAAAAGATCTTCGAGCAGTGCTCGATTTTTTTCGTTGTTAGTCTACCCATACGATTCTTCGGTTGGAAAAATGTTGTTTTTTACACATTTCCTTTGATAATTTTCTCCCCTGACGTCTCAGAGTGTCGAATATTTTTATGAGAATGTGTTTCTCTAAACTACACAGTTTAGGACAGGTGAACATTTAATAAACATTCATGCATTTGATATAATTTAAAAAATCAGAAATGTACGTTGTCAACTCACAGTGTATGTTGTCCCTGTAATTGAAATACATGAGTTATAATATTAAACATTGCAATGATTTAATTTCAAAATGCATTAAGGGTTTTATGCGTTACAAGTGATGTTCAACGAACATGCTCCTGTATCCCTAGTACAGATAAACAGGTAAAAGTGATTCTTTCGTTGAATGCTATTTTATTTTATGAAAGTATTAATATGGTGACTAATATGTGACCACGGCGTGTTTTCTTCCGACCTCTTTAACCACTCGACGTCGGTACGTTACGTTATGTTTAGTTGCACTTTTATGAATTTTAATAATCTTAAGGAGTTCATGGAGAGATCTTTACTAGCTAATCCAAGATGACTTTATGCTACAGGGTGTCCCGAAATTATGGGCCCCCATAGGCAGACATATACCAATGTCTCCATGTATGTGTCGTATATCATTTTAAAGCTCATCCAAAGTTACATTAATTTGCCGAGTATCATGGTTCAACTCACAAATGGAAAAAGTTACAGGAATTTCAAAAGTTAGTGTTTGGACAAAATTAAAGTCAGTTTTACACCAAAACAATAGTCGGTGTGTCTCCTTAGCCGCCATGTTAACAGCAGCAATACTTTCCATATGATCTTAAACTGGCTTCAAATAGGGATATGGCGTTTTGTAATCTTCATAAAACCTTTTTAAGGCATAAGAAGAGTTTCCTTGGAGTATCTACCCTAAACGTCATCTTTTTAGAACTCGATATCCATATATTATCTTCGAGAATAGCATCCATATTTTCTGTCACATTCAGGTCAGGGCTGTTTCCAGGATACTGAAATGGACTTTTTGGCAAAACGCTAATTTTTGAAATGCCTGTTACTTTTTACCATTTGAACCATCATATTTGGCAAATCAATGTAACTTTGGATAAGCTTAAATATGATATATGACACATACTATGGAGAAATTGGTATATGTCTGCCTAGGGGGGGAAGTGCAGAAGTTCAAAAGCCAGGGTTATGGAATACTAAAAAATTATTAGTAACATTGAAATTTAATCATATCAATGACAATTTTATTGATTAACGGACAAAATATTAGAGTAATTTTTTCGATATGCCAGCCCTATTATTATAAATTATTACTTTATTATCAAATATGTTCCTTCTATTACACGTACATTATAGCATTTCATTCATGTAAAATTAACTGTGAATTGAGATCTGTAAGGCCAATGTGACAACATACATTCGAGTTGACAACATACATTATCTGTTTTTCGTAGTAGCATCCAAAGTAAAAAGCGGTTTTGCATTAACTCTGGATGTATATTTGTATACTTATCTTAAGTTGTGTTAGTCGTAGTTTGGCTGTTATTTGCATAGCAAAACAAAAATTAGAGAGAATTTTGCGAAATTCAGTCAAGATTTAGAGATCCCTGGCGTACTGGGTAGATCTATAACAAGATATTGAAGTTGCTGAGGATCATTTGAAATAGATATGCATATTTGCAACTTAATTACAAATCGAATGCAACAACTGCCTGATGATGAACTGACACAATATTGATCAAATCAATGCTAGTTCTTACCCTCGCTTCCTCATTCTAGAAAATGGCGATATAAAATGGCGGAAATGACATAGTACATCAAAAGTGTACTACGGCATATTTTGTCACTGTCACGTGACTGTACCTTGTCGATGGTTAGGCGTGTAAATATATTGTGTTATCTTCAGTACTTGTGCTTAAAATTATTGAGATAAGGTGAACTAGTTTAACATTGAGACTTTATAACCGACAGAGCAATGCGTCATCAGTTGAAAACCAGTACATCTGCACTTAAGCATCGGTTCTGTTATCGCACCGATGGGGGGGTCTATCACCTCCTCATCAGGAAATAGTAGGAATTAAATAGTGTCCCAAGAAAGGATATTATTAGTGCAAATCATGCATGATGATGATCTAGACGGCTAATCAAGAATATTTTGGTATAAATAAAAAGTATTCAGTCTCGAACCCGTTATTATATTACATCATTTCATATGTATCGCATAATGTCATTTCACATCACACCCATACCAAAAGGAATGATGGACTATGTTGGTCAACCATTTCGAACACTTTTCTTTTTGAGTTATTCAATATATTACATTAGTATATAACCTAATCCCGCCTCTTAAGAGCAGCCAAAATATAATGATTTATCAAAGCTACCTATATCTTTTGACATTGGCACAATATGATAACACAAATTCGAATGTTATTAATTAGTGCATATGGACTCCCAATAAGAGATAAAAGGTCTAAATAAAAAGATATACTGAAGATCGGTTCAATATTGAGGTTTATAAACTGAATGTGTTGGTACATACGTACTTTGCCGACAATGCAATGACAAAACTCCGTGTTTACAACCAAAGAGTAATAGATAACGAAAAAAACTCGACTGACAAGGTAGCATATTTTTGATATGCTAGCAGACTAGCCAGACTTGGAAAATATTGATAGATTTATATGCTAAGACAGTATTAGATATGGAAAATAATGGCTTTATCGCGGATGGTATGAAAGATGATTCCCTGCAGACAAATGGGTATACATGTCATGCCCCGACAGACACTACCAAAATGAATGGTCAAATCAGTGAACATACCACGCTTCCTGTAAAGACTTATGAAAATCATATTTCTGAACCTAATGGTATGGTTAGTCACAATTTACAAACTAAGGAAGGCAAAATGAACAATGCCAATGACGCAACAGGTGTTGATAAAGACTTGGCATATCTAGATGACTTTGAAAAGAAGAAAAAGGCTCGGAGAGATCAAGACCCCCTAAAGTTTTGCAGCTTTATTGTAAACAATCCAAAATTAGCTTTCGGTAAGTACAATTTAAGAAAGCGTAAGAAATGTTTGGAAAATAAAACTGTTGCAGAAAACATACCCAAAACCCAAAAGATCAATCATAATTTACATATTCTGTAGTACATATTATATATTATTGTACATATTATATATTATTGTACATATTATATATTATTGTACATATTATATATTATTGTACATATTATATATTATTGTTCATTTCCTAGATCTATTTCAAAATAAATAGAGAGACGAGGGGACGCAAAATGCCACATTGATTTTTGACCCTAAGTTGATTTTAAAAAGACAAGTAAACAAATTGTATATGATTATACTATGAGATGTCAACTAGCTATAGGTGTTCAAGTACAGCACTGCTAACTATTCAAAGAGCGGAAGTTCGGAACAGTTCTCAAAGGGCTAGGAGTGGGGTTAGCCCGACGCTTAGGACAGCCATTTTCTTTTTCTTTTATAAACAACCTATTTATGATTTATAGATATCGAGAATTTATAAGAATTAAAGGTGGATGACCGATCTAATCTAAAACAAAATGTTTGAAATGAGATGATGAATTAGACTTTAGATAACCATTAATAACCCAAATGTCAATTCTTCAACATTTGATTTATACAAAATAAAAATGAAATTATGTGATGATATTGCATGATATGATCATATCATAAGAAAGGAATTTGATTTGAATTCGAAAATCTATTCTTGCAGCTGTCACTCTCGGTGGGCATGGCTTTCTGGTGTTGTTGAGTCTGATACTTCTGTTGGCCGGTTATAATTTGTTCCCAGCCGAATTCATCATCATGCCGCTTGATATCAACGGAAACGAGAGGTTGCGTTGGCTGGCATGGGAGTCAAGAAATAGCAACACGAGCGTCATTAAACGTTTCACTTGGGACACCATTATGCCCGATTGGCCACGCGGAGGAGTTGAAGATACTTTGGAACTATTTTATATTGCGAGAGGAGACAATATCTTCACACGGGATAATTTACTCATTATGGAAGACATAGAAAATCGAATTTTTAATGCAACAGACTTCCAAGAAAAGTACTGTCAACTGGGTCCAGGTAGAGTTTGTATAAAACCATTTTCAATTCTTAGATATTTCGATGGAACTTATCGATCATTAGACGAGGGATTTTACGACCCTGAATTCAACAACATAACTGGTGTACTATACCTTGCTAGTATTCATCCCCAGACCCTTGAGAACTTTATATTCTTTATGGCGCATGACACACAGATAAATGGAAAGGTTGCGAAGTCAAAACAAACAAGATCAGTGATAACAATCGGTCGACCTTTGCGCCAAAATGTATCTGACGATGATCTTTATGAACATATACGAGACTATTTGCTCGCAACGTTTAACCCAATCTTGACTGAAATGCAAGAGAAGCACAAAGAACATGTAGAATTGGTTCATTATTCCATGTATATGTTTGTACCACAGAGTAGATGGCAAGTGTTTAGAGACATGATTCTCATCGCTGGTTCTTTGGTTTTCATATACCTTTTCATTCTTGTTCAAACTAGATCATTCTGGGTGACGTCATGGGCGGTTCTCTCAGTTTTCACTTCCTTTTTGGCAACATGTATCATCTACCGCATTGTATTTGACTATAGATATTTCGGCTACTACCACATTATAACCATCTTCCTTATCCTTGGTATCGGTGCTGACGATTTCTTCGTATTTTTCAACACGTGGGAAGCTAATAAGATATACAAATATAAAAGCATTGCCCACAGAATGAGCGACACCTATAGGAGAGCCTCTGGGACTATGTTTTACACTTCATTGACAACATCTGCAGCGTTTCTGACTAATGCAATATCCCCCCTTTTAGCAATATATTCTATGGGCATATTTGCAGCAACGTTAATAGCCATCAATTATATAAGTGTCATAACATTTTTCCCAACCGTCGTCTACACTTGGCATGTGTTCTTCGAAAGCAAACCCTGCTGTTGCGGATGCTGTAAATGCTGCAGAAATAATAAACACGAAGAGGAAGAATCAAGTGAAATCAAAGAGGTTAACACAGAAAAACAACATCCAGTCACCAAATTCTTCAAAGGTCCATATTTCCGTTTCATCACTCATCCCATTGCAAGATGGATTATACTTGCCATGTACACACTTCTGTTTGGCTTTTTCCTGTATTGGCTTACTAGGCTCAGGCCATCTGCAGAAACGGTATGATAACTTTTTGATATACCACTTTGAACTTATGCTTGTAATTGAATGTTCCGCTTGATGAAAATCTAATACAATTTCAACAAGGCATTAACATGCAAAATCTCACCACCTGCCATGTGTTACAGACGCCGAACAACCAAACGCCGAACACCGTACACCAAAAGTTGAATTAATGAATTGATGTGTTTGTGTTTACCTTTATGATCTCCGACCTTAAATTCATATTACTTTACAATTGTTTCATTTTCTTTATAATTTTTGGCATTAAATGTGATGCCATCTTTAATATTATTGTATACCTTTTAGATGCAAATCTGGACACAAAATACAAACTACGCTCGAGCGAATCACCTTGTTAATCGCGTGTTTATCCCAGCATCAGATGATCTTCTGGAGGTACATACTTTATACAATAGAATTAAAATAACGATGGAATACAAAAGTAAACAAGTTACATTAACAAAAGTGAATTTGTCATAACATAAATGCGGAACGCCGACACCGAACGCTCGTTACAAAAAAATGGCTACTATAACGATATGTCACTTTTTCTTGGTGCTGATATAAAAACTGAGAAGTCACAAACTAAGAATTTTTTACATGCCATGCATAATTTACCACGATATGCATTTTATGTAATATTTATTCCAGGTATACATTGTGTGGGGGATCAAACCACGTGATATGAGTAGATGTCACCATAGTGATGTCCATTGCTATGGGGACCAGGTTTGGGACGAGAAGTTTGATTTGAACACACCTCCCGTACAATTCGCACTTTTGGTAAGAATTAATGGTACGGTAAAACCTGTGTACAGTGAACACCCAAGGAACCGCATTAACGTGTTCGCGGTAGGTAGGTGTTCACTATAGAGAGGCTGCTTTATACAGAAGTTAGAAGAGTATGTGAGGAGGAAGGGTGACCACTAGAGAGAGGTGTTCACTAAGACAGGTTTTACTGTATCTATATTTACTTTGCTAGTACACACGGGTACACACGTTTGATGTAAGAGAAATTATTGTCTTCACCCACAGTGTCATAGATCATATTTCCTGTTTGTCTGTTAGGTTTTCTTCTCTCCTATGTTTCGGTCTTCTTGAACATCGTCATCGTCCAACGTTAACTTTAGCCCTTGACAAGATGCTCTAATTTGCTCTAAGGACGGTTTTCGAAATTGCTCCTCAAAATACAGACATGAACATGACATGATGTTAAATGTCGATTTCAGATGTACATAATCCATATCATTATACTCTATAGATATAGAGGTCCACGCCCATATCATGTTCACGGGTTGAGATAAATAATTCGGAATTTGTATTTCAAGGACTTGTGTAGACGACTACATAACCTGAGCAACGAGGAAATAGACAAACTTAGGATTAGAAGGGATCCTGTCACAGATCAGCTACAAATATCATGTTTCATGGAACACTTGGAAAAGTATATGCAGGTATATATAATGGTGCAACCTGGCAAAGGCAAGCAATGGTTTTCCATACAAAATACTGGACGAATAATGTTGATCAATGCTATCTATGTTGCAAGTGAAGTCCCAACTTTTCATCATTTTGTACCTTTTGATTTGCACTTTCTTATCAATACTTTCTCCGTATGCACTTATGTGTAGATACATCATTATTCTTATTTCATAATGCTACTGTTTTCCATTGGAAATAAAAATCGTGTCTTTCTTAAAATCGTATTCACTAAGAAAACCCATCACGACACGAGGCACCCGGGATACCCTGGAACTACAGAACACACTGCTGCGCTCATCCGGACAATATCATATTTTCCTCGGTCAATATCATATTACAATCCTGGAATAAAATTCATATTAAAAATCAAGCATGAAACAATCTGTATATTAGTCAACATATTGTAGGAATTGCAGAACTTCACACTGCCAGAATTACCAGAACTACCCGACTTGCCAGCGTCTATGCAACTTAACAAAGAGGTAAACATTGGGAAAATGGAGTTCCCATTGAGCCAAGGGAACGTGAGACCATTCATGGAGGAACAGCCATTCTTCTACAACATGTCAACTATCACCAAATCCTTCTATAGATACTTTGAGGTATGCTAGCATTATTACAACGTCTGAACATGTTAACATTGACGTTGTTTGCCTCTCAATAAAGCCTAAATAAAGCATTTGATAGAAAGAGCTCTATTGTTTATATGGGTTAGTGTTAATTCTCTTGAAATGTTGCCCTTCGTCGATTCTCAGATCATGATAGCATATTCTTTGATTTCTCATTTTTGACCTTTTTAATGACCTTGACCATCTTAAATGTCAAAATAACCTTGCAGGTCCTCAATAGCATTACTGGTGGAATAGATATAGTGATATTCGAAACAATTCCTGAACTATAAGATATCACTCCACCATCCTCTTATTGTAGATCATGATCTCCCATTGGTTGACCAACAGTTACACGATGATGTCAACTGATGAATACAGAACGTTTAATCCACTGATCGGAGAGGAGCCAGATGGTAGTAATACTCAGAAGGTGGTCTGGATGGATCAGTTGATACCTGACTTTAAGCCAGGTAATAACAATGGTCATCCCTCTCATAGAATGTCTTATAATTGATGCATAAGTGACAAATAGTCACTAAACAAAAGAGAAATTCAATGTCCCTATCTAATTGGTGTATTAAAACATGGTCAATGATTCTCTCTAGTTGCAAATCAAATTCCATTTCGTTAATGGTGAGAAAGCGCAAATGGCAAAATTACCAAAATTATTAAAACACAATAAGTTTTGTGTCAATTTCACAATGAAAACACTTCTTAATGTGACATAAAAAAACAAGTCATTCATCATTGAATATAATAATGTAGTTTATTTCTGAATCCAGCATCCTACTATGGTACAAAACTGAAATATGCTGCTATAAGAGTGAACCTGACATTGAGCTACATAGGACTGGGCTACTCAGAGGCATTACCTGTCATTGAAGACTGGGATAAATTTGTTGATAAACAGGTACCTTGTTGTACAAATTACTAGAAAAGTATATATGAATTTCATTCAACAGTATTTTCGATAACTCATTTGCATACCAGTGATCTCCAAAGGATTTTTTTCAAGGGGGTGCAAAATTCTCATTTTCACAATTCAGACCAAAATTGGTCAAATAAGCCCATTTTTCTCATTTTCAAGGTGGTGCTAATGGATTTTCAGGTGGGTGCAAGCTTATTTTCAAAATCTCAGGTGGGTGCTGCATCCACTTACTGCATACATATGTATGTATGCCAATGCCAGTTTTGTTAATTTGTATGATGACCCTTTGTTTTTGTAACTGTGGTTGTAATTATCTGTTCTTGTTCTTTTAGGATGCTTTGTGATCAGTTTTTGTTTTCTTTTAAAACACATGCATGTTTGTTTGCAGCTTTGTGACCATTGGTTCTTATTATCTAGTTTCTTGCAACAACACTTCTATTTGTCTGTTTGCGTTGTGACCAGAATACTACTTGTCTCCTAGTAGTCTGGTTGCTTTGTGGCCCTAGTACTCTTCGTGTATTTGCTTTGTGACAATAGCTCTATAAGTCTGGTTATTGTGTAACCATAGTGTAGTCCTTTTTGTTTGGTTGCTTTGTGACCCTAGCTCTATTTGTCTGGTTGCTTTGTGACCATAGTTCTAAATGTCATGTTTATCCTGAGTCCCAAGGCTTTCTTCCTAACAGGCAATGAATGGTACCAGTATTTGTTTGTGGGATACTTCATCATGAGTAACATGCCATGGGTTAGTTCTACCACAACTGGAGGGATTTTACGCTTGGCATTTTTGCCTAGAATCATAAATCAGAGATTTATTTAGTGACTGATTTAATAGGGGTTTGATTGATCTTGAATAAGAAATTATCTAACAAAAAACAGAGTAAGACCAGAAAAGCAATAAAACAGAAGACTTGTTGTTATAATCTCTCATTATAGCATGCAACTTATCTATACCACCCTTCATCCATTAGATTTTATTTAAAAAGTTTTATGCTAATTACTACCTATAGGCTATCTATATGCATTCATTCAAAGAAAATAGTGAAATTAATTAAATATTTTCATTCCAAAATGCTTTTTGGATGTGTAAATAATTTTTTTTAATTTTTTTGTATGTGCGCTTATTGGAATCTCAATATCGTACCCTCAATTTCAATTTGGAAACCACACTGTGCTCTCATAAGAGAGAATACAGTAATAGTGTGTTGTCCCTCATCTTATACTCACCTCTACTGTCTGCATGCTTGAAGATAAAATCCCTTTGTTGTCCCAGGGTTAAAGATGCTATTGGGGCGCCATCTTTCAGCTCCTTCTCATCATCTCTATGCTCTCCCATATGGTCACAACCATCTTTGTATCTGTAATTGCAGAAAAGTGTCAAATGAAGAAGTTTAAATTGTCAATCTGCTCTTGACCTAGGATCTAGAACCAATCTGTTGATGTACATGTACATCCAATAATGTAAATACATAAGGAGGGGGTAAAAAGACACAAATTTTTATTCTAATGTTTTAAATGTTGATATTACTCTGAATGAATGCTATAGGGAAGTCCTCTGTATGTTCATCTGATCTTTACTTTTATCGTTTCTATTTTGCCATCCTGTTTCTTCAAAATACTTCAAATTTTAAAAGCATAGGAATCTGCTCTAGAATTAATCTTAGAAATGGTCCCTCACATGTGGTACTGCATGCACAAAATATGAAAATAAATACCCCCACTCCCACTGACCTGTTTATAAGTACAAAGTTGAACTTGTGTCCAGTGATCTCAGTGATCTTGTCTCTGATTTCTGTCAATAAAGGTGTCCATGGTAATGCAGGGATACAGTTGCCAGAAAACTTGTAGGATAGCCCATCATCTCCATGTGCCACCTGGATTCAAGAAATATACAATTTTTTTAATTCACTGGTATACAATTATTCGCAAAATATTACACTGACCATTGACCATCGAAGACTCAATTTTGAGTAAAATATCTTAATCATGACATTGTAGAAACTTTAAGGTTCAGCTGGAAAGTAACATTTGGGTAAAAAATTGCTAATACCTGCACAGGTTATTTTCTGGGACAAAATTAAGTATGAAGGCATGTGTGTATTTCCTCAAGCTTTTTTCAGGAAAGTATCATTACATTGTCTACAGTACTTTGAGTAAGCCTGGAAACAGGTCAATGGTAGCTGAGAAAGTCTATTCGAAGGAAGGGAGTAAACTACTTGTAATTTTGATTGCATTGGCTTGACAGATGTACATTGGTATTGGCTAAAAATATTAATTAATACATGTACAAATGCAAATCAGTGAACTTTGATAACCGTTGCATATTCAGTACATTACACCTTGGATCAAGACTTCAACAGAGCATGTGACTTTATAGAGTGGTCTAACCTGCTTTCTGGGTATGTCAATCCACTTCCCAAATATTTGAACTTTTGCAAGATGACCTGTGTTATACTCAAGTTGTTCCTCACATTTTAGAAGTAAATCACTGGCCTCTGAGTTGCTGAACAGTTGACAATGTTCCAGAGATAAATTTTCTCCATTAATTTTTTTCCAAATAATTCTTTTATTTTGTTCAGTTTCGCAATCGGTCTTTCTATTTTTTGTTGATGGTGTTTCTTTAGATTCGATAGCACTTCGCTTTGATTTGATCACAAATTTATCCATATTCCATCATGTTCAGAGCAGTGAAAGCATATTTATCTCGATATACGGAAGTTTTATAATTTGTAAACAAACATGGCTCCGATGTACAATTTGTGTGGAGAAAAAATGAACGAAATAAATACTCTATAATATCTATATATATCACATAAACAATTAAATAAATTACAACAAAATTTCAATATTGATTTATATAAAAATAAAAATTATAAAAAAGGTTAAAATCAAAATATTATTTTTACTATCAATTACTTCGTTTTCCATATAGTTTGCCATATTTATGAGCCATGTTAAAAGCGTGGGAAACTTTGAAAGTTATTTAGACATGCACTCAAGTTGTTTTACTTTTCAAGTAAATCACTGGCCTATGAGTTGCTGAACAGTTGTCAATGTTCCAAAGATAACTTTTCTCCAGCAGTTTTTTAAAGTCTATACAAAGGCAGGGACGGATCTTGGAATCAACAAGGGGGGCAGGGGGGTGGGGGGGGGGGGCAAATTACAGGTATGACAAAAACAAGTCAAAAACAAGTCAAATAATTTTGGGCCTCTATAACCAAAAAGTCGGCCCAAATTTACCAATTTTCTTCAAAATTTGGCCTAAAATTAAAAAATAAGGCCTTAATAGGCCCAGTAATGACCAAAAGGCCCACTTTTTGGGGGTTTAATTTTTTTTCTTCTGGGCCAGTACCCCCGCTCCCCCCCCCTAAGATCCACCAGTTAAAGGAGTGGAGTAACCTCTGGGTGTCCGGGGTCAAAAGTGACATCTAATCGGCTTGATGAACAATATCCAGCGTCCAAATAAATTAAACACTCAAAGAATTTCAGAAATGTCACATGATGATTTCAGTTGGCGCAGATGCCCCCTCAATTAAAGGATGGCTTCCAAACCGGTTCTTTCTGGCATTGGATGAAGGTCCAGGGAAGTTTGGTAATCAACGCAGTTAGTGGTGGGGGGGGGGGGCAAATTACAGGTATGACAAAAACAAGTCAAAAACAAGTCAAATAATTTTGGGCCTCTATAACCAAAAAGTCGGCCCAAATTTACCAATTTTCTTCAAAATTTGGCCTAAAATTAAAAAATAAGGCCTTAATAGGCCCAGTAATGACCAAAAGGCCCACTTTTTGGGGGTTTAATTTTTTTTCTTCTGGGCCAGTACCCCCGCTCCCCCCCCCCCTAAGATCCACCAGTTAAAGGAGTGGAGTAACCTCTGGGTGTCCGGGGTCAAAAGTGACATCTAATCGGCTTGATGAACAATATCCAGCGTCCAAATAAATTAAACACTCAAAGAATTTCAGAAATGTCACATGATGATTTCAGTTGGCGCAGATGCCCCCTCAATTAAAGGATGGCTTCCAAACCGGTTCTTTCTGGCATTGGATGAAGGTCCAGGAAAGTTTGGTTATCAACGCAGTTAGTGGCGTCGTCATTGGTAAGCGATGCCAAAAGTAATTCATTACCACAAATGGCATCAGTTGAACTACATCAACCCCCGTAAACCATTTAGATACATTACAAAGCCAACAAAACATTGACAATGAATCATATTTATATCATTCCCGGGAAATCATTGTATTTTTCATATGTATTATTGTAATCTCACATAGTATCCTTTTTAACCGAACGGATAATTTCCTTTTAAAGGCCGACACTATGATAAAGCGCTGCATTAAATACGAGATAGATTGTAAATATAACTACAAAAATGCATTACATAGATTTAATAATTATTCATGAATCTTCTTCATGTAAGAAAAGAATAATGGGAAGAAAATTGATTTGTAAATTAATGTTTTATTGGAGCAAAATTAACATGAACTATCCTGTCAAATAACTTACTTGTGACTGATGCGTGGCAATCTACAGGGTGTCCCGAAAGTGTGGGACCCCCCTAGACAGACATATACCAATGTCTCCATAGTATGTGTCATCATATATCATTTTAAAGCGTATCCAAAGATACATTGATTTGCCAAGTATCATGGTTCAACTCACAAATGGGAAAAGTTACAGGCATTTCAAAATGTAGCTTTGGCCAAAATTAAAATTTAGTTTTAATTCAAATCAATAGTCGGTGTGTCTCCCTAGGCCATGTTAACAGCAGCAATTCGTTCCAGATGACCTCAAACGTACTTGGAATAGGGGACACCCTGTACATGTACACGGGTCACCAAGCCTATTAATTTCAACAAAGCCCTTGTTAGTAACGTCGGCGCAGTAATTATGAATTTTTTAACTTTTATTTTTAGGGTTGTGTATTGCATTACCTATCCTGATTATCGCCACCCACAACTTGATCGTGGGGATAATAGCGTCGCTGGTGATATGTATGAGTACCGTATGTGTGTTGGGGTTAGTGCCACTAATGGGGGCAACGTTGGGGGTAAGTCACGTCAAGCCTTTTACTCAGCTCGCTAGTATTGCGAACTTATTCACAAGATGAATCGGTGTTTGTTGGATAAAGTTCTTCTTGCCTTTTTGTAAGGTATATTTAGATTATTGCTTTCAACGTATTAACAGTCCAAACACAGTTTTTCAATTTTTCAAAATAAAGCCTAATTGCAAAGACTGTAATCTTCGACTTCGACTTCTTTTTGAAAGAGCAACTAAAACCTTGTGAATTCAGGATGTGTTTAGACTATGGCATCATTAAGCAATATATTAAGCTGACTACAGAAAATACACGCGTACGGATATCATCAGGATCAACTATTTACCTGCACTGGTCACTTACGTTTTTATAACCTCTTATCCCAATAATATGTATCCTATTTGGAACGAAAATGTTAATTTCTCATCTTTTGACGTTTGTTCATAGGTGATGACATCGTCGACCATGTGTCTCGTAGTAGGTCTAACAGTGGACTACGTGGTGCACTTGGCCGAGTCTTACCATCTATCCCCTCGTAAGGATCGCAAGGGACGCGTCCAAGACGCCTTAGAATCAATCGGCATCTCGATCCTGTGGGGCGCCCTCACAACCATCGGTGCTTCCATATTCATGTGCTTCGGACGGATTATTTATTTTCTCCAATTTGGACTGTTCATGATCAGCACTATAGGGTTCGCCTTGCTTTTCTCTCTTGGGTTCTTAACAACTTTTCTTGCGTTGTTTGGACCTGAGGGGGAAACTGGGTCAATTGATCCCATGAAGGAGTGGCTGGTTAATCTGATAAAGGGCAAGAAGAAGACAGATGTACCTTGCGAACACTGTGCTGGTAGAGGCTTTGTGCAAGACAAACTCAGCGAACTTGTTGCACATAAATGTGAACAGACAACTCTATAGACCGAAATCTAAATTAAAGAGCTTTTCTAATCCGTATCGTTGACTCGTACATATTTTACAGTCAAAATTGAAACAATGCCTACAGAAATGTTACATGTACAAAAGATGTTAATAGAAAAATGCAAAACAACTTATATATATTTATAACTAATGTACAGGCTTTAAGTAAATAAAACGTTTATATTTATTTTAAAATGTTTTAGGGATTTGTCAATTTAAGAAAAAAATATTGCATTAAAATATAATAACATTTGTACAGATTTGTGTATAAATCGGGACTACTAGTATAGTCTATTTTGTGACAGCGATGAAGACAGTTCAACAGCTGTCGGAAATATAATTCATCATGATTACCCGCGATTAATTAAGATGTGCTCGAAAATAAAAGTGCAGAAATATAGAAATCAAAGTTTTCGCCATCACAGTTTGAGAAGGCCGAGGTTAACATTTCGCAAAGTTCCCGAGAAGACGTTAAAAACAGAAATATTGATTCTTTGAATGCCATTTGAAGATGCTATTATGAGAAAATAATTTTTAACAGCCTAAATGGAGAGATAATGTATTTAGCATATGAAACCATTACTTATTCGTGAGTGCTACTCTCGTCTTAAACCATCGTCATAAAAATGTAATAGGCAACGTCTTAATTAATTTCTTTAATTGGATCCTAATTATTGTCACAGCTTTTTTGAGGATGTCCTTTATCGATCATCTCTGATTCTAATGACGCTGCATTTCAAAGTCTGTATTGACAAAACATAAATATCAGGAATTTGAGCAATCTAAGATGGTGTATGCAGACAATACGGTGTATAAAAGTATAAATAATTTACTTATTCTGAGGTAGTAAACCAATTGCTAGATGAGAGGCAATTTATTTCACTCGAGAGAGGAAAATACAAACTTCACAACGTAAGTAACTAGAAAACCTAAATGTTTTTGAAACATTTTACATATAAGAAAATTGTCTCAACTCATCTTCTAAGAACGATCTAGAAATTTCGGTTCAGTTTGTTTTGACTAGATAGATGTTGAACACAGTGAACCAGGATTTCATCCGCGATGTGATCTCTACTGGATGATCTGATGAATGTAAAGCATGTAACGGCAATCTCTTGATTGCCTGTGAGAGGATGATACTTCAACCAAGGGCGTTACAATACCCGGGAATTTATCGGTTCGTCCAGTACTTGTTTGTGATAGCGCCCTCTGTAGGTCACTGTGCTTATAGCCTACAGTAATACGGGGTAGGATATCGGGAATTCGGTCAGTTTCTATCCGTCGATTTCGCTATGAATTGAAGCAAGTGTGACCACTTTATCCACTTAAACAATTTGATAATTGATTAAATCTTTAAACAAAATCGATAAACACGTTATACACTTCCTATCTCCTTAGAAATTAGCATGTATTTATGGATTGTGTTTTCGAACAAGGCTCGACCCACACCAATAGGGAAATCCTTATGCTAATTAGTATGACGTCATATTTTCTTGGGGAATCCTAGATTTCAAAGCCTCAGTCTGTTATTGTGTCAAATGTAAACGCTCTTGGGACGCTCTTTTGCAGACAGAAAATTGACAGATTAGCTTTTAACTTTCAGCTTTGATGTTTAAATATTCTGTATTTCTACCGGACTTCTTGCTGAATATCATATAATGTTATAACTTGATTTGGACCATTGCCTGATTGATTATTCTGAAATTTTGATTGTGATTCATGATTGATTGGCAAGAAAAATAATTCCTATTGTTTTCCAGCGAAGTCAAAATGTTACAGCATGAGTTATAATGTCGAGTTTGCATCATGTTAAATTCTGCTAGTGATTAGAAGTCCATGCACAAGCATACACATAAGAGACAAACACACCCAGGCTCCAGGCCGTGGATGGAAATATAAAACTATTTAAGGCACAAACTGGTATTAATAGACCGATATGTAGTGTCTGCCATATATTGAAGGTAAACCAATCTGTATTATTAATGTTTCTTCTATCAATACATGGATTGTGCAATAGAAAAGCAATGGCACAATCAAAAATGTGCATATCAATCGTGAATATCTCTCGGTTCAAAGCTTATTTCCAACAGAATCGTGTCAAAATATGTGTCTGAGTAACAGTTATACATTATAAGATCGCAAACTCATACCAATTATCAGCCGAATGGCTCATTTTCAACGAAATGTCCTTAAGACAACAGCCCTGGGTCGCGCCTGAGACCAAAAACTACTTCAAATAGCCCTCCCCTAATTATATTGGATAATCACATTTATGCGTGCGCGCGCAGCTCATCCAATGAACGAAACGCCACTTCCCGCTGAAATCACCGGGTATTGATCTTTCCCTTGCTTCAACATGCAGTTCCATAGTAATAAAAACAAAACGTTTTTTACAGAAAGGGGTAATACTATAGGTAGTACTCTCGTAAAAAAAACTTACTTAGATAAGTTTTATGTTTTTTCATTACTTCAGTAGTACTTTTTTTTTATTTACATACGATATCTCAAAATACAATCGACTAGACATATGATATGAATATCATTTTGAGATTCTCCATTTTGTGGATTCATTAGCTCGTTGGATTTATTAGTTCACCTAGTTTGGATTGTGCCTGGTATACCTATCAAAACACTCGAACCTATTGCTTTTTGCACTTCAAAATGCTATATTTAGTCAAAGTAAAAAGTGTTCCTGATGCCAGAATGATGCCCCTAGCATATTTTTAGTTGCTTTGAAGTCGAAGAAAATGTTCAGTAATTCTCTATTCAATTGCATCTAAAAAGCAATCCACTAGAACCTATAGTTCCAAATGGATTTTGTTAATTGTATCGTGTCTTGTAAGAATTCAAGTGGAACAGTCCTAGGTTTATACTTAGGAAACTAATCATGATGAAAACGCACAGGGCAAAGTCACAATCGCTCAATCAAAAGTGCCAAAATTGTGGTATCAAGATACCATTATCTTGCTCAATGAGCACATCCTTGCATGTGTAACACCATTGCTTGTTACGTAAAAACATAAAAAATGATGATCAACATCCTATCTCCTTACTCAGAAGTATTTAATATGATATCTGTATTTGTGATTTTTTCCAGCTGGTCGAGCTTATTACGCCGATAATTCGGTCATAGCTGAAGGATAAGATATCCTAAGAAGCTCTAAGATGAGAAAGCGCTCGTCTTTCCTGCTGAGTCACCTTCTCCAGCATTCCTTCTACAAGATCCTTGCTGTTAAAAGATAACAAAAAAGTACCAGATTCTACTACATTCTAGGAAACTATCTCAGACTGGCACAGGGGTGTTTGCATCAAACCAGACAGAATTATTTCAACAAGGATGAAATGAAGCAGATGTAGATGTTGAATAATACTCTGGTGAATGATTGGAAAAGGAAATCGGTCCATTAGAATAATTGTATCCGACGCACCATCACCTTTCTAACTTCTGCATTTGATGTAGAATCGATAATTTTAGATTTTATATTGATTTGAAAACAAACTACAGGACTGGTGTTTTAACTGTTTCTATAACACCAATCGAGCCTAGACAATTATTTATTGATCAGGTAATGTTTATGGGGCCTCATGACACCAATATCATAGGTTTCATAGTGATCATTGTTTATGATAAAGTGCATATAATTATTTCATGATCACAACTCCTGTATACGACAGACTGGGAACGACAAATCAAGGATTAAGCAAATACAGGAGCAGACAGAGATTAACGGGTTCATCTTAACTTATCCGAGTGCGAGGATTAACTTCCCAATGTTTATGTGCGTTAAGTGGAAAGCAGAAGTCTGGGACAACTGACATAATGACCGTCCGTACCATACACAGATAGGGATGTTACACTTATTAGCGAATTGGAGAGACTGTGCTTGGACCTGAATTTAACAATACATTAATGTTTGGGATGATTAATTAATTCATATGGAGAGTGCAGTGATGTAGATGATGATTAAGTTTATTCAAAGTACGATCACCTGAAACTGAAAAGATGTTGGGCGTCCGCTCCTGACCGGATCACGTAATCTCAGCTAATATGGACTGTATTTTCATTAAGCACATGGTGATTTACAAACAACACATGTTATCTGCATATAAACAAAATAGGTCGTTCGGCGAACTTAATAAGATGATCAATAAATTTATGAACGAAATATAAGGATGATACTAATCTCAAATACTGGATAGATACCACTCAAGTGTTTTTGCTGGTAAGAGAGACTTGCTTGTAGATCTGACATTGTTTGCAACAGCTGTGTAAAGAAAGCGCAATTATTGAGAACTTAACATGTATTCATGCATGCAGCATCGATAATCAATATTTATCTATACAAACTGGATTAAGTGGTCAGGTGGTTGATTGAGAAACAATCAAGGCACACACAACCGCAGCACAATATCGTAACATAATTCCAATACATTCAAGAAACACGAACAACACAATTGCTACATAAAGCACAATCCAAGTACAACCGGGACACAATCACAGTACAACGAGGACACATTCACAACACAACCAGGACGCATTCTCAGTACAACCAGTAGGCGTTCACAACACAAACGGGACTTATTTTCAGCACAACCAGTAAGCGTCCACGGTACAACCTGGACATATTCTCAGGACAACCAGTACGCGTTCACGGCACAACCGGGACACATTCGCAGCACAACCAGAACGCGATCACGGCACAACCGGGACACATTCTCAGCACAACCAGTACGCATTCACGGCACAACCGGGACACATTCTCAGTACAACCAGTACGTGTTCACGGCACAACCGGGACACATTCGCAGCACAACCAACGCGTTCACGGCACAACCGGGACACATTCTCAGTACAACCAGTACGTGTTCACGGGACAAATTCGAAGCACAACCAACGCGTTCACAGCCACCACCGGGACACATTCTAAGCACAACTAGTACGCGTTCACGGCACAGCCATAGGGTTATGAGGTGCTGGGTTGTGCTTGTGTTGTTGGTTGTGGTGGCGGGCTACGTTGGCTTGGGAGGACTGATGTTCCATTATCTAGAACAACCAAATGAAGAGAGTTCTAGACTAAACATACGACTGGAAACCCGGCAATTTCTGAGTAAGTATTTTTGATTGGCAAACAAATTTGAACACGCTTGGGAGTCAAATACTGGAAGTGATAATATTGCTTGATACATATACAGGAGTGTGGCGAAAAACGTTTAAAGTCACCTTAACTTCTCATTGATAACATATTTCAGACATCGTCCCTTTCTTATTAACAGCTAGTCAGCTACCCATCGTAACTTAATAAGGCTAATAGGACTAAAAGCAAACTGAAAGTAAGATCGAATCACTAATTTATCCCAAAGCATACCAGCCTTCTGAGAGAAATGGGAAACGGACGATAATTTAATAGATAAGGGGCGGTATCAAAATATCAATGTCTGATCATGGGCTTTCATGATAAGAAAATAAATGGTTTTTGGGAGGGGGTTAACGCACGTTTTAGTTTCCCATCCGACATATTTCAATATTTCCCAATCATGTAAATGAGTTGCTACCCCTCCCCCTCCCCCTCCCATTCAAATACTTACAGTAGAATATAAACGGATCATAAATGATGATTGATACAAAAATTATGATGGATGTTTTTACAGTGCAAAGGAAATAAAAAAAAAACTGAACAACAAAATTTGCCAAATCCAACGGAAACGACTTCAATATTAGTGAAGTAGTATTATTATTAGCTTTCTGGGGGAGGGGCGGTCAAGGTCGAAACTAAAATTTAGTTTCCCAATCGTATCAGACATTGATATTTAGATGCCGCCCCTAAGTACACATAGCACTTGTTCCGACCCCAACCTAGACCAGTCTGGATCCCATGGGATCTCTGTTTTATAAATAGCTCACAATGCGTTCTGATATTGGTAATTATGCAATCAATCATACTCAAAATTGGATCAATGGGGTTTTGATGTTATCATTTGATGGTTTTAGGTTGGTTCAAGGGCGTTACAATACCCGGGAATTTATCGGTTCGTGCAGTACTTGTTTGTGATAGCGCCATCTGCAGGTCACTGTGGTTATTACATAATACGGGGTAGGATATCGGGAATTCGGTGCAGTTTCTATCCGTCGATTACGCTATGAATTGAAGCAAGTGTGCCCACTTTATCCACTTAAACAATTTGATAATTGATTAAATCGTTAAACAAAATCGATAAACACGTCATACACTTCCCATCTCCTTAGAAATTAGCATGTATTTATCGGATTGTGTTTTCGGACGATGCTCGACCCATACCACTAGGGAAATCCTTATGCTAATTAGTATGACGTCATATTTTCCTGGGGAATCCTAGATTTCAAAGCCCCAGTCTTTTACTGTGTCAAATGTAAACGTTCTTTTGCAGACAGAAAATTGACAGATTAGCTTTTAACTTTCAGCTTTGATGTTTAAATATTCTATATTTCTACCGGACTTCTTGCTGAATATCATATAATGTTATAACTTGATTTGGATTTTGGACGATTGCCTGATTGATCCTTTCTGAAATTTTGATTGCGTTCACGATTGATTGGCAAGAAAAATAATTCCTATTGTTTTCCAGCGAAGTCTAAATGTTACAGCATAAATTATAATAAGTGGGAAGTAGAATAAAGGATGTGCGGGGCCAGGGGATTGGTGGCCCTACCAGCCCCACCAATTCACACGCATACACATAATGAGACAAACACACCCAGGCTCCAGAGGCCGTGATGGAAATATAAAACTATTTAGGGCACAAAATGGTATTAAATAGACCGATATGTAGTGAATCCGCCATGTATTGAAGGTAAAACAATCTGCATTATTGTTACTTCTATCAATACATGGATTGTGCAATGGAAAAGCAATGGCACAATCAAAAATGTGCATATCAATCGTGAATATCTCTCGGTTCAAAGCTTAATTCCAACAGAATCGTGTCAAAATATGTGTCTGAATAACAGTTATACATTATAAGATCGCAAACTCTTACAAATTATCAGCCGAATGGCTAATTTTCAACGAAATGTCCTTAAGACAACAGCCCTGGGTCGCGCCTATGACGAAAATAAGCTTGAATATCCCTCCCCTAATAATATTGATAATCACATTTATGCGTGCGCGCGCAGCTCATCCACTGAACGAAACGCCACTTCCCGCTGAAATCACCGGGTATTGATCTTTCCCTTGGTTGGTTAGGGAGCTGCACATATGTTGGATTACTGAGTTCCGCTAATAAGGTCCTTTACTTCCACTTGTGATCCGCTCGATTACGCTGGTTACCAAAACGATTCGTTTTGGTAACAAAATGTCGGAACGTCGAAGGTATGATTTTTCTTTTTTCCTTATTTCACGCGTTGTAGCAGAGGGGGAGAAACACCAGGGTTCAAAGATGACATACGCTTATAATGTAAATCTGTATTGAGATGACATCGTCGCTGATTGGTCAAAAGTCGACAAACAAATGACGTCATCAATGGCGGTTTCAAAATTTTCGAAATACGCTTCGAATAATATTATGTTCATTTCTGGCGTGTTAACCAATATCATAGCTTCTCATTTCACATCAAGTTAAAGAAAGGTGTACGGAATATGCCTATATCAATTAAAACATCCCATCGAAGTGTAGTATTTGAAAACTAGCCGATGAAAATTCGAACGAACGAAGGTGGTAAGCAAGAGAGGTAATTATGTCTGTCATCTTTAAACTCTGGGGCGTTCCCTCCTCTTGCGTTGTAGGCAGAATCCCAACGACGTTTTTTCTCACAAACGTATATCAGCATCATATGTTTTAGAAAATGTACATGTTTGCGAAAAAATAGCTCAGAACACAACAGAATCGTCGATTTAGTTCCTCACATAGTTACATAAACGGTTTGGGTTAAAAGTGCAGATCTTAACAGTTTTTCGAAAAACCGTTTATGTAACTTAAAAGATATTGTTCGCAAATATGTACATTTTCTTAAACATATGATACTGATACACGTTTGTGTTAAGAATGTCGTGGGAATTCTGCCTACAACGTGTGAAATAAGGAAAAAAAGAAAAATCGTAGCTTCGATGTTCCGACATTTTGTTACCAAAACGAACCGTTTCGGTAACCAGCGTAATCGAGTGGATCACCAGCGACTTCACTAAATATCGAAAACCAAAATTGAAATATACAAAAAATGATACATTGTTTTATATTCATTTTCAAGTTACATAAGATCATTCGAAACATGAAACCCCTGTTGGTTGTTAGATTAATCAGCCCACATAATGCAGGTATTGTATTTCCAATTAGATAATTATTAGGACATCAGAAAATGCCTCGATCACTGATTATTTTCATGGCACAACAATTCCAAACTCGAAGAGGCATCACACATACTCGTGTATCAGTTTAATTTTCAATCATACCTAGGGAATCCAAGATGGAGGCATCTTTGATGTTATTTTGAATTCTATAGACAAAATCCCAGTCATTCAAACTTATAATAATAGCTTCACAAATTGAAAACCGACGTAATTTTCTACTCAGCCTCAACAATTAATTGAATTGTGTAGTCGTCCTTAGAGATGAGATGATTTCCCAATTGAGGCAAAATCGTAATTTATTAATTTGGAAGACAAAAACTGCAAAGACTAAAACAGGTCTCGTGGGTTGATTAATGAATGAAACGAAACAAAATAATGCACAAAATAAAAATGAGACGAAGAGATGAAGCTGTGGTTTTTACTTTCATTTTTATTGAGTCATTCATTTATTGTACAAAGAATACTACAATACGTTTGTAAGCTTGCATTCGCGAATGTAAATATCGACTAGCGGCTACCGGATTAACCTACTATTTTATGAGCAAATCATTTAAATATGAATAGTACCTGGCACTATTCCATTCAAATTTAAATGAGTTGGTCATAAAATAGTAGGTTAATCCGGTAGCCGATAGCCGCTATTTGCATTCGCGAATACAACCTTAGTGGCTGTGCTTTGAGCATTATAAGCCACGCTCTACTCTCATCATAAAATCTCTTTAGCAAGTCAACCCAATATGTTGTCATATTTGCCTTTTTAGCGATGCTATTAATCACAATTAAATGACATTACCGGGTGAAACATGTTTTAGTTGATACGAGCTAGCACTTACCATTCTATTAAACTGTCAGTATACTCTAGTATATTGGGTATGTTGAATATATAAGCACAAATGCCAAAGGGAAGGGTGACTAAAAACTTTAAAGAAACCCAACAAGAAAGCAAACTGTAAGTGCAAATCTGTCATAAGAAAAGTAGACCCTATATTTCCCAAAACCATGATCTAACGTGAAAAGAAACACACATGTCTAACATCCCCCCCCCCCTCCAGTCGAGAACCAATATGACAATCCAGGACCAGAACACCAAGGGACATTTCATTCATACTGAAGTCATTACAATACATGTTGAAGAAAAATTGAAAGAATTGAAAGCCAACACTCATAACATCAAAAATAGTTGTAGATACTAGTACTCATATAAGATAGAGTATTCAGTCTCAAATGATGTGGGATAGGTGAAATCCAGTCTCGAATGTAATTAGTTTCTAAATATGAAATCCGATTTTAAATCGGGAATAAAAGATACATACATGACCATTGGAGCGCACCTATATTTTTTCCATTTGGAGATTGATTCATAAAATGTTTCTCTTCGTATCCATAGTTACATATATTCTACAAATGTAGTGCCCTAAATTCTGTGATTTATATAACTGTCTGTGAAGCATGATTCTTATATCCAGAATTATATCATCCTATTTAATGAGACTACTATAGTCACGCAATGAGTCCATATTTGTATATAGAGATTATAGGACCGTCAGATGGGGGGGGAGGTGCTTTGAGTGCGATCGAACACCCTATGGCACCCCCCCCCCCCCAAAAAAAAAATCGTGACGAGGCGAAAATATTTCCAAACCTGTTCAAAAAAGCGACGAGGCAAGCGCCCCATTCTGGCTTCACTACAACTTTCCCATTATTTAGATTGAAAATGGCGACAATGTAACTCAAACAGAAATACGAATGTAAATTATGATGGCAATAAAAGAACACGATGATAACCCTTTACGTGATGAGATCACGCACAATTGAATCAAAAATTGATGACTTAAGATTAAAAACAATTTATTTACTCAACATTGATAGGGGAATATTCTTCAAAGGATGTTAAAAAAGCGACGAGGCGAAGCGCCTCATTTGCCCCATCCTGGTCACGCTAGAGGCAACCGTTTATCGAAATTATCTTTAAGAATGTAGGAAGTTATGATGTTATTACTGCTCTGTTGGATTTATTCCATTTTATCCATGACCAAGTGACAGAATTGAGCTAAATGAAAAAAGTTGATTTTCTGCCATTTTGAGAAATGTTAAATTAGAATAACGCGGAAACTAGAGATTGCTTCCACCTTCTGTCATTCTGTATGCTCAATGTAACAGGACATCTTGGATTTCCATGGTATGATGTGTTGAGAATCAAACTGGGAAACGAGTATGGTAACAGGACGCGTGCCGTCAATTTTCATTAGCTAAATTAGATATGGTGTAGTATAATATTTTGGACGAAGTACCCGCCCATTAAAATCAGTAATCGGTACGGTGATTGCACAGTAGTATCACATAAGCCCTATATAAAGGCCACTAAATCATTAAAATCTGTGAAGAACCTGTTTATTCCATGGCCACATCGAAGGGACCACTGGAGGATAATTAACTGTATACATGAATAGTTTAAGACAACCGGCCTCCCACTCAACAGATTGTCAATAATTTTGCGATAAAATCAATGTCGGCAAAGCTTATTCACCTGGGATTTTGACCCCCCCCCCTCTAGGCCTAACTGTGAAATTGTAAATTGTTTTCTTTTCAATAAGCAACCGTTTAATCCAGAGTTCGATGAATGTTATAAATTGTAATTCCATTGTGATACCGCTCTTTCCAGGCAATTTTAGCTGTCTTGACGAGAAGGAGTTACATCGTCTTCTCCACGTGGTTATTGACACATACAAGGCTGGCGTCTGGGAGATAGGGGACGAAACAAGTGCATCAAATTGGGATATTGCAAGCTCAGCATTTTTTGCCACAACGGTAGTGACAACTATAGGTAAACTTACTAAACTATAATGTTGCAATCGAGTTTAGATGAACAAAGATCATGTATATGCGGAATAGTTACAATAAAAAGTGCCTTTAGATATTTTGGTCCACTGGTTCTGAGACATCTTCAGCTGTGCATTATGATTGCATTATGTATCTTCTATTTTTCCCAGAATAAGTAATACGTGGGCCTAATAATATCTCATGTTACGTGAAGATTCCCCACTGGCGCAATGTTTTATAGTGTGATCTGTTGATGAGATTTTAATTTAAAATTTAAAATGTTTTTAACACACTTTTATAATATTTTATATGATGATATTTCAATCACATTAAATTATCATTAACAAATCGTAAATAGAAGAGCATTAGTGGTGTAAAAGCTAGCATTATTGCCTTCCGAGCAATAGATCCGGGTTCCCGGCTGACGCAACGTCGTAATTGTTTTATAATATGAGCGTCGTAATTATTTTGTATCAAAAAATTAAACTATCTGATATGAACAAATCATAATCGAATGTAGCATAGCTTCAACAGCGTCAGTGGTGTAAAGGCTAGCATTGTTGCCTTCCAAGCAGTAGATCCGGGTTCGATTCCCGGCTGACACAGCGTCGTAATTGTTTTGGAACAAAACAGTAAACTATTTCACATGAACAAATCATAATCGTAATTGTTTTGGAACAAAACAGTAAACTATTTCACATGAACAAATCATAATCGAATGTAGCATAGCTTCACAACGTCAGTGGTGTAAAGGCTAGCATTATTGCCTTCCAAGCAGTAGATCCGGGTTCGATTCCCGGCTGACACAGCGTCGTACTTGTTTTGGAACAAAACAGTAAACTATTTCACATGAACAAATTATAATCGAATGTAGCATAGCTTCAACAGCGTCAGTGGTGTAAAGGCTAGCATTGTTGCCTTCCAAGCAATAGATCCGGGTTCGATTCCCGGCTGACGCAGCGTCGTACTTGTTTTGTAACAAAACATTAAACTATTTGATATGAACAAATCATAATCGAATGTAGCATAGCTTCAACAGCGTCAGTGGTGTAAAGGCTAGCATTGTTGCCTTCCAAGCAATAGATCCGGGTTCGATTCCCGGCTGACGCAGCGTCGTAATTATTTTGTAACAAGACATTAAACTATTTGATATGAACAAATCATAATTGAATGTTGCATAGCTTCAACAGCGTCAGTGGTGTAAAGGCTAGCATTGTTGCCTTCCAAGCAGTAGATCCGGGTTCGATTCCCGGCTGACGCAACGTCGTAATTATTTTGTAACAAGACATTAAACTATTTGATATGAACAAATCATAATTGAATGTTGCATAGCTTCAACAGCGTCAGTGGTGTAAAGGCTAGCATTGTTGCCTTCCAAGCAGTAGATCCGGGTTCGATTCCCGGCTGACACAGCGTCGTAATTGTTTTGGAACAAAACAGTAAACTATTTCACATGAACAAATCATAATCGTAATTGTTTTGGAACAAAACAGTAAACTATTTCACATGAACAAATCATAATCGAATGTAGCATAGCTTCACAACGTCAGTGGTGTAAAGGCTAGCATTATTGCCTTCCAAGCAGTAGATCCGGGTTCGATTCCCGGCTGACACAGCGTCGTACTTGTTTTGGAACAAAACAGTAAACTATTTCACATGAACAAATTATAATCGAATGTAGCATAGCTTCAACAGCGTCAGTGGTGTAAAGGCTAGCATTGTTGCCTTCCAAGCAATAGATCCGGGTTCGATTCCCGGCTGACGCAGCGTCGTACTTGTTTTGTAACAAAACATTAAACTATTTGATATGAACAAATCATAATCGAATGTAGCATAGCTTCAACAGCGTCAGTGGTGTAAAGGCTAGCATTGTTGCCTTCCAAGCAATAGATCCGGGTTCGATTCCCGGCTGACGCAGCGTCGTAATTATTTTGTAACAAGACATTAAACTATTTGATATGAACAAATCATAATTGAATGTTGCATAGCTTCAACAGCGTCAGTGGTGTAAAGGCTAGCATTGTTGCCTTCCAAGCAGTAGATCCGGGTTCGATTCCCGGCTGACGCAACGTCGTAATTATTTTGTAACAAGACATTAAACTATTTGATATGAACAAATCATAATTGAATGTTGCATAGCTTCAACAGCGTCAGTGGTGTAAAGGCTAGCATTGTTGCCTTCCAAGCAGTAGATCCGGGTTCGATTCCCGGCTGACGCAGCGTCGTAATTATTTTGTAACAAAACAATTAACTAACAATTGAATTTACTTGAACTGAGTAATAAAGCTAATTCGCAGGACTTTTGGAAATACATTGGTAAACTTGGGATTGCACAGGAGCGAAAACAGGAACTGCCTTGGGAAGTTACAGACCCAGAGGGAAATAACTCCATCAGAGGACATCAAAATGTACTTAATGCTTGGGCCAAAACATATGAACAACTTTACTCAACAGTAAACAACAATGAGGAATTTGATGAAGACCACTATAGCAACATAAAAAGAGCAGTCACTCAGATCGACCAGCAAGATAGTGGTGAGAACAATCCCATGAACAATGAAATCACCATCGAAGAAGTTGCAACTGCTGTTGGGAGAGCCAAGCTAAGAAAAGCTGCTGGAGTGGACAATATACCTGCCGAGGTGTTAAAGAACCCAACCTGTATCGCTATGTTACACAATATTATTTCTGAGTGTTTTAACACAGGAATTGTGCCTAAACAGTGGATGCAATGTGTTATAAGTCCAATATACAAAGATGGGATCAAAACTAACCCTCTAAATTATCGAGCTATTTCCTTGATATCTGTCCCCTGTAAAATTTATTGTGATATACTGAACATGAGGTTGACAACTTTTCTTGAGGAAAATAAGTTGTTATCTGATGAACAAAATGGTTTCAGGAAAAAACGTAGTTGTTTGGATCAGGTGCATAGTTTGTATTCCATTATAAACAATAGAAAACTGTCTAAACTAGACACATTTGTGTGCTATATTGATTATATTAAAGCCTTCGGAAGTCTTAACAGGGACTGCCTATGGTTTAAAATGAACAAAATTGGCATTAAAGGTAAAATGTTTAAGGCTGTAAAGTCGCTATATCAGGATGTTACATGTAGTGTGAGGATAAATGGAATTTTAACCCCTTGGTTCAGTGCTAAGTCTGGTACGAAGGAAGGATGTCTATTATCGCCCACGATTTTTTCGATCTATGTAGACTCCATAGCTGAAGAAATAAAAAGTTTAAATTGTGGGGTCACAATTAACGACGAAAAAGTGTGTATACTCATGTATGCCGACGACATTGCTTTGATAGCTGAGACCCCTCAAGATCTTCAGCGCATGCTTAATGTTGTAAACCAGTGGTGTAGGAAATGGAGACTCAGCATAGGTCAGAAAAAAACTAAAATCGTTCACTACAGGCCAACCTCTGAACCAAGATCTACATATCAATTTAAGTGTGGAATAAAATCAATAGAATATACTGAAAAATATAAATACTTGGGAGTATGGCTTGAAGAGCATGTCAACCCTCAAATAACAGCAAAGGAAATTGCTAAGTCTGCAAGTCGTGCTTTATGTGTAATAATGTCAAAATTCCAACAAACTGGAGGCATGGATATAACTGTTTACAGCAAATTATATGACACTTTAGTGCAACCTGTGATCAACTATGGCTGTTCATTGATAGGTAATAATGAGCACAAGTGTATAAATGCAGTCCAGAATAAGGCATCAAAATTCTTTCTTGGTGTCGGTGTCAAAACAAACAACGAAGCAGCTCGAGCTGACCTTGGATGGGACTTACCACTTCACAAACAACAGATAGAGAGTGCACGTCTTTTTATACGCCTGCAAAATTTGGACAAAGATAGGTTAAACTCAAAAATACATCATTGGTCCTTAAGACGTAAAAATAGTTGGGACTACAGAGTCTACAAGTTCTTAGAGGCATCAGGCCAAGGGAATATAACTCAAATGGAAAACTTAAATGCTAAAGCTATTTTAGAAGAGGTCAAGCTTTATCAACAATCTCAAGATCCCTTTCTAAAAAACATTTGGAATGACAAAAACAATGAAGTGAACGGTAATAAATTAAGAACTTTCAGGCAATTTAAGTATGGAGTGGTAGCAGAAAGTTATGTAACTTGTTTCATCCCAAGACACCATCGAAGTGCATTGGCTAAACTGAGAACTGGGACGCTACAACTCCGTATAGAAACTGGTAGATATGATGGTACTCCTCTGGACCAGAGAACTTGCAGACTCTGTGATTTGGATGAAGTTGAAAATGAAATTCATTTTCTGATAAAATGTCCACACTATAAGCTCCTAAGGGATACCTTCTATAGAGAGATTGTGCAAGAGCAATTGCCATATATAGACTTGAATAATGCAAATTCACTTTTGACATTTATTAGCCTAATGCTTGCCAAGAAGATTCAAAAACCTCTAGCAGCTCTTATTCATAATATGTATTCAAAAAGGCAATTTGACTATGGCAGATTATAGGAGTTACATTTGTGAAGACCAGACTTGGTTAAAACTGATACTTTTTAGAATTAAAGATATAACTGGGCAGCAGGTGTGTGTCCCCAATCTGTTATAGTCATTTTCCAGCACTTGACTACAAAATTTATTGTATCAATACAGTTTATTTATGCATGCATATTCATTTATTGTGATAATGGCCATTAATAGAAAATATTTGTCAAAGCATTTAAAGATGGCAGCATTGAATACTACTCTATCTAAAAGTGCTCTATTAAGTCAACTTTACTCTAGTCAATATTTCAATTACAATTAGATATACATTTAATGGTGTCTCCTAAGCCGATGCCGGCTGGTGGGTTTTTTAAAAAAAGTATTTATTATATGATATTGAATGTAGTTTTTAAACCTGTGACACAGAAATAAAATATTTTAAACTTTAAACTAAACTAAACTATCTGATATGAACAAATCATAATCGAATGTAGCATAGCTTCAACAGCGTCAGTGGTGTAAAGGCTAGCATTGTTGCCTTCCAAGCAATAGATCCGGGTTCGATTCCCGGCTGACGCAGCGTCGTAATTATTTTGTAACAAAACAATTAACTATCTGATATGAACAAATCATAATCGAATGTAGCATAGCTTCAACAGCGTCAGTGGTGTAAAGGCTAGCATTGTTGCCTTCCAAGCAATAGATCCGGGTTCGATTCCCGGCTGACGCAGCGTCGTACTTGTTTTGTAACAAAACATTAAACTATTTGATATGAACAAATCATAATCGAATGTAGCATAGCTTCAACAGCGTCAGTGGTGTAAAGGCTAGCATTGTTGCCTTCCAAGCAATAGATCCGGGTTCGATTCCCGGCTGACGCAGCGTCGTACTTGTTTTGTAACAAAACATTAAACTATTTGATATGAACAAATCATAATCAAATGTAGCATAGCTTCAACAGCGTCAGTGGTGTAAAGGCTAGCATTGTTGCCTTCCAAGCAATTTTTGGGTTTTATATTTTGTATTATCCTACGTAGTCGCTCCCGTTGTGTTGTATGGTTTCCATTTATATCATATTCTTGTAGGTTATGGCCATATCTCTCCAAAAACATCTCTGGGACAAATAGCGTGTGTCGTGTTTGGTCTTCTTGGTATTCCGCTCACAATGCTACTACTGACAGGCCTTGGCTCAAAGATCCACCGCTGCCTTACGTGCTGCTGTACCAAGATTAGCTTCTGTAAGCGACATCCAAGGTCTGGTGGTGCCATAAAGAGTTTAATATTGTTCATCATTGGTGCAGGGATCTTTATATTTGCCCCAACCGTGGCGTTTAACATCGTGGAGGATTGGAGCTATCTTGAAGGAGCTTACTATGCCTTCATTACTTTAAGTACTATTGGGTTCGGGGACTTCGTTGCAGGTGTGTATACAATTCAAAATACTCTCAAATCCAGTGAAACTTGTAAAGCGGAACACTTCTGTTGTTGGAACACTTTTAAGAGTCCCAAGACCAACTTACTTCATGTTAAACGAACCTCCATAAGTGGAGCATCTCCCAATAGGAACACATTTTAGAGGTGCCAAATGTTACGACCGAAATGTCAAAGCTAATGATCACGGCAAGAGGGTTTAATTTGATGAAAACTGGAAAGTAGTAGTAGTACTAGTATTTTTTTTTTATTTATGTCTCACGCACTAAAACAGATACTGCATACATAATAAATATATCGAAATCAACACCTAACTCCCACCATCTTGAAAGAGAAGGTTACAGTTGTTACCTTCACTTGATACTCGTCTAGTTTTATTGTCCCAATGCTTTGCAATATTTTGTTTACTTTTATCTCTACACGTGCAATAATCTTAATTGAAATCAAAGCTAAAGTAATTTCTGAAATACTGTTTCAGAAAATAAAAATTGAAACTAATTTCTGAAATATAAGTCTTCTAAAACAATATGCCATACCAATGTTACATGCATCAAACGCTAGTAAAGAACATATCTAAAACGTGTTGTGAATTTAGGTCAACGTGATGACGTGTCATACAGAAGCTGGTATAAGATCTGCTTGGCAGCATGGATTATCCTTGGTCTCGCTTGGCTTGCCACAGTCATAACGGCCATCTCAAAAGCCATGTCCAAGAAGCTCATTATAGACGAGGACTCGGAGAGCGACTGCAGTGACGTCATCGTTAATATCAAGGTAGGCCACACATGTTCATTTAGAAATTCAAAGCTCTAGAAATATCACATAACGCTCTATTCTGGTAAAACGCCTAACATGAAAAATTAATTTAAGTGTCATTAGTATTAAAAAAGGATTTTTATCAAATTAAATGATGTTAAATTGTTTATCAAATTAAATATTACCTGATACAAATAGTAATAGTAGCCTACCTGGCATCAAAGCCGGACTTCAAACAAAAATGTCAGACGATATTGTATCGGCGTGGTTTGATGTCATATTATAATTTTCCATAGAAACACAACTTCGATTTTGTTATAGCATAGTGATTTGGACATAGAAACCATGGCACTGGTGAATGAGCCAAGGAGGAAAAGATATGTTAAACCAAAAAAGGATAAACAGAATGGATTTATAGAGTATACAAAAGAAGATGAAGACAATATGCAAAAAGCTGCTGATGACCTTGTTCAAACTGCAATAGCAGATGCCGTTGATGTTGTGAAAACAGACAACGCTACACATGTTCATAACAAAGATCAACCCTCAGAAGATGTTGCTAGTGAAAGGAATGTAACTCCCGAAACCGAGCTAATGGCAGCCCCTAAAGCTAAAGACATTCAAGCAATTAACAATGGTCAATCACATATTGCTGAAGAAGGTCAAGTGAAAGAACATTTACCATTGATAAGTATCAGTAACCTTGATGAAAAACCCGTCATGTCAACTGCAACATCTAGCTCTATTTGTGACGAGAGTAAAATTGATGGATTAGCAGATGAAATCATGGCAGAAACGGGTATTGCTGAAAATGACACCTCTAATACAAAAGACATATCTGATCGGATTAACATAGATAGTGCTGAGACTAACAACGATACACCTGCAGTTGATGTAAATGATGACAATGAACAATGTACTACTCCAGATGAGAAACACGTACAATCAGACAATAATGATATAAAAACTGATGATAAAGTCTCTGAACTACTCGATATGGACCCCTCAAATGAAAACGAAATTGAGGAGAATACAAAACTATGATATTGTAATTGTAAATAACTGACTAATTTTCCACCTTTGTATTGTATCTTTTACATGGTTTGCATATGAAAATAAAAAATCATCAACAACCAGCAGTTTTATGCTTTGTAGGATATGAACTTACTGTGAGATGAACTTTATACTTCAACCACACTATTCAGGAACTCGAACGGGGTGTGACAATAACAGATCTGTTTAGCTAAGTGGATGGCGACTGGCCTGGGTTGATTATTCATCCATCAGGGGCATATCTCATCATTTGTGAGATTGCTTCGTATTTCAACAATATAGGGGGATTGGTGTCTTTTACCAGTTGAAACAGACTGCTTGATAATATGCCGAATTATCGTATGATCAGCAAAATGAAGGCCTCTGATTGGTCCGTTATTGTGCTGTACCAACCTGTATTGCTACTGAGATTGTCCCCGTTGATCATCTCTCTGTCGCAATACAGAAAATATTGGTACGGAGGGGACAATCTCAGTAGCAATACAGAGGATCACACGATAAAAACGTTATTGAATGATTTGAAGTGCAATACAGGATATATTCTGTCTCGATATTCTGTATTGGCACTCGACTTCGTCTCGTTCCAATACGGAATTCTCGAGCAGAATTTATCCTGTATTGCACTTTAAATCATTCAATAACTTATATTATCTTATGATATGCAAAATGAAGCACCCTGATTGGTCAGTTATTGTGCTGTAGCAATCTGTTTTGCCACTGAGATTGTCCCCATTGACCATCTCCGTAGCATATAGAAAATATGAGTACGGAAGGGACAATCTCAATCGCAATACAGAGAATAAAGAATATTTCCTTGGGAGTATCTCCCTAAGTAAAATGTATTGGCCTAAGATCACACGATAAAAACCTTAGAAAAAACGGTAGCTCTGGGGAACAACCAACAAACAGCAAATTGAACGATTCATTTCGGAACGGAGACCACAGCTGGAACTTAAGAAATACATTTTCTACATTAATTCAAGAAATGTTCCAATTTTGTGTATCACCGTGTACATATTGCTTTCAATCTCTGACAATCTCACCTTAAAATACAAATGGTATGATTATTGTCAAGTGGTGTAAATAACACAGGCCACTGGTTAAGAACCAAAACAAACCATTTCACAGTATTTTTGTGGAGTCTCCATGAATATTTTAATTCAACGAATATACCCCAAATTCAACTTCCGACACATAAAAATAAATATACCCTGAATTCAACTTCCGACACATAAAAACAAATTAGCTATAATCGAAAGTTGAAATTATTATCTTTGTTGATGGTGGCTTTATAAATATGTTTTACAGTATGACAATACAGAGTAACAGTCAAACAATGTTTCTGCATCCATGCTTCAATGGGCACCTTTGTTTGAATTTACGTCTATTCGCATACAGTACCACATGGATTATATTTGATTTCGCGTGCCCTCTATCAAACTCACAAGTTACTTTTTAACATTGGATCTCCCATTGGAATATTAAACTTACCAAAATGAAAAGTTTCAGGGCCGTATTACGCGGGATATGCCATGGCCGTTTTTATTCATCTGAAATGAATGTCATCTAATATTGCAATCTACTTTTGAATAAAATGGTAAAATCGTGGTCCTCTCTTTTCTCTAATTTGAAAATATGAAAAGGTAGGATGGGCTTCCAATCCATGATCTATTGATGTAATGCAATTGACGTTTTATTATTTTATTCACTTAGTTGAAGATGTTTGTGAATCTTGGAGGTTTGGTTTATAACATGTATGTCTTGTATTCTGGTGCTCCTCTGTCGTGAAATTTTCAAAAATAACATGGCTGAAGTTACTTCAATTGTAACATGGCGTCTGTAACAAATGGCAGGTTGTGACATTTTACATGCTAATGCCTTGTTTATTGAGTCGTTATCATACGTTTTACGATATATGCTGACAATCGAGGATCTACATTAATTGTAACTCACCACTTTTTGACAGGTTGACCAGGCTCTCTGGTATTTGCTGGAAAACTACTAAAAACAGTTTCTAGACAGTTTCTGCATAAAAAGAAACTGTAATAAATTGAAAAGTGAAAATTGATATAAATCTAGTAACGTTTGGATAAGAGAAATAGATAACAAGTTCAACGTTCATGAAATAACCCAGTGAAGTGACCAAAAAAGTAACAACCATGGCCTTTAACGAAGGCTTCATTATGAAATGAATGCCGGGTAAAAGTTAAATCATAAAGATCCAGGGAATGCTGCTCTGTTTTCTCTGTATTCTGATTGGTTGAAGCTTGATCAACGTATTATACTTCCCTCCATAAGTTTGTCCCTCGAAAGTCCCCTATTCTTTATATGGTCATTCTCAGACTTTAAATAATCTGCTATCCAATGAAAACTCCAGTTTCTTGTTCATGTTCGGCAATTAAAAAACATCCCCAACCTTTTCATCCGAACTATTGTAAGAGCAAAATTAAGATTCAAATATTGCCAACCGGGCATTGATCCTATCCAATGAGCTCTTTTGGTTGCCAAATTCATGATGGGAGGTGTACGTTTAATTATAGCTCAAAGAGTGTAGAAAAACGCTAATACTGTATTTGAAATGATTAGGTACATATTGATGAAGTTAATAAGTATAGTTGTAAATCTGATATTTGAGGGGTGTGCGTTGTTTGTTTGCATAAATGCGAGGGACCAAATTCATAGTTTGTTCCTAATATTTCATGGTTCATCCTTCTTCAAAGGACTTCATTTATGCTTAAATACTTGCAAAATACCCTTGCAGCAAGGATGTTCATGGTTTGTCATAGTTGGAATTAATTGGAATAATGTATAGACTAAATATGGAAAACTGCACGTTTTCACAATCATAAACGAACTATTGATGCCGGTTTGTTTAGTTTTGATATTGTAAATCATTCCGCGATCGCTTCACATATTCAGATCATTGACGTCATTGGCCTGATCTTGTTTGGCCCCGGACCATCATAAAAGTGATATGGGACAAATTAGTGTTATAATATGCATTGATGATTATTTGGTTACAATACAATGACGTCAATAGTTGTTAATCAGACACAGATGTTTCATAAGGATTTTTCTAATTTTTCTACAAGACAATTTGCAAAATGTCACCACCTACCAATACATACCATGTGTTACAGCCGATTACAGACGCCGACCGCCAAACGTTGAAGACCAACCACCGTACACAAAAAGTTGGAGATTATAACAATACAAATTGTATGTTACCATGGAGTTTTCGCAGAAATTGCGATAAGAAAACAGCAAGTTGAACGCCCCAGCTTAAAATTCGAAGAATTATTCTGAAATAAAGCCGGAATTGTTGGACATTTTAGCAGAAATTTGAATTACAAGAACCCTTTATCATTCTTTTTTAGCTTCTAAAGCATTCATGCATGTACTCAACCCTTCTAGTGATGGACTCGACTCTCGTGCATTATATGAACATGCACTCATGCTTTTAAAATTTCCAATAATATTATTTAATATTAATCGTGCAATGGTTTTTTGCATCAGATTACTTCAAATTCAAAGTTTGTGCACAAGTCCATTTATGACATTAGCCTAATGAGTACTTACTTATCTGTTTTTTTACCAACGCGATCCCGGCTAGAATAATATTATAACACAATGATTAATAGATTCATCAACCTGGAGCCCTAGACTAAATAAACGTTCCATAATCCAAGTACTAATTTTTGACCTTCAGCTGAACTACCTAACCAAACGTTTTATCCAGAATTTTCTTCTCCAACGTTCACAATTTATTCACATTTTACAATCCTTCCATTCGTCAATACGTATCATGTGACAGTTATTGTGGGTGTGGCAATGGAACAGTTTGACGCAATTGGTAGGAAACTCGCTGATACTATGAGCAAGGTTATTCTGTTTTCGTTAGGAAAAAAACATTAAAAAGACTAGCCGTCCGATAACTGATAACGAAGGACTATATGAACAATTGCAACGTGTAAACGTTCTTTTACAATTAACAGAGCTAGAATGAAGGTACCGGTGTGCAGCGTTTTTGTGATCGTCTGTTTAATCGATTGCAGTTGCATTATGGGCGCGGCGAGGGGAAAGGCCCATAATCTAAAGGAGCCAACTCCACAACAAAAATCATATTTACAACGCATCTATGAGGCGATTTGGGGCCATGATCTCACGTACGTTCCTGGGAAATTAAACGCCTTTGAAAATGGGGAAGTTAAAGAAAAAGCAACTGAAAATGGAGCGGATGAAAGGTCAGAAGTCATCAATACGTACACGAGGGACGAGGGTCTCACAGCGGCGCAGGAGCTAGAGCTGCATATGTTGAATCTTCTGGGTTTGAAGGAAGTCCCGAAGCCAGGACCACGATCCAAAGTGCCGATCTATATGGAGCTGATGTACAACAAATTGAGTAGCATGGGAGACCACAACCCACTCAGCGGGGTCGACATCTATGCCCATTCAGCAATTAAAGGTATATTACCATTTTTGTATGCCAAGTTATGCCGTGGTCATATTTATTTGCTCCGATTTCAACAACGGCGTCCGACCGATGAGTATTTTGTTTAAAGTTGAATGCAATTTTGAACAGAATACTCATCGACCGGGCGCCAGTACTGTACATCGGGGCAAATGTGACCGCGGCATTTGTTACCGTATTAACCCTGGTCACACCAAACTATTTGTAGTTTGACTCCCGTCCTAAAAAACGGGATGTGGCCGGGGTGAAATCTCTAAGTAGGACGAAAGTTCGTTCATGAAAGTTTTCAACACACGAAACTACTAAAAATTGATCATAAAACTGAATCTTAAAAAGAACCTACTGCAAACCTCTTTAATTGAGTTTGGTTGAGTAATGTCTGCGAACATGGTATACAAGGTACAGAAAGAGCTCCAGAACGTATTTTCAACAATCTCGAAGTTCTGGAGTACCTTACCGTCCGACGGAACACTCATGAAATTCATACATCGGCCGTAAAAAGTTGCAAATTCATTCGATCCGTTCGCACATAGTTTTACGATCCCCACGATCAGGGTGTCTATAAAGTCCCTTTACAATGCCAATACAATATCTATGTAAAGTGCAAAGATACTTTATAAACACACTCCATGTTTTTCCAGTGATCATGTTTTCCCCAGTAAAAGGGATACGCCGCGTTTTAATGATCAGCTTTGGGCACTGACTGAGGCGGTAAAATCCACTGATAATTATTTACAATCTTATGATTGATTCTCAAAAGATGAAATAAAATGTTTCTATTTTTGTTTCAGGCTCGAACATTGAGGAAGGAGTTCTCCACTTCAAATTATCGAGAGACATCGACCCTGATACGATCCTTTCGGCAGAGCTAGCGTTGTATCGGTATTATGCCAACCGTTGTCCCGATACCATAAGCAGGATGTACAGGAAAATTCCGAAGATTAACGTCTGTGCTAAAAACATTGAATGCGTTACCATAAAAACACCGAACATGAGGCAACCATGGTATGACACGTTCGACATATCGGACATTATAAAAGAACTGGCTTTGGCAGGCGTTACCGAGTTTTCAATAAAAATACGTATTGAAGGTATTAGCGCCACAACATCTGAAAAACTAGCCAGAGTTTTCCCAAAATATTCGCCCAACTGTATCTACAAAATCAGTCCCGAACAGACTGGTCAACAACCGTTGTTAGTGGTCTACCACGAAGACCCAACCCTGTTTGACGAGGAGCAAGATTACAAAAGATCAAAACGGTCGCACCGCTTTAAGAAGAAGTTAAGAGAAATAAACAATTTAGTTAAAATGCATCCGGAGTGGGGACAGAATCAAATTCCGTTCGCAGACGAATGTAAACTTCATTCTTGGGAGTTCGACTTCTCCACATTGAATTGGGATTGGTGGATCGCACCAAAGCGTAGGACTGTCAACTTCTGCAAGGGTTGGTGTCATAGACATCCACCAACGATGAACACGCATCATATCAGCTCAAATCACGCGTTTCTTGTCAATATGTATCACACCGAACGAGAGAAGGTTGCGCAACTGAAAAGGGGCCCAGAACACACGACGTGCGTGCCTGAAACTTATAAGCCAATGCTCGTACTGTACGTAAACGGAGATGGGAACGCACAAACTTTATATCTTGACAAGTTGATCGTTGAATCGTGTGGATGTCGTTGACGTGCTCGTCGATGAACGTTGAATTTAGTCGCTGGTCGCTGGTCGATGGTGACATTGTAAATAATCAGACTGGATGTCGTGAATCAAAAATATGTCTTTTCTACGGTAAATCGTACTCTTCAATTACATCTTCAGAGCAATTCCTTTGAAAAATCTAAAATAGCCTATATTTTTCGAATACCTTGAGAACATTCCGAACGTCAATACTCTCAATCCGATTTAGCAGTTTGCTTTATCAAAGAACACTGTCAAAAACACTGATAAAATGATTTTACTCTTTTAGACTTTAAAAATAACTCGTGAATTCTCTGCCTTTAATCTCTCATAGGTCAAAACAGCCAAGGTAGATAGATTTTAATTTATACTATTTTATACTTGTATTTTATATTGTGGTGTGAGACTGAAATAAATACTGAAAATACAGTGAAACCTGTCTTAATGAACACCTCTCGCTAGCGAACACCCATGTCTAGTGAACGTCCCTTCTCAGCATATACTCCACTGACTTCTGAATAAAATTGATTCTCTGTACTGTCTCCTACAAACAGTGAACACATTTTTGTGGCTCCATAGGTGTTCAATGTACACAGGTTTTATTGTATTATAGTGATCTCAAATGGACAGTTGAAAACGTTGTTGATGTTATATATCTATATGACAAACATACATCTATAGGTCACATCTCTTTACTAGTTTTATACATATAAATGTAAGGATGTCCTCCCGAAAATCTTAACTTTTGCATGAATTGGCCTATATTATGATTAAATGCTTTTGATAACTCATCAGAACATCAGAAACAGTAATCTCACTTTAGATTATCATTAATAATCAATATTTCTTTGTCACTGATCTGTGTGGCATCTTCCTTAGATACACTATAACAATAAAGATTTTCAGCTGATTCCATTTATATTTAAAATATACAATCTCTTTGTACAAGTACATGATTCAATGGAATGTTTAGTATATGACTTATGACATGGTTAATAAGAATATACATCATCACAATTGACCAATCAAGATGCTTAGAAATCCCTTACCATGTGATAAATGTAGGTATTATTCCAGTAAATCGAGAGGTTTCGTTCAACGTCTTTAGCTCAGCATATCTAAAATCCGTATTGCATTCACCAGATTTCAATTAAAATGAGATGCGGTTGCGGATATGTTTTACCTATAACACGTTGTACAAAACCTCTCCTTTGTGTTTTGCTACAAACAAATTTCCCCTCTAGTTCACCAGAATCAATATTCACAACCTGGACTAAAAAAATATCTCATTTCATTTCCTTAAAAGGAGTGGTATCGATATGGAGAACTTTTTGAACACACGTTTCTCTTTAACCAGTCATAAAAAAATCTAAAAATTTAACACATCGTCAAGTTAATGGTCATCTTTTGAATGGTAACAATATAATTTGAAAAATATATATACACTTTCATCTATATTGTTTTAGAAAACACATCAAACACTTGTTTTGTTCTTGGTATCATGTTTCCAGAGTGAAATAAAACATCTTTCCGAACTTCATTGGAACAAAACGACATAAACACAACATGTTTAGGTCTCTCAATATTGTAATTGAACAAAGGAAATTTTGGTTGATTTTAAAAAAGTATCTTGTTAATGAAATGAAAGGTTTATCTTGATTTTTATCTATTTTGAGGGGATTTTGTTTTAATTTTTTGAATATTTTTTTTTAAATCAACCAAAAATTCCTTTGTATAACTATACTATTGAGAGGTCTAAAAACATGTTGTATATGCTATGTCGTTCCAACAAGGTTCGGAAAGACATTTTATTTCATTCTCAAGAATTGGTAGAAAGGAGCAAAAACAATTGCACTAAAAAAACAAAAAATGTTAACAAAAACAGTTATAAAAAATATTTCTAAATAATGTTCGCATTAAATTGTTGTCAATCGAGACTCAGTAGATATAAGGGGACGGAATGTGTAATTTGGGTGAGGATTTTCTCCTTCCCAGCTAGAAAGTATTACAGTAGTGACGCTGCTATGGTATACTAACTTTTGACAGGACTTTTGAAATTGTTTTTAGTTTGGCCCAGATTGAATCTAGTTAGCACAGGGGGCCTAGGGTCTCTAGCTCACAACACTTAAGAAACACATATAACATGTATCAATAGTCCATTTTGCAGTAGAAACCCAGATACATGGGTTCTCTTGTTTCATTATACATCCATATACATATGATATCCCTCTTCAAAAATCTCTGTTCCCTGATGTATGAGATCTGCCTAGGCATTCAAGTTTAAACCATTCCAAAGTGGATAACTTTCACTGTGCCGGATGTTTCATCGATTTCCTGGAAAATAAATGGCAAAAATGAAGCTCCCCAGACATTATTGGTTGACTTATTCAACAGAAGTAAAGCATATTCGTATGGATAAGACGAAAACAAATTTTACTCCAACATACTTTGTATTAATTTGCTCCATCTTGGGAATATACACAAACCCTTGTGTCACCCACTCATTGTACCAGGTAAATCAATATAATAGGTTCCCGGAAAAAGGCTCTCATTTCTTTATTTTTGTACCAATCTTATTGAAACTTTCACAGATGAAAGATAATTTAGTTTCTCCTTACTTTGTGGAATATGAAATTTTTTCGGTTAATCCTTCTTAAGACATGGTTGCCATAGCAACTTGAAGAAACGCCCTGCGGGGCAACTTTTAAATGGTGAATAATGGGAGAAAATCTATGACGAAAACCAAAATGTATGGTAAAGATCAATTATTAATACAATATATAAACTTCTACAAAATTATCATGTGATGTCTATTAAGTAGCATACATTTGATAGATAATCAATGCATGTGTAAAATGTTAACTCCAGATGTTCAAAATAGTTCCCGCAGGCGTACTCACTGGACGGGACGTCCTGCTCTCGGGTTGTCACTCACTTTTGGTCTGCCCTTGCTATGACAACCATGCCTTAAGAATGATTGGTTGACAAAATCTCATATTGCAGGAAGTAATTAGAAACTAAATTATCCTTCATCTGTGAAAGTTTCACGAAGATTGGTACAAAACTAAAGAAATGAGAGCCTTTTTCCGGGAACTTATTGATTTACCTGGTATATGTATATTGTATGTGTTTTGTGATATAAACAAATTGAACTGAATTGAAAATTCAATAGTGTACAAAAGAGGTATAACACTGTGAGACAGTTATTACGAAATAAGTGTCATTAGTGTCCAGTCTTGAAACTTTGAGAAAATGGATGTTTCTTGACCAACCTCTTCTTCCTGTATAGTGACAGAGTTGGGGTCTATAGGTGGCGCAAACTGTGCTTGGAGTTGAGCAGGGTTCAGTCTAGCCATATCTTCTCCCCTCTCTAGCTGCTGCACATACTGTGAGTGCGTCTGTGGGGCCTGGCGGGCCTGGGGGGCATGCATACTGTCCAGCTGCTCAACTAAGCCATTAGGTTCCAGCGACACTTCCCCTGACCAATAAGGGTCAGGGCCCAGCTCACCATAGCCTTCAACACCTGAAATGATATCATCAGCTTAAAGACAGCAAGTAAAGAGTATTTAAATAACTAATTCTGGTATAGGTATATGAAGTAAATGGCAAATACGTACAAAGTCAAATTTAACAAAAACTTGCAATTGCTTTAACATGTTTTTTCTTTGAAATAAAAAAACAACAAAAAAAAACCAACAACCAGAAACCTTTAAATGAATAAAATTAATGTTTGTACCTGTTTAAGGAAAATATCAGTATGCTTTAGAAAAGACTGATTCTAACTGTTTACACTCTTTATACCTTGCATCCAAAACATTAGGAATATTTTAGAAATCGTGAGTTGCAAAAGGCAGCAAGTAAAGAGTATTTAAATAACTAATTCTGGTATAGGTATATGAAGTAAATGGCAAATACATAAAAAGTCAAATTTAACAAAAAACAGAAACCTTTAAATGAATAAAATTAATGTTTGTACCTGATCAAGGGAAATATCAGTATGCTTTTTGAAAAAAACTCATTCTAACTGTTTACATTCTTAATACGTTGCATCCAATTTAATCAATACCCAATCCTCAACTGAGTTGCAAGAGGCACTGAGAGTGTACTGTGACTCACCATAAGGTCCAACAGTCTGTGCCTCTATCTGGTCTGCCTTACGTTTAGCAGCTGCTGCTAGAGCAAGTTCTCCTCTGTCTTTCGCAACATGGTATATGTCCTTAAACACAGAAATATTTTACATACATACAAAGTACATGTACTGTACTACACTTCGTTATCTAGAAATGCACTGTGGACTAATTTTAAGAAAGAATATGTAAACTGTAGATTGGATTAGCTACAATAAAAAGAGTTACCGCATTTGATGTAAAATCTACATTCTACAGTTCTAATGCCGCTTAAATGTTCTCAAATGTTGTATTTAATGCATAGCTGTCAAATCAGAGTATTCCACAAAAACTCACCATGAAGAGGTCCCTGGAGCCAATGTCGACTGCTAGAAGGAAAGCTTTCTCAAATCTAGAATACCTGAAAGATGGATAATTGGTTGCTTTGTGTATTTAAACAGATATTAACATTATTATGACTTGAAGTTGTTTACAAAATTACTGTAATAACCTTTTGAAATTATGACCGATAAACAATGAAAACTATCTAAATATTTTTTTAATCATTTAATTCATATGTTAAGTTATCGCTTACAATACATGTTATACCCCCCAAGCTTGGGAAAATCAAAGGTTGATTTTGAGTAGAAAATGCTTTTAGGCTGAATATATCATCATTTAAAAGGTTTAATTTCTAATTTGAATCAGCTAATTGATTTCTCATTTATTTTATTACTCGAAGTAAAAACAGAAATGCATAGCATAATATAATCAAATGAAATAGTCTGATATTCTATTTAAATGTTAAAGGTACTTTTAAAGATAGTGTTTGTGTGGAGAATCAACTCATTATATAACAAGGCATTGATATGCAAAATGTCACCACCTGCCATTTGTTTCAGATCCTGGACAACGAACATCAACTCCCTATCATTGTCCATAAAAAAGTTGGAGACCATAATAACATGTCACCACTTGTCATGGTGGCATAAAAACTGACCTATTCAACATACATGTAGTTTATTTCAGATATTTTAACAACTGTGGATCTACCCCAGTAAATTTCTAGGTTATACCTGAGAAGATGATGGAAGAATCTCCGAGCCAATCTACTGATCTGATCCCTGTATTCTAACACAGTCACTTCTGATAGAGGGCGGCATGGTGCATAGAAACATCCAAGACATGTCTCTAATTGAGCTATAAACAGATGTTTTTCAATGTTATATTTCAATTCATGACTTGTTGTGACATGTTCCCTGAACCCCAAAAGCTAACAGATAGTTTTGATGCAAATGAGATCTCCACAATTATTGCCAAGGGTTTTAAAGTCCCCTTGTACAGTTTAAAAATATGTGACCTTTTAAACTTTATATGGGAGCTTTAATGGAAGTATGAATATGAAATAATTTAAAAGAAACACCAGGTTCTTATAAGACAAAGTAAACGTCTGTGCAATACTTCTTATTCAAAGAGTAAAAATGTAGCTCTCTGTTAGAGGGTACTTGATCAAGGAAGATTTTCACAACATAATACTTAAAAAGTCTGCTCTGTATAATTTAAGCTTTACGTTTATTAATACATATAAAATTCAAGCATAACTATTGCTTAAATTGTAATTTTCAGAAATTCCAGTTCTTTATATACAAGCACACATTGATTAACTTATCTACAAATACAACTAGAGTCCTACCTTCCCTATCTGGGTTAAGGCTCATCTTTAGTAGACAGTTCATGACCTTACTCAGCACTGTATAACAACTAGGCCCATCTGAGTCCCAATTTAGGCTACTACATAGATTCACTGCCTGGAATGAATATTAAAGTCCCAGTTTAGACTACTACATAGATTCACTGCCTGGAATGAATATTAAAGTCCCAGTTTAGACTACTACATAGATTCACTGCCTGGAATGAATATAAAAGTCCCAGTTTAGACTACTACATAGATTCACTGCCTGGAATGAATATAAAAGTCCCAGTTTAGACTACTACATAAATTCACTGCCTGGAATGAATATTAAAGTCACAGTTTAGACTACTACATGGATTCACTGCCTGGAATGAATATTAAAGTCCCAGTTTAGACTACTACAGAGATTCACTGCCTGGAATGAATATTAAAGTCCCAGTTTAGACTACTACATAGATTCACTGCCTGGAATGAATATTAAAGTCCCAGTTTAGACTACTACATAGATTCACTGCCTCAAATAAAGACAGAAACATCATTGGTCAATATCAATCAAAGGTAGCGGCTTTGCCTTTTACCTCCCCATTTAAGATGGCGATGGTAAGTGTAGATTCCAATATTTAGTTTTCATTGAATTAAACTACTTTATAGTTGACATAATACTTTCATATTTGAACTTAACTAGGCTTATATGACATGGGAACTGGAGTATGGTCAATTGTTCATATATCATGCATAGGCGCTACAGTTCAACTATATCTTCCCCTGCTTAAGGGAAGGTAACTGGAATTTTGGTTTCATGACTGTAACCGTATCATGCATTCCCTGTTACCTTCCCTTAAGTGGTATATCCAAAATGGCACTTACCATCCGCTTGATAGTTAACATTGTTTTAGAAAATTTTCATTCTTATAGACAATTTTGTTGATTTAGATATTTAGATATAAGGTTTGCTTGTACACAAATATTAAGTTCTTATTATTAAAATAATATTTATAAGCTATATCAGTACATTTACCTGGTCCATCTGCCTGTGCCTGCAGTAGTGGTTCAACAGGTGTAAAGGGGTCAGGACACTACCATTCATCGCTCCACCTTGGAAGAGAAGTAGCCCAAGAGGTCCCCTGAAGTCAAAATATCACAACAATAATTAAACTATTCTAAAGAAAAGTGAGAGTTTTTATCAGATATCAATGTGTTGTTGTTCACATTTTTTCGTATAATAGTCTTCTGGCTGGACATCAACTTGGCAGAGAGAATGTACCACGATCTTGAAGACTTTTCATTGAAATATACAGTAAATGCAGGCCCATTGCCAGATTTTGCCAAAGGGGGGTTCATATTTGACTGATTTGGATCAAAATCAGAATGGTGAAAACTGCATGATTTTGAAAGAATTTTTGGCCAGGGGTCCACCTGACTATGGGCCTGCCTTGTATATCGAATTTTACGTTGCAAATGACTACATACCTGTCAAAATGTATAAGCAGTGGTTCTGTGGTGTCGATGCCAGGTGCTTCACAGGGAAAGTTGCACCATTCCACCGAACAAACTCTTGGCGGAGATCTGAAAAAAAGTTCATAAATACTAAACCTGTAAGGTATGAAAGTAACAAGGCATTAACTTGCAAAATGTGACTACCTAGCATTTGTTACAGACACTGACTGCCAAACATCAACTCCCAAACACCATCTTCCAAACACCATCCACAAAAAAGCTGGATACTATAAAAACAAATCTACAGTGGATATTTTAAACCAGTCACTATTTTCAAATCAGCTAGTAATAGAGAAACAATTTTTGAAAATAAGATTTAATTCTAGAAGAAGCTTTACACTACAGCCAAGATATATATTAACAAATATGTTCATTACACTTGTTTCAGCATAAATCTACAAGCTGGTGCAGTTTACTTACTGTAACAATTAACATATCTCACCTAAAATATGGAGCAAGGGAGAGTACATTCTTGGTGACTGGTGTCTCAGACACCATTTTGGTCAAGAGAGGAGACAGAGCCATATCAAATAACTGGATATCTCCTGTTTTACTACACACACAGAATATGGTGTCTTCTGGATGCCAACACACAACACTGACTTCCTGGAAAAGTCAGACATTTAGGTTAATTATCAAAGGTGTATTTATGCGTTTCTTTCCTTTGCTGCCAATCTCCATAACTCAATGTGATTAGATGAACTGAAATGAGAATGTGCCAATTTGATAGCAACATGACCTCCTGAAACCAGCCATCTTGCTATTTCTTTTGACATACCTTCAACAATCATAAGATAATTGTGAATGTTTTATTGCATATACATGTACGGTGCAAATCAGTGCATTGGTTCTACATCCTTGTAACATTGCTACACTAAAGTTACCACAGCTACTCTCAAACATGGATATCAGGTGTCATTCTCAGAATTGAATATTTCATGTTCAAAACAACATTTTTTTTTTTATTTCCAATAAATCAAAATCTAAAAATTTTTTCTAAGTGCACATACACAAGGTTACTCAACATAACAATAAAGTAAATGAAATTTACCACATCAGCTTGTGTCATCTGCGTGATCTTCCTGAGGTCGTCATGAAGCACCAGAGTATTATCTTGCAAACCAAGCAACTGTCTGTCTTCTCCATGGTTCCTCGCTTGACACACTACACTACCTGAAACATTTATGGACATATGAGCTACAGTATGTTATCTTGTAAACCAAGCAACTGTCTGTCTTCTCCATGGTTTCTAGCCTGACGCACTACACTACCTGAAACATTTAAAGACATATGAGCCACAGTGTGTTATCTTGCAAACCAAGCAACTGTCTGTCTTCTCCATGGTTCCTAGCCTGACACCCTGCACTACCTGAAACATTTAAGGTAAATTTATTTGTGTGGTATATGAAAGCAGGGTATACAAACATATACTTTACAGGGTGCACTAAATGTAGATATGTATCTTAGAATCATTTTATTATCAACTTACTTTTCAAAGGAACTGTTGTAACAGCTGCTCTTTGGAGCTGGAAATAAAGACAAGCGATCTTAATGTTAATACATGACAACAAGGCTGTCAGTAGTTTTCCCAATAGTTATTTCACCAGCGTTATATCAATCAAGAATTGTTTGGAAAACTTAATATAATTTTATTGTTTTATTTTTTGAAGTTCATGCATTCTGTACTAAAAAATTAAATGCTCAAGCTTTAGTATGAAGCACATTTTGCTTATGCCTTGGTCACATATGCTCCGATCCATCGGCGGGCGCCTGGCCGATTGAATGTTTTGTTCAATATTGTATTAAATTTTGAATAAAATACTCAATCGGACGGGCCGGGCGCTGTAGTGAAAATCGGAGCAAATGTGACCAAGACAATAGAAATGCATTTAGATATACATGTAGTTTGATTACCTTATTTCTGACATGTTCGTAGACTGTTATATCCACTGTATGTTCCCCTACAGCATTAGAGGACTGTTCCACTGAAAAGATCTGATGTGGCTGAAGGCAACTGAATGAAACATCCACTGGGTCATACTCTGTTCTGATGAACGCTGCTATATCTACTTTTGACCTGTAAAATGTTTAATATACTGTACATTACAGTTAGAAAGTACATGTAATGTGATGAAAAGATCTGATGTGGCTGGGGGCAACTGAATGAAACATCTACTGGGTCATACTCTGTTCTGATGAACGCTGCTATATCTACTTTTGATCTGTAAAATGTTCAATATACAGTACATTACAGTTAGAAAGTACATGTGATGTGATGAAATTACGTATTTAATTTCTCACATTCTAGAGTTAACATTTATCAAGAATTTTCAGTCATTACATTGAAAGAGGTTCTGAATGCATCCAGTATTCTATGCAAATAGGATCATATAAAACTAGATCAACTTATGTGACCATGGTTGTCAAAGTCAATTGGGATTATTATGGTAAATATAAGTAGATTCTTACCCTACAATGCTGAGCAATATCATGTTGGCACGTTCTATATCACTGGACATGGGAGACCAAGGCCATGCCTCTTCACTGGCTGTATGCCACCATACAAGCACCTACAACATAATGTCACATGCAAATGAACAAGTACGAATATTTTAAATTTTACCAGTTTTATCCATGTTTTTGACAGGGTGCAAATATATTGTCGATAGGGTGCAATGAAATTTTTCTAATTTTCGGCAGGATGCAGTATTTATCATCATGCTTCACAATAGTGAACAAATGAACTTAAACATGGTGGGTTTACTATTGTGATTAATTGATTTACCACTTTTTATAGTGAGTTTGCTTTTTAATGATATATATTTTTCAAATACAATAGTGAGTGAACAAAAGAAGAATTGTATTTAAATTTTGTTATAAATCTGAGTTGGCTTACCATATTTTGATTGACATTAGCAGATAATGAACGTTTCAGTCGCCTGCCGGTGGGGCCAGGGAGATCAATCTGACTCACCTGTCAACAAAGAGGAAAAAGCTTGATAATTTGAACACTTAACATACAATCTATGCATTGAATTCAATTCAACGACTAAGTAGCAGAAAGTAGAAGAATTGGAAATCCCAAACTTTTTCCAGAAGCAAGTCTATAATATTTATCATATGGCATTGGCTATTTTAAAATAATTTGATTACTAGTAACAGGATTTAAACTAAAAAAACAATGATAGCCAAGTAAATTTCCATGCTCAGAAATAGATTATGTACACAATCTAGATCTTACTTTTGGATCAAGGGTGGAAATCTTCTCCTGTTTCTTAGCCCCGCCTTCCTGAGATTTCTTGTTGAAGTATACAAAGTCTAACTTCCCCCGTTCCATGTATGACATGATAAAGTACGCATCTGTTACTATCACTAAATTGGCAAAAAATCAATGTTAAGTAAGATATAGCAAATACAAAGGGGGACAAGTAAGGATCCAGATCAGATCAGACAAGCTTATATTCAAGCATGTTATGCCATCATTAATGGGTAAGACCATGCACAGGTTGCATTTTATGAGACACAAGTGCTTGGGCTAGCATGCAATACATCAAGTGCAAAGTACCGCTTTTAACTTTCTATGCATGGCAAAACATATACAAGGCATTAATATGCAAAATGTCACCACCTGCCATTTGTTACAGGCACCAACCACCAAAAACAGTCCCAAAAAAGGTTGGAGACTATAATAATGTCACAATATGTGACTCAACAATTTTACTGATCTAAAAAGCAATAAGACCAATAATACATTATATGAATCTAGTTACAAGCCCCTGTGAACCCCCCCTCTCCTTCCAGCCTTGAGACTAACACACCTCCTCACACAGGGGATGTGTGGGAAGGTGTATAGTGGGGCGGGGCTCACAAGGGCCTGTAGCTAAACTAATGATACATTTACAGCAGAAGCACTTACCATCTGTGAATACATCAGCGGACAATTTCCCCACCAGTGACTTGTCTATTGTGATCCTCTCAACATCTCCAGAGTTTGGATTAACACTGTAGTTCAAAATGGTTCCATTTGCCAATAGTATCTAAGATATACAGAAAATTCACTTGATCATACAAAATTTTTCATTTTAAAAAGCTAATGAAATGAAAAAGAAAATAATGTAACAGAACTGTAATTTACTTTTTAACAGAACTATGATACTGAATAAACATATGATTTTAGGGATGTTGTCCATATGTTGTTTCACAATATTCATGTGAAAAACGAATTTTATTTTGTTGTGGTTTGACCCCCCTCCCCCAATCTCATGAAATTCTAAAATGTTGGTGAACATGCTTACCTGTAAAGAATAGCGAGATGTCCACAAACAGCTAACACATGGCTGACCTGATAGTAAATCCTGTAAAGAATATACAAAAAAATATTGTTCAAACACAATATTCTGTGGTGAAACTACTGTACATTTGTACCATCAGACATTATATGAATCCCACATTACTGTACAGATCAGAAATCTAGATTAAAGTAAAATACACTATTGAAAAAAGGGCATTAACATGCAAAATGTCACCACCTGCCATTAGTTATAGATGCTGGCCGCCAAATGCTGCTATAGACAACAAACACTGTTACATACACCAAACACCAACTGCTAAACACCATCCACAAAAAAGTTGGAGACCATAACAATGTCACAACTTCTAGTGGTGACATAAAAGATCACGTTTTTCAAATTAGAGTTTTGATTAATTATTGCACATAGGGTTTGTGATTTTGTCATCAACATGTTTGTGTGGAGAGACCTTACCTCGGCTTCTTTAATGGCATCCCTTAGTTTATCAGGTCTCTTTGTTTTAGGTGCCCATGTTGTACCCCTACCTGTAAATGTACATGTGCTATAGTTAGATGTGTTTGTAGCCAGTTCATTCTTGTAAAATAAATATCTTCAATAAGAGTGTGAAATCGCGACAAGATCTAAAATTACTGCAAATTCAAACATCAGGTGGTAGCTATTTTAGAATTTCTGAAGTTTCAATCTGAAAAAGTTTAAAAAAGCCACACTTCAGAAAGATCTAAAAATTAACGTTTTTGTTTTCTCTACTCCTGTACATAGCCTCTTGGGGATCAGCCACGAAAATGCAGAAGATATGTAAAATATATATATCTTTTAACAATACTTTGGAAATAAAATTATTTTCTAGAAAAATTCCACATGGGGTGGCCATTTTGGAAAGATGAAACAAGAACTGCATTCTACTTTAGAATTACTTTTCATTTGAGTATAATAAAGAGCACAAAACTATCAAGAAAAGTACTATGTTTTCTCCGTCGTGACATTAAAGTTTATTTGAAATACATGTAGATTGTGAGAATCGAGGAAATCAAGCGAGCAAGAGCAAAAGCAAAAACAAACTCCCAAAATATGACGTCATTTAACATCCGGGATTTGTTTTGCCATCCGAGCTTTGTTCAGATGAGTAAAACTTGAAACATATGATTTCTGTTTTTCAATTGCAAGTTGAGTGCAAAATGATTTTCAATTGGGTGCGCAAGTTGATTTCTGTTTTTTGGCTAAAAAACTAATCAGTTCTAAACATAAATTCAATATGTTGGAATAAAAATTCGCTCCAAGGGAGATACAAACTTTAGAAAGAGAGGAACTGATTAACACTTCATTCACTAAAAATACTTCAATGATGGACATTCTATTACTTTCATCCTTCAAGTTTTACTATACCATAGCTCTCTATTCAAAGTTTACGTTTATAGGGACACATGTTAACTAATGGATCATTTACTATAGCTACTATATTTCCACATGCTATCTGTTGCAAGACGTATATTCCACCGCATTATAGAATATTCCTCTAAAGGATTATTCCTCTTCTCTTAGGATGTAGAAATGTCCTGATTTATCAGAATATTGAAATAGACATCCACCTTTTCAAATAATTTTGCCAGTTCAAAGGATTATCCTGGAATACATATTCCTTTCATTGGGATAAACATAGCATCAAATGACAATATTTGTCACTGGATTTGTCACTTTACATAAATATTAGCAGAGAAACTAAACTACTTTACGCATTTTGACTAAATATTTTCCCAATTTTGAAACAAATTTGAAAATCGCATATTTCTAATTTTATTCTACTTTTCAAGCTATGACGTTTGATAATATAGAAGATATTACACAAAGTCCATTTCTTTCAAAATTAATGCACTAATAAAGGTTTCCAAAATTCTGATAAAATAATCAACATCCACATATCTATTTGACTGTAGTGACAATATCATATTCGTTCTGAACCAAAGAGGTCAAATTACCTTCAGTGTATTGCTGTTTCTGTTGGTAATATGGCTGGTCAACCACCGACACTGTTTCTCCCCTCTCATGGTAAGTATAGCAGCCTACATCCCCATCTGGAACATACACACATACATATTGTGTATCATAACATGTTTGCTTAGTGATACAATGTATATCGCTTTTTTTGTGGATTGTTCTATTTAGTCCTCCAGATAACTGCAAAGTTCTGATCAAATCTGATCAGCTCTGGAAAACTCGTTAGTGTTTAAGTTGACAGATTATTTAGATAAGATGTAAGTTATGGGTTTGTCTTCTTGGTTTTAGTCTAGTATAGAGTGAATTCACTGTCCTCCACTCATAGACAGATTGCAGTCTGATTCAATGTATTTTTAAAGGCAAATATCTGGTGTTCTTTGAAGTATTCAAGACTAAATAAGATGTTACTAGTATACAATACATGTACTATACTACCCAGAGACAGATATAATATTTACTCCAGTTTCAAGTTAAATATTCTAAAATGGAATATGGAGTACCAAATTTCATTTGGTATAATTATATTTTTTGATAGAAACAATGGCCATTGTTAAAACCAAATAAACATGAGATTATTAATTTATTAGGGTAGTTAATACTTCATGCCTAGTTCACACTTCAAAACTAAGTTGAATTCAGATGTCATCTTGAAAATAGAATGAGCCTAAATGGATTACTGTCTCAAAGGGTATCTAAGTCTAGATATGTGTTATAAGTAATTCACGACTGTGAAAATGTTTTGAATACTTTTGCGCATGTGGCTTCTTGTTTATCCCTGAAAAATGGTTGTGATTTTATTTCATAATGATACAAGATACTTTTATTTTTTAAAGACCAATTAAAGACCAATGACCAATTTCTGCATCTTAAACGTTCATAAAATAAATTCCACAATGATCAAATTATGATACCTTTATTACTTAATGTAAGATGAGGTAATTTGAGTGTGGGGGAGGGTGGGGGAGTATTTTTGCATGAATTTAAAAAATGAACCACCCCCTCCCAGTCACAAAATCCTGGCTATTGTAAGCCAAATAACATGATGAAGGCAAATGAATATCAGTCAGTCAAGCTAGTTATCTATCTAGATCACAATGTGATATTATGCAGATAGAACTTTATTTTATTTTATTGCCTAATATATAGAAATTTGCAGGATATGAAGTTTAAGAATGGAAATGTCTACAGGGGCGTAGCCAGCTTTCAGTCAGTGCAGGGGGGGGGGGGGGGGTGCGATCGCCCAAAAAATTCTATTTTCAGTCAGGGGATGCGATTGTGGCATAAAAAGCCAATAATTAAGATTTACTGTATCTTGAATTTTTCAAAAATTTATGCAACTTCCTTCATAATAAATTGAGCTAGAAGCCTCAAATAAAAAGCATTCCAAAGCTCTTCTCATGGTTATATTTTATTGGTTATGGGAGGGGGGGTGCGATCACCAATTGCACTCCCCCCCCATGGCTATGCCTATGGTCTAATTGAAATGTAAAAACTCTGCATTGAACTACACGTATTAAAAGTTGCTTTCACATTCAAATAGCTGATACAGATATTCTATCTACTAGTATACTCATATGAACAGAGATATAGAATTTCAAACTGAAACATTAAGATAATCTGTTCTGTCATTGACACAATATTTATGGCCAGCTAAATTTCTGAGAATTTAATGTGTTTCAGTCGTTTACTCCTGGACTATATTTTGCCTCATTTCTATAGGCAAACAAGAGGTTCATCCAAACATTGTCAGTACCCATGTTATTTTTTATTTTGGATTGTGTTAAAAGATGAATTACTTGGGTGTGTGTAATAATACTGGTGGCTACTTTAACAAGGCAGTAAGACAGAACATCAAACATAATTTCTTGATCTTCACCTTGCCAGGGATATTATAACATCATTAATACATGATAAGCATAATCACATTCATTCAAATGTTCACAATCTCTATGATTAGTACAGGGTAGGGCAATTCAAAATCGCCAGTTCAGAATGAATAACATTTTTTGGCCTACCCTGTACATATCTAACACATTATCTTGTGATGAAAATTGTCAATCTCGAAGGTATACACTTACCTGACACAATGGTTTGGTTCCTCAATGTCCAAAGATGTAACTCTGTCATACAAGAAGCCATCTTACTTCATAGATAGACCCGATCAGAGGATCCGCTCCATATCTTTACATTTTACTTGTGTTGTCATGACTACTTGAATTCTTAAGTCCTCCTTCCCAAGCTGTACATGATCATATTTGATATACGTCCATGACCTATCGAAAATACAAACATTGAATTATTATAATTTCATCTGGAATACTGTGAACTCCATTTGAAAAAAGCTGGCTGGCGTGTCATAAATTTATTGAATGTTTTAAAAATCGCCAGACAAATAAATCATTAATTACAATGGGACCGGCTCGGCTCCTTGATGAGATATTGCATGATTTCGTCAAATGGCTCCAAGAAAAATGGCGATATTCGAAAACTGGACGAGTCTGACATTATTAACTGGCTGTAAATTCTAAGTTAGCGATCCAGAAGATGTGATCTAATACATTGATCACTTCATGTGTGTTTTGGAATTTTTGGTGAGGTAGGCCTAATAAGACAAAAACTCGCAATTCAAATTGTGATGTGGAAAAATGAATTTTATGATTACGACATGACCCGTTATATGCAGGAATTTATCCTTGGACGAAGGCCACGATACAGTGAGAATAAGGTAAGAATTAGGCCTACATGTAGATCTAGGCTATTTTAGTAGATCTAAGGATTTCTCCATCTAAAATGTCACTCGACTTTTTGGCAATTAAAAGTCCCTGCCTGCATTTAGTAGTCATATATTGTCATGTGCATAATTTTGAAACCATATCCTAATCATTTCACAAACCCTTTGTTGATTCTGCCATAGTTTCCAATTTGAAAACAGCATTTAGCCTTTTTAATTGGGAACATTTTTGAAATTTCCAAAATGGTTGCCATGTGATTCCAGAATTTAACATGAGTGTGACGTGACATCACAGTCGCTCGTTCCTAGGTAACAACAAGATCACAATTGCTCGTTTCTAGATAGCAACAAGATTTTTGACAAAATGGCACAGAATTACCCTGATTAACACCCTTAAAATCCGATTTTCAAAGAATATATTTGGAGAAACAATAAAAGGTAAATGGAATAAATTAGAAGATGGTTTCAAGTTACCACAGAAGTCAATTTGATACTCAAGAATGCTTTCTTTGACTCATAATCACAAAAAAGTCGAGTGACATTTTAGATGGAGAAATTCTTAGCCCTGAGGCTGAGCCTATTTATAATTTTTATTGATAAATTCAAACAATTTGAACAAAATAGGGAGATATAAAGATCAAACAATTTATTCATGAGATTCAAGAGCCACACTCAACAAAATCATATCTCATTGATATGTTTTGATACTTACATGTGCTCTGAATCAGGTCATAGATGCCCAATAACGAGATATAACGCGATTATTTTTAAAAAGTTTTTTTCAATAAAATAATGGCGGAGCTACAGTTTCATTTGTACATTTTGTTTCGCATTTTAAATTTATCAATATAATTTCATCTTTTCTTGAACAATGATCTCAAACAATCATCAGTCCTATTCCTTTGCAATTAATTTAAATTATTTTCGATTTTTCATTCTACTCAATATGACTACGAAGAATTAATAGTCATACGAAACTGCCATTAACGCGTCCCACTTGGTTCTCTGTCCGATCAAACGAAGGTCATTCGATATACCCTCCCATTAGGATTAAAATAACAGACAAACATGGTGAGTATGGTACTTTAAATTGCTGTTTTATGTAAGGGTTGATCTTTTTCAAATGTTGGCAGAATTAAGAGTATTGTCATTGGGGATAAAGTGTAATCGCTAAGTGTATTTCGAAACCGGCTTTTGTCCAAAAATGTGACTGGTGTCATTGACATCCACTTTGACTTTACTTCTGTTGTTATGATGCTCTCTTCTCTACAAGGCTCTACAAGGGTCAGACATCGATAAGGTGTGTATAACAAGGAAGACATTTTTTTGTTACACAGTGAGGGGGTGGGTTTTCTCTTTGGTAACCCCATGGGCTCTATCAGGGGTGGTAGAGCCCATGAGCCCCCATGGTAACCCTCGATAACGTAGTGACGTAATCCAGCCACTTACTTCCTGCGAAAGCTATTTGGATTTTGATATATTAGCTTTCCCACGGAGCATTTGGACAGCTGAATGATTGTGACCTTTGAAATCAAATTAAGTCGATCAGTGGCTTACTTTTGGTCTCTAACTGTGTCTTACATCAGTATCATCAATCCGTGTAAGTATTAGAGCGCTGAAATATGGCAGTTTGCTAGGAGTGAGATACGCAACGAACGAAATGAATTTTGAGAATTAGTTAGGTTCGGACAACCTCCGATGTCCAATGTCCGAACAGAAAACGCCATATTGGAATTTGGCAGTAAAAACATTCACTCGACTAACAATTACAAGTCTTGATCGAAAAGGAAGTACTTCAGCGCTCCAATACTTGCACAGAAGGATGATAATGATGTATAACATATTTAGAGAACAAAAGTAGGCTGATCGACTTAATTCGATTTCAAAGGTCACTATTAATCAGCTGTCCACTTCCCTGTTTGAGAGCCATAAGTTTCAAAATCTAACATGGCTCTCGAAGTGAGTAACCAGCCACCATGTTGCGAAAGTAAAATATTTCTCAAGTTTATTCATAATTTTGGCTCAACCATGGATAAAACCAAGAACTGTATAAACTATTTGGCCACCATAAAATTACCAGTAGGGGCTGCCTGTACATTGATAAACCACTGTTTTTAAGGACTTTTTAGGCGAATCATGGGCTTTCTACTTGAAAGCCCATGGGCGAATCGAAAGTAAACATCTTTAAAAGTTTTACTGTCGTCCTTGCTCTCGTAGTTGTTTCCATAATCATTTACCACTGCTTTACCGTCATGACACATGTCGTCTACTCAAGACCAGACCCCAGCCCATAGCAGTGCACCTTCTAGCTCCATTGTATTACTACTCATCGCTACTGCTGGAGATGTACACCGAAACCCTGGACCAAGATCTCCCAAGTTTCTGTGTACCGTCTGCTCCAGAGCAGTTCAGTGGAAACAGAAGGCTCTCTGCTGTGATTTATGTAACAAAATGAGTATTGTGCCTCGATGCATCGATGTCTGAAACAAAACATCAGTGTTTTTTACAAAAAATAAATCTCCTAAAATCACCTTTTCCTATCTCTTCATGCAAATGCCATACCTTTTTTTCATTCTTTAGTTCATCTTCAAATATTCACTGATATGTTTTCACTTAAAAAACGTTTTAGCTTATTGAAATGAAGGAATAACCTTAATTTTTTACAATTATGGACGCACATAGCCAAGCGGAAGTATCATACTATTATTTATTTGTTGCATTCACAGCGGTGGCAGTAGGCATATATTTTTGTGAGTCATCATGACTCAGGTAGTTTCAAAAAAGTGAGTCACAAGAAAAAAACTTGAGTCAAAGCTATAAAAGTGTTTTTCTTGAGTAAAAATGCATACAAAATGTAGAAACCACATACAAAATCTATTTTTTGATTTTGTGCATACCTTTTATTGTACTCTTTTAGCACATAACAACTAACAATTAATTAATTAGGCAATTGCAAGAAAAATGTCACTATTCAGGGGCGTAGGAAGGTGTAAATTCAACACTACGCCAAAAATATGAAAAAATTGTGTCAAATCTTAACGAATCAAAACGCCTCTTTTATGCTCGTAAAAGGTAATTTTTATGGTAATACCTTTCTAATTGTGCTTAAAATGTTCGAATGTTTTTCATGATATAAAATCACCATGGAAAGCCGATCTTTTAAATCTCAACAATACAGATTAAAGAAACTAGTATGATCAATAGAAACATGTCCGTGATCAATGATACAACATAACTCTAATGTCTTCAACTTTTTTTATAAGATAAATAAAGCCCATGCAAAAGTCAACGTGACATTTTGTGGTGAATTGTTTTTTCCTTTCAAAATAATTATTGGTGCCTAAATGCTTTATTTCCTAAAATAATAATCTATTATATTTCAAATAAAATAGAAATTAGGGTAATTGCTTTCCTAGAACTGAAGTTGAAATGTACTTTCATTTTTACTGGCTTAAACTTCCAACTATCATAACCCTCTACCCCAAATCACCTTGATTTTTACGCCAAAAAGTGCCATTTATCGTGGCCGAAGCTAGAAAAAAGTAACAGAGGAACAAAAACCTTGCAAAGAGTACTATTGAAAAAATCGAACATATTACATGGTTTCCAAAAACATTTCTTTAGTGTGCTCGAGATCACAAACAATTTATTAACAATGAGGAAATATGACTAAAGAACATAAGGAAATTATTAAGCTATTTCATTCTAGCTTTTCAACACTACGCATTGGCGTTTTGGCGTATATTGTTCCTACGCCACTGCTATTAATCATCTGATTATCTGGTCCAGCGAGTCATGGGTGTGAATGGAGTGGGAGAGGAGTTTCTCCCTGTGTGGAGTTACACAAATTGGGGTCAAAGCGTTTCATGTTGAAATTCAACATTTTTGCAATCATTCCAAAGTCTTAAACGGCAATATAAGACCGACCACAATACTGGGCATCATTTAAATTGAATACGGTAGAATCTTGTAATTATAGCTGATCAAATGAAACCGAAAGTAGATTTGTTCTCATACCTAATTTATCATCATTATTACCCCCCTTAATGTGCGATCGACTGGATTTTCATGTGCCCATTACCTATCTTCATAGGATCAGCTTCAGATCTAGTGAATCGAAGATCTTAACTTGAGGGAGTTAATTGAAAATACTTGGTGAAAACTTACGATAGATCGGTCACTGTGAGCACCATTGATAAACCTACTGCGCATTACATCTGCGCATGCTGATGAAGGGGACGGCTCAAGGAAACTTGCTAACTTAACGAAGGAATTTTGCGAACTTGCGAAGGAAACTAAAGGTTCGTAAATCTAGTGTGTGAACATTCAAGGGAAGATTTTATACGGTAATTTAGATAAATATACGATCACTAAAATCCTTAGAAGGGAGTATGAAATTAATAAATTATTGTTCAATGTTATGTTCGTTTTATTGCATTTTTGATACGCCCCCTAGCAACGTGCTTCAGGAGATAAACAAATCGAGGGATCGATCAATGTTTTCAAGTTTATCATTGAATCTGAATACAGGGCTTTAAAAATTATATGAAATACCGAAATGAGAAAATGATCGGTAGGAAGGAGGCTCGATTGCGCTGAACGAAATGTTAGATTTCCGGAATTAGCAAAATTAAAAATTTGATCAATCACGTATTTTCACGTATAGGGATCAATTTAACCAAGTACCAAGCGGGGATTTTGCATGTGAAACAAACGTGCGTCAGAAAGACTCGGTAGACAATGAATATTTGCGTCAGAGTTGCAAAAATGTGAGTAAAAAACGTAAAAAATTGCGTTAACGCCACCTCTGATTCAGAATTTTATTTATTTTAAAATGGCAGTAAATTTGGTAATTATGTCTTTCACATACGTTCATTTGTTCTCCAATACGGATGTCCTTTAAAAGTTTCATCATCTTGACATACCTACATGTATATCAGCGCTTCCCATTATTCAATTCTAATGAATTTCGAGTACATTTCTGCATCTTAAAATTCCTTATAGAAGATATTTCGAGACTCAATTTTTTTCAGAGATCACTTTGGCATTGTAAGGAACTTGTTTTAGTATTGAAATGATTGCTAAAACACTTAAAGAGAAGGATTGTCTGCTTGAGAATTAATTTTAGAAAAAATGCCTAAATGTTGGAATACTGGTCAATATTTGACATGAGATATTCACATGCACATTACTTGTAATATATAACTGTTCATTGGTATCAAATATTGATTTAAGCTGCTGATTAATCCTGTTCCATATAAATCCATATATGTGAGTGTGAAAGAGTTTTAAAGGCCAAGACAGAGTTTAATCTTATTTATGCATACTAGTATACAAATATAGACCAGAAGGTCCAGAAACATGAGTGGATTCAGTTATTTTAAGCCATATATGGATGGATCCAGTTATTTTAGGCCATGTAGGGATGGATCCAGTTACATGTATTTAAGGCCAGAAAGGTATGGATCCAGCTTTTTTAGGCCATATAGGGGTGGGTGGATCCAGTTATTTTAGGCCATATAGGGATGGATCCAGCTATTTTTGGCCATATAACCAGTAGTGTTGTCGCGATTAATCGATACATCGCGATATACATCGCCAAAGCTGGTTCTGGCGATGCATCGATGTCTGAAACAAAACATCGATGTTTTTAAAAAAATTTAATTTGCTAAAAATCGCCCTTTCTCATCTTATTTTGACGCAAATTGCTTACATTTTTTCATGTCTTATTTCATTTTCAAATGTTTTCTGATATTCTTTCGCTTTAAAAATGTTTTAGCTAGTCGAAATGAACCATTAATCTAAAAAAAATTACTTTACTTTCATTTCACCGTTACTATGTTCCCGGATGTACCAGCGTACTCTTATTAATTTGTTCTGTTCGATATTTTAGTGCATTAGCGTTCCGTATTTCAGTGCACTTTTCTCGAACTTTTTCTCGATGTACATCGCGATGTGCATCGATGTTTACTACTGAAAATTGCCGATGCATCGATGTACGATTATGGCACATCGCGATAACACTAATAACCAGTTACTTAGGTCATATAGGGATGGATCCAGTTATTTTAGGTCATATGGGGATGGCTCAAGTTATTCTAGGCCAATAGGGGTCGATCCAATTATTTTATGTTTCCTATTATTTTCATACCAAGAAGTTGAATATTTGTACAGAATGTTTTTTTGCAAATGTTTCAGGCAGAGAAAGATCCCATTAAGGTTTGTGTGACTGGAGCTGCTGGCCAGATCGCCTACTCTCTCCTCTACCAGGTTGCCAAGGGACAAGTTTTTGGAGATGACCAGGTGAGAAAAAATTAAAAGCTGGTCAAAATGTACAGTACAGTGAAACCTGTATATCTGAACACCTCTTTAATCCAAACATCTCTCAATGTCAAAACTTTTCTTGATCACAAATCTGTAGACCCATCACATGTTCTAAAACATCTGTATGTGAACACATGCTCTCCGAACACTTTTAGTTTGTCCAGGACAATTGACAGGGCTTGCATTAACGGCGTCCCTCACATGTAAGTGACGCAAAAAAAAATTGTAGGACGGAAAAATAAAAAATATTTCCGTTTTTGGGACGGAAAAAAATTGAGTCAAAACTTTGAACATTTTTTGAAAATCTTGAAAATCTCAATAGTTGATCATGTTTGACTTCTTTGAGGTGTATATTAAGATCAAAATATGTGAGTTTACAACTTTATTTTGAGTAAAAAAGAAAAAGAAGGCAGAAAAACGAACTATTGTAATGGGCGATAATAGGTTATCAGTTTGCATGTGACATATTTTTCTCACTGAAAAGCTGATATAAAACCTTCAAAATGAGTTCAATTGTACAAATGATGCATACTTACCTAGGTGAAGTAGTCTATTTGTGATTATATAATGTCAAAATGGTCTAATTTATGATATAAATCAGAGGATTCTGATCATGTAGAAAATGTAGTGATACACTAAATTACTGAGCGTCAGACAAATTCATACTAAAAAATGTTCTTATTTTTTCAAGCAGTTGTTCAGTGCAAACAGCAAGTATAAAGATAATCACAGTATAATAGTACTTACTATAACAGGCTGGAGGTTACATAACATAAGTGAATTGAATATAAAGAACATGTTTAAATCACAGGGCACGAATGGCAACATTTTGAAAACACATAAGACGTACATGTAAGATCAAGTCATGCACATTCCAAAATAGCCCATTATAGCTAATTTAGCTTATATATTGGAGGACACACTTTTTTCGGTCAGGACTCACTTTTTAAAAAATTTTCCTTCATTGGGACTCACATTTTTCAGAGCCTAATGCAAGCGCTGATTGAAGATTCAAAGTTGTCCTAGAAGTGTTTGGAAGTTTTACTGTATAATATTTGTGTAACTATGTAGCATAATCTAAGTTCTACTGAAAATATATATATATATTAGGTATATTATTACAGGTATGCATTAATTACATGATAAATTATATTAAGTAACACCATATGGATATTCCCAAAGGGGAGATTAAAAGAAGATGTCATTAATACAAAAGATGTGTATGTAGCATGTGGTCAATGCAAACTAATCTATGAAGAATGACCATATTGATAATAAGACAGTACAGGCAGTATGATAGATCCAAGATAAGACTCTATATCTAGCAGAGAATGTAATAAATATAAGTCTCAAGTTACATACATATAAACAGCCAGAGCCCTGTCATGACAACTGATTGATAAAGGAATGGTGTCAGATTACTCACGTCGAGAGCTACCATGTTAGATTTTGAAAGTATAGCTCTCCATCGTGAGGATCTCCCAGCTGAAGAATTGTGACATCTTATTTTGATCAGCGCCAGTCAACGGCTTGCTGTTTGTCTCAAACTGTAGCCTACATTATGGGCTCATATGTGTCTACTTTCCCCGTGCATGTAGGATCGCGGATGTGCTTCTATGGCGATCAGGAGTTCTAATCGTTTATTGTTCGATACCCATTTCCAATATGGCGGTTAAACGGAAATACTATCGACGCATGCGCAACTTGGGAAACGTCAAGCCGCCATATTGAATATACCTGGCCAAAACTTTTGACACGACCAATAAAATGAAGTCCTGATCGATACATAGGGCAGTGAGACGTTCTATAGTTGAGCTGAATGAAAATGGCGATGTAGGATACATTTTCAGGTATATAATGTGCAACATGAGTCAGCTGAATTCCCTGAAATTTTCTTTGAAGTCAGGATTCTTAAGCTGTTGATTCTAGCGATAGAGAGCTATACTTTCAAAATCTAAGTAGCTCTCGACGGGAGTAAGTGTCAGAGAGACTCAATGGAAGAACCTTGAGTAAACTTCGATAAGGGGGGGGGTACAATACAAATCCATTATTGAAGAATAGTGATTATCTACTGATAAAGGCAATCAACATGAAGGGGGGGGGGGGTTAAATTATTATGAAATGAATTTTGTTTTTCCACAACTGTTTACTCCTTTTTACTCTGCATGCAGAGTCTAGTTATAAACTACCCTCTGCCAAGTATAGACTATATTACAATTTAGCAGCTCCGCCCCCACGACCAATGCCCATGACAGTTCGAGTCATAAACCTACTACCTTGAGCTTTTTTTCAACCAATTAGCGAGCTGGAAGGAACATATACTAAAAGGTTACACAATAATTATGCGATTATGTCAGAGAAAATGACCATAATAGAAAGTCGTCCTTATTCTGACGACGAACTCTGATTTATTCGGTGATTTGAAATAGTGAAGACGAAGCTCTGTTTTGAGAGACGAAGTCAAATAAATGCAAAGGGTAACTCCTTATATGGCAATATTTTAAAAAACAAAGACTGGATCTGGAATCTGGATGTATTTTTAGTAATCTTCAGTATTCTGCTCTGGTAATCAGTTGGTTCTCCTTGACTTTGAAATGTGATTACAGTTAGTCTTGCTTGTTGTTTTCCTGTCTGAGGGTCACCTTCACTCTGCCAGCTAATACCTCAAGGTCTATCGGTTAAAAACAACACTCTAAACATTTGCTATATTTCATTGACAGATTTATTATTGAATCACTTTGGAGAGCACAAAGGGCACTTTCACCAAGTTTTGATAAAAGTTCTAAATGATCATTTTCAATTTTTGGGCATTTGGCAAAATTAACACATCAGAGGATAAAAAATAGTTGATTTTGCCTAATTCCATTTCTTTTATTTAACAGTATATTTTTTTGCTGGTTTGTAGAAAATACATGAAAAACCATTATAAATGTAAAATTGCTTACAGTAACAATAGGATGGCATTAACATTTAACATGTGTTATCAATCAGTATTTTTTATTGATTGTAAATTGATGATTCCCATGTGTCATTTGGTTTCATGAAATGTGTGTGAATATGATTGGTAACTGTTCTGCTATTGTATTGATTGTAGAAACACACTGGAATAGCCTGACAACGGTAAAGTTAGATACCGTTGTATGGCGGACATAACTGTCACTTCAATTAGATTTTCATGAATTGTATGTTTAATAGAGCACCTAGACTAAATTCCTTTGGAGCAACAATCAATCAAAGTGTCTTTATACTCATTGTACAGTTAATATTATGTTCTACCATCGAAATAAAGTCTTTAATTTAACCGATCAAAATGAGATACAGGACAACGGACACTGTATTACCATATGCCGTTGTCTTTGTAAATTATTTTAATTTCATATTCCTTTGTCATTGACGATATTGAAGACGCTATATTGTGGCAATTCATGACCCAATTTGATCGAAATTTGGATTTCATATGATACATCATCACAAGAGGTTAATACCAGTACATGCACAGAATTAGCGACGATAAAGTCCCATGAAATGAGGACCAAGTGATTGAATAGTTGATGCGACGATTATGTCCGCCATTTGTGAACATGGTATATGACTTTACCGTTGTCAGGCTATTCCGGTGTGAGAAAGTGGAACTTGGAGTTGCTTCCATGAATATAAATTCAAATTGCCATCAATTGATAGATTTCCACACATTTTAATTAAAAAAACTTGCAAAGATATATGTTGCATGCTTGCTTTTTATATGCTTTATACAAATATTGTTTTTTAGCCAGTAATAATGACATTATTAGACATTCCTCCAATGATGGATGTGTTAACAGCAGTCAAGATGGAATTGTATGACTGTGCTCTTCCACTTGTGAGAGGTAAACCACAACACAGCACTTTTGGAGTGACCACACTAGGTCTCACCTAACTGAGTTGACAGCTAGCTAATCCTGGATCTTTTAACATTTCAGCAAAGTTTTCCAGATTACATGATGACAAAGTGTGGATTTGAAATATTTTTGTGTGTCTGAAATATTCCTTTTCTCTCTTTCTACCTAAAGTCTTGCCGTAGTGCATTTTCACCAAAAGAGAAGTATATGGCTAAACAAAATAATGCTGTACTCCCAGTATATTTTGACGCTATTTGATTTCACGAATTTTGAGATATAACAATTTTGCTGCTATTAAATTTTGTGGATTACACAAGTTTGAAATTTGATTAATCATGTTTGAATCCTCAAAAATATTGTTTTTCGCCATTTTACCACCATCATTCATTAATCGTGCGAAATTAAATCGCACGAGAAAAACACAGGGAGTAAAGTGCATCTTTTTGTAATGTAATTTCTGAAGTGTTCATTTAACAGGTTAAAATCTGTAAGATTATAGGAACTTTTGAAGAAAGACCAGTGTTTCAGAGAACAGTGAAACCAGAACATCAAGACCCCATTCAAAAGGGGCAGCTCTGACTGTATGCACTATATATCTGTTAATACAAGAAACAAAACACTATATAACCTAATTCTCTATGATTGATGCTAATGTGTGTGTGTTGTGTGTTCTAGCCAATAATCCTCACCCTATTGGACATTCCCCCAATGATGCCTGTACTCCAGGGTGTGGTCATGGAACTTGATGACTGTGCATTCTCATTGCTCAGAGGTAATAGACAGTTAGCAATATTCCCAATTGTCAAAATACATTGGCATTTACCCCCCACTAGGGTGTACATTTTCTGAAAAGAATCCTTAAGACGTATTACTTAAAAATGTTCATAAACATATCTGAGATTCAGTTTTTAAAGGTGCATATACATTTGAATGTAATAAAATGAAATTGACTTAGGAGTTTCTGACTATTTCAGTTCACATAGTCTGGACATGATTGATAAAGAGCTAGTTAAATAAATGTAATATTTAAAAATAACCTTGATGACCCAGGCAAACCATTGTAAAAATTTGACTTTAACATGAAATAACTTAAATTATAATCGTATAATACAGAGGTAATTCCCACCAGTGATGAGGCTGTAGCATTCAAGGATATTGATGCCGCTATGTTGGTTGGAGCTATGCCCAGACGCGAGGGAATGGAGAGGAAGGATCTCTTGGCTGCTAATGTAAAGATATTCAAGTCTCAAGGGAAATCTCTTGATGCAAATGCCAAGAAAACTGTGAAGGTAAGGTTGGAATCTGAATTATGATTTTCCCAGACTATGGATTACCATACTTCTTCTTAATTTGGCAACCGTTTTAAGTTGTCGGATCTGCCAAATTGTGAAAGTCGGCCAAATTCCCAAGTAATTTTAGTACCGTGTAAATTAGTACCATTAGTACATTGTCATATTGAAAGTATGCCAAAATGCCATGAAACGCAAGTCCTGAAGTAGATGAAATATCTTACGTTTTTTTGTAATCGAAAAGTGACTTTCATATCTATTCTAGTAATCTTAATTTACCAATCATTATTGTTTTAGGTAGTAGTTGTGGGTAACCCAGCCAACACTAATGCCCTGATCTGCAAGAAGTATGCCCCATCCATACCAGCAGAGAACTTCTCATGTCTTACACGCTTGGACCAGAACAGAGCCAAGGCTCAGGTAAAACACTGAATCACTGATTCTGCATTGTATATTGGTCAAGTCTATTAGTGGTGCCAATTCCAGACTGTTATGGTTTTAGTGTTTATTTTAACAATTGAACTTGAAATTTTAAACAAAAGCCTGACCTTCTCCGACTTCTGAACATCTTGATATTGTTGTAAATAATGATTAAAAAATCTCAATGCTAATCTGACCAAGTTTTCTCCAGATCGCAGGCAGAGTTGGCGTGACGATAGATTCCGTGAAGAATGTGATCATCTGGGGCAACCACTCTTCCACCCAATTCCCAGATGTCTCACATGGGACTGTAAGTGTCAAGGGTACAGCAGTTCCTGTCTCTGAAGCTGTCAAAGATGATAACTGGATAAAGAATGAGTTCATCAAGGTACAGTTGAGCTGGGTCATACATTTAAATTTAAGCTACATATCAGTGTATATTTGTTCAATCTTTGCAAGGGTGTTAAAAAGATAATGTTTTTTGCAGTTGCACTGTACAGTTGTATATTTGATGATTAAAAAGTTTTATTTGAAAAATGGCGGGAAATTTGAATATTAAAACTTCAAAAATCTGAAAGTCTGGAGTCATGGAAAAAGTAATAAGTGGATGATAAAAAGACATATTTTCAAACTTTGCATGGGGCCTTTAAACAGCTGTATAGCTGTGAATCATTAGAGTCAACAATGACTGGTATCTCATTTTGAGGATTTACTTTGAGAATTATGTTGCTTACTTTCTTGGATCATGTGATGAACCTTTCTCATGTTTGTATGTTTCCAGACAGTCCAGCAAAGAGGAGCTGCTGTGATCAAAGCACGTAAACTTTCCTCCGCAATGTCAGCAGCTAAAGCAACAGGGGACCACATGAGGGACTGGTTTAAGGGAACACCACAAGTAAGTGACACTACTCAGGCCCGTAGCCAAGGGGGATACAGGGAGTTAGAGCGAAATTTACAGCCCTCATCCATTTCATGATATCAATTTGGCTGTTGTGTTCACTCTCTTGCTGGCATATCTATCAACAACACTATTATTTAATTTAAAGTATTTATCTAGGCACAGGAAATTAAAATTAGATTTAGAAGGAGAATGTGCAATTCAAATGCATGATGTATTCCAGACCTGCATCCTATGTATATTCATTATCATTATATGTTGTCTTCCAGGGGGAGTACACATCTATGGGCATTGTGTCTGATGGTTCATATGGCATTGAAGCTGGTTTGGTATACAGCTTCCCAGTGACCATAGACAAATCTGGCAAATACACCATTGTTCAAGGTCTGGAGGTCGATACTTTTGCACGTGAAAAGATGGATGCTACAGCAAATGAGCTTAAACAGGAGATGACTACCGCTCTAGAAGTCTGCTCTGATTGACGGGTTACATCCAACCTATAAAACCTTGAAAACGTAAACAATGTAACTGTTTAGGCCCACCTTGTAGTGACTCCTGCGTACACCACATACTATAGCACATATTATCTCACAGACCTTCCCCACAATGGTGTCATTTATATATGGACAGTTTGTTGATACTGTGTATCACAGTATATTACACAGTAACAATGCTCATATTTGATGCTAGGACTATCATACAATCTGATATATCCACATATTCATACTGCTTTAGAATTATTTTTGCTCATTGGCTCTCTTTGCACTAATACCTGGGACTTTTAAGGTTTTATACGTTGGAACATAAGCGAGAAGAACAAAACAAAACAAGATCTAGCATTCTAAATGCTGTATAGATCATAACCCCTAGAGGTATTATAACACAAATTCTGCACAAATTGCTAAACCGATGCTCATCTATCAGTAAAACAATGGAGGTTTGGCCTCAATCAACATTAAATGTATAAATCAACTAGTTGACCCGCTTTTAAATCAAACACTCCTGATTCAGACTAATCAGTTACATTATTTATGAATTAGCATGATTATTAGATAGTATTGAATTCATATTATTGATATGACAGTAGAATGGTTTTATTAGATATTTATGTACATGTGCTCTCCTCACAATCATATAATCCATTAATAGCTCATTTCAAGTCAGTGTTTTTATAAGAGTAACTTTTTCACAATCAAAAAACCTCAGCCAGTGATAATCAAATTAAATGATTGCCAAGTGCATTTATAACATGTAATGTCCTGGTGAGGGGTGAGGTACATTATGTTTTGTATTGGAACTACCTTTGCTCGGACATTTTAGGTGCCATTGTTTGTACCTTTCCTGGAAACATCATCATGTACAACTGAATCAATGATTCTTAACTTCTGTGTGTGTGTATTGTAAGTTGTATATAACCAAGCTTCTGAGTGTCATAGTGATGTAGGAAGTTTGTGCTTCAACATTGCCAAATAAATGTTTAATATAAAAGTACTGGTTGCTATATGATGGAGATCATGTGCATGTTGCGTATCATCTAAAGTATGATTTTCTACCAACATAAATTAAATCTTATAATTTATGATTGAATTCAGAAGCATTGTAGGGTATCATTAAACATGCACTTATAAACATAAATACCAAAGGGTAGATATGAAAATTTGATGTAACCATGGTAACACGTTTGAGGTCATATTGATGTGTTGATAGTAGATACTGTGAATCAGACATAATAAGTAAATTAACAATGGGAATAAACCAGTAAAACTCAACTTCTGCATTTTGTTTATGTTGTGTATGTTCTTTTAACAATAGAGATCACTCAGTCAGATGGGTGTGCCAGTGAGATTTTATGCCAATATACATGTATAAAGTACCATCACCTGCTTTTGTGAAGGAGTACAGACATAAATTTCTGTTCTTATTTTCTATGGAGGAATCTTTATTAACCAAAATGACCCATATTATCAGATAGCAGTGATCTCCCCAGCATTAAAGCAAGTGGGTACAGCATTCACCTGAGATTTTAAAATAGACTTGCACCCATTTGAAAATGAGAAAAATCATAAGAATGGGCATGGGCATATTTTGACTAGTTTTTGTCTGAATTGTGAAAATGAGAATTTAAAACTTGAGAACTCTATCAATGTGCACTGTATCTCAGTTACTGATGTAGTTTCCTTCATTTATAATTTGATAGGAATTGTAAGTTTGAAAATATTCTCTATCATTAAAATATCATTTCTCATCAACTTTACTCAAGCATTTAGATTGATTTTGACAAATGTTTGATATTATGCATGCACGTTGTGAAAAATCTAAAGTCTAAGTCTGTAAATAAATTATTATTTGACAAGCTAAAATCACCATCACATGACAAGGTCAATTTTGGGCAAAACCTCTGTGTTCCCTTGTAAATATGCTTTCTATAAAAAATAGGCTACTGTTTAAAATTGTTTTGTGTGGAAAGAGACTTTAACAAAGGATGTATATATACAGGGTGAGCCAATAAACGACCACATTTTTGTATTTGCTACAGCCTTGTTGATTATACAGACAAATGTATAAATCATATATCATTGGAGAGACAATTCAATTTCCAACAAAATGATATATAATCCATTCAATATAAATAAATGAGTATTTGTCTTAAAATATCATTTCCATTACCACAGGGGTCAAAATAATGATTTACCATTTGCTGAATACATAATGCCAAACACTGTCCAGATAGGTATAACCCCTGTGTCAGCTTTGGGAATATAATTCTAATAGAAGGTCAAAATTGCTGATTTATGTATCAAATGAAAGAAAATTGATTTACAAAATGCAATATTATTTTTTAATATGGACACCATAGGCTATGGGGAATTTCATCATGGGTTTTGGCAAAATTTTAACTGAGTTTCTTTGCAAAATGTGTTTGAAGCAAATATCAATGTATCTAACAATCTAACTTTACTATGAACTACAATGCCTAAAATAGATTCCATGATTATTTTAGAGCTATAAAATGACTTACAAACAATAAAACTCAACTTCAATACTTTTTCTTTAAAACCCTAAAAGTTTTGATTAAGCAATGCGATCCTATGCAATAAGCTCAAAACATAGAAAAATCTTGTTTTCAACTTCTACTACCTCATGATACCGAAAATACCATGGAGTCACCAATAGTCATTCATTTTTTTTATGAATCATACATCATTTTGTTGAAAATTGAAATATCTTTCCAATGATACCGGATAACTTATAGATATTTCCAACATATCAGCAGATACTACAAAAAAAAAAAGTAGACATTTTTGGCCCACCCTGTATACTGTAACTGTATGCATGTATTTATCATTATAACAGCAACAATTCTTTATATATTATCTATTAATTAATATAAATTTTTATTTACAATTCCAATTAAAAAAAAAAAAAATTAAAAAATACTGAATTCCTATGAACATGTATGCAAATCAAATGTTTATAGCGAGGCGATATGACCTTCAAATTATGCAAGATAAGAAGGTGGTGATTTTACAGTGACAGTCTCTGCATGACTTGCAAATAGTTGCCCCATATCTGCTTGTTGCCCTAATTCTATTTGTTGTCCAACTTCTACTTGTTGCCCGATCTCAATTTGTTGCCCAATGTCTACTTGTCTCATTTCTATTCGTTGGTCCATCTCTGCCTGTTGCCCCATGCCTAATTGTTGTCCCATTACTATTTGTTGCCCAATTTCTACTTGTTTCCCCAATTCCACTTGTTGTCCCATTTCTATTTGTTGCCCAAATCCCACTTGTTGTCCCATTTCTATTTGTTGCCCTATGCCTATTTGTTGCCCAGTTTCTACTTGTTGCCTCATTTCTACTTGTTGTCCAAATTCAACTTGTCCCATTTCTATTTGTTGCCCTATGCATACTTGTCGCCCAGATTCTACTTGTTGCCCCATTTCTACTTGTTGGCCAAATTTGCCTTGTCCCATTTTTATCTGTTGCCCAATGCCTACTTGTTGCCCAATTTTTATTTGTCGCTCCATCTCAGCTTGGTTTTCTATCTCTTTGGCTTCTGTGGAAATTGTACTCTTAAGACTATGTTTCAGTTCAATTCCCTTGATTTCATGAAGAGCTTCACAATCATCTGCACTATTGTGGTTCGTTTCATCAGTCTTTGCTATTGGAATTTCTGTGTAAAACTTTTGTACTTTATATTTAATCTCTTCATGCTTCTGCTCGATCCCTGTGTGCTCCTTTTCAATATATGTCTGGACACCTTGATTTCCTTTAATTTTAGTATTTTGTTGAATCCCTTCATTTTTCATCAGATCTGAACTATGAATCGAATCTATTTTGATATCTTTAGTCTCTTTATTTTGTATCTTATGATGTATTCGATTATGTTTGTGTAAACTTGAAGCTTGAGCATAGGCCTTATCACACATCTTACACTTATGGGGTCTCTCTCCAGTGTGGGATTGAAGGTGCTCCTTCAAGGTACGTTTCAGTCCAAATGATCTCTCACAAAGTGGACATTTAACATCTTTGATATGTCTCTGTTTCACATGGTCCTTCAGATCTGACTCTAGTGTGTAACTTTTATTACATAATGAACATTTAAAAGAGTGGAATTCTCCTTTTGCTTGAATGTTGTGTTTCCTAGCTTTATGACGGTCCAAGTTCTGTTTGGTCGAGTGTTCCTGGCCACATTTATCACAGCTAAACACTGGAACATCAATGTCTGCTTTAACAGCACAGTCTTTATCATCTTTGTAGTGCCGCATCAGTAGAAATCTATGTTTAAATACCTCCCTGCACGATTTACATTTAAACTTCCTCTCACCAGTATGGATCACAAGATGAGCATTAAGCGCCCCCTTTGTTGAGAATCTCTTGGAGCAGATGTCACATTGTATTTCTTTCTTGTGATGCACTATATGTTGCTGCAAGAGGAAGTCTGCACCAAATGATTTCTCACACTGGTCACACTTGAATGACTTGATGGGCGTATGCATGGATGCCTTGTGTAGCTGCATTGCTCTGAATGACTTTAACTTCTACAAGTACATAAACAAAAAATATTGTATACTGTGGTTGAAGTAAAACCTGTAAAGTGGTACACCTCTGAAAGTGGAACACCTCCATAAGTGGAACACTTTTCAAAACCCAATAGCCTCTAGACTTATTGTTAAATGACCCTCTGTAAGTGGAACACCTCTAAAGTGGAACACCTTCAAAGTAGAACACTTTTTAGAGGTACCAAAGTTGTTCCACTTACAAAGGTTTTACTACAATTACATAAAATTGGCACCATTCAGTGGGCTCACGTTGATTCAAGTTAAGAGGTCAAGGTCAAGTTGCAAAAGTAGGTCAAATCATAAACATATCATGAATAAGTATAACCCATAATACAATAGAATGTAAGTGAGTAATATATTTAATAGACTTACCATGAAATCATTGTGTAAATTAAAAAATTAACTAAATTAATTCCTTCTTGAGCAGATGTTAAGATGCATGACTTGTTTTAAAACACAGGGTGGGTGTATGAGGAGTTTCATTGCAGTGAATAAGAAATTAAAGAGAATGAGATAGTAAATAAAACAAATAAAAATAAATAAATAAAAATTAGTACCGTGGGTACTGGGCTCACATGGTGACAGAAAAAACGGATATAATTTTTTGCTGATTTTTTGTTACAAAATTATTTTAAGCCATCTGTCTCTCAGTCAATTAAAATGGCTGAAAAAAAACGGATATAATTTTTTGCCAATAATTTGTAACAAAATTATTTCATACAACTACTCTTTACAGTGACATGGCTTTTTGCAATGCAAGACACCTGAAATTATTTGTAAAGCTAGGAAATGGGCCAAAATTGAATTTCGCAAGACAAAAATGGCGACCATTTTGAAATCAGGCAAGCTTTTGAACCAGCAGTCATAGGGGAGTTTTTTGTATTGATGTTGAACAAAAATAACTTGAAACTGGAATCCTATCAACAGAGGTTTTAAGCAAATGGATTTCGCGAGTCAGATGGACAAATCAATGTTAACTAAAATGGCTGAAAATAAAAAAACGGATATAATATTTTGCCGATTTTTTGTAACAAAATTATTTCATACAACTACCTTTCACAGTGACATGGCTTTTTACAATGCAGGACAGCTGAAATTATTTGTAAAGCTAGGAAATGGGCAAAAAGTGAATTTAGCGAAACAAGAATGGCAACCATTTTGAAAATAGGCGAGCTTTTGAACCAAGAGTCATAGGAGAGTTTTTTGTATTGATGTTGAACAAAATTTACTTAAAATGGGAATCCTATCGACAGAGGGTTTAAGGTAAATGGTCCAAAAGTGGATTTTGCGAGATAGATGGACAAATCAATGTTAACTAAAATGGCTGAAAATAAATAAATGGATATAATTTTTCGATGATTTTTCGTAACAAAATTATTTCATACATCTACTCTTTACATTGACATGAATTTTTACAATGTAGGACACTTGAAATTATTTGTAAAGCTAAGAAATGGGTCAAAAGTGAATTTTGCGAGACAAAAATGGCGGCCATTTTGAAAATAGGCGAGCTTTTGAACCAGGAGTCATAGGGGAGTTTTCTGAATTGATGTTGAACAGAAATAACTTAAAACAGGAATCCTATCGACAGAGGTTTTAAAACGTGCCACAGAAAGTGGATTTCGCGAGTCAGATAGACAAATCAATGTTAACTAAAATGGCTGAAAATAAAAAAATGGATACAATTTTTCGCTGATTTTTTGTAACAAAATTATTTCATATATCTACCCTTTACATTGACATGGATTTTTACAATGTAGGACACCTGAAATTATTTTTAAAGCTAGGAAATGGGTCAAAAGTGAATTTCGCGAGACAAAAGTGACGGCCATTTTGAAAATAGGCGAGCTTTTGAACCAGGAGTCATAGGGGGGTTTTCTGTATTGATGTTGAACAGAAATAACTTAAAACAGGAATCCTATCGACAGAGGTTAGCTAGGAAATGGGCTAAAAGTGAATTTCGCGAGACAAAAGTGACGGCCATTTTGAAAATAGGCGAGCTTTTGAACCAGGAGTCATAGGGGGGTTTTCTGTATTGATGTTGAACAGAAATAACTTAAAACAGGAATCCTATCGACAGAGGTTTTAAAACGTGCCACTATTGTTGACGGACGGACAGACAGATGGACAGACAGACGGACGGACGGACAGAAAGATGGACAAGTGAGTGATTGCAAAAGCTCACCATGTGAGCTAAAAATGAAAAACAATAGAAAAGTAATGAAAAAATAAAGAAGAAATCAAAAAAGAAATTAGGTTAACTTAATAAAAATCTGAGTTCCTGAGGTTTGCCATGATGAACTTACCTTTCCACAAAATTCACAGATAACCAGGTGTGGACTGATGCCTTTGTGTCTCAACAGATGGTCAATATAGAATTTCATTTCTTTGCTGCGGAAGGCACTGCAGTATCTACAGATCAACATCTTCTCCCCATGGTGGCCCCTCATATGCTTAAAATAGTCCAGCTTGTTGGCCATTTCCTTTGGACACGCATCACATTGGTACACTAGGATTCCTGTTTGGTTCACTACCTGGATCTTCTCTGGAGATGAACAAAATGCATATGATCATATGGATATGAATAAGTATGTGGATGCTAAAAATATGAAATTTATGATACTGGATTTTCTGGTTATAGAGCTGCTTTGTTAAATTGGCCATCATTAACTTCACCTTAGTTGCAAGGTTGTACACCACAAATACTGTTAACTTCGACTTCAAGATTGTACACCTCTAGTACATTATTGTTCACCTTTAACACAAAATTGCATCCCTAAAGTACATTACTGTTCACTTTCATTTAAAGATTGTACACCTCACTGATATTGTTCACCTTTTACTGCATGATAATACACATGAAAATTCAATTTTGCCAGAATAAATGCAATGTTATACTCATGGACTTAACATTTCATTGATTTAACTGTATCGAGATTGTTCACCTTTAGAAACTAATAACCTAGATGTCTCAGAAAAATTCAATTCAATATGACATAAGGATAAATCACCAAATGGTATTCTAGGAAATTTTGAGAATTAAATGTTCATGTACAAGTTTTTTTATGTGGAACACCTTGCAATTGGAACCTTTTTTTGGCAGAACCAGGGGTGTTCCACTAACACAGATTTTACTGTACATTAAAGTGCATAAACTTTCGTAACTAAAGGACGGGGTGTTTGGTAAGAGGGTATAACTGAAATTGAAGCCTTCGCAGTACAACACCCTGGAAAAGCTCACACCGTTTGAAAAATTAAGAGCAGCTTGTTTACTTTCGATTTCAAGATAATCATCATTTGTTGGACTGTTGGGTAATTTAAGAAGTCATTAACACAAAATGTCACCGCCTGCCATTTGTTTCAGACACTGACAGCCAACCACTGAATCTTGTCCACAAAAAGTTGGAGACTAATAACAATATCTCACCACTTGTGGTGGTGACATAAGTCAAACTCAATTCTTCAATGATAACTCATTAGTGTTCATTATTCTCAGATGATACAGTGATAATTTTGTTCTGCAATGTTTTCTAGATATACATTGCCTTATTGTGAAAGCAAAGACAATGAAGAAATACAAAGTTTTTAAATATGAGGTAGCTTTTTTATTTTTTAAAGTAGAATTTAATGTAATACAAGTACCAAAATGTTATTTATGCTATGTTATGTATTAAATGGCAATTTATGGTTCTATTCAGCAATGTTTTCACAAAATGTGTTAGTGTATATCAAGATTACGAAATCAATGATAATAATTACTAAACAATCATCAACATTTAATTTATTTATCTGTGTTGTCCATCTGTTCCCTCAATGTCAACATTCATTTATCTAATTCAAACCAATCAGATTGAGTCCCCTTGGTATGGTTGGTTTTGGTTCCTATAGTAGATAAAACTGTGAAGGGTAAGCTTTGTCAGGAGAGACAGGATGTTGTTGCTCTCCCCCTTGAGTTGGCTCTACTGGGGTATAGAGCTTGTCTTGGACAGATGGATAAACATTCCCTATGTCTCCCTGAGATGTGTATGGTTTACCTTCAATCGATGAGGTGGTAGGGGCAAACAGTTCAGAACTAACTGGATATGGTTTATTTCCTGGTGGATATGATTTATCTGCAGCATCATGAGAGGAGCAGGATGGATATGCATTACTAGGGTCCAGTGTTGGAGGATGCTGGTATGTTTTGCTTGATGTTATTGTACTTGATGCTGATACAGGAGCCAAGTATAGCTTGCTCGTGTCTTGAATTGAAGGCTTGAATGTTGTGTTTGTACTTGTTTCTGATGTACATGGGGACTGGTGTGCAGTAATGCTGTCTGATATAGATGGTCCCTGGTATTCACTTGTATCAGGTGGACATGATGGGTACATATATACAGGGTATACTTTGCCATTCTCCTCGATTTGTGGGTACACTGATTTGCCATGGTCATTCATTGTTTGGTAAGCTTTGCTAGGATCTGTCTCTGGTGTACTAAGATTAATCCTCACTGGGTAGAGATTGTCCCCACTTGACATGGCAACCACACTTGGCTTGGTGTCTCCAAGTTGGTAGCCAGTGGAGTATTTCATATTGAGCTTCACAGACTCTGTTTCATCTTTACTATGTGTTCGTTTATGCTTATACAAACTCCCATACTGTGTAAATGTTTTATCACATTGGTGGCATTTAAATGGTTTCTCTCCAGTGTGGGTCCTCATGTGCTGTTTCAATGTCCTACTTGTTCCAAATGATTTACTACAATTTGTGCACTTATGATTCTTCACATGACTCTGTCTTAAATGCTGTTGGAGATCTTTAGCCAACAAGTAGACTTTATCACAGATGTTGCACTTAAACTCAGCAGTGTTTTGTGTTATTCCATGGACTCTAACCTTGTGGTCTTCCATACCACGTTTTGTGATATGTTCATTACCGCATATGTCACAAACAAATTTTGCAATTTCAACCTTAGCTTTACTAGCACATTCTTTTGTTTCTCTGTAGTGTCTTAATAGCAAATAACGATGCAGAAATCCTTGACTGCAACTTTTGCACTTGAACTTTTTGTCGCCAGTATGCATGACCATGTGACCTTTAAGTGCTGCAATATCAATGAACTTTCTTCCGCATATATTGCATATGATATTTTTCTCAGCATGGCGCTTCATGTGCAACTTTAGAATATATTCCGCGCCAAATGATTTTCCACATTTTCCGCATTTAAATGATTTCTCTTTGGCGTGCATAGCTGCCAGATGGTGATTGAAAGCTTTCGCTGATTTCAAAACCTTACCGCAGAGATCACACTTCCTGTCCCATGGTTTTCGAGAATACGCAACCTGCGGCTGTTTGATTCCTTGGTGCCTGAGCATGTGGTCAATGAACACTGTAAAATTGCTCATTTTTTTCTCACATAATGAACAGGGGAGCATTTTTGCTCCATTGTGGCCACGCATATGAGTGAGGAACGGTCTTTTGGCATCAACTCTGTATGTCACTTGGCAAGTGGTACACTGGTAAACAAGGGGACCATGCTCAGCTACCACCAGAATATGTTCTGCAAGTAGAAAATGCAATCTATTAGTTCAAATGTTGCTTAAATTATGCAGATGTCTGTTCCAATTCAAAACACATACTCCAATATTGACACATGCATACGAGAATATAATGTTGGACAATATGTACAATATAAATGTGGACAATATTTTAATTTCAAATTACAATGTTAAAATACAATGGGTTGACTTTGAAACACAATGAATGGGCAATTTACTTAAAAATACAATGTGTAATCTCACATTGAAAATGTGTTAATGTGGATAGTTTGTGTTCATTTAAAAATGCCGTAAAGACAATGTATGAAATACAATGTATGGGCTACTAAGATAAAAATGAGTTGATAATGATACTGTTTGTTGTAAAAAATACTTATGTTGTGTACATTAACCTGATAAAATTTAGTTTTATCAGAAATTAAATTTTTATTATGAAATTATGGTGGCAACTTGAATTGAGCTGTCATTTTAAGATGAGGAAAGCTCCAGAGTTCAACTTCCATAGGTCTAGATTATGTAGAATTTCCGCGTATCAATCCTTCAAATTAATTTGAAAGGTATACTGGATGTATTTATTCCCCTATGACATATCACAGGCCCGTAGCCAGGGGGGGGGGAGGGCGGCCGCTCCCCCTGGCTACAGGCCTGTATCACATACTTGTATTGTTTTGTATTAATCTTAGACCAAACATACCAATGTAAGACAAAGGGAATGCACTGCTTCATCCGTATATATAGAGTTTCCATGGTATTACATTTTCCCGTAAAAACATTCAAATTTTGGACAATGAAAAGCCCACAAGCAAAAGGCTCATATATTGAATTTCATTTACTAGTATTTATTTCTATTTTTCAGATAAAACATATTTGTACAATATTTAGGCATCCAAATATATAGCGATGGTGAAAATATTAACATAAACTTATACTTAAAAAACACCATTAAAATACGAACTTAGTTTGATGATGACAACAGAAGAATGCAATGATACATGATACATACCCTAACATGATGAGATTATGCATAATCAAATATAAAAATTGATGACTTAAGATTTAAATTAATAAAAATTGTACAATTAAATACAACTCATCATCAATAGAGGAATATTTCTTAAAGGATGTTAAAAAAGCGATGAAGCAAGAGCTTCATCTGTCTCATCCTGGCTTTGCTACAGTATACAGTAGATAGCTGTCATAAATACATTTACATGTCAGAATTCTGAGGTTAGAAGATTATTGAGCATTTGTGGAATGTTTAAGAAATATTTGTACACACTGTAGAAGCAACTATAAAAGCTCCAGTAATTGATTAAGAAAACGCCAATGGCAATCACAAAATTGAAAGTAGCAAGTCTGAATGAACAAAATATGTTTTGTCAGAACTTCTTTTTTCAAATAGTTTATCCTTATTGCATCAATTTTACCTAATGTTTCTTATCCACATTAGCATCTTCCTTAGACCTTGCAAAAATGGTATGATCCGCATCAATAGCACCACGCAATCATATAAAAAAGCGAAATAAAAATATCCATACAATAGACTAGGTGCGAGTAGAAATAATCTTGATTTACATCATTAAAAATTCAAAATTCAGTCAAACTGATGTCATATTTGGAATCAACATGTAATTACATCTAGAAATGTGGTTTTGAAAAGAGTTTATCAACTTTTAAAATTTAGGCCAGGGAGATTCCCCATAGACCCCATGTTGTAAAATCACAAAACGTGAAATATCTTTTCTTGTGTTGGGCAGATAACATTTTCCTTTACTGGACATATTTTAATTTGTATAACTATCAGATACATAAAGGTAATATGAAAAGTGAACCACTAAAACTGATGCAAATTCAACTTTAAGGGAATTTTGTAATACCCTGCCATGTTATTTCCCCCGAATCAGCCACCTGGTGGCAAAACTGGTAACTGCCTACTCGCATCTGAGTAATTAAAAATAGATGGTCAAAATCATAGAGAATTCAATCTCTTTCTTTTGATCGAGTTAGTTAAGAAGTTAGGTAGCTCCTTCACTTTTCAATAGGTTGGATTCTGGAGCAGTGGTGGATTCTGGAGCAGATGGAACGACGGCGACATTGTAGCATATCTTTTTATGCTTATACCATGTACTATCCTTGCGAGCGAATTTCCTCCCACAGGTAGTGCAAGAGAATGGCTTCTCTCCAGTATGAGTGATCATGTGTACCTCCAGATATCTCACTGTTCCAAACATCTTCCCACAAACATTACAATTGTATTTCTTGTAATGAAATTCTCTTAAATGTGCCAATAAGTCTCCCTTCACTTTATAAACTTTATCACAGAGTTTACATGGGAACTCATCAGTTATACCCACCTACATACCAATTGGCCATTGTAGATGATTTACTTTAAAAAGCCCATGGGCCTTAATTCTGAGTGAAATCATCTGGATTCAATTTTCAAATTAACACCAGTTGTGGTTTTAATACAAGTAATGCCTTGATAACAGCTAGTTTTTTAGGATCATTATACAAGATAATCCTGATGAAAGAATATCTTATAATTACATGTACATATACACTTGTATATATAATATTTAGCTATTGTCTTCAAAACTCATGCAATCAAGAGTAGCCTGATTCATACATTTTCTGTAATTCTTACTTCAACTTTAAAATTGTTCACAAAACCATAAGATTGTTCACTTAAAGGTTGACCCCTTAACCACAAAACTATGCCCTCAAGTGCAATGTTGTTCACCTAAAATACAAGATTCTACACCTCAAGTACATGGCATTGGTACAATAACTTCACCTTAGTTGCAAGGTTGTACACCACAAATACTGTTAACTTCGACTTCAAGATTGTACACCTCTAGTACATTATTGTTCACCTTTAACACAAAATTGTATCTCTAAAGTACATTACTGTTCACCTTCATTTAAAGATTGTACACCTCTCCAATATTATTCACCTCTTACTACATGATAATATTGTAATTCAATATTGTAAGAATAAATGCAATGTTATACTCATGGACTTAACATTTCATTGATTTAATCAAGATTGTTCACCTTTAAAAACTAATAACCTAGATGTCTCAAAAGATTCAATTCAATATGACATAAGGATAAATCACCAAATGGTATTCTAGGAAATTTTGAGAATTAAATTTTTACATACAAGTCTTTTTATGGGGAACACCTTGCAATTGGGACGTTTTTTGGCAGAACCGGGGGTGTTCCACTTACACAGGTTTTACTGTACATTAAACTGTATAAGCTTTTGTAACTTATGCCTTGGTCAGATTTGCTGCGATTCATCGGCCAGCGCCCGGTCGATTGAGTGTTTTGTTCAAAATTGAATACATTTCTGAACAAAATACTCAATCGGCCAGGCGCTGTAGTGAAAATCGGAGCAAATGTGACCAAGGCATAAAGGAAGGGAGTGTTTGGTAAGAGGGTATGATTGAAATTGAAGCTTTTGCAGTTCAACACTCTGGAAAAGCTAAAACCATTTGAAAAATTAAGAGCAGCTTGTTTACTTTCGATTTCAAGATAATCATCATTTGTTGGACTGTTGGGTAATTTAAGAAGGCATTAACACAAAATGTCACCGCCTGCCATTTGTTTCAGACACTGATCGCCAGCCACTGAACCTTGTCCACAAAAAATTAAAACTATAACAATGTGTCACCACTTGTGGTGGTGACATTATAAAAAATTGTCTAACCTATTGAAGGTAAACTTTCAGTCAAACTCAATTCTTCAATGAAAATTTTCATTATTCTCAGGTGATATAGTGATAATTCTGTATAGTTGTATAGTTCTGCAATGTTTTCCATGTAGACCTACATTGCCTTATTGTGAAAGCAGACAATGAAAAAATGCAGTTTTTATATATCAGGTAGATTTTTTTATTTTTTAAAGTAGAATTTAAATGTAATACAAGTACCAAAATGTTATTTGGCAATTTATGGTTAATTTCCAATCTGTCTTCACAAAATGTGTTAGTGTATATCAAGATTGCGAAATCAATGATCATAATTACTAAACAATCATCAACTTTTCATTTATTTATCTGTGTTGTCCATCTATTCCCTCAATGTCAACATTCATTTATCTAAATCAAACCAATCAGATTGAGTCCCCTTGGTATGGTTGGTATTGGTTCCTATAGTAGATAAAATGTGAAGGGTAAGCTTTGTCAGGAGAGACAGACTGTTGTTGCTCTTCCCCTGGAGTTGGCTCTACTGGGGTATAAAGCTTGTCTTGGACAGATGGATAAACATTCACTATGTCTCCCTGAGATGTGTACGGTTTACCTTCATTAGATGAGGTGTTAGGGGGACTGGTGCGTAGTAATGCTGTCTGATATAGATGGTCCCTGGTATTCACTTGTATCAGATGGACATGATGGGTACATATATACAGGGTACACTTCGCCACTTTCCTCGATCTGTGGGTTCACTGATTTGCCTTGGTCATTCATTGTTTGGTAACCTTTGCTAGGATCTGTCTCTGGTGTACTAAGATTAATCCTCACTGGGTAGAGATTGTTCCCACTGGACATGGCAACCACACATGGCTTGGTGTCTCCAAGTTGGTAGCCAGTGGAGTATTTCATATTGAGCTTCACAGACTCTGTTTCATCTTTACTATGTCTTCTTTTATGCTGATACAAACTTCCATACTGTGTATATGTTTTATCACACTGGTTACATTTAAATGGTTTCTCTCCAGTGTGGGTCCTCATGTGCTGTTTCAATGCCCTACTTGTTCCAAATGATTTACCACAATTTGTGCACTTATGATTCTTCAGATGACTCTGTCTTATATGCTGTTGGAGATCTTTAGCCAACAAGTAGACTTTATCACAGATGTTGCACTTAAACTCAGCAGTGTTTTGTGTTATTCCATGGGCTCTAACCTTGTGGTCTTCCATACCACGTTTTGTGATGTGTTCAGTACCGCATATGTCACAAACAAATTTTGCAATTTCAACCTTAGCTTTACTAGCACATTCTTTTGTTTCCCTGTAGTGTCTTAATAGCAAATAACGATGCAGAAATCCTTGAGTGCAACTTTTGCACTTGAACTTTTTATCGCCAGTATGCATGACCATGTGACGTTTAAGTGCTATAATATCAAGGAACTTTCTTCCGCAGTCATTGCATATGATATTTTTCTCAGCATGGCGCTGCATGTGCAACTTTAGAATATATTCCGCGCCAAATGATTTTCCACATTTTCCGCATTTAAATGATTTCTCTTTGGCGTGCATAGCTGCCAGATGGTGATTGAAAGCTTTCGCCGATTTCAAAACCTTGCTGCAGAGATCACACTTCCTGACCCATGGTTTTCGAGAGTACACAACCTGTGGCTGTTTGATTCCTTGGTGCCTGAGCATGTGGTCGATGAAGAGTGTAAAATTGCTCATTTGTTTCTCACATAATGAACAGGGGAGCATTTTTGCTCCATTGTGGCCACGCATATGAGTGAGGAACGGTCTTTTGGAATCAACTCCGTAGGTCACTTGGCAAGTGGTACACTGGTAAACAAGGCATCCATGCTCACCTAACACCAGAATATGTTCTGCAAGTAGAAAATGCAAATCTATTAGTTCAAATGTTGCTAAAATTATGGAGATGCTTGTTCCGATTCAAAACAAATACTCCAATATTGACACATGCATATGAGAATATAATGTTGTTTTCAAATATGGACAATATTTTAGATTCAAATAACAATGTTCAAATACAATGGGATGGCTTTGAAACACAATCAATGGGCAATTTACTTAAAAATACAATGCGTTATCTCTTATTGAAAATGTGTTAATGTGGATAGTTTGTGTTCATTTAAAAATGCTGTAAAGGCAATGTATAAAATACAATGTATGGGCTACTAAGATAAGTTGATAATGATACTTTGTGTTGTAAAAAATATTTGTGTTGTGTAGACATTAACCTGATAAAATTTTATCAAAAATTAAATTTTTATGAAATTATGGTGGCAACTTTGAATTCAAAGCTGCCATATTAAGATGAGGAAAGCTCCAGAGTTCAATTTCCATAAGGTCTTTGTAGATTAGGTAGCATTTCCACATCGAAATCCTTCAAACTAATTTAAAAGCTTTACTGAATGTATTTATTCTCCTATGACATATCACAGGCCCGTAGCCATTGGGGGGGGGGGAGAAAGCAGCCGCTCCCCCTGGCTACGGGCCTGTATAACATACTTGTGTTGTTTTGTATTAATCTTAGACCAAAAATACCAATGTAAGACAAAGGGAATGCACTGCTTCATCCGTTTATATAGAGTTTCCATGGTATTACCGTTTCCATAAAAACATTCAGATTTTGCACAATGAAAACCCCACAAACAATAACAAAAGGCTCATTCATTGAACTTCATTCACTAGCATTAACTTCTTTTTTTCATATAAAACATATTTGTACAGTATTTATATCAGCCAAATATATGGCGATGGTAAAAATATTAGCATAAACTTATTCTTAAAAAACACCATTGAAATACTTAGTTTGATGATGGCAACAGAAGAATGCAATGATACATGATACATACCCTAACATGATGAGATTATGCAAAATCATATATAAAAATTGATGACTTAAAATTGATAAAAATTGTACAATTAAATTCAACTCATCATTAATAGAGGAATGTTTCTTAAAGGATGTTAAAAAAAGCGACGATGCAAGAGCCTCATCTTAGCTACGCTACAGTAGATAGCTGTCATAAATATTTACATGTCAGAATTCTGAGGTTTGAAGATTATTGAGCATTTGTGGAATGTTTAAGAAATACTTGTACACACCGTATAGAACTTGCATTTTGGTTTGAAGGTGCAAGACTTAGTGGAGTGGAGACAAGAGTAACTTTCTAAACTAATTGCTATAATTCTACAATAATTTTGGTAAAAAATTGTCATTCATGATTTTCTAAAATATCCAAATATGACTTTATTTCATGATCATCCTTCAATGATTCTTAAGATTATGTCTTGTGCCAATCATTTTTAAAAGGTGGATCCCATTTTCAACTAAATATGGACAATTATGTTCAACAACTTCTATATTTGTTATGATAACAATATAAAATTCAGCAATTAAAATAATTTAAACAAATTCTTAGCATTTGATTTATTATTACAAAATAATTAAAGGTTGAAAAATTAAACTTTCCCAGAAGCAACTTTAAAAGCTCCAGTAATTGATTAAGAAAACGCCAATGGTAATCACAAAATTAAAGTAGCAAGTCTATATGAACAAAATATGTTTTGTCACAACTCCCTTTTTTCAAATAGTTTATCCTTATTGCATCAATATAGCTAAATATTTCTTATCCACATTAGCGTCTTCCTCAGACCTTGCAAAAATGGTATGTTTCACCTCAAAAGCACCACCCAATCCGATAAAATTTAAGCGAAATAAAGATATCCATACAATTAAAAATAGATGGTCAAAATCATAGAAAATTCAGTCTTTTTCTATTGATCAAGTTAGTTAAGAAGTTAGATCGCTCCTTCACTTTTCAATAGGTTGGATTCTGGAGCAGTGTTGGATTCTGGAGCAGATGGAACAACGGCGACATTGTAGCATATCTTCTTATGTTTATACCATGTACTATCCTTGCGAGCGAATTTCCTCCCACATGAAGTGCAAGTGAATGGCTTCTCTCCAGTATGAGTGATCATGTGTACCTCCAGATATCTTGCTGTTCCAAACATCTTCCCACAAACATTACAATTGTATTTCTTGTAATGAAATTCTCTTAAATGTGCCAATAAGTCTCCCTTCACTTTATAAACTTTATCACAGAGTTTACATGGGAAGTCATCAGTTATACCTACTCCATGTACCCTAATCCTATGCCCAATCAATTCACGCTTTCCGGACATTTTTCTGCCACACACATCACAGATAAAGTGAAGCACCGAGATTTTTGTATGTCTAGCACATACATCATTTTCTCTGTAATGAATATTCAATCTATGTTTAGTTGTGAAGCGGTTACCACAGTGCCTGCATCTAAAAAGTTGAATACCAACGTGTGTCTTTTCATGGTGCAGCATTCCATGTCTTGAACTGAACAATTTTCCACAAATACTACATGGATATTCTTCAGGCATCCCATGTGCTCTCATGTGTCTCGACATAGCTTTTTTCCCCTTCAATAACATGCCACACTCATGACAGGTCAAATCTCCTTTCAAGTGTTTCAGGCGATGCTTTGGCATGTATCTATCTCCAAACAGTTTCCCACATATTTCACATGGAGTGGTTATATGTTTTGTTAATACATGTTCTTCATAATGATTATAATCTTTCATAAATCTTGGACATTGTTTACATCTAAAGAATTTGGTGCCATGGTGGCAGCGGAGATGTTTGTACAAGTGATTCCTCCTCTCTGTTTTGTATTCACATGTGTCACAAATATACACCAGTTCTCCTGTTTCATCCACAATCTGTATCCTCTCTGCAAGTAAAAGAGATCAACTGAGGTCAAGATGCCAACATATTATGTACAGGGTAGGCCAAGTTTAAAGATGAATAATATATGATGTTATATTGTTAGGAAATGATTTATCTTTAAAAGGATAATATAATACATGGCATGGTTTAAGACATATCATTTATCTTTAAACTTGGGTATTGGTTATTTTGGCCCACCCTGTATATATAAAATTATGATGATGTCAGTGAGTAAGAATTGAATATGTTAACACAATTTCATAGGCAAAAATCAAACTATTAATGCAGTGAGGAAACTGAACCTTGAGAGGCCTGACTGGTTAATAAGGAAAAAACACAACATCTGAGGCAATGATCAAACAAAATAGGAAACCATATTCAATAACATGTTCCTTTGCCACCAATGAGAGATAAAATAAAAACACAGAGTGTAGAAAATATGCACTTCTGTATTTTGATTTCATTATTATTAAATGTGTATATTGTTTTATACAATTGAACATCAAGTTACTTTTGAATTATTAATGCTGAGATGGCTGATTCTATGGAAAGCTGACTGGATGGCTACTGTACTTCTACTTAATTTGGTGCTACTTATTTTGGGGGATTTGCTGTTATGAACATTTGGTGGCTACTTAATTTGGCGGAATTGCAATATTGAAATGTATATACTATACATATTTACAATCGAAATATGAAATATTGAATTTGGCAGGCACTTAATTTGGCAGATTTTAACAATTAGGTGGATTCGCCAAATTACAACAGTCGCCAAATTAAGTAGAAGTACAGTATACCTTACCAAGGCAAACACAACATACAGATCAACTTTTCAATTGCTGGACAAAAATGAAACAGAATCATCACTCAGTTTTTTAAAAAATAAAAAAACTATTCTCTGGATGAATTGATTTTATTGACATGTTTTTGCTTTACAAGTGCATGTACTATATGCACATACATATATATACACTGTAACAGTATAAATTATTCATTAGCCAATCAAAGAACTAAACTGTCTACATGTATCTTATAATTATGCTAAATAACAAGGAACGTCAAGAATTGATTCTAAGAATAGTGAATCACTAACAAAAAAACTGAAAGTTTAATCAGGTTAACTTTTAAAACTTCTCAATATCCCTAATATAGTACTGGGTACCCATAGCTTACATAGTACCATATGTCTTACACTATTGGTTTCCTATGGATCTTTATCTTGAGAGAATTTTCAATGTGTCCTTTAGATTGCTTATGTTTAGATAAACTTCCAGTGTGTGTAAATGACATATCACATAAGTCACATTTATAAGGTTTCTCTCCAGTATGAATCCGCATGTGGCTCCTAAGAATATCTGCCGTTCCAAACGCCTTCCCACAATAACTACACTGGAGATTCTTATTATGGCATACCTCCATATGCCGAGCTAGTTTTAACTGTGATGGGAGTGTTTTTTGACAGATGTGACACTCCATACTGGTGGTATGCTTAAAGCCACGATGACGAGTTAAATCAGCCATACATATGAACATCATTCCGCAAATATCACAGATATGGTATTTAAAATGTTCAGGTCTACTATCAAAACACTTTGTATTTTTGATATAATGTCTTTTATAGCTTGACCTTGATGAAAATCCAGATTTGCAAGTACTACAAATGTAACATGATTCTTTAAGGTGAGTTTGTTTCTCATGTCTTTCTCGAAGTGATTTATTTTCAAAATTCTTGCCACAAATTGTACAGGCCAAAGCTGATACATATTTCTTATTATAATGACGTGCAAGAATATGGTTACATAGTTTTGCAAATGTACTATACACCCTTTTGCAAACACCTATATTACATCTGATTTTGCCTTCATGGGTGTTCAGTGTATGTTCAGTAAGCTGTTGAAGTTCGTAGAATTCTTGTTGACAAATATGACAGATGAAGACGAACTGCGCACCCTTGTTTAACACCAATATTCTTTCTGTAAATAAAAAAACGAATTAAAAGTCAAAGAGGTATAGATGTAGAGAAAATTTTAATCCATCATGACTGAGACGAAGTAAGACCAATCACTCACTAGCGACAAAAATCAAAAAAAAATTTTACAACAACAATTGATAAGAACAGATTGAACAGTGCCATTATGCTGGTTCTCTAAAATGTAAAACCTACCATTTGACAGACAGGAATTCAAATGTTTCAGAAAACATTTAAAAGCATTTAAACTGTTTAAATGACATTCATTTTATTGACTATTACAATTAAGTTATTGCTTACAAAAGTCAAACATACATGACAGACACTGAACTGAGACCACAATATGCAAGTCACAAAATTTGTGGCTGTAAGAGTACATTATCACTATTATTCTTGGTAACTGGTGGCTTAATACACAATGCTTTCACTAGTGATAGCTGAAGTGGGAAATATCATTTGAAGGCCTCAATGAATTTACTTTTGCAATATGTGCCTTGCCATTCTGATGCCTATACAGTGTTCCATTGTGACTAAAACTGACATTACACACTTCACATTTATGTGGCTTCTCACCAGTATGGGTCCTAATATGGTTGTTTAGAATACTCTTTGATTGAAATGACTTATAACAAAGATGACACTTGTTTGACTTTTTACCATGAACAGTCCTTATATGGTACTTAAGGCTGTCTTCTACTGAGTATGCCTTACTACATATTGTACATGTGAATGTTTCTTTCCCCACTTTATGGTACCTTTCTATGTGAATTTCTAGTTTAGCTTTGTGTTGAAATTGTTTTTTACATGTTTCACATGTGTATACTGTCATTGCAATATTACCAACTTTGACACATTCTGGGCTTTCGAGGTAGTGACGCCACCTTTTATCAACGGACATAAACTCGACCTTACAATGCTTACAACTAAACATTTTTGTCTTTAAATGAATTCTGTTTGTATGACTCTTAAGCTCAAATCGTTTAAAAAACTTCACACCACATAATTGACACATGAATCGCTTTTCATTGTGATACACCATATGTGCATTTAACTCTCCATTGGTCAGAAATCTTTTGCCGCATAATGTACATGTAACTGGCCTAAAGTTGCTGTGTTTCCTCAGCTTATGATCTTTGATGTTTTCCCGTTTCATAACGCGTCCACATATATCACATACAGAATTCTCCGGATTTGTAATCTCAGTCCATCGAAATCCTTGGTGGATTTTCAAGATATGGAAAATGAAGTATTTAGTGTTGGCAAATGTTTCATTGCAGTGTCTACACTTATATGGTAATTTGCCATGATTCTGCTGCATGTGGACAAAGAACTGTGCTCTGTTCTCTATTTGAAGGTCACATGTTTCACAGTTGTACATGAGGACACCCCTAGCACCATCCATGATAAGAATTCCCTCTGTAACAACAACAAAACAGCTGTTAGTTTTGGTAACTCATAACTTAGTGTCGACTGAAAATAGTTTCCAAAAAATCAGAAAGGTTCAAATATCATTGTAGTTACATCATCCCAATGTAGCCTTCAATCTAATAATTGGGAAGTTGAACCTATAAGATTACTTTGTAATTTCACATTTACTTACATAAAAATCCCTTTTCAACAATACTATTAAACAAAGAATCTGCTTAATTCTTGTGACATCACCATCTGTATGAAATCATCAAAATCAAAAAGATAATGACATCATGGCCAATCTTTGCAATACATGTGACAGATCAAATAAATAATGATGACTTTCAGGTTGACTTAAAAATAACTACACTACAATTTAGTAGTTCAAATGGCTTGAATGTAGTAGATCTAATGAGCGACCTAATACATGCCATAAAAGATTTCCTCATATCTTTCCTGTCAAGTCTATTTTGTATGTACCCAATGTTCACAATTTATTTGAGGAAAGCTTCAATTAACCACAATTATACTGTTCATTCCCTATTTTGAATTCTTTGTGGAATAAAATACCACAGATATGAGATATATTTGAGATTTAAAGAAATGTATTGGTAGGTCAATTGTATACATGGCTCTGATTCTGCCTTTAAACAGCCCCAGAACATGGTTCCAAGCCCATTCCACTGTTCTATTGCATCAGTAAAACCTAAAAATAAGGAATCAAAAGATCATTATGCAATAATATGTGGGAAAAACAAATTTCTATTGTACATAAATGACAGTTGTTTATCTTGGATTGCTTCTAGTTAGGCTAATAAAGTGTGTGGCCTCTTATATTTGGATGCTTTGCTGCCATGTTATTTTCAATAAGATTAACATGGCTGAAATTCTTTAAATTACAAAAGGGCACAGGCTTATTGCACAAAAAACTAAATAATCTGAAATATAAAAAATGTCATTCATGCACAATATGAAGGCCTGTATAAAGAACCTCCCACCTCATACCCACCTACATGGGACATGATACAGTCATTGTCATTTAATTTTAAAGATTTTTAGATCTCAAAATAGTCTAATTATTAACATTTCTACAATCCCCAGTATATTTTATGACTAGACGGATGGCAGATCCATAAATAAAGGCATATGGGTGCATTGTAATGTGTAATGACCCGAGGTCCAACAAGCACTGTAGGTCCAACAAGCCAGATAAAGAAAATGAAACAAAGTGTGCTAAATTCGATGCTCCGAGTGGAAATCTAACCCAGATGGGCTGTAGTAGCAACTTGCTATCAAGGGTCGTTACAAATGCATCTAAAATTCATCATAAACTAAGATTTAATAAACTAAGATCTTTAAAATTGAACCCTTCAAAGACTGTATCATGTCCAACGTACGTGGGTAGGTGGGTATGAGGTAGGAGGTTTTTTATACAAAGCCCGATATGAATTTACTTTTCTCATATGACTAACAAAGATACAGCCATCTTTACCACATGCAAGATATTGCCATCTTTCATCCCAAAAAGTCACACGTGCAAGATGAGATTTACTTATGACATCACAGGTTTAAAAACATCATCAACATGACAACGGATACACCGTTACTATGAGTATCCATGCTCATTCTACAAGATAAGTTGTGACGTCATAACAAACAGACTTTGTTGCCACGCGTAGCCAGGTGTTTTCTATAACATTGTTATGACATCATTAATTTGAAGCTATTTTCACTCATTTTTATCATTAAAAGTTAAAAATATGGCATAATTTAGAGTCATATGAGAAAAACTTTCTTGTACTCGATTGAACCTGTGCAATATCGTCCATTCTTGACTCGCTTTGATAATGTTTCTTTATCTCGCCTGCCACTCTATAAAGAAGAATTATCAAAGCTCATCAAGAATGGACAATCTTGCACAGGCACTCATACAAGAACCATTATTTCTATATATATTTGCACAATGGTCTCCTGATTTCTTACTTTTGGGGTTCTACTGACACAATAAAACAGTGAAATGGGATGTAATAACAGACTTCAAAGACATAAAGTTGAACAAATGTGGTAAAACTTCAAAACCTCCATATATTTCAAATCGGTATAATATTTACATGATGACCTTCAGCCATAACCTTTGTAGCCTCTGTGACCTATAGTCCTATACTATAAAACCATTAGGAGTACAAAGCTAAACACCATCCATAAATTATTCCATTTGATGTCACTTATTTGTGAAGTACATGTACTGGAAATATAGAGTAACTATATTTACATCTGTTTCATAGCTCATAATGGAGAATGGGTCAATTTTGATTTACATTATTGGAGTCATTTCTTTTTGTTTTTCTAAATGAGCCTTCCCTTTTCTGTGTCTATACAAAGTTCCAGAATGTGCAAAGCCCACTTCACATATGTCACATTTAAAAGGTTTGGTATTTGTATGAGTGTTTAAATGTGCCTCCAACTGGTTTTTACGTCCAAATCTTTTTTCACAAAACACACACTTTAATTGTCTTTGGTGAGCTACCTTTATATGTGCTCTCAGACCCTTTTCAATATTGTATGATTTGCCACATATTTCACAAGTAACTCTTTTTGCACCTATTGAATGTATTTGAGCTTCGTGTTGTACCAACGACTGATATGCAAAAAATACTTTTCCGCATCCTGAACATGTGTAATTTTTCAATTCAGTTTCATTTGTGACACATTCTGGTTTTTCGTGATAGTGTCTCTGAAGGAGAGCTTCAGAACTTAACTTTAAATGACAGGTTTTACATTCCCTCATTTTCTTTAATTTCAAGTGATAATATTTCATATGTGTGTCCAAACCCTTAGCATGTTTATACTTCTTATGGCAAATATCACATTCAAAGTCATTTTCCTGATTATGACTTCCCTTATGTTCTTTTAATTGAGATATGTAAAAAAATGCTTTCTCGCAAATATCACATTGAAAAGGCTTCACCACATCTTTGTTCCTAGGACAAACTTGTTTATGCCTTGCTACATTATTGGTTTGTATCATCACTTCACAATCTTCACATTCAGTTGTTCGCACATTCCAGAGTTGTTTATAGCTCAGTCCATGATGTGAGCGCAAAATATGGTTGATATATTTTTTGCTGAGATGAAATTCTACTCCACAAGGTTTACATGAAAATGGTTCCTTTTTATGAACTTCTTTCATGTGCTTTTTGTAAAAATACACCTTTGGGAAATGTTGACCACAATCCTGGCAAATATACACCAAGGTTCCCTTTTTGACATTGAGCAGGTTCTCTGGAATTAAATAAATGAAAAAATGAATGGGATATTTCTTTACATCATAACTAAAACATTACAATTTTTGGTCAACTGCTCAATGCTCAGGATACTGAATCTGACCTCTTGTGATATCATTACTTAATATACAGATTATTCACAGCCTGTTGCTATTAGGGATGAACTGGATTTTTCCTGTTAGTTATGTCATCTATTAGTTACTATGATGCTAGTACGTGATGTGCATAATATCACATCATGATATTCTAAGAGGACTAAAATGTCCAAAATTTGTCGATCATCACCCTCCAATAAATGGCATATAATATCATAAATTCTTTAATTAGTTCGGGGAAAATAGAGCAGGATAAACAAGGAAATTGTAACAGTTTTTTAAATTGCGTTGGTATGGGATATTGTTCTGCCATAGATTAAAAGGTTAGGCTTTGCTTCTTGTGCAATGCTAAACAAACTATTTCATAGATTTTTCTAAAACACATGTGGAACTTTTTTAAAAAAAGCTTCACGCTGCTGAACCTGGCTGGTCCATTATCAATCATTGCATATACCATGGGTGTTGATTTTCTATAAAGTATTACAAATATGGAGTGATGATATCTTCCTTATGGTTGCCATGTTAACTTGTTGCCCAGATATTGTTTGCAAATGGTAGAACTCTCCTTACTTTTTGTACCATTGAGATGCATGTTAAATTGAAAAAGTTCAAATTAGAATTTCTCAAATCGCAGTCCATCAATTTTCAAATGATTTCAGAGAAATACAGCAACACATCTCACCTTCATGTCAAAAAAATTTCACCAAATACATCCCATGAAAATCAAAAGTTCTGCTCTCTTACATAGTTGGAGTACCAAAACATCATCATATTTATGTACATTGACCAATTCACCACTTCTAAGGTCATCCATCTGCAGCAGTAATTCTTAGCATTATATGCCTGCAAAGGATCTTGTACACCTGCCATTATGATCTCCCCATGAACAAAATGAATCATTTTTAGGTGTAATATAAAGAATACAATGTCACATAATACTGTGGAAAATATTTAAGCGTTTGGCCCCACATGGGCTGAGGTTGGGGTCATTAAGTTCAGCAAGGGTGTATTGACTTGACATTGGATGTGTTCTATTGACTTAACATGTGGATACCATCAGATTCCAATGGAGGCCATTGGTTTCTATTGATTTTCACAAAAATACCTAAAATACACTATGACCTGAATCGATTGCAAATTAAATAATTTCACAATATGACACAAATGGTATTTCAGATCAGATGTGCAAATATAAAGTTTGCAATCGATTCAGGTCATACTTCAAATTAAAAGATTATTCATTTTTTTCATCATTTTTTTCCTACAAAATGGCTATAGAAAAATGCTTCAAAAGCAACTTTTACACTTATGAAATCCCATACAACTTTGTAAATCCAAAGATTATACTGTTATGATTTATTAATTAATAACATATTTTGATAAGATGTAGGGATGTGTAGGATGCAAATGGATTTTGACAGACACAAAAAGACTTCCTGGTTTGGCATCTCTACCCCTGTACACTTTATGATTGAATATTGCCCTAAAAAGTGGCCCATTCATCAATACAGTGCTGAATATAGATCAACAAGATACTAGTGTACATATAAATGTAATAATAAAAGCAGTATATTTATTTTGAAAAATCAGATGAATTTATTTTTGTTCATGGGGAGATCATAATGGCAGGTGTACAAGATCCTTAGAGTATTCTATCCAAAGATGATGCTGAAGTATACCACTGAAGTCCACAAACAGGTTTTTAACTACTAGAACTACTTTTGTCATACCCCGAAATAAACAAACGAGTAAGGATAGTACACTCAAATTAAAATCCTGTTCTTTATGAGCCATAGAGATAACTGAAAAATGTCTGGCTTTTCATTAAATCTTCTCATCGAAAAAATGATTAAATTAATTTTAAAGAATACAATGTTTTGAGTAAAACCTTCTAACCTAAATAACCACTGGTCCCCACCTGGTAATGCCTAGGTCACATCTGCTCCGATTCATCGGCCAGCGCTGGGCTGATTGATTATTTTGTTCAAAATTGAAAGTCAAATTTCAAATTTGAGGTCAGATGTGAACTCCTGAACTTACATGATTTAAAAAAAAGTTTGGTAAATTTGAAGCAAGTTGAAATTTTGTCGGAGCAAATTTTTATTTTCATCATTTTCGTTTTTGTACATTTATATCAAGAGGAGGGAAAGCCCCAGAGTTTCAAGATGACAGACATAATTACCTCTCTTGCTTACCACCTTCGTTCGTTCGAATTTTCATCGGCTAGTTATCAAATACTACACTTCGATGGGATGTTATAATTGATATAGGCATATTCCGTACACCTTTCTTTATCTTGATGTGAAATGAGAAGCTATGATATTGGTTAACACACCAGAAATGAACATAATATTATTCCAAGCGTATTTCGAAAATTTTGAAACCGCCATTGATGACGTCATTTGTTTGTCGACTTTTGACCAATCAGCGACCGTGTCATCTCAATACAGATTTACATTATAAGCGTATGTCATCTTTGAACCCTGGTGTTTCTCCCCCTCTGATTTATATCCGAATATTTTTCCCTAGGTTCATAGTAACATCTGGTTACTGAAAATCTAGGCAGTCACAAGTAAATATACCCATCAGCTCAAATAATCGAGTGAGAATTCCTGACTTAAGCAACCAGGACTTTATCTGGTGAATTTCATAATGTCTTGGTTGCTTTATGTTATGGCCTATTAACATCCTGGTTGCTGAAGTGAAGAATTCTCACATGCAAATGATGAATCATAATTTTCCTCAGACGGAAGTTCATTCATTTTGTTACAAAGACGTAACGTCTGAGATTAAGACTCAGAAAAACAGTTGTTCATATTTTTCTAAAATATATAAATTCAATGTTTTATTCTAAAACTAATTTGCCTCTAAGGAGAGCTGTACTATACTAAGAGACACACTCATTTCAAGGTACAAGTACAATTTATACAGAATAAATGCTTTTGAAGTACTAGAAAGAACTATGAAAGTTATTTGTAAAAGTGATTCATGCAATGGTTATCCTATACATACATGCAATTAGATTTAAAGTGAAGTCAACTGTTTTTGTCTCTTTAAATGAGGCTTCCCCTTTCTGTGTGAATGTAATGTTCCCTGATGTGTAAAGCTCACTTCACATATGTCACATTTATAAGGTTTAGTTTTTGTATGAACCTTTTTATGGTTCTCCATGTGGTACTTATGTCCAAACTTTTTTTCACAAAATGGACACTTGAAATGTTTTTGGTGAGCCAACCTCATGTGTGCTTTCAAATCCTTTATAAGATTATAAGATTTGTCACATAGGTCACAAGTTACTTTTTTCCCACCTATTGAATGCACCCGAGCTTGGTGTTCTACCAGTCTTGGGCGACAAAAAAATATTTTTTTGCAGTCTAAGCATGAATAAGTATCTAGTACAGTTTCATTTGTGACACATTCTGGATTTTCATGATAGTGCCTTTGAAGTCGAGCTTTGGAATTCAACCTCAAATGACATACCTTACATTCAATTATTTTCATTAATTTCAAGTGAATATACCTTATATGTTTCTCCAAAATCCTAGCAGTTTTAAACTTCTTGCGACAATTATTGCATTCAAAGTTATTTCCTTCAGTATGGGATTCCTTATGTGCTTTTAAACTATGATTTTTAAAGAATGTTTTCGCACAAATATCACATTGAAAAGGCTTCACTAAATCTTTGTTTTTAGGACAAGCTTTTTTATGCGCTGAAAAACGTAAGGTTGGAATCATTTTTCCACAATATTCACAGACAGTTTTAGCCACATTCCAGAGTTGATTATAGCTTACTCCATGATGCCAGCGCAAAATATGCTCGCTGTATTTATTGCGGATATCAAATTGCCGTCCACAAGGTTTACACTGAAATGGTTTCTTTTCATGAACTCTCTCCATGTGTTTTCTGTAATAATACACAGTTTTCAAGTGAAGACCACATTCCTGGCAAATAAACACCAAGGTTCCATTCTCAACACAGAGTATGTTCTCTGGAAATAAACAAAATAATTGAATAGATATTTCCTAACACTGTAACATTAACATTACAATTTGACAGGAATGAGGGTATCTTGAAAATTTCATCTGGAACAGAGCTCCATCTCTGGGCATAAGCATATACAAGTAACCAAATCCAAAATATTTCCATGAAAATGTGTGACATATATGGTATCCGCATGAAAAGTCGGAACGAAATGATTTTTTTTTTCGACATTCAATTTTTGCTGTATTGGTGATCAGTTTTTTAAGTTTTTCTACAGAAATATTTTTGCTTGACAATAATTAGATAAAAGCGTCACGCAAAAAAATCTGGCATGACTTCAAATTCTCCAGCAAATGCGTGACAAATACGTAAACTGCAGGACAGCCTGGGTCTGTGTGCACTTGCACACTCTGTGTTCAGTGTATCTATAGCTCAATTATAGAGAGAATACGGTAATTTTTGGGTTCAAGAAAGTACATCGGGATTAAGGGTTTACTGGGAAATTGGTGTTAAAATGTGTAGCTAGGGATACTAGTCATAAAGAGGAAGGAAAACCCAATATCATATGATACAACGTTAAACCATGCAATGTATTCACCTTTCCACAAAGTCATGAAAATCGATGATTTCCGCTGTGCTAATTGGTTATATGCAAATGATTGAAATTGATGATGTCAATGATAGAAAGTTTTGAGGAATTAGTACAGCCAGTATATGAATATTTTGACTTAACTTGATAAAAACGACTTTATTTGCCCAATGCAGTAAATATTTTTTTAATCAAATATGAAATATTGACAGGGCACTTTCATCCCAAATCTTAGATGATTTAATTCAATCAATTTTCTATATAAAACTAGAGTTTATTAAGACTTATAATTCTCACTTCAGTCTTAACACCTTATGCGGTTGTAAACAAAAATAGTAAATGGTGAAGTTACACAAGTAACTCGATTAAATTATCTGGTCGTGGTCCTATTAAATGGCTTTTACGTCGAAGAATAAAATCCTCAATTGAATTGAAACACAAAAACAAGTATTACAGATATTTTGTTATTCAGGATCCCATCGAGCCTACAGTTCACATAAGCAAAATATTTTTAAAAGCATAAATATATTATATGGTAACTAAATTGAGTTTCTTTTACTTCGAACATTTTCAAGTTTCAAACTAGCCGGTAAAAATTCGGACCAACAAAGGTAAGAGAGGCATTTGGTGTTTGGATTTCTGGGGTTGACAACCGTTAAAAATGTAAAGTGGACATGATTACATTTTGCCTAAATGCATTGTCTCTTTTAATTTTTATGCAAAACAGCCCAACAATATCTGATTTCACATGCCATTTTGACGCTTGGGTTCAAAGATAACTGTCGCAACTGACCAGAATCAGTGGCGGATCCAGGAACCAACAAGGGGGGGGGCCCAAATTTGAGGTCTGAAAAAAAACCTGCGGGAAAAGATTTTGGGCCCCTAAAACCGAAAAGTGGGCCCAAATTTTGAAAATTTGAGGCTAATTTTCTTCAAAATTTGGCCAATAATGACCAAAAGGCCCACTTTTTGGGGCCTTAAGGCCTTTTTTGGCCTAACATTTTTTTGGACCCAACTTTTTTTTTTCTGGGCCAACCTTAGGGGGGAGGGCATGGCCGCCATAGAGAATGTAATTTCTGTATATAGCTTAATGAAATTTCACCTTATATTTGCAATTATTTAGGAATAAATAATGATAGGCCATTCAATATGTGAAACTCAGCACGAGTTGGTTAGAATGTCGTACAAAGCATGAACGGACACATTCTGCCCAACTAGTGTAGAATTTCACCATATTGAATGGGCTATTGTTCAGAGAATCATGAATTGAGGTTCATGAAACTCAATTAGAGAACGCTCATGTTTGAATGTTTTACAATCGTTCTTAAAATTCCCCTTTCTTCAAAAAGTAAGACTGTGGAAGAGAAACTTGAAATCATAGGTTGTCTTATTTTATTAACAAGACTTATTTGATAAGGAGATATCATCTGAGATATGAAACAAGATCAGAAATTAAACCATTAATTATGTTTATTAGTATTTACAGAATTCCTATTCGTAGTATTGATAAATAAGCTAAATACATTTAGGCCAGCCTAATTGGTCCATTCAATGTATTCATGGGCATTGACATTTACGGCCCAGTTAAATTATCATTAACAATATTGTCTCCACGCTGTAGCGTTGACACTAGGTTGTGCTGAGCAACATTGCTTTCATGCTGTAATGATGGAATTAAATTGTCTTGTGGGATATTTCTTTCACGCTGAAATGATGCACTTAAACCTTGGCTGATATTTTCCTGGCCAATATGTCTTTCATGCTGTAATGGTGCACTTAAATGTTCTTGACTGATATTTCTCTCACGCTGAATTGGTGCACTTAAATCTTGCCTGATATTTTCTTGGCCAATATTTCTTTCACGCTGTAATGATGTGGCTGAAGGTTCTTGGGCAATATTTCGTTCACGCTGCAATGATGCGGTTAAATCTTCTTGGCCAATATTTCTTTCACGTTGTAATGATGCGGTAAAATGTTCTTGACCAATATCTCTTTCATGCTGTAATGATGCACTGAAATGTTCTTGACCAATATTTCTTTCATGCTGTAATGATGCACTGAAATGTTCTTGGCCAATATTTCGTTCACGCAGTAATGACGCACTTAAATCTTCTTGGCTAACATCTCTTTCTCGCTGTAATGGTGAACTTATATGTTCTTGGCCAATATTTCTTTCACGCTGTAATGATGCGATTAATTCTTCCTGGGTATTATTTCTATCACGCTGTAACTGTGTCACCAAATCGTCCCGAACGACACTACTTTCACGCTGTGATGATGTTGCTAGACTATGCGGACTGATTTCACTCTCAGGTTGTACAAAGTTTTCAGCAGCTGGAGGCTGAGCTGCTTGGTAGCCACCCATCATTCCGTATTTTGTCCTGTTGACATTATCAAGGTGAGACTTCCCTTGCTTGTGTCTGTATAGAGTCCCACTTCCAGCAAAACTGACTCCACACAATTCACATGTGAAAGGCTTCTCTCCTGTATGTGTGTAAGAGTGGGTCTTCAGAAACCCTCGTGTTCCAAATCGTTTCCCACAATAGGAACATTGGAATGGCTTCTCATGGATCTTCTTAATGTGAAAATTCAATTCTTTGGCCCTTAAGAATTTCTTATTGCAAATCATGCACTTATAGCGAATGTTATTATGAACACGCGCTTCATGTAACTTCAAATGAGCATCACTGGTACAGAACTTGCCACATATATTACACTGGTATCCCTTCTCCACACAATACGGTACACACATTGGTTGATTGATATAATGATTTTGCAACTGCTCCCGGTATTTGAACTTCATATCGCATGTTGGACATGAGAATTTCTTTGCACCCAAATGTATTATATTGATATGCATCACTAAGCTTTGATTGCGCTGGAAACTCTTGCCACAAATCGTGCACAAATACAGTTTATCGCTATGTGTTTCCATATGAAGTTTCAGGTATTGTTCACACTGGAAAGTTTTACCGCAAAGTTCACATTTCTCAATCTTATCCCAGTGAAATGTCTTGTTATGGGCCATCATCCGCTCTCTTAACACTACCTTACCACATATCTCGCAAGGTACAGACACTTTGAAGTCACTCCTCTTTACACCTTGGTGCACATGTAACACATGAGAGGTGTATCGAAAGTACAGGGGAAACTGTTTCTGACATTTTGTGCACTCAAACAATTCCTTTCCATGTTTTTCATTCATGTGACGACGCAATGGTTTCCAGAGTGTCGTATTGTTGAAGATCTTGTCACATTCCGAGTCCAAACATTTGTAAACAAATTCACCGAAGTCCCCCAATATCAGAAGTCCCTCTGTAAAGATAAAGCAACATTGTGTAAATGAAAGATTAGCCAGTGAAATGTCTACCCTTAAAGGCATGAAGCCAGTACATGTTATATATTCCAGTTAACAATTTATGACAACACTTGATATACCTTGAACCTTCTACATACAGACTCACATACACCAAAATGGTACAAATCAATAATATGAAAGATACAATATGAATTTTTTATTTAAAGACACCTGATACTCATTGTCCCAGGTCACAGAAGGTCAAATTGACATTTACATTCAAGGACACCTGACTTGGAACGTGACACGCACTGATTCTTTTGTCAGTGTTCTTTTAATTATCAAAATATTGCTATTGTTTACACGAAAGTACCAAGCCAGGTTAAAAACAAATTATAAACATGTAAAAATTGGATACAATTAGGTCTCCTAGTGGTACAAGCACTAACTATATAGAGATGAAAGAAAACAAACCCCAAAATCTGAACAGCAACTAGGTACATTCTAAGGATTTGACAAATGACACAATCAGTGCTTTTCCTCTTTGTTATGTCAAACAATTTCCTGAGACAGTATATGGAAAACCTGTCCATCAAAACGCCTTCCAATGTGAGCAGTTCTAATGTGAGCACCTTATACTTTGAACAACGAAAACATATTTAATTAAAAAAATTATCCTCTTTATCACTTTCATAAAACATCTCAATTAAAGAGATCCCATCTTCTTACATACCTTAGATATATCTTGAGACCAAATGGTGGGCACAGTATCATCAATATATTAAGAAAATCAACAGAATTGAATTGAATTGAACACAATATTAATCTAAAACAATATTCAATATTTTTTGATTTATCAATATATTAAAACCTTTGAAAGTAATAAATACGACATGCCCAAAAAATTCAAATTCTATACCCATATCAATAGTTTGATAAGTATGCTTCTTTTATTTGAAAATGATCAATTATATGACTGATAATACTAAAATGTTTTTTCAAAAGAATTTATAAATAACATAATAAATAATGTTTTATTGAGTATCATATTTCCCATCTTCAGTCTTGGTAGACTAAGCCAAATACAATCGGGTTGCCCAGGATATGCACCCAGGCAGCCAATCAATTCATTTCATTTCGAATATCTGAGGCTAGGAATTAAAGGCCGGGAACGATCATCAAAATGATACCGTTAAAGTCCCCGTCTAAAGTTTGAAAATATTTTTTTATCATTCATTTACTATTTGTCAAGACTTAAAAAGTGATTTTAGAGATTTTTGAACAAAAAAAATTTTTTGAAAAAAAAGTTGTGAGCATTTCATTTCTCAAATATTCAAATTTCCCGCCATTTTTCAAAAAAAGTTGAAATTTCTTAATCATCAAATATTTCTTAATGCATTTCAAAAAATATTATCTTTTTAACACCAATGCAAGGGTTGAACAAAGGACACACTATTTCAATAATAAAATGCCATATTTAATGGGCCACTTCAATGTTTTAGCATATCAAAAATATTTTGAAACATTAGTGATGTCACTAAGGTACCAAAAACTTTTTGAAAAAAATTGAAATTTTTTTTTCGATGTCAATCTTTTCTAAATATGTTAGACTTTCATAAAAAACCAATGATGATTGTCTAACCAGGTTAAAAGGAAGAATAAATTATGTTTTAGATATCATTGTACCATTGGTTTCTATGAGAACTAAAATTTTGAAATGCATTTTTCTCAGAACCATTTTCATGCACTGATAAGTTCATTTCTCGCTTATTTATGAACCGATTTTCTTAATTTTTTCGGCAAAAAACATGGGAGGATGAATGCTATGCATTGGTATGAATTATGGCTAATAAGAAGATATGAGTGACCTCTAAAAGTTGGTTTTAAATAAATTCACAAATTTTGGAACAAAAAGTCTATCAAAAACCACTATTTGAATTTAAAAAAAAAAGTTTCACATATCACACTTTGATAACATTGGGTAAGACTACAATATAAGCCAAAGTGGTTTAAACTTTATACGGGGCCTTTAATGAATCTATTTCAGCCTCAGCATTGGTAAGTCGATAGACAAACTTGTTTTACATCAAATAACACAAAGATATCAGGGGTGTTACTCTAATTGTGCTTTTGGAAGACGGGATTTCTTTAATGGTATGCTGTTTGTGGTTGATAGACACTATTTTTTTTTTTTTCATGTTATCGATTTATTTCAAATAATAACATAGATGTACAAAGTTAGCTGATTGCCAAAGTTTTGCAACATTAGCGGCAATTAAATAATATAACATAAATGAAATAATAGATATAATATAAAATACAAAATGTTTACATATATTCTTAATTCCAAATCACTGAATCAAGGAAATCCCATGGGCGGGGATGATGACAAAAAGGAAAGAGCAGAAAAATGAAGAAACGGAACCTGTTGTCACATACGTGATATGATAGTGAAACTCGTGTATATATAATAACTAACAATATGAATTAATTCTTCATTTGTTGATGCATCTAAATCATCTTTTCCAAAAAGTAAAAATTGTAATTTATCATTCAAATTGTAGCTGTTAAACAGGTTTCCTAAATTGTAAGTATGAAGGCCTGCAATGAGGTTGATTCTTTCATAGACACTATTGATATCTATGGTGAAGAATTGCCCTCACATTACAAATTCTGAATCAGCAAATATTAAAAACTTTGAACACCTCAAAATAATTTTGTAAATTAACACTACAAAAAAGGTTCTTTGTAAAACAAATACTTTTATTTGATAATTAACACTATGAAAAGTTATTTCGAACATTTAAATTATTTTCGATACTTGATAGTATTTCTTAATTTACAACCTTTAATAAGTCAATTTTGTTAATTTACATTTCTAATTATTTTACATTTAAGCATGTCAAGTTGTAGTCAGTTCAAAAATTAAGAATGTTTCCTTAGATGTAACACAGATGTAATTTGTTGGCTTAACAATACCAGCATTGGCAGACTACTCAAAAGGAACATATGCATTGACAGGGGTGTATAAGTCATCATGTTGGTAAGTCTGTGAACCTATTGGGTCATTCAATGTATCTGAATCAATTTTATTGGGATTTGGAAATTCCTTTAGGTGGATATGTTTATGCTTGTATAAACTTCCAAACTGGGTGAATCTTTTGCCACAGGTATCACAAGAAAATGGTTTCTCCCCAGTATGTCTCCTGAAGTGTTCTTCAAGGTGTTTCTTATCCCCAAATGCTTTGCCACACACACTACAAAGGTGTGGTCTAACATGGCTTCTCTGGACATGCTTATTAAGATCTGATTGTATCACGTAGGATTTACTGCACTGCTTACAGGCAAATCTCGACTCATTGCTGGTACCAACATTATGAGTGCGTATTTTATGGTGAGTCCAGCTTTTCTTTGTAGTAAAGCTCTTGTTGCAAATTTCACATTGGAAAAAAGTAACATTGACATCTGCAATATTAGCACATTCTTCATTCGCTCTGTAGTGCGTATACAGCTGACTGCGGTACACAAACCCTACATCACATGCCTTGCATTTGTGAGATTTGCTCCCACTATGTATTGATGCAATATGATACTTCAGATTTTCCTTTAAAACAAACTTCATTCCGCATGTGGAGCATTCATTGGAGCGCTCTCCATGGCACTTCATGTGTCTATGCAATGCCTTCTTCGCACCATATGTTCGATTACATGATGGGCAATTAAAAGTCTTATCACCATGGATACTTGATTTATGAAGTTTGAGATAATTACTGCCTTTAAATATCTTTCCGCAGATGTCACACATTAAGTTAGAAATTTTATCCATGGATGAGTGTTTCGACTGATCCTGATGTCGGAATACATGAGTCACAAACTGCATAAGCTGAATTTTTGTCACTGAACATATTTTACACTTGAACATTTTCCCTTCATCATGTGTTTTCATATGTTTTAAGAATGATTGTCTATGTTGTATTTCTTCACTACAATGTTGACAATGGTAGACCAGTCTTCCTTTGGCATCCACTATCAGGATTTGTTCTGTAAGAAGAAATAAGGACCTTTTAACTCCTCTTGCATTTTACATTGGAACTTTCAAATTCAATTGTTTGGGTTCTTTAAGTATTTTCCTCCCTTAGGCAAAGGTAGGAAATGACCCCATACCTTAGCTTAACTGTTTATATTTTTCGTATCATTTTATAGAAAATATGTAATTAGTTATGAAGCATGTTCTTACAAGTTTATTTCTCCTGTATGACAAATCCTAACATTTAATTTGTTGGATAATAGTTAACATAATTGTTAACTTAATATTTCTGATATGATGAACATAAAACTAGGCCCTTTGCATTAAGCCAATTAGTATCAAAAGAGAGTATAGTACAGCTGACCCAAAGAACAACATAGTCTGTGTTAGAACTCAGTAAATCTATTCTATTTTTAGTAGTAAACACATACTTTACTTTAATTCCTTGGAAACATTTGGAAGATTGATGAGCAAAGCTCCATGTCCAAATAAGTTGGCAAACAAAATTTCATAGGGTTTAATATGCTAGATTTTTTAACAATTTCTGTAATTTTATGTTAAGGCTCTGAACAACATAACCCCTGTGAGCTGCGTATGCTGAAAGGGGTATGAGTAATGACTTGGTCACATTTGCTCAGATTTTCACTATGGCGCCCGGTCGATTGAGTATTTTGTTCAGAAATGTATTCAATTTTGAATAAAATACTCAATCGGCCGGGCGCTGGCCGTTGAATCGCAGCCAATGTGACCCAGGCATTAGGGGGGCTCAAAAAAGGTTTCCTTTTAGGTATGTTTCTTCAATATAAAATACAAACAAAACATAGATTTAGAAGTAGACATTCTATTATTTTATATTTTATGGGAATGTTTTTTCCAAATGTAATGACACCTCATGTATCGAAGCCTAACTTAATTTATTAAATATACATTCATATATGCCTCAGCTTACTCTTTATAACTGTCATTGTATATGTTTGCAAAAAGTATAGCTTAATGAGGAAAACCAAACTTAAACCAACAATTGGCTTAGGTTTTATCCCTTAGAGTTTAAAGAAAAGTACACTGTCTTAATACAGCGTAAATTCCACATTAACATGGGCTAATTCACCAAGTACACATATATAGAAATAACTTTTAGAGTTTCATCCATACAAAATTCCTTGGAACAAGCACAAAAACCTAATACAGAACAAATCCTCGCAGTATCATGGGCTGATTGGCCAAGTATATTGAAATGGGTCCGACTTTGCCCTGATGGTATGCAACTGTTTATGTTTAAATAAACTCCCATGATTTGCAAATCCTTTTTCACAGACGTCACATTTGAATGGCCTTTCACCCGTGTGTATGTTAGTATGATGAAGCAAGTCTGACTTTTCACCAAATGACTTGCCACATATACTACATAAATGAGGTTTAATATGGGCTCTTCGTATGTGCTTCTTTAAATCAGATTCCACTTTGAATGTTTTAGTACATGGGGTTAAAGCACATTTGAAAAGTGCTGGTGTTTCACTATGTACCATGGCTTCATGATGGTCCAAACCATGCTTGCTGAAGAAGGACTTGTTACAGACCTTACAGTTAAAGTCAGGCAACTGCACCAGAGCTTTGCCCGCACAATGAGGGTTCCTTAAGTAGTGAGATTGCAATGTCCTTTTATACCCAAAACAAGCTCCACATGCTGCACAGATATAAGACTTTTTACCATTATGAACAAGGGCTATGTGAGATTTTAGATTTTCTTTTAAAGCAAACATTGCTCCACAAATTGAACACTCCTGTGTTTTCTCAGCATGAATCAGCATATGCCTTACTAGTCTCCCTTCTTTATGGAATGACTTGGAGCATTTAGAGCAGCTAAACTGTTTCTCTTTATCATCACTATGTAAACGTGCAATGTGTTCAGTCAATTTGTACTGTGCTCCTTTAATTATCTTTCCACATATGTTACACATATATTCAGGACTATCAGTGGTGTGTGAGTACACATGTCCAGTGAAATTCCACAAGTTTTTCCAAGTACTATCACATACTTTACACTTGAATATTTTCCCTTCATGTGTTTTTATATGCTTTAAGAAAGATTGTCTATGTTGTATTTCTTCACTACAATGTTGACAGTGGTAGACCAGTCTGCCTTTGGCATCCACTATCAGGATTTGTTCTGTAAGAAAAAATAATCCCCCATTTACTCGACTTGCATCCAACTTTTAATCCAGATGGTTTCACAGATTTTAAATATAGAAAAATGCAGTTCCAAACTTATTTAATGTTGAATAACATAAATGATAATGTTGAATGTTTCACTTTATATATTACTTGGATAAACATTTAAAAGTTATGTGTTGAACATAAATAATTTTTTATATTAGATAAAAAATATTTTTTGCTGTTTAAAATAAATTCAAATGCATTGTCACGCCCAGTGATCGTGAATATGGGACGGAGGGGGGGGGAGCAGGCAATTTCTGCTAGGAATTTCAACAAATCTGGAAGATTTATTTTTTCAAGAAAAAGTTTACTATTGAATTGCTAAATGGATAGGCGCACGGTATGGTAGAATATGTTAGGTTTTCTGGGATTTTTTCTGAAACGATACGCATCAAAGGTATGAGATCTATTAAAAAAGGCGCAAGACCATCAACAGGCACAAATCAAAGTTTTTGCTATAAATCAAGCAACAATGGACTACACGACCTGTAATAAATACTTGTAAGTGATGTTATCATAACTAAATTAATGTCATTGCTGAATTTATAAAATAAGTTTCCATACGTAAAATAAAAAATACTCGAAAATAATTAAAATGGGACGGAGGGGGGGAGGGGACGGAGGGGGGGAGTAATAATTCTTTAAAGTGAAACAACTTCACACGAATTCTTGTATTTGAAAAATGAACTCATTAACTTAGTAAGAAACTGGATGATATACCCCTGGAGACTGAAAAATGGGGACATTTGGAGTAAAAGGACTTAAAGTCGCGAAACATCTCTATCCATGTCTTATATACATATTGCTCCCCCCCTCCGTCCCCTCCCCCCCTCCGTCCCAAATTCATTATTTTCGATTATTTTTTATTTCACATATGGAAACTTATTTTATAAATTCAGCAATGACATTAATTTAGTCATGATAACATCACTTACAAGTATTTATTACAGGTCGTCCAGACCATTGTTGCTTGATTTATAGCAAAAACGTTGATTTGTGCCTGTTGATGGCCTTGCGCCTTTTTTAATAGATCTCATACCTTAGATGCGTATCGTTTCAGAAAAAATCCCAGAAAACCTAACATATTCTACCATACCGTGCGCCTATCCATTTAGCAATTCAATAGTAAACTTTTTCTTGAAAAAATAAATCTTCCAGATTTGTTGAATTTCCTAGCAGAAATTGCCTGCTCCCCCCCTCCGTCCCATATTCACGATCACCGGGCGTGATTGTATTTAATCAATTATTGTAAATTAGTGTATGTAATAGAAAATAAAGAGGTAGATAAGTAGAAGTAACGGTAAGCTGTTGAATAGGCTAATCCAAGTATTTGTAGTGAATATTACGAATGTTTCTTTCTGATAAGCATAAAGCATCCATCAGATATTGTCCCTAATTTGCCATTTACCTTGCTTTTTGACCATCAAATGTATCATATAAGATTTAGTCATAAAAGATAAATTATACAAGGTTAGTAGTTTTTATACACTGCAAGTACAAGTAAGTTCAATTATTACTACCAACATACGTAGGGTTGCTATCCAAGAAATTAGATGTGGAATGGTAAAAATTGTTCGTAAAACTTGAATCCATAGGTTTTGTCATATGGTCTGTACTCATATGTTCAGCAAGGGCCACTTTATCAGAGTACATCACTGCACAGATTTCACATGGTATCCCTGACTTGGCTTTTATAGAGTGCATCTGCCTGATATGACGCTGTAATTTAGACTTATATGTGAACTGCTTGCCACATTCAGGACATAGTACTGTTTTCTGATGGTAGGCATAATGGGCCCGAAGTTTATGATTGTTTGAGAACTCTTTGTTGCATACATCACATATAACAGGTCCAGCCTCATCATGGGCAGATTTTTTATGGTACATGTACGCTGCTCTTGATTTGCACAACTTGCCACACTTTTCACATATTCGTTGAGCCTTTCGTTTATATTCTTCATTATGTATATGGTTAAGGTGGGTCCCTAGGCTGTCTCTGTGTTGGAATGACTTGTTACAGAGCCTGCATACATGAACTGACATTCCCAGGTGCATGTCTTGGTGGAGTAGATACACAGACATGGTACGCTTACCAACTCCACATATCTTACATATCATGGGTCTATCACCATGGTGAGTCTTAAGGTGCTCTATATAACGACGGGTTGAATTTGCCTTGAATGAATGATTCCGCAGCAAGCACCTTGGTTCTATAGCAAATTGTTTATCGCATACATCACATTGAAACACTGCCTTCCCCGCCTGATTTATTCTGATCCGAGGGGGATTTCCTGGAAACAGGAAAGCGATATTTAGTCCAAGGATTTACTTTCTGTATCAGCTTCTTATATTTATTGTTGCGATAAACACAACTTTTTTAAAATCCACTGGAACATTCTTTGAATGTCATTCAAAATATGTTAAAGCCTTTTAATTCCTCTCATGTTTTCATACAGTTTATTTGAGTGAATCCAGTTTTCTTCTACCTACTCCAGCTCAGAATATCTTGAGCTATGTGTAAACTGTAGTATTGTAGCTGTACAATGGCTGTAGAACCTACTGAGTATGCATCATACAGCTTCTTTACACGTGTGTTATAACTAAACACTAACTCTATAGTGGCTGATGTATGGTTCTTTACTGAGAATGATGATGCAACACATCAAATGCAGATTTTCAATCTTAATCCAATATGAAATAATACCAGATCAAATATAAATCTATCTTATTTGACACACTGAAATATCATAATTGTAGTGCTAGTGAATTAAGAATATTTTGCCTTAGAAAGACCATGTTATGAACCAATACCAATAGACAGTAAGAAGTAAGTCTATTTACTACAAGTGTGAAACAAAAATGGTATTGACAAACTTATCTTTCAAAGGCAAACTTAGATTTTGTACAACTTCTAATATCAAACATAATGATTGAAGCTATCAACATTCTATATATTTTAATAATCAATGAATTGGTGCAAATTACAGGGGTAAAACACAAATTATTAATTGTTAACATATTCAGTAAAATCTGTAAATGAACATTTAAGTATCGATATTCACTCAAATTGAATGTTTACCCCTGAAATTATGACCATCCCAGTGATTTCACTACTATGTAATATTTTATCCTTGAGCTGATATATTTGTGTCAAAGTATTACTGATGTATTTCCAGATATATTCACCATTATTCAGATGAAGTGTTTCTATTTGGAGATTATATAACATATTTTAAAGGTTAAGATCAAGTCCTCAATGTTGTTCTATAGTGGTTGTTCTGAATGCTTCAGAAATCTCACAGTATCTTATCTAACAGAAGTCAAAAATCATACTGCGACTCTCAGTATAACAAGCCTATGTTTTCAGAACGATAGAGGGGCCAGAGGAACAAACAAGTATAACATGACAGAACCAATAATCAAGAAAGACAACCTATTTAGAAAAGCAACTCGATGATAAAAACAATCCAACAAGAAACAACTCTGTGTATAAAATGAACAGCATCAAACAATTGCCACAATCTGAACAACTGGACCACACATATCTTTTTGACAACAATACTCAACACCTGTAAAGCAGGGATCTTAAACAATATTCATCACTTTTTTAAAAATAAAATTATCAATTCAATTTACAGATTTTACTGAACAGTTTTTGAACAATGTTGTTTTTACTTCAAATCATAGAATGTTGATATATCATGGTGACAACATCTTTTCTATCATAAAAAATTCAAAAAATGTGAACAGATAAAAAACAGATCACAATATAGCCCCCGGGGTGTGCTATAAAAATAATTCAAATGCGTTGTGTTAGTTGAAAGTTAAAAGTTGAATTTTACAGCCTCATTCATTTGGCCTCTCATTCCAGTATGGCATGGTTTTACTGTATTGACAAGACAAGTGCTTTGGTAGAGCATTTGCCAAATAATGTTAACACAAATGAGAAATAAAGATTTGCATGATTGGCCTCTGAAAAGAATTTGCTTAATCCTGAATTGGTCTGCGATGAAAAAGCACTATAATTTTACTTACAAGATAGAAATATTGAGTGATTACAAATATACTATACTAAGATGGCACTAAATGTCGTCCAAACCTAAGAACTGTTAGTGCGTTGCTAATAAGGAGACATAAAAACAAATAATTTCCAAGATATACATTCAAAGTTTGAGATCATTAACATCATAGATTTTATTTACTATCAATAAAAGTTGGTGTCACCATAATATTAAAATTTTGCAAACAGTTCCATAATTTCATTGTCATCTTTCATGGTAATTAGGTCTTACTGAAACCAATGGTAGAATATTATTCAAAACATGATGGTACATTTTTCAACTCAGAAAGGGCAACAATTTTGTATTTTTGGAATTTTAGCATTAATAGAAAAAATAACAAGAAAATCAATTTTGAAAACAAATTATGCAATTAATGACAACATAATTGGATGATATCATAAAATCCCAAAATACTATAAAATCCAATGTATGCATCAAAATAAAATGAAATGGCTGAAATATTGTAAATTGATCTATTTGTCCATTGTATTTGATAAAGCCTAAACTTTTGATACTAAACTTATTGGGAAAATATATGTTAAGTATTGAAAGAAATTGAAATGATTTTGAGAATGTTAATGCCAAAAATAATTTTTTGTTTGTGATCTAACATTGTTGTGATTTTTTCAAAATTTGCAAGGGGCTTCAAAAATGTGAATTCAATTACCAGAGTAAGAGACATTTGATCAAAATATTTCAATGAAAACTGAACTGTCTGCAAAATTGTCAATAAAAAAGAAAAGTTCTCACCAGAATGAAGCACACTGTGACGACGGAGATCAGCCTCATTGTCAAATATCTTTGCACAGACATCACAAACAATGAGGTTATGCACCCCTTTATGATGTTCAGCAGCATCTTTGTAGGCATCAAACTTTTGATCACATTCCTTACAAAACAGTGCTGTAAAATAACAATAAAAATGAGTCAAACAAAGAATTAACATGCAAAATATCACAACCTGCCATTTGTTAGAGATAGCTCTAATCGCCAAACACTATCCACAAAAATGTGGTGACTCAAACAATATGTCAACACTGGTGCTGACATAACTAGAATCAGATATTATAGACACTGGGCTATGATTGGCTTGGAATCAAACTGTCATACTTTTGCAGGCAGTAATACTTGTAAATGGTTGAATATTAGTTATCTCTTACAAGTGATGGTATCTGTACCATTTAATGACCTAGACATATGTAGAATGCTGATTAAGACCAATAAATAATGACAAAAACGATGCAAAATATCATTTTGTCTAGTTTAAAAATGTGGTTGAATACCCAGTAATCTTTTTTCACAGGACCCACTTTTTTGAGGTATGAACCAGTTTTGGAAAATCTGTGTTCCAGGGACACTCTTGGACAACCTTACCGAAAGCACTGAACAATGTTATTACCAGTCTATACTCTAACCATTCAAAAAGGCATGAACAGGTACATGTAGATCAGGGATTTGATTGATTGCTGAACATAGAACAGCAGCTAAGCTAAATATTAGTCAGAAGACATCACAAGAAATCACATGAAGTACAAACATTTTTGGGTAATTAGTACCTCTTTTTGTAATATTACATGAGGTAGAAATAAATATGTGCCAATGCCAATGAATGGGTGACTAACGTTTCAAGTTCTGTGACTGTTTCAAAAGCTTCCACTATGAACGCTCCAGAAAACAAGACAACTGGACACACAAAGCTTTAAGAAGCAACTTACGATCAAGTGTGGCTGTTTTCTTTTGGTGGCTCCTTTTAGTTGAAACTGTAGTCTTCTTAGCTTTTGACCTTTTCCTTTTCTTAGGAGAAGCTGATTCATTGTAATCACTGTCAGCTTCCTCAGCTTTGATAGCAGTGAAGTTGTCAGCTTCATACTCATCAGTGTCATCATCTAGTGGGTTATCCATCATATCATCATCTTCATCTAGATTAACAATTGCAGTATTCAAATTACTATTTCTATATCAAACAAAAAATGTGACATTGTGTACTGTATATACCAGTATATATAAACAGAAAACAATTGTTCCATTTGAGAGGTGTTCTACTTTGGAGGTGTTCCACTTATAGATGTTCTGACATTATTAAGTCAGTTGGTCTTGGGATTCTGAAAAGTGTTTCATAAACAGAGGTGTTTCATTTCTAAGTGTTCCACTTTTAAATTACAGGTTTCAAATTTGCCTTTGAATGAGAATTTTTACAACTGATTAAAAATCTTTATCAAATTTACTCAACTGAATAATAATTTTTATTTCAGCGATACAGAACCAACATGCTCCACTGGACCATACCTGATTGGGGCTCGGGTAACTGCTCTACACTTGCTTTAACAACTTTGGTAGCCTTTCTCTTCCTTCTACCAGGGGGTTTAGCAGCCTTTTCGTCAATCGGTTCCTGAAGATTTGCACCATCAAAACTTGTACTAGGTGTAACAAGGGGCTGATCAGCCATGCCAAAGTCTGACACTTGCCCAGTTTCATAGCCAGACCCTGTCTGTTCTTGTTTGATGTTCTGTGCATTAATCATTAGATCAGATGGGCCAAGTGCTTTATTCTCAAAAAGAATCTTATCACAGTCACCAAGAAATTCAGGAATGTTAAGTTTAATAGCAAGCCTCATGATATCTTGGATATATTCATGTCGTATAGTTATACTCAGTCCGTAGATATAATCCAGCATGATATTCAAGATACTAGGATTTATCGCCTGTTCATTGTCTATATCAGTACATAGGACTTGTAACTTATGTTGGTCAATGTCCACACATCTGGCTTTGATGACACTACTGTACTGGCATACTATTGCTTTATGGGCTTCAATCTGACTGCCATCTGGGAATATAAACATCAGATCACAAAGTTGGCCTTCATTACGCAATGTGGCAAGCTTTCTTAGAGTGTTCTTGTTTTCAAGCGTGTATGTCTGTACATTTCTTCCAGCCATATTCGCACTGAAAAATGAAATATACGGTTTTTTACTTGAAAATTAGGCAAAGTGATAGTAAAAATATCATCATAAAATAAAGAATCTAAGAAAGTCAACATTTTTTACAAAAAAGTTGTGTAGTAACTTGTCTTAGGTACAATCTGAATGACTTTTTGTGAGTCAATCATGAAAATAAGCAATCAAAGGAGAACCATGAAAAGTTGAGCTAAAGAATGCACTATAATCGTCATGTTCTTCACCCAATAAAAAGTAAGACGTAAATAAATAAAGGGTATCAGAGGCCCTTGCAATATCGTCCTTTGATTTAACCCTTAAGAAAAAAGCCATGGTAACCATGGTATTCCATGGTACATCCATGGTAATCCATGGTTTTCCATGGAAATTCATGGTATTTTCCATGGAAATTCATGGACACCCATGGTAATCTTCCATGGATATTTATCATGATTTTCCATGGTAATTAGTGGTTTGGTAATTGTTTTTTCATGGACGTGTCATGGTTTTTACCAGGACACACAGAGATCCAAGTTGGACTGAGACTTATCAGTGAGAAAAAAGGGTGGACATTTTATGTTATTTTAGGTTTAGCAGGAACATATTAAACTCAGCTTCCTTACAAATGAGAAAATATGTAAAAATTATGTAACTTTTCTAAAAAGAAATATGATAATGCAGTTAATGCAGCACAGAGTAGGCCACAAGATTGCAAAGAGAAATATGTATAGGGCTTTTGCGTAGATCAAGACTAGATACTGAGACAGAGATTCTTTATTTTTTAGGCCAAACACTTCTAGTCTTTTGGAAAGATTAAGTCAAACTAGCCCTACCTCTGTTTTGTTTTCTTATTGTGTCTTTAATATTGAGTTATGAAAATTAAAATGAAATAATTTAAAAAATAAATGACTCTTTTTCTTAAATTACATGTCTTTCATTTTAGAATGCAATAAAAACCATGGTTTCTTTCTTTGAAGTTGAGGAAACTGCAATCAAAAGCCATGGAAGTCGGTTGATTGCAATCGAAAGCCATGCTTTTCCATGGTTATTTCTTTGATGTTTTGGAAAGTGCAATCAAAAGCCATGCTTTTCCATGGATATCTCTTTGATGTTTTGGAAAGTGCAATCAAAAGCCATGGTTTTCCATGGTTATTCTTTTGAAAAATCCATGGTTTTCCATGACTATATGTTTGGTCTTTTGGATGCAGAAAAAAGAATAATGCATAATGAACTTTTCCAAATAAAGTCTCATTTAACCTTTATGAGCACATTGTCTGAAAAATCCATATACTTTTTAGAATTTTGACTTGAAATTAAGGTGGGGGATTAAACAAAAGCCTATGACTGCAAACTGAAATATAATGCCTAAGTGATCAAAAATCTATTTGTCTATGTACTAAGGTTATTATAATTAAGTAATCTATTTAAAAAGAAGTAATAATCATTTGCATAATTTTTAAATATGTGGTTGTCATTGTTCTATGTTATTAGGTTTCTTAACTCTCAAATTAGTGTTAAAATTTCTCTTTGCAACAGATTATATAGTTCATTTGCATAATTCTAAAATACATGTATTATGATCTTAATTGTTATTAATTATGACGAGTGCTTCCTCTTCAGTAATGCTAATTGTCTGTGAGTGTAGTAGTGTTGTCGCGATGTGCCATAATCTTACATCGATGCATCGGCAATTTCCAGTAGTAAACATCGATTCACATCGCGATGTACATCGAGAAAAAGTTCGAGAAAAGTGCACTGAAATGCCGAACGCTAATGCACTAAAATATCGAACAGAACAAATTAATAAGAGTACGCTGGTACATCCGGGAACATAGTAACAGTGAAATGAAAGTAAAGTAATTTTTTTAGATTAATGGTTCATTTCGACTAGCTAAAACAGTTTTAAAGCGAAAGAATATCAGAAAACATTTGAAAATGAATTAATACATGAAAAAAGGTAAGCAATTTGCGTCAAAATAAGATAAGAAAGGGGGATTTTTAGCAAATTAAAATTTTTTAAAAACATCGATGTTTTGTTTCAGACATCGATGCATCGCCAGAACCAGCTTTGGCGATGTATATCGCGATGTATCGATTAACCACGACAACACTAGAGTGTAGACAGTGCAAGTCAAAAACTCATTGTTGATCAAATAAACCAAATAGGATTAAAAACTCCAAGTAAACATGTCTAGATTATGAAAACATCTTAATCATAGAACTAAACATATATCTAGATTATGAAAATAAGGTGTATGGTTGTATTTCAGGCCCGTAGCCAGCTTTTGCCAAAGGGGTTGACTTTCTCAAAAATTTGAGGGGGATATCATATTCTTCTCTCTATGATTAGTCTCAATCCAGCTTGGATTCATTCATTAAAACATTGATTCAATTCGGAAGATTTTGGTAAATACAAAAACTGCCAAAATTATTGATTTTACAACTCCAAGTCACTTAGTATCATGGTAAAACATGGTTTCCCATGAAAAACCAATTACCAAACCACTCATTACCATGGAAGATCATGGTAAATATCCATGGAAAATTACCATGGACGTCCATGAAATTCCATGGAAAATACCATGAAAAACCATGAATTACCATGGATAACCATGGAACATCATGGCTACCATGGCTTTTTTCTTAATGGCCTGAGTATATAAAAAATAGAAACATATGTACCACTTGTCCTAACTTTTGTATATTTCAGATAGTTATGTATAATGTGCAGTAAAGCTGTGACCTTTTGTAATTTCGTATTTATTATTCAATATGCATCTCACATTTAGTGCAATATATGCATTTATTGTAATATTTGTCTTCAAACATATGCATTATGTATTTCACATTTAGTGCAATATTCATATTAATTGTAATATTTGACCATATGCAATATACTACTTACATTTAGTGCAATATATATATTTATCATGCAATATGCATCTCACATTTAGTGCAATACATGTATTTATTGTAATATTTGTCTTCAACCGATGCGTATTGTGTATTTCACATTTAGTGCAATGTTCATATTTATTGTAATATTTGACCATAGTGCAACATGCTACTTACATTAAGTGCAATATATGAATTTATTGTAATAACAGTCTTCGACCATATGCATGATACAATTCACATTTAGTGCGATATTTGTATTTATTGTAATTTTTGACCATATGCAACATGCTACTCTCATTTAGCGCAATATATGTATTTATTATGCAATATCGATATCACATTAGGTGCAATATATGTATTTAATATAATGATTGACAATATCATTCCATGAACTGCTTATTTATTTATGCCAAACTGATTAATCAGACTGAATTTATATCATTGGTTATTAATCATGTATAAATTTTTACCAGGGACATTTTTTGTCTCTGTCTTTATGAGTGTTGACCCAAGCTGCCCATTGGGGGTAGTAATGGGTGACACTCAGATATAATGTATACTGTGTCTCATAAGTCGGCACCGGCTGGTGATGTTACAAAATGTTGTTTTTATTATGTATTTTATATGTATATTGTAATGTCAGTGACACAAAAATAAACTATTTTAAACTAAAAAAAACTAAACTGTAATTTAGGGAGTTTCAGCCATGTTAATTTTTCCGAAAATAACATGGGGGAGAAGCATCAAAATATAAGAGGGCGCAGCTATGATAGCTAAACTACAAAACAAACCAAAATATACAAAAGTTAGGACATGTATAAATGTTTCTATTTTTACATATACTGCTTCCTTTGATTGCTTATTTTTTAAATTCAAAGTAGGCTAAAGTGGGGGGCATAAAGAATTACAAAACCTATGGAAATTACATGTTGTCACATATGTAATAAATTCTTACCTCAGTGTATTCAGTGCTCTATTTTCTCCGTCATAGTAAGTCCAGATATAGTGGAATTTGTGTCCATAATGACAAATAAGAACTTAAAAATTTGATGTGGAATTCACATGTTAATGCCGACTCTTCAAATGTTGAGGTGATTTTGGAGCCAGATTACGCCGCAATGTGGGTTGGCTCCCAGAATGCAACATGACACGTGTCAGCTTTCAAAATGCCATTCCGCCGTTTTGAAATACGTCACGAATAAATAAGGTTACTTGATGTTGCATTCTGGAAGTCAATCCTCCTTGGATCACAAACATGGCAATTCATGAAAACATTAGTCCGATTTGGTAGGGATTTATCCATCATTTGCAGGTATGAGGCTTTGGATTCATTTATTGTGCTACTTAAAGTGGATGGGAATTATTTTTCTACCACTTGGGAGAGTTTGAGACATGAAACTTAGAATTTAGCTCATTGTGACAACTTTTGAGGGTTGAGATTTATTTTTGTCCCCCACTTTAGAAGCTTACGAGGGATTTTTTGGCTGATCATTTTTTGGATGTACTATTTTTGGTTTGTGTCCAGTCTTCTCATTATTTCATTGAGACTACCAATGGGGACTGGATCTGGCTCGGAGTCTGTGTTTCAAACCAACATGGTTTGGAAATAGTGACGATTTCCTGATAACATTATATTACTTCCGGTTTCAACTCCCTTGCCGCCATATTGGATTTGAAAACGCATTTATTTGATACATTTGTTGATCTTATTTGGATTAATTAAACTTTTATACCTCTCCATACTAGTTATTTCGTCTTCTCTGTTAACCCATGAATCAAATAAACTGCATCTTTACAGCTCCATCTGCTCCGAAAACAATTAAACTCGCAGAATAAGTGGTGTATCCTCCCAGCTTCTTTGTCAGCTTCTGACCCTGTTGATACTCGTTAGAAATATACCCAAAAAGTAGGTCACATTTTCAGCGGGATGCGTGGTCAGATTGAATTCCGCCTTCACTTAAACATGAATAACATTGTAAATACATGGAGATTGAAGGGACTGATCGACGAGAAGATACAGAGATATTATTTAGATATGAAATTGAAAGACATTATACGAAAAATATCGAACAAATAAGGTAAATAATGTTATTTATAAGTTTATAAGTTTATAAGTAATTTTCCGTCCTAGGCAGACATTGCCTGTATGACAGTTCTGATACTTTTTGAAACTAACGTAGCTTGGGGGCTACTTGTACGCCAGCAATTTCGTAATTGAATTTTAAAGGATGGTGATACCAATGTGCATCTAGGCGGTTCTTGAACTGGTTGACATGGACTGACTGCACTACGTACTCTGGGAGACTGTTCCAATTGTTTGTTACCCTGTGGCTGAAAGTGTTTTGTCTCATTGAGGTTTTGCAGTGGGCTTTTAGGAGTGGTTGGGAATTTCCTCTTCTATTGTGTGTTTCTCTTGCTTGGAAATTAGGTAATGTTGCTGTTGTGTTGACATCATAGTATGAGTTGATGTATTTGAACGTCTCTATCATATCACCACGTAGTCGTCTGTAGGCAAGTGTTGTAAGGTCTAGTGCCTTTAGTCTCTGGGGGTAGGGTAGAGCTTTAAGTGTTGGAACTATACGCGTTGCTCTTCTTTGTATTTTCTCTAGGGCTTCTATATCCTTCTTCATGTAGGGATTCCACACTGATTGTGCAAACTCAAGTTTGGGTCTGACTAAGCCATTGAATAGTAATTTAAATGTATCAGTGTCCCAGTATGTAAAAGATCTTTTTACCATTCCTAGCACTTTGTTTGCATTGTTTGCTATGGTTTTGACATGGTCACTGAATTTGAGATTTGTATCCATATAAACTCCAAGATCTCTTTCACAGTTACTATGTCTAATTGTAGATTTCTGGTCTGAGTTGTTGTCTTTCATCAGGTAGTCGAAATTCCTGTTACTTCTTCCAATATGTAGTACGCCACATTTTTTAGTATTGAATTTTAATTGCCAATCTTGAGTCCATTTTTGAACATTGTCAATATCCCTCTGTAGTAAAGTTTGATCATCTATGGAGTTAACTTTTCTATGGAGTTTAGTATCGTCAGCGAACAGGCTTATATTACTGTGTTTAACAACGTTTGGCATGTCGTTGACATACAGTAGGTAGATCAAAGGTCCAATTACAGATCCCTGAGCTATTCCTGACCGTACAGGGGTCCATGGTGCTGATATGTCATTTATAACTACTCGTTGTTCTCTATGTTGGATGAAGTGCGAGAGCCACATCAGAGATTTACCCCTAATTCCAAAATTTCTTTCCAGTTTGAGTAGGAGTCTTTGGTGGGGCACGGAATCAATCGCCTTGGCATAATCAAGATAAATAGCATCAGTAGCGCCCCCTGTATCTAGTAGATTTGACCATGCTTCAACTATTTCCAGAAGATTAGTTGTACAAGACCTATTTGGCAGGAAACCATGTTGGGCTGTATTTAGGAGATTGTTTTTGTAAAGGTGTTCAATCAGTTGCCTTCTGATGATGCTTTCAAGTATTTTGCAGGTAATACATGTGAGACTTATTGGGCGGTAGTTGTTAGGACTTGACTTTGAACCGCTCTTATGTAGAGGGGTTATGTTAGCTCGTCTCCAGTCTTGTGGTAGGTATCCTTCATTTAGTGATTTCTTGTAGATTAAATAGAGGGGATGGGCTATAGTGTCTGCTAGTTCCTTGAGGATAATTCCTTTGATTTTGTCCGGTCCTGGTGATTTGTTGGTTTTCAGATTTTTTAGTTCAAGGGTCACTTCTCCTTCGCTTATCTGCCAGTTGGTAATATAAGACCCTATATATATGTAGTCTATGACTGGTATATTCTCAGTGTCCTCATCTGTAAATACTTCTGCGAAGAATTCGTTAAGGACTTCTGATTTTTCTAGGTTTGAATTTGTTTGTGTTCCATCCTTTCGATCAAGATCAGGGATTCCTACTCTGGATTTTTTCTTATTGTTGGCATATTTCCAGAATGGTTTTTGATTATATTTTATCGTTTTTGCCATTTTCTTTTCATATCTTCTTATGGCTTTTCTTACTTCTGACTTGGCTTGATTACATGCTTTCCTAAATATCTTTTTATCTTCTTCATTCAGAGTATCATCTTTCCTTTTTCGTGTCATCTTGTTAAAAGCTTTCCGTTTGGTTCTTATCGCCTTCATACACTCCGTATCTATCCACGGTTGTCTCTTTTTTCCCGGTGTAATTTTGGGGATATGTTTTTCTGTGGTTTCTTCTAATTTGGTTTTGAATATTGACCAGCTTTCTTCAGTTGTTTGGCCTTCGAAGATTTGTTCCCAGTCTACACTTAAATCACTTCTCATTTTCTTGAAGTCTGCTTTCTGTAGAAGTTCTATCTTTTTCTCATTTGGTGTGAATTTTTGTGCACAGTTTATAGTCATAGAAAGCATGTGGTGATCACTTCTCCCCAGCGGTGGGTTGTTTTCTAGGTTGCTTATTGTGTCTGGCTCATTTGTCAGTACTAGGTCTAGTAGATTTCCTTGTTGTCCTGTTCTGGTTCGTGTGGTTTTCATCTGATGTTGGGTCAAGAAGTTGTCATCAATTATTTCAAGCAGGTATTCATATAAATATCATTATTATGAAAAAATTTCTCTGCACATTTCTGGTACAAATTATGAAGGCATGTGTCTACTATCTTACTTGCAGTTCTTTTAAATAAAGGGTAACCGGAAAGTGACCTGTGTATACCCATAGCCAGGTTTTGGTTTTGGTTCGAACCCCCCCCCCCCCCATCCACAGGGCTGTAAACTTGGGACCATCATGAGTGACTTCCAAATGTTGAACACCTTCCTTAAAACTTTGGACAGCTTCAGTGAACACTGGCAGATTTTGGACACCTAAAATTTTCCCAGCTCGCTGACGCTCGCTGTTCAAATCCATCAACGGGGGAGGGGGGGGGGGTTGGTGTAAATATTTTCGAAAAAAATGCGTGATATATACACATATTTTGTACCAATGCTTGACTAAACGGCAATCGCGTGCAAAGATTTTTTTCGCCGTACGTTTTTTAACCGTGTCAGCATTTCACAAAAAACGATATATCAACAAAATGCGTGATTTGCGTGATATTTGATGAAACACGCTAAATCGATGCATGATTTCTATTTTCTAGCAAATGCGTGACAGTCACGCCTAATGTGTGAGGGTGACAGGGGAGCATCCACACACAAAAATGGTTTTATGCTTAACCAACTTCGCATTGTGACCACAAGGGTGTTATTAACAAGACACCAGGGCAGGGGTGGCCACGAAAGCAAGGGAGGGGACACAAAAATGTCCGGCCAAATGAGAGAATAAATGGATTTTTTGATTGTCGAACACCAGGATTTTTTAAGAGTATAGACACTTTGTTTAGTAGAACTTTCAAATAACTTGCAGTAGTTGCTGTGTAGTTGCAACTTATGTTCTCTGAAGATTTCAAAGCCCTTGAAATTACAGTTTTTGGTGTTTACTCTATAAAGCCCTGTATATACCAATCGGGCAAGTTGGGACCTCAATAGACTTAACATTGCGTGGGACCTCGTGGGACGTTTTGGGATTTCTTGCCCCATGGAGTCCCATCAAGCCCCATGGAGTCCCATCAAATCCCACCGTGCCCCATTGGTGTATGTCGGGCTTCACACAACACGTCATATGATCGAAAATCCCACGATGCCCCATGGAAAGAATGGACATGTTCATTCTCGATGGGATTCCATGGGATTTTGCCCCATCGAGTCCCACGAGGTCCCATGAGGTCCTTTTCCATTGGTGGGAGGTATTTTGTGCCTTTTTAGTAGAAGCATCATGAGCAGCACAGGATGATCTGTGGCCATCACTATTAACATGTTTTAAAGCAGCAAACTTTGTGATGTTTGTTGTTCCAGTAACAAAATTAAGAGTTTTATTTGGGTTATATTTACGACACACATCACAAAACATTGTCTCAACATGTATTTTGTCATTAAAAGTAAAACAGAGATGGTTAAATTTCCACAATTTGAATGTATTTATTTATTTATGTTTCCTGCTATGATTACTTTCCTATTTGGATTTGGTTTCTTGGGCCTCATATCATTGTTTGCTTGAGTTTTATTTGCTATGGCACTACTTGTACCTGCCTCTTGTTGGGTATGACTGGTTTTACGCTTTTGTTTTGTAATTTGTACAAAGGGGCGAGAATTGATAATAATCGAGGGATGAAACGCGCCTAATATTGACACAAACCAAGGAATGATTGCAATTGTTTCACATCCTTGGGGGCCTTGGCACTGCTTATAGCTTCGATTTTCTCTGGTGATTGATGTAGTCCATTTTTGTCGATTATGTGTCCTAAATAATGTAGAGAGTCTTTCATGAATTCACATTTCTTCTTTCGAGCCCCGAGTCCATTTTCATCAAACGTGTGAGCGCTCTATCAAGGTTTTGAATGTGGTCTTTTTCATTCATGCCTGTTATTAAAAAAGTCGTCCAAATAGCATTGTATGCCCTGAATTGAATTTTTTAAACTTGGTCCATTGCATGCTGAATCTGTATCTACTACCCGTTTCACTGTTTTTTTTCAATTGTCCTTTGACAATCCTTTATTCATTTTTTGTCTTTTTATGACGACAGAATCTACTAATGTGCCCCCGTTTGTAAAATCGATAACGTTCAGCAATTATTAGTGTTCTGGGGAATAGTGGTTTTTCAATAGGGTATCTACAAGTAGTATTGACTTGTAATTGTGAAAACCAATATTTATAAAAATATGAATATAACTAGTATCATTTTGTAATATTTATCATGATCATTCTGCATTCAAAGTTATCAATATTTTGCCTGTACCTTGCATTTGACCAGCACACCTCCGTGCTATATTTGGCTGCATGCCTTGACACTGTCCAATTTC